GGGAACAAACCTCTTTTTCCGGACGAAGAAGAGAAGAAGTTCACGAGAGACTCGGCGCGCGAGAAGAATTCAGATATACCAGTCGAGGGGGGTGGGGGTGCCCGAGGCAGAGGCAGAGGCAGGAGCGGCGGCCGACCTCGTCACCCCCTCCTGCCTCAGTTGGAAGGGCAGGTGCGATACAAGGCAGGAGCAACTCAAGGGGGCAAGAAGGCAAGAGCAGACGGAAGGTGTGAACGTGTTGTAACGTCGGCCTCCTCAAACAAGATTCATGAAACTGACGGCGAAGACTTCTGAATGGCATTGGTTTCAACGTCGTGTTACTATTCTACGCTCTCTGAACCATTTGAGATATCAACATCCATGGCAGTGATATTCTTGCACGAGGATTTCTGCAAAACACCATGCCTTGTTGTTGAGAAGCGATTGGCCTTGATTGTTGCATCGCTACCTATCACAGATGGCTCGTTGGAAGGCAGCTGAAATGATAAAGATATTCGTCCTGTAAGGAAGGAGAAGCTCGCACTGGGCAAGATATCAGACAGCCACGACAGGCAAGACAATCTTCAATTTCCGAGTAATAGCTTGCTTGACGTGCCTTCCTCAGACTGGTGTTCCTAGCGCAACTACATCATGGCAGCCGAAGCAACAACGACTGGCGGAAGGCATGACTGGGTGAGCTTTCACGACCACCTTCACCGTGTTTAGGTTTGTAACCTACACGTGATCGTGGCTTCCTGAGGACGTATCCAATTTTGCGATGGAATAGGTAGTCATGTTTACCCAAGTCTCCATCCCATAGTAACTGCCGGGATATGACACCAGACACGATTGCCTCCTATCTAGCCCTTGGTTTCCGGTTGGCAGACTTCATGCTGTCTTGATCCCGAATGCTTTATGGAATTTCAAAGTCTATCAGTACCTTATCTTGTTTGTGCAACTTTGCCCAGCAATATCAACGCACTGGATGTCGAATGGTACTGTACCCGCCCTGCCCAATCAAAACGTCATTTACCAATCACAGTCCAAGAATTCAACGTCAACCAGGACGGTCCACCTCAGCACTTATCACGACCTGGCTCAGCCGCTCAGATCCTTGCCCCTGTCTCCCGTATGCCTCGAGAAGATCGAGAAACCTTTCCCTGTTGGCGTATATATATAGGTAACGTACTTAGGCCGTGTCTAAGTTGTGCCTTATCTGTTGTCTCCTTTTACCAAGTACCCTGCCAGGTGACGTCAAACATACGGAGATAGTACATGAAGGTCAACGATGAACGTCACATTGCAGGTAGAAGAAACGTTTGGGTGGCAACAGAGGCTAGGAATCGCCCCTTGAGTTGTTTGAATATCGACGCGAAACCTTTTGAACACTTTCCCCGCCCCCAGTACCCTCGTCAAACCTCCACCTCATGTGGCAGGAAGAGTAGTACTGTTTGCAGGGCTCCCAGATTGCCTGCAATGTCTTGGATCTGTTGCCTGCCCAGTCCAACTCTTGATACGCCAAACACCTGTTCCCATCTGTTTTCCTTCGACGCCTTGTACACTTCCCATCCCGACTTTAGAGGTCATCGCCGAGGTAAGGCTCGCACATCTCCCTGTACCATTTCCTAGCCGTGTTGTGGACCTCCTTGTTGGGACACTTTTTGGCGGTGCAGGGGTTCAAGGTGTAGCCCCGCCAGTAGGAGACCGCGAAGTACTTGTCTTCGCAGAAGTCCCGCTTCGATATCGTGTTGACGTCCCAGGGCTTGCTGAGTTTGTTACCCTCGTTGAAGCACTCCTGCCAGCACTCGGGAAGGGGGTCGAGGCTCATTCTGTCGTCTTTGGGGGCAGGGCCTCCCCACTTCGTGTCGGCCATGGCGGCGCCGGCGAGGGAGGCGAGGAAGATGAGAATGGGAGCGGGTCTCATTGTGATGATCGTTTGTGAGGTTGATCGTGAGGTTGTTTTAGGAGTTTGTGTGTGGAGTAGAGGTATTTGACTGAGGGAGGGACTGTTAGTCAGTTTCATACAAGTTTGTTAGAGTCGATGAAGACTTACACGTCTCTGTGAGTGATGTTGTTGAAGATATAGGTCCTTCTGAGGTAGGTTGTAGATAGGGTTGATCAGGTTGGAAGATGTTCTTGTGAAGGAGGAGATGTTTGTGTGAGGATAACCTGAGAACGAAATCACCGGGAATCTGGGGGGAATCATTGGCCTTATATACATTCTCAAATCACCTTTCCCGGTCGTGGTGATCTGTACCAAGATCTAAGTTCATGAGAACCTCTCTAGCAGCCAAACCAGAAAACCCGCTGTTGAACCTTCAACGACCGCCGTGCCGCCACCTTGCTATCTCAGTCCGCTGGGAGATTTCATGTAAAGTTTCTCTCCCAGCCAATGGCATTGCGCCGTCGTGAGAATTTGTGCCCGAGTTCAAGCTGGAAGCCGGAACTCATGGGAGTGATTGAGCACAGCACCCTCGACTTGGTCCATCCGTCCGCCGATTATAGGCAAAAGACGTATCACTATTATTTTCGTGACACCCGCCTCACGCCTTTTCTACCAACCCCTTTGCCTTCCCTCAGAAACCCCTGAGCCGCCACCTTCTCTTCGTGCCGCCCGCAGCCCTCTCTATAACTAGGCAAAAGCACTTTTCGCCACAGTAAGTTGGACCACATCACTCATATAGATTCGTTGTTTACAATCTACCAATCACAGAAACGACAGAACGTGGACAAAACTCGATCACGATGAAGCTCATCACAACCCTCGCAACCATCCTCCTCTCCACCACCGCCCACGCCAGACCGCCACCGCTGGACGGAGTCCTCGTCCCCCTCACCACGCTACCCCCGTGCTACAGAGAATGCCTCGACTTCACCAACTTCGTCGGCCGGGAGAAGGGCTTCGACGTCTCCACCGTCACCGTGCCGGAGTTCTGCAGGGAGCAGCAGGCCTTCTTCCCGCGGTGGGACATGGACGAGATCACCGACTGCGCCGCGGTGCACTGCGGGGGCGACGTCGAACAGCACGCCGCGGCGTTCGAATGGTACCAGGCCCTGTGCCACTTCGGAAGGCAAAAGATGGAGTTGTGAAGGGCGGAGGGACATCACGCGCGGCTGCACGACCCCGGCCAGAACTCTCCGGCCGGGGGCTTTGCACCGGCGCCGACGAAGGCATGGTGGTCTAGCATGGGACCCGATCAGAAGCAAAAGTTGGCTGCGGCGAGGATGGAATGGTTGGGTGGGGCGGGTGGTGAACACAGGCTTTCTTGATGCCGGTGCTGATTTCTGGCTTCCATCTGCTCTTTGATTGGATTTCAACTGAATACAGGGATCTCAACGAGTTTACTCAATTGCTAATTCAAGTTCGATGCCCAAAATATGGGAAAAGCATTTTGGTGAACATAAACCTTTGAGTCCATGACACCGCTCGGGCGGAAACGCCACCCATGTTCATCGGCAAAGACGACACCACCGCAGCTGCAATTCAGGCCCCAACAGAGGTTAATAACCAAGCTCCACACATCTAAACGAGTAAATCTTCACCATCAACTCTCAAAAGTGAACAACACCGGAACTGTTCATTGCTTGGCTAAGGGATGTTCTCTGTTGTTCAGGTCTTCTCGGTTTTGTTCAAACAGCTATGGTGACTGTTGGTGTGGGATCGTCAAACCAAGCAGTATCTGAACAGTATATCTTTCAAACTTCAGAAATATCTGCGTCTCCAATAGTATATAATTCACATCGTTGTGCTACATGAGCATTTCCATCTTCTCACACTTCATCACCCACAGTCACACAACAATTCCTACTACCTAGTACAATAAAGCAAACCGCAACCTTTTTTTCTTCTCATCATTCCTCTATAAACACACTACAATCAGTATCAAACAACCAAATTCCACAACAAAATGAGCGGCTACGAAAGTGACGGCTATCAAGTTGAGTCAGTTGAGCCTAATCAGTTTTCAACTGGTCCAGTAAATATTGTAGCCTTCAAGAAGGAGTTCAAGGACTGGCGGGACAAGCAGAACAAGGCCAACACTGCCGAAAACAGACTTGAATTTGTCACCGCAGTCATGGTCAGGCTGGGCGAGTTGAAAGTCCCCGTGGAATATCCCAGTGGCCAAGAATACCTGCATTATAGGGATCCTTTCTTCTTCCTGAAGTCGTACGAATTGGATTACAAGACCGAGTTTGGAAAGGCCATGAAGAAGGTGCTGGGCAAGTGAGCGGGACCAGCATAGGCAGATCAAGGTCTCGCCTGACGCACCGCAACCTGGAGAGACACGCGGCCGAATATCTGGAGGCTCATCCGGACCCGACACAGTTTACGGCTTTCTCGCAGCCAAATGGTCTGGAAGCCGTGGATAGTTCGTCGGCCACTCTCAATTTAGCATGCTCAGCCGAGATTGGTCCTGCTTGCGCGGAGGAAGAAGCCAGGCAAGGAACAAAGTGTTGCTCAGACAAGCACTTGCACGGGTGGGGGTCTTACTACTTAGAGGCATGGATCGAGAGCCTCAAGGGTGACAACATCCGTCTCAGACAGCAGCACCTTCTACTTAGCAGATAGACCTCTCCTTCTTCATCTATAAAATGACATATATTGTTACACTCCTGGAGCCCTCAAATGCCGCTCAATACATGTGAATTGTCATAAGAATGTTTCTGCCGGTGTATTCCTATTCCAGGCACAGTAGCATTCTGATGACGTTCAGCTAGATGGCGTGGGGCGAACTGCTGATTGATATATGCTCCTGTGCAGTCCAATGTGAATAAAACGTCAACTCAGAACTAGTTTCATTTTGCGAATCTCACGAGACGGGCCCGATTGGCGGCGAATGTTGCGACTCGAGAAGCTCACACTAGCTTGCCAGAAAGAGCCATATGGGTTCGAATAGCAGCCTCTGATTGGTGAGACAAGGGCAAGGGAGCGTCTTCGGCGTCGGGATGCAGCCTCGAGGGGCATGAAATTAATTACCTCCACATCTCCCGCGTGGGCTCGGTGATCTCGTGAGAGGAACCGAGGGCTGCGCTTTTTGATTCAGAAGCAGCAAGCTCAGGGCAACCTTGAGGCTTGGTGAGCCTGACGCCAAACTCGCCTGCAAAACGCGCACCGGATGTTTGGTTTTCTCGGAAGCCGTTTGCTGCGTTTTAACATTGTGCCCCCACAATGACTCGCAACGTCACATTTTGATGATGTTTGCCATTGGCCGGTCACGCGCGGAAGGATGCGGTGGCGCCCGCATCGTCGTGACTTGCTTCTTGGCTGCTTCTGGTGAGGTTGGGGGTTGAGAAGGATGCGTATGTCAGTACGCGGGTCCGATACGTAGTCACGGTTCGAAAGGATCAAGATGGTTGAGATCCTGAACCGTGTTGCTGATTGATGTCGAGAATTGAGGCTATTCCTAAGGTTCAGCATCTCGGCCGATTTGTATGACGTAAGGCGCGCAAAGAGACGCTAATCATTGGCCAACTGGCTCGGGTTCATCGGGTAAATGGAGCCGTTGCGGGCGATAGAGCTAATAGGTGACAGGGATTAATTACTAAGGTATATAAGTAAAGCGTATTTATACGCTATATGACTAGTATTCTAACCTAATATAGTAATAAAGTTAGTACTATTCCTAATACTATAAATAAATAGGTTCCCTCTTAGTTTAACTTAAAAGTAAATTATTAAAATCTAAACTTTAAGTATATAATTTACTTAAAAAGTAGTTATAAATAGCTTTATCTATTTAGATCTTTATATTATTATTCTATTTAATAGAATTAAATCTATTATATAGTAGAAATAAGCTAATTTTCTCTTTTATTTCTCTTTTTACTTAAGCTTTTTTAACTCCTTTAAGATAATACTTATTACTTTTATTTTAATAGCTATTTAAGCTCTCTATTAAAACTTTAAAGATAACTCTTATAACCTTTAAGTAACTACTAAATAAAATAAAACCTCTTTTAAATTCTTTCTTAAAAATAAAGGTATTATAATATATTAAAGGCTTAACTATTTTAAGGGTATATTAGTTTAGCTTTTTCTCTATAATATATAGCTCTAAAAGATTATTACTTATAGTATTATTATTTAGCTAAATTATAAAACTCTATTAAATATATATTAATCTCTCTTAATTAATATCTATTAGAGTAATTACTATTTAGTTAATTACTTTTTTATATTAATTTATATTTTATATAGAAGTATTATTTTTAATACTATTAAAAAGGCTTAATAAAAAAAAAGAGAAATAATTAATATCCTAAATGTTATAATAAAATATAGGGGGGGAAATAGCTATATAATAATAATAATAAAGTAAATAATATATAAAGTAGAGTTTTAGCTTAATTAATATAATAATAAAGAAGTTTAAATAGTATACTTTTTTATAGGAGCTACCCTAGGCTTTTTTATAGGAGCCACCCCAGACAGGGATCGATCACAAGGGGGTCGCCTGCACACCGGAAGGGAATAGTGGGATCTCCCCTCGCCGATTACCATCCATTGCAGCCCGGGCATTACCAAATTTCCACCTGCAAAAGAAAGAGACCCAACGGATCCCGTTTGTCCCGCCCACGACCGCCCACCATGTGCTGCATGTCCGCCGCCGCCCGCTCCAGGCCCCCGATCTTTTTCCCCAGAGCGACGTCGCTGCTACTACATCTGCTTGCTGACGCCGATGCTGACTGACGGGTAATACGCACGTCTCCGTCCTCGTAAAAAAAGCGCGTCAAAGTCGAAATTCCTGTACACCGCCGAACCTCGAAATACCGAAACAACATCGCACAAAATACCACCCAACAACATGGCCGATGCCGCGACTTCCGACCCCGCCGCTAGGGTGAAATCCCACGCTTCCACCGTCAACGAACACGGCTACCCGCGCGGCCATCTGGGCCACCTCAGCGAGCACGAAGAGGCGCAGCTCGTCGCCTTCAAGGCGCTGCTCGAGGAGAAGACGCTGTATAAGCCAGGCCCGCCGGCGTCCCACGACGACCAGACACTGCTGTAAGTCTCATGTCGCCTTTTTGCGCCGCCGGATGTCTCGGGATTCGCGAAGCTGACTTTCTTTTCCCCCTTCTCTCCAAAAAGGCGATACCTGAGAGCCCGCAGCTGGGTCCCCGCCGACGCGCTCACGCAGTTCAAGGACACGGAGGAGTGGCGCGCCGCCAGCGACATCGACACCCTCTACAAGACCATCGAGCTCGAGGCCTACGAGCAGAGCCGCCGCCTGTACCCGCAATGGACCGGCCGCCGCGACCGCCGCGGCATCCCGCTGTACCTCTTCGAGATCAAGCACCTCGACACCAAGGCCATCGCCGCCTACGAGAAGTCCGGCAAGGAAACGTTCAGCAAGGCCAAGTGGGACGGCAAGACCCCGCAGGGCCTGCTGAGGCTGTTCGCGCTCTACGAGAACCTGACCCGGTTCAACCAGCCCTTCTCCACGCAGCTGCAGGACCGCGAGTTCAACGACACGCCCATCACGCTGAGCACCAACATCGTCGACATCTCCGGCGTCAGCCTGAAGCAGTTCTGGAACTTGAAGGGGCACATGCAGGCGGCCAGTCAGATTGCGACGGCGCACTACCCCGAGACCCTTGACCGTAAGACAGACTCCCGGCCTCAAAGCAGATCGCAGAGTGTAGCTAACACCAGCCAGGAATCTTCATCATCGGCGCCCCCGTCTTCTTCTCCACCGTTTGGGGCTGGATCAAGCGCTGGTTCGACCCCATCACCGTCTCCAAGATCTTCATCCTCAGCCCGCACGAGGTGCAGCCGACGCTCGAGCAGTTCATCGAGCCCCGCAACATCCCCAAGAAGTACGGCGGCGAGCTCGACTTCACCTGGGGCGACCAGCCCACCGTCGACCCCGCCTGGGACGGCGTCGTCAAGTGGGAGAACGGCCACTCCGCCTTCACCGGCCGCCCGGCCGTCTGGCGCGTCACCGAGGACGGCACCCGCGTCGAGTGCTTCGGCATCGGCAGCGTCAACGGCAAGGAGCAGAACGAGCTCATCGCCTCCGTGCCCCGCACCTGGCCGCCCGCCAAGGCCGAGAAGACCAACGGCAGCGCGACCGAAGCCGTGACGGAGAAGGACGCCGCCGTGACCGAGGGCACCCAGACGGAGCCCGTCAAGGTCATCGAGCCCGCCGAAGACCTGTCCAAGCTTTCCATCTCCGACACCAAGGAGATCACAGAGAAGCACACCAACGGCAGCACGACCGCTCCCGCCGGATTGGCATAGATGTTGTTTTTTCAAGATACTTAGAGCATAGAAAGAGGAGGTTTGCATTCTGGCATGACGGGTTTTTTTGTTTGCTGCTTGTGGGATTTGGGCACGGATTTATATATACCCCCGAGGGTTTCGATGTTCCTAATAGTATGGTTGAAGGCAACATGGTCTGGAGTTATAGTAAACAATCGAAGCATTTTTTCCATTTCATCATATGTTCTTCGTCTAAAGGAAATTGTTGGTATCAAGACGTCGCATCGTCCCATCTATACAAAAGACCCTGCGATCAGATTTAGGTTTAATCATCCCGTCCCGTCGTGCATTGCGTCACGGCAGTCAGCCCCGAGCCCGTGGGTTCGGGCTCCTCAAAGTTTTGCCGCCGAGCGCCAAATCGAAGCCTCTACGTCCCTTTCTATCCCGCCGCCGCGCCAGTTCTCTACCCCGTGTATCCCCTCCTCTTGCGCCACTCCGCAACACCCTTCTCAATCTCCGCCCACGACGTGCCGTCTCTCACCAGGTGCATTGTGACCCCCAAACTCTCCGTATCGCGGTTCCGACTCTCGTCGTCAAAGAACAACATCTCCGTAAACGGGATCCCCGTCTTCCGCCCGATGCTCTCGAAGTGCCGAATCTTGCTACTCGGATAAATCTCCAGCCCGCCGTCGAAGAACTCCAGCGCCCTCCTCGTCTTCTCCTTCTTCCCTCCCCCTCCGCCTCCACCCCCGCTCCCGCCCTCCTCTAAACTCGGCGGCGGCACGTGCAGCAGCTTCAGCATGTCGCGCGCGAGCTCGGGCGCGCTGGTGCGCGAGGCGACGGCGAGCTTGACGCCGGCGAGGGGCAGGGTGTAGAGGATGCGGGGCACCTCGTGGTAGAAGCCGAAGGACTCGCCGTGGCGGTCGGTCGCGGCGGAGTGGGCGGCGTTGGCCTTGAGGGGGCCCGAGACGTGGGTGTCGACCCAGAAGGGCCAGAGGGTGTAGTCGAGGTCGAAGACGATGAGCTTCGGCAGCGGGAGGTCGTCGGTCAGGACGCGCGGGAGGGAGAGGGAGTTCGTCGTCGAGGTCGAGGCCGTCGCGAGGGTCGAGGTGCTGCCCGGCTGCGGGGCCTTGGAGAGTTTCTTGGGCATTTTCTGTTTTTCTCTTTTGTCTTCTTTGGTGAGATGCGTGTGGTAAAGTGACAAAGGACTAGTCGTCGGTTTTTGAGAGTAGAAAGAGGGAAACGTCGTCCTCTGGAAAGGCCGAGCGCGGGGTTGACGGATTGGAAATGAAATGTTTGGAGGGGCAGATTGCGATGAGTTGCGATCGCAGGCGGCGAGTTTCGTCACTGGGCGGCGTCGGACTCAGAGCTAGCGCACTGGCCATCGGCGGGACGGGACCTGCTTTACTATTGCTGTTCCATGGGGACTGAACTCTCCTCTCCAACAATCAGATGGAAAATGAAAAGACTGGACGGGGAAAAAAGTCACAGACGCAATTACAACTTGAAAAATGCTCTATCAAATGTTGACATCGCGGCAGGTCTCATGACGGGCAAAAATGTCAAAAGATATCGACGTTGGCCTGATTCGAACAGACGCTCCCGAAGGAACAAGATTTCTAGTCTTGCGCATTAGACCACTCTGCCACAACGCCAGATACTCATGACCTTCAATTTGCTACACAAGAAGGGTAGCGCCAGAGTCGTCCTGGAGCTGCCATCTCGGACAGAACCATCAGCGTACTCAGGCATCTTCACTTTCTATTTCCTTCCTCAGAGTGCAAAGGGATCATATTCAGGATCCATCATCGCCCTTTGCACTACTCTCCTCCTGACTCCCTGGTTACCGCCGTCAAAGATGGGCAAAACAGCAGCCTCCTGCACCAACCTTGCAAACGGATACTCGCTCGACCAAGACGCTCTGTATTCATGTCAGTCAGAGGCTCCTTCCAAGCTCGAATTCAAACACGACACTCACATGCCAATAACCCTCATCGCCTCCGCAACACCCTCGACCGCCGCTTCAGATCCATAGATCTTCGCCTGCGAGCACAACTCAACGGCGTTCCTCGCGCCCGTGTCGATCGCATGCGCCGCCCTCCAGCTGAGCAGCTGCGCCGTGTCAATCCTGGTCTTGAGCGAAATCAGCAGGTCCGCAGCCGACTGCCTCTCGATGACCCTGACGCTGCCGCCCTGGTCCTTCTCTCTTGCGAACTTGAGCGCTGCCTGGAACGCGGTGCGCATGATTCCCGCACCCATCGCGCCGACCATCGCGCCCGTCGCCGCGAAAGCCATCTCGACGATCTGCACCGCCGCGTCGGCCGTGGCGACGACGTACTTCTCAGGGACGCGGAGGTTCTTGAAGGCGACGTGCGGGCCGCAGTGCGCCGTAAATCCTGGTGTCTCCTGGTACGCCAGGACGCGGAAAGCGCCGGTGTCGTTCTCGTCGAGCACGGCGCGGGGCACGGCGAGGAGCATCGCCGAATCTACGGGGTCGTCGGTGGTGATTCCGACGTCGCGGCAGAATATGGTCTGCACATCGGCCCCGCGCCCGTCCCACCCAGCGCCGTTCCCAGCCCAGATCTTCTCGCCATTCAATACCCAGCTCTCCCCGTCCTTCCGCGCCGTCGTCTGAATCCCCCTCCCTCCCTTCTCGAGGAAATTCGCGGTACCCGTCGGCTCAGACCACTGAAACGCCGCCAGCGGACTCCCCTCGCCCGTCAGAAACGGCGCGACCAGCTCCCTCTTCAGCGCCTCGTCCGCGGGCGAGAAGACGAGGGGCATCAGGCCCAGGCTGTCCGTGAGCAAGTTCAGCGCGACGCCGGGCTCCACGGCGAACAGCTCCTCGGTCACGAGCGCGGACTCGAGGAGCGTGCCGCCCGTGCCGCCGAGATGGGGCGGGACCAGGGACTTGACGATGCCGGCGCGGACGGCGGTCTCGAAGAGGGGCTTGGTGGAGAGGAAGCGCGAGACGCCGTCGTTGGGGAGTTTGGTGTAGGATTCGTACGCGCCGCGGAGCAGCTGCGAGGCGAAGGCGGCTGCGTTCTTGCGGGCGGCGAGTTGGGATTCGGAGAGTGTGAAGTCGATCATTGTTGTTTTGTGTGTGGTTGCGAGGACGAAGACGGAAGGCGGGGCGGTTCAATCGACCTCATGGGACATCTTCCCGTATGAGCAGCCTGGTTATCCCCCTCCGCGCTGACCATGTCTGAAGATCGCCGGCTGAGTAGGAATGTGCTGCAGTCAGCATGGTATCCCAAAAGGTGGTAGCGCAGGTAATGCAGCTCAATTTCGGGATGAGCATGCGTCTCCGATATTGGAGTTGACTGCCGCCGGTCGCTGTCCTGGCCTCATAGGTCCGACTTGGGCCCGTCGCGGGGATGGCCATCTCACGAATTTCTGCTTTTGAGAGGCTATCGTCAAACACACCAGGCGACTCGAGCGTAAGCACGTAAGCATTTGTGTCTTTCTGCATTGAACATGGATGAACGTCAGCTATGTGATTGTTTTCAGCCAATAGATGGGTCCAGAGATTCTGCGTGTTTGCAAGACCGGAAAACCAAGGAGGCAGCTGTCATGTTTGCATTGTAATACTTGGCGGCCAGGAGAGGGAAACAGTTCGTAGGTGGAAAGATCGAAGTCTGATAAGGCGATAGAATGAGGCGATAGCTCTGCTAGTTCTCTTCTTTGAGCAGTCTTTACAATAAAATCCTGGTGGGAGAAGTTGAGCTTGGAGGTGTGAGCCTGTGGCTTCCGTGTGCCCGTTGTAGAGAGCCGGGTCGATCGGGATCGGCACGCTGCCGACCGAGGTGTGTGCTGAGTAGAGAGCGCGCTGTTACCATCAGAAAACTCCCTCCATCAAATCACCGATACTTGGCGCAACACAATTGCTCTTGTGAGTAGTTGTCAATGATATTCTGGTACATTCGCGATGACTAGCTGTTGCCGGCATTCCACCGGAACGCCGCCGGTATTCCGGAGCCCTCCAGACCCACTTCGGCCTCGGTCCACCTGCAGGCGGGCCGTCGGCGGACCCCGGTCAACAATCGCATCGGTTTCTACTCTATGGACGATACGGCGGCTGATGGTCGTAGTCACAACTGAACGAAACCTAGTCGGTTGACCGAGGTAAATGAATATGTCTAGAATACCCTCAGGCGCCTGAAGCCGACCTGAACATCGCGCAATCGTAGTCATCGCCATACAGGATGTATCGGTCCCGAAACATGGGCTATCGAAATGTCCAAAGCCGACTACCATCAACTATCACAAGGCGAACCTTGTGTGTCGCATCACGCCGGAAGCTACTTTTTGATCCCGAAAGCTATGGCCACACGTCAGAACAAACACAGTTTGCCCAGCTAAATCCGTAATTCCGCACCTCAAGGAGCTTGTGATGTCACCGGGAACTTCGACCGGCAATTCTTATGACACAAACGGCAGACACTCTCAAGACAACATTTGTCGCCATTCTATGGTAGAATCAAGCAGTACACACGTTTATCCCTCGGCCACCTCGGAAACCTGGGCAACGCCTCAGGGCTGAACCTCTGAAAATGTCCGTCCCCGACGCCACGCGCAGCGTCTGAGTTTCGGCACACACGCGCCAGTCTGAAGTCAACGCCAACGCCACTAACGCCGAGAAACAAGGGACTTCGCGACGCGCCCCGTCCGCCGGACTGTTCGACCGCCCAAGCCTCAAGTACCGAGCTGTGCGTGACGTCCGGGGAACCGTGGTGGGGTAGTGCGGGGGAATTAAACTGGCTGATGTCTCCCCTCCAACGGCTTTTGCGAAAAACAGTTGGACCGGTCGGTTGATATAAGAAGATTCCGAAACTCCAACCTTTTGTCGCACGTAGCCTGACGTATTTCGACTCTTCGCGTTCTCAACTGTCCCCGAGTCGACCCAGCTCAACATCTGTCAGAGGCGAACTTCCAACTAGTTTACTACCCGACCACCGTCATCATGTCACGCCAAATCCAGCTCGTGCGCCTCGCCCACGTCTTCTACAAACACAAGAACATCGACGCTGCCCGCAAGTTCTACGACGACTTCGGCTTCTACGAGACGGAGCGCGCGGGGAACAGGACGTACTACCGCGGCTATGGCTCCGAGCCGTTCGTCATCTGCGCGGAGGAGGCCGCGGAGGACGAGTTCGGAGGTCCGGCGTTCGTCGTCGAGTCGCTCGACGATCTCGAGTACGCCTCCAAGACGCTGCCGAGCGCGACCGAGATTTACGAGCTGAAGGACGTTCCCGGGGGCGGCAAGTGTGTGACTTTCAAGGACCCGGTCGACGGGTGGTCGTTCCACCTGGTGTACGGGCAGACGCCCGTGGAGAGGAGGGATCCTGGGTTCCCGAATCTGAAGTTCAACTTTGTGAGTTTTGAGCGATGGGGAGGTGTGTTAGGGTGAGATTGCTGACGGGTTGTTGATGGACCAGCCCACGGAGAAGCACCGCGAGGTCAACCACAAGCAGCGCTTCACGAAACGGCCTGCGCCAGTACACAAGCTCGGTCACTTCGGCGTGTGTCTCACCAACTTCGACAAGGCGTACGAGTTCTACACGAAGAACTTCAACTTCTTCCCCAGCGAGGTAGGTTCCACGCTCAACCAGCACGACCACGGTCAACTCGACTTACACTGCCATAGCTCGTCCACGCCCCCGACAACAAGGACAAGAAGGTGACCGTCTTCTTCCGTCTGGGTCGCGGCAAGGACTACGTCGACCACCACTGCTTCTTCTTCTTCGAGGGACCCAAGTTCCACGTCCACCACTCGTCGTTCGAGACGCACGACTTCGACGCGCAGGTGCTCGGTCACGACTGGCTGAGGCACCAGGGCCACAAGAACTGCTGGGGAGTGGGCAGGCACATCATGGGCAGCCAGATCTTCGACTACTGGTAAGTGTTTCGTGCAAAAAGCCGTGGTGGAGCGGTTTGTGCTAATACGCCACAGGTTTGATCCTTCTGGCTTCATCATGGAGCACTACGTCGACGGCGACTTGCTCGACGATTCGGAGCCGACGCATCATAACCCTGCGTCGCCGGATAACCTCCATGTCTGGGGTGAGTTGACGCGATCTCGCTTGCTGAGACTTTTCTGACTTTTCCACTTAGGACCCGAGGTGCCTTCTGATTTCTTGCAGTGATGCCCGCCGTCTGCTTGACGGTTCATGAGCTACAGCGTAAACTGGTGAAGACTGATTTGGAGAAGAGTGAGACGGAGTTCACAAAGGATACGATAGTACATAATTGACACACATACAAATCACCCTTGGCCTGGCTTTCTTGCAAACCAGTGAAATGTCGGTGACGATTCAATCGCCCCACTCACTCACATGGGCGGCGATAGCGTTCGGAAGCCGTTTTCATGTGTGCGCGCCTCCTGTTGTCGACCGAAGATGAGATGAAGATGAGACGAGTTCATCAGTCCTCACGTGAAGTTTCGCTGGTCGAGGTACTTGTAGCGAGGCAAACCCTTATGGGGCCAAGCAACCACAAGGTAAACAAAATCATTACTATACGCAGTACTATACGCAGTACTGAAGTTTCGCTGGTCTTCTGGTCGCACGATGCTTCATCTTAATGAACCCGATTCGTGAATGAACTGACCTGGAAAAAATATAGGCCCTCACGATATTGGTTCCCTCTCCATGACCCCGTTCAATACATCAATGTCACTATGACAGCTCAGCGAATCGGCTCGCACCTCGACGTCACTGAAAGTGGCATATGAGACGAGCCTCAGCAGGGCTGGTGTGGCTCTGCCTGTTGCCATCCGTCGGTCGCGCGGAGCATTGGGCAGAGGCTGAGCCCGAGAGAGTGGGCGATTCGGGGATGCCGTGGTTTCAGGAAGCTCTCGATTGTTGGTCGCGAGCCTGCGCAACCGCAGCGGATACTCGACTTCAGTTTTCGGACGACGAGATGACGGCGAGGACCGACTTCAGTGTGAATGAGGTAAAAAAAGGACCATGGGAGGAGCCTCTTCAGCCTTGAAGTCCTCGTCGAAATACGACATGACGCGTGTAAATTGATTGCCGATAACCGTGAGAAGAAACTAGAGCTGTCAGCTCACCGATGGGCAATTTAAAGTCGTGGACCTTGCAGCGCTCGCTCTTTAGACTTTGCGATATTTCTCCCTCCCCGCGAGTCAATCACCATCGAAAAGACGACCACATGCCCAAACGGTGAACGGCGGGAAGGCAGAGACAAGGATTAAACACCCCGGAATCTCTGCACTGACGAGCATGAACGTCCTCCCTCATCCCTGCGGGCCGATGCAATGACACTGGACGGCAGCGGCCCTGGTCCCGGCCCTCCCGTCCATGGTCGCATTCTCCATCGGCACTGCCTCCCCCTTGCGGCATCGATGGCCGATATGCAATCTCCATCATTTCCAACCTCTCTGACCTTTGTGAGTCTTTTGGAGTCTTCTGCCCCCCAGCCAAGCCCCACGTGTAAATAGCTTCAGCGAATGACGTGAGGCGGCGGGGGTTCAAACAGGAAGCTCCAAGAGAGAGCGCATGTCAGCTTTCTTCGGTTCGTTCGGTCGCGCTTTTGGGGTTAGGTTTCATTGAATCAGGGGCGCCGCAATGAGCACGACGTCTATTGGGTGCGGGGATATTGACAAGATCCAAGAACCGTTGACGCTAATCTTGGAGTATTGGACCGAAGTCGACGATCATTTGGCCCGCATGCAGATGTTGGACGACGATTGAGTCCTGACAGGGCAGAGGAGGAGGGATTACCGATGGGATAGCTCCGGCTGAGGCACGTGTCAGTTATGGTTCGTGGATGAGCTTCTGGCCGACAGGGTGTGACCGTTTGGTTTCTCGTTTACTTAAACTCGGCCGATCGCCGGGAAACTTCTCACAAACGGTCTTGTTTCCTCACGCCTCAAGCCTCAGACCTCGCCTCCGATTACAATCGAGCTCTCCTCGCCCGCTTCATCGTCACTCTTTCAAGATGCGCGCCTCTACCACCTTCGCCCTGCTCGCGCAGGCCCTCGCCGTCCAGAGCATCCGCATCATTCAATCCAACGATGATGGCTGGGCCGAGCTCTACGCTCGCTCCTTCAACGACGCCATGAAGGCTTCCGGCCACGACGTCCTCCTCTCCGCCCCGGCCGAGAACAAGTCCGGCTCCGGTAAGTCCTCATCTAATCGACTTACCAAAGAATCAAGTCGCTAATCCTTGACCCAGGCTCCCGCGACGAGGAACCCGCCGCCCGCACCGCCGCCTGCCAGTACGACAGCTGCCCGGCCAACAGCGGCCCCGTCGGCGTCAACGAGACGCGGACCGACCTGCGCTGGGTCAACTCGTACCCCGTGACCTCCATGCGCTACGGCATCGAGCAGTTCGCCGCCGAGCAGTGGAACGGCCAGGCGCCCGAGCTCGCCGTCTCGGGCCCCAACGTCGGCTCGAACCTCTGGCTCTCCGTCCTCGTCTCCGGCACCGTCGGCACCGCCGTCTACGCCTCGGGCACCAAGGGCATCCCGGCCATCGCCTTCTCGGGCGCCTCCTCCGGCACCCTCGCGTGGAACACGACCCCCGTCCCGGCCCGCAGCGCCGTCTACGGCGAGCTCGCGAACCGCCTCGTCTCCAAGATCGTCAGCGGCGGCGCGCCCTACCTCCCCGAGAAGGTCTGGCTCAACGTCAACTTCCCCGAGGTCACGGACACCAAGTGCAACAACCCCGACGAGTTCAAGTGGGTGCTGAGCAGGATCAACCCCGCCATCTTCTCCGGCCCCGACGTCAGCACTTGCGGAGCCAAGGAGAGACTCCCCGAGGAGAACAAGGTCGTCGGTACTTCTTCCGGATGCTACATCTCCATCAGCGTCGGCGACTCGAATGACAAGACGACTGCCCCCAAGGAGAAGCAGCAGCCCGTTCTCGACAGGCTTGGAAGCTTCCTGTCCTGCTTGCCGTAAGCGCTGTGTGCATCGCACAAGGTGGCAGAGGCTCAGGGCAGAGGTGGATCATATGATTAACAACCTAATAATGAGAGATGAACAATTATATTTGCTTGCTTATGTCCAGTTTCTGCAACTGCCTGTGAATTTGCCTCGACTTGCGCACCAAGCTTACTGCCGTCAACGCTTTCATTCATGTTACATTGAGGCATTGACGCTCAGCAATCCAAGTTCTATAAAGCTCCTCCAACCCTTCGATTCCCCTCGGAAGCTCTAGACAACAAGCATCAAAGTCTCGAATCTCCTTAGTACCATAGACCTCTGGCTGCTCAGCCACGGACGAGGACGTCTCTGCGCAGTTCCCGGGCTGTTTGCGGCGCAAGTGACTCCGTAGCGCCTCTAGAAGCGCCATGGATTTCATGCTCCCGGGATCATCATCAAAAATCATCTGCAACTCTCTCGCACCCGGTTCGTTCACGTCGCGGACCTGCATGTCTGGCAAAGACCCGTTTTCCGCCGTCGAGTGTCCAAACCGAACCTGCGGCCACTGCAAACATCCAAACGACTCTAGAATGTCGGTGAAAAGCAGATTTCTCTCGACGAAAGAGGCATCGCCTGTGTACAGGTAAGCCCATTGCAACTTTCTGAGAAAGAAGTCGATGGTTGTCTGGACGCCGTGCCAGGACCACACTCTTGTCGTGTCGACGCCGTGGTTTATAAGAAACTCAACCTTGGCGCGGAAAAGACTTGGAACCTCTTCATCCACAGCACTATGCCACACCTGGCCGACGACCTGCGGGCTGTTGTCAACGCCTGCATTGACGCTGGCGTCTGCGTTGATGTTGGCGCCGGCTGTGAGAAGAAAGTCCATCAGCTCGATCGAGTGAGCGTCCGCGCTGGCTGCTTCGACGAGAGCAATGTCTAACTCCCTCTGATACTCATCACGGCTGACCTCAGGATTCTTTAAGCGGTTTTGGTCCAAGTCCTTCCTCAACTGACGCAGGATCTTCTCCATCGCTCGCTTCTTCAGCCGCCAATACTCGGTCTCGGAATTATAGGGCTTGACAGGGATAGATCTGTACCAGAATGTGAGGTGATAACGGCTTCGTGCGGCTATGGCGAGAGAGCCGAGATGGAGACGAGATTGCCCTTTCAGCCAATCCACCGTCTCATCACAGCGGGGACATTGTCGCGAGCCGGCGCTGTATAGCACTTCCGCACCCGCGTCAAGGAGGATATTGGCAATTCTGAAGCTGCCGGCTTTCAAGGCCTCGAGGAGACACACGTTGAGGTCATGGGCACGGAAGACCCATCGCGATGTTATCTGATGGGCGAGAACCCGTTCAAAAATGTCGCCTCTGTCGCGTTTGGTGGCCCAGTCCCAGCAGGCTTTCTCTTGGAGGGCTCTTCGATGAAGGATGGGGTTGGCGATTGTTTTCAGGTGACGACATGTACGAGCGATGCTGTTCAGGGTCGATACGGTATCTGAAGCCTGCACGACGGCCTCAAGAACCTCGACGGGGAGGTTGAGTAGCAACAACATTTCAGCGTAGTCAGGAAACAGGATGGCAGTACGTGTGGTCCCTCCGCATGTTGGTGGAAGTCGGTGATGCTTTTTCTTCTTCTTTTTGTACACCTTACTCTTTAAACCGGACTACATTAGAGGTTCGCTCAGACTTCCTCATGACTGCAAAGTTTCTCTCTAACACTGAACAAATCCCTTTGTTCTCATGAGATCGATTCTGTTTTCTTGGACTTGGCCTGTTCAGACAACAGGTTGAGAGCTTGGCCTCCTTTGTCTGAAAACTTACGCGTCTACCTTTTTAGGTTTCCGCGGGTAAAGTTTGAACAGGGCGAGGAACCCTTTGAGAGCTGAACAATTCTTCATCTGACATCGGGCGTTTTTGAAAAAGCTTGAAAGATACGGTCAGAGTCCACAGTTGTGGGATCCTCTCACCTCAACGGACATCCGGACTAGCATTTACGAAAGCTTACATGTCAAGCTGCTCCAACGACCATAATTGTGGTGGAAGATTTTTTCGGGCACACAATGGACTGTATGTTCAACTTTCCAACAATACGGGCCTGCGGGAGAGGCCAACCGGATTGGTAGTAATTACCGTGGAATGATGTTCAATTTGAGGCTTTGAGTCGAAAGCAATACAGCAAAAAATAAGAGAGCTTGAAACCAGCCAAGTAGTTCTCGTATTACGACGGCCGCCTCTAAGTTGCGGTATGATCCACCTGCCGCCAAGGTAGACTGAAGAAGAACTCTACTGCATCCGTTGCACGTGATTAACCCCTTACAAACTGCGAAAACCTGAACCGCCGAGTACAAAATGTCATGAAAAATAAAAACGCTGAGAAGTGAACCTGTTCTAGGCCCATTCGTCCAGGTCAGTCTGCATTGCCCGTCGTAAGAAGTCATAGTTCAAAACGGACTCCCTGATCTTCGCTGCCTCATCATGCCGGCCTCCTTGAGCCAGTATACGCCCCAAAACGAGACGATCTTGCAGCAAATTGCTGGCAAAAATGGGTTTGTTTGCATCGCTGTCCTTCTTCTGAAGGGCGCACTCGTTCGCTCTGATCGACTCTTTCAGATACGCAATGCGGGATCCTGCGTCTCCTGCAGATTCGAAAAGATACCAATGCGCCACTGCGTAGAGCTGCAGCTCTCGAGAAGTCAAAGTGTCGAAGCAGCTGTGCGGCCTCGTCGTCATTCTACGAATAAACCGCTCGCAAAGACCAGGGAAGGCTGTCGAAGATATCCCCAATACATGTACAGCGTCCATGAGGTGAAATTCAATCTCCATGGCTTCTTCCGATGCAGATCCAAAATGAGATATCGCCTCATTCAACATCTTCTCAACCCTCTGAATCGTGGAGTGGCGTCGACTATCGTTCCTTTGGCTCCCAAGACGCAGAGCTTCAACGTAGGCTTTACTCGTGCTGAAGTCGTTCTCGCCTCGTAACTGCGCATAGATATCGCTGACTATGACCTGCATCTGTGCTAGGTAATGTTGAAGACCTCGAAGCCCTCTCAAGCTTATCTGATACATAGTGTTTGCTATGCGCGTCAGAGGTTGCCCGGGTTTCTTGATTTCTAGGATGCCAGAGACATGACGAAGGTACGTCTGCAACTCTTTCTCTTTGCTTCCCGAAACCAAACAGTGAGGAATATCCAGTAGCAGAGATTGGTAAATTTTAACGGCTGTTTCTTCGACAGCCAGCTCTAAATCCCGAAAGGCCTGGCGCAGTATTACACCTCCCTTGATGAAATTGCATGTTTCAAAGAGATAAAGGGCAAGGTAAACCTGTCTCGAAAGGTGATCTGCAGCCTTTGGAAGTCGACTGAATCTGCGTATTCGGCTCCAATCAGGGTCCTGCTCAGAAGATGCGTTGATGAGGTCTCCAAGATTGATGAAAAGCCCTTCGCTCTGTTGATAATCCTGACAGCCGTAGGCTAGATTGATCAGAAAGTTCCGCTGTCTCCGTAGTTGTAGTTGTGCTTCATGACAGACCGATTTCATCTCCGCGTGATGATGTTTCCGGAATGGTCTTCTGCAGGTCGCTGTCCCGTGCGACATCTCGATGTTCTCGCCATCGAGGCGACTTTTTCGAAGTCCTTTGGAGTCGTATTTTCTCCAGTTCCATCTAGAGAACTGTCGCTTATACATCCTCTCCCTGGCAATGCAAGTTTCAGTAACCTGAATGTGGTTATCTGTTGTTTTGGTCTTGGATACTCACGTTGCGAAGAACGAATGCCTTTCCGCCATAGTTTCTATGGTTGCCTTGAGTGGAAGATTCTGCTCAAGATACAAGCCTCGGATGTTGTCTTTCATGGTCTCCCAATCCATCCGAGTTTCAGGGCGTTGTGCTACATTGATGGCCTCAGCAGACTTCTCGGGGCACGTCGACAAGACGTTCAAGAGTCCATGTAAAGTGTGTAGTGATGAATAAATCAATCCCTTGGGGGAAGCCGCGTCATGATCCCTCACTGTAGGCACTGCCGGAAAGATCTGCCTTGCGTTGTGAATTGTATGTGGTTGAGAAGCCATGGCCCTTAGGAAGAAAGGTCTTCGAGCCCATATGCTGGCCGACTGTTATTGCCCCAAATCCTTCATGTGAGTACTGTGGCCTGAAGGTTTGATGTAAATGGGAATTTGTCCTGGGGTGATGTGTTCCGCAGGAAGTAGGTAAATTTTAATGAAGGCCAAGGCCGAAAAAATGCACATCTCGCTGACATGATTGTACAAACCGGCCAACGAATACAATTCTTGTCTCGCAATGTAAGGGCTTTTTAGCTGTTTGCAGGTGCCCAATGAGCGTTATTCAGTGCTTACCATTTCCACTGCCGACTTCGTCATCCTGCATGAAGCAAGTCTGGCGAACACCCAGTAAGATGCTTGACATAGCCATTTGCCCAATCATTTCTCTTCTTTACGATCAGATGTGCTCAATATCCAGAGGAAGCACTCGCTGATTTACATGAATTCTCACTTTTCAATCTCACTCGAGTATTTCCACTGGTACCAGCATCGGTCGCGCAAGCCACATTAAGTCTGATTCGGTCAGTCCAGCAATTCGCGAACTACATCAGATTCGACCACATTGGAAGGGTACGTGTACACCGGCGCTGGAGCCCAGTTTATTGTAGAGAAAGAATCGCCCAGGCCGAAATAGGAAGTACCATGCAAAACGCAACTCAGAATTCACGTACTGAAGTCAGGTTAGTAAACGTTACGGGACTGTCTTTCGCCAAAACGTGTCAACGTGTCATCGTGCCTTCCGCCCACACTTCCTATCGTGCAAGCCCTGTTGTACTCTCTTGCACCGTCTGTTGCAAATTTGGTGAGTCAGCTGTAATCTCTGCGCCTGCGTCGCGAGCCTCTTTGTCTCCTCAGATTTTCACTCAGTTTCCCTTCAATCTCGGACGACTGAGTAGCGCTATAGTCGAGTACCGGATCTTATCCTGGCCCTCAACTTTGCTCGCAGCATACTCAGTTGCCCGGATTGCCATCTTCAACCATTGGATAGCTGACACGATATCCTCAAATGCCTCTTAGCCATAGATTCTCAACGACCAACTATTCCATTCGGCCAAAGGCTCGTGCTTTTTCAACCTCAACCGACACAGGTTTCTTGGGCACAGAGCCTTCACAAAAGCTTCTCCAGATTCCACCAAGAAAAAGCAACATTCGGTATTCTAGTAACCTGACCCATAGAGCTAATTTACCACATCTACAAATGCAACTTTGAACAAAATGTGACACTCATGGTTGAACATCTTTCCACACGAGTACGTGGACGAAGTAGCATGAAATGCTAGAGAAATGAGATCGACTTCGATTGCAGTTGGGAAATTCAGGCCCCACCCGCCCAGGCTGCCAGACCTGAAGCAATGACTTGGGTAGGAATTTTGGTTGCAGAATGCAAAATCCTTCAGGATTGGGGGCCAACCAGCAATGAACCAACTCACGGCTGCCTAGAACATACCTAGCACAGGTGGGTGGTAATTAACTCAGGTGGAGTTTCACTCGGCCAACCAACCGGCCGGCAGTGAAGGCCTCAAAATCTCATTTTCGAGTCTGGTGGGTTTGTGAAGATGTCTCTGAAAAAGCTCTGATTGATTCACAGCAGAATAACCCGAGGGGTAGATGCGCTCTAAGCCAGTGCAGTGACAGGTGAATCGAGAGAACACCTCTTGCCTGGCGAGGTTGACTGAAATGTCACATGAGAATTCTGAATTTATTATTGCAACTCGAGGAACACCACAATCAAGTCGATCTTGATGATACAGTGTATTTGATCGAGGTTTTCCCATTCCTTTTTTTCTGGTGTACTGAGAAAATAGTGAAGAATGGCTTGCGGTATGCCTTACTTGGCTGTCCGTCGGCAAAACTTGTCGGTTCCGTACAGACGCCGCATACTTACAGCAATACTGATGCATATCTGTTCACCTCTACGCCACAATTACTTGATTTCAGAATATTTTCTTACTTCATCTCTGTGTAATGATTGCTACTGAGATGTCAACACAACCAATGAGAGGGGATGCGTCGGGCAAAACCTTGCCCGGAAATAGATTTCCTCAAGTGCTTGGTCGTTGCTACACTAGACCTGTGGCCTTGAGACCCATTAAGCTTGAGCTTGATATGAGTGAGACTGAGACATAAATTCACAGACAAAATTTGATATTCAATACATGTACATGTAACACTATTGGTAAGAGGTTAGACGACTCTCTTTTTCATCATCTTTCGTGCTACGAATCAAGGCGCCCTGAAAACTGCGAGCTCATCTGTTAATGATCCAACCGGGTGGTTTCTTCTGCAACTCTCCGAGGCTCTTCGGTACCTGCGCAGCCGTGGATAAGTCGAACTTGTGTCGAAGTTTGTGTCCATGTTACCATACATCTACCCGGCTTCCGCGGAAAGGACGCCAAGTCTTCTGAAATGCAAAAGTTGTCGTTCTGTAACTCGTATTACTCCGTCTCATCAGACTAGCAATGAAGGTTTTGGCTATTCAATGAATTGGTACCCCTGCTCAGCTGATCTCTTTCTGGAGCTTCCTAAGGAGGCAAGCGGTGAATCAAATAGTCGCTCAATTACCCGGGTTACACGAGAACATAGTCTTGCATCACAAGAATTTTTGATGCTGAAGCAATAGACGTCTCTGCCAACGGCTCTTTGGCCGTTTTGACATACTTGTCACCGACTCACGCATATGAGTGGCGGTCTCCAAAAAACCCAACTAATGTTGCGATTCGCGTTTCTCGGTGTTTTCGTCTTGTCTTGGTGCTCCACCTCTCTTGAATCATGGGAGATTACTGAACAAACATTCAATACGAGTGACACCTACATGCAACTACACTGTATTTATGAGGAAACCGCGTCCGCTTACTCATCTTATCGCGAGAAAAACAAAAGAGGGCTGGCACTTGTTCCCATTCCATCGCGAACTGAAACGCGTCAGCCAACACGCACTCCACAGGGATTCCACAAATGTTTCCACCCGACATGCAGGTCAAGTATTCGTCACCCTTGGCAAAAGCTTCTATTGGCCCTTCCAACTCCGCTCAACGGCCTGCCGCCGGCTCAAAGCCGGCGACCGGAAAGGGGCGCATTACGATCGCAACGAAGATCACTCCACCTCTCCCGTGCCGGCGCAAAAAACAAGAGTCTGCCCAGCCGGCTGTTTTTCTGCTCGCGGCCTTCGCTGGGTTGGTTTGGTGTGCCTTGTTGATAGCGCGATGCCACGACGACGCGGCCTGGTGCAGGCCACCTGATACAATACCATTCGCGTCTACGGATGAGTGTCTGGCAATAAGTTGCAACTTCATCCTTCGGGTTTCAGCCGGATGAGGACGCAGGACAGCGGAAACACCGGGAACGCCCTCTTCACGGAGGACTTCTCTGGAAATTGAGATTTTCCTCAGAATGGAACAGATCTTCCCAGCATGAACCGAGAAGAGAAAAAGCAATCCTTCTCGTGAAGTCCTCACTACTATTTTTGGACCAACCGCATCCTCCAAAAGCCTGGCAGCAACCAACGGTCACAATGAACCATCCCCTTTTCCCCTTTCCCATTGCATGCAACATGGCGGATTTCCGATTCAAGAACGTCCGAATAACAGGGTTGGCAAGCCTCCAACAATGGAGCGCGGTTACCCTCTCACAAGATGCAACTTGAGTATCAGCCTGTTGGATTCTTGTTCGCGGGCATTAAACTGGGTAGCAAACGTCAGCGGTGGAGAGTCCGAAATTTGGACCCGCGTCTGCACAGCCCCTCGATCGTTTGTGTATGTGCCCTTTTAACCACGGTGAATTCTTCCGCCCGTCTTGGCCCGTCCCGACCGGCCTCTCTTCCGTTGTTCGTCGTCGTCGATGCCAAGATTTCCCCCGATTCAATAACGTCGTCGATTCACCCGGTCTAGCCTCCCGACTTCGCTTGGGAACAAGCCTTGACCGATCCTCTCAGATATTCGCCAATCGATCAAAATGAGGCCAGCATTATCGACTTTGACGGCGGGTTTGAGCTTGGCGACCGCAGTCAATGCTATTGATGTGACATGGACTGATAATGGTAAGTTTGGGTGGTTATCTGAGAGTATCTTCAGTCGACTGATGTTTGCCAGAGTCGATCAAGAGTGCGGCAAGCACAATCGCATATGGATTGGTAAAATACTACACCGGAAACAACACTGGTGATACGCCAGGAAACTTACCAGATCCTTACTACTGTAAGTGTTTATGACTTATGAGTTAACGCCTGCTAATGTCTTTTAGGGTGGGAGGCCGGTGCCATGTTCGGTTCGCTCATTGATTATTGGTGGCTCACCGGAGACGACTCATACAACACGATCACGACGCAAGCGATGCTGCACCAAGTCGGCGATGATAACGACTACATGCCCGAGAACCAAACACTGACAGAAGGAAACGACGACCAAGGCTTCTGGGCGATGGCCGCCATGCAGGCTGCAGAGTACAAATATCCTAACCCTCCATCGGATCAACCGCAATGGCTCGCCCTGGTCCAAGCAGTCTTCAACGAATACGTCTCCCGCTGGGACACACAACACTGCGGCGGCGGTGTACGATGGCAGATCTTCACGTGGAACGCCGGTTACGACTACAAGAACTCGATCTCGAATGGATGTTTTTTCAACGTCGCCGCACGCCTCGCTCGATACACCGGTAACACCACTTATTCGGATTGGGCGGCAAAGGTCTGGGACTGGCAAACGAACGTCGGCCTTCTCACGAGCGATCACCAAGTCTTGGACGGAGTGCATTTCGAGGGCTCGTGTCCCAGTTCTACGGATAAGACGACGTGGTCATACAACGCCGGTATCTTCCTTTACGGAGCGGCGGTTATGTACAACATCACCGAAGACGACGTATGGAAGACGCGCGTGGACGGAATGCTCGAAGACGTCACCTCGAAATTCGTCCAGAACGAGATCATCTACGAATCATACTGCGAACCGACGGCCCAATGCGACCAGAACGCCCAAAGTTTCAAGGGGTATCTTGCTCGATGGCTAGCCGGTACATCACAAGTAGCCACGCACACGGCCGACACGATCCAAAAGTTGCTGCTGTCTAGCGGGAAGAAGGCAGCGGCAGCCTGCTCGGGGTCTCCTGCTTCGGGCTTCAAAGGTCAAGCAGGCACAGCCTGCGGCTTCTCCTGGATCAACGACGGCTTCGACGGGCTGGTCGGTGTTGGCCCGCAAATGACCTCATTGCAGATGGTCATGTACAACCTCGTCCCGTCGGCGGATCCGCCTGTGACGGCGAATACCGGAGGAAACTCGACGGGAGATGTTAATGGAGGCAAGAGCGACGGTGGAGATGGGACTGGAAAGTCTACTCTACGAGAGATTACCACGGCAGATAAGGCTGGAGCTGCCATCTTGACTATTCTGGTCACGGGTAGTGTTGTTGGTGGAACAGTTTTCATGGTCATGTAGATTTTCATTCTGGTTGTAATTATAGGGTCATGGTGAGTGGCTTGGACATGTCACTACATGGAAATGGAGTTCACTTTGCGTTTTGATACCAAGCCAAAAGTAATGTTTTGCTCACTACAACGTTCACAAGCTGCAGCATGTTTCGCCTAATGTCGGTGCCTTCATGTCAGTCCTGATGCATATCACAATACTTTCTGTCATTCGAGGGCACTGGAACAAACCAAGGGTATTGAACGATCTCGCCAGGCTCTAACAAAATAACGGATAAAGCATAAGTCCAGAAACAATCAAGGTAGCAGCTCGACCACATCCCTCGGGCTGCTGATGAACTCTTGTGGAGGCCTAGAACCTTCAAAATATGCCGTAACCTCAGCTGCGCCTCCACCCTGACCATACTGGACGAGTAATCTTTCAAGTTCCGTTCGAAATCCAAGCGCCTTCCCGACATAGTAATTCCTCATGTATTTGTTCAGCGGCTGCATCTCGGCACCGGCACACTCCAAAGCCTCCGTGCACTCCCTCAGGTATTGAATCGCCGAGTCTACATTATCCGACTGCATCTGGTGCAAAAACATCAGGTATTTCGTTTCCCCATACTGTTCCAAGATCCAGGGATCGGGTTGGGTCAGAAGGAACATGGGATGGTCGTCTCCCACGAGGAACCGTTCCAGGAACTTCTCATAAGCCTTCATGGGGTCTAGCGGGACAGGCGCCACACGAGTTGTTGTTGCTATGCGACAGAACTCTCTCCCGATGGCCTCAGTAGGCGATTCTTTGGGCTGCGCGCGTGCCCTGCGCAGCATGACTGCGAAGCCATCCAGAGCCGACTCGTACCGTCGTATTACTGGGCCCTCGTGAGAGCCACGTAGAGATAAGGCGTCCATTCTCCCGTTCAGAATATCGAAATCGTTGTCTTCTCGGATGTCTTGGTAGTTTTCTTTGGTCAGCTCGTACAGCTTTCCGAGATGATGAAGCAGAGTCTCGGGGTTTTCCGTGCTTATTTGGTGAATCATCTTCGCCAAGTGGGCGATCGGGTGTGTTGACTTCCTCATCGAAAGTATGAGGGAGAGGTACTGTGCGAAGAATTGCATTTCCCTCGGCCTTTCGGTAGCCAACAGGTAGAACGGAATCTCCAGAATGAGTGATTGAAATACCATGATGCCATCCTTCTGCAAGATGTTGTCGACACTTCGGCAAGCCCTCTGGACTGCTACCATGCCGTTGTAGAGATCTCCGGCTTGAAACAGCCGTATTGAAAGCAGGAAAAAGGAGACCGAGTACGTGCCAGAAGAAGGCAAGCACAAGAGTTCTGCAGATCTAGAAGCCTCATTGTGTAACTGAGAAGTTCCGTCCAAGAGGTTCTGAAGGCCAGAGTAAAGCCCGTAGATCTGTTGATCGAGTTGATTGGCGTAAGTGAGGTCGACTCGGATGGTTGGAAACCGCTGTTGACGTTGTTGTAACTGGGTCAAAGCGGCTCTCCCGACCATGTCGGCCGGTCTTCTACATGTTTTCCCCCCAGAAGACCTGGAGACTTGTTCGCCTCTGAGTTGACTGCTCTTGAGTCCTTTGCTGTTGTATTTCTTCCATTTCCACTCTAGGAATCTTCGTTTGTACTGTCTCTCGCTGTAATCAACCAATGTTAGTCAAGATTTCTTCACTGCAACCAACACTAAAACATGTAGACTGAGCGCTAGGAAAAAGCAACAACTTACGTGGCAGAAAAGTTATGCTCTTCGCCCATAATCTTGATGACACTTTTCAACGGTAAATTCTCTATTAAATAGAGGTGTTTTATTGTTTCTTTTTGCGCCCGCCACTGTTCCGGCGTGTGCTCGTAAGCAGTCGCAGAGCGCTGCTGAGCCTTGGCGGTGTCATCCCTCCCTACGACTTGCGCGCCGTGCTCCACTTGTGCAGCAGAAGCGAAGCTGACGGCATATTTCGCATCGGGGGGCACCGACACAGCGGCCGCGGCGGGACCTCCACGGCGGTTCTGCAACCGGCCGCCGTCGTCATATTCGAGCGATGGGTCTCCAGTGCCGTCGATGCGCCCGGCACTGTTCGTGAGTTCGTCGCTCATGGCTGACCGAAGTCGTGCTTGGGAGTTTCGGCGGTACACCGCCAGACGGAAGTTGCGGGGTAAATCGCTCGTGGGTATGTACGCGGTGAACCTGTGCAGCAGGCAGTGCCGAATTGAAGATTGCGCTTATGGAGGTGGTGGTCTGCAGTAAGACGACGAGTATTTGCAGTTTCGAGGGCTTCGCCACCCCGAACGCGCTACCAAGACAGGCGAGGCTGCTCACAGTGTCTGCGATTGAGCTGTTGGGAAATGGAAGTCTGGAGGAATCCATCGTTAAAAAGACCTTGCATTGAGCCAATGGTTGTCACTCGCTCGCTTCCCCTGCAGGTGTCGAGCGGCACAGCAACTCTCGACCAATCCCATGACTTACACTGACAAGGCTGTCGAGGATCATCACCCATGCTGTTTGTTCGGCCGATTATGTCCGGTAAAGCTTACCAACATTTACCAATCTTATGGGGGGAAGTCAAGGGGGACAAGCTGGAAATAATTACCAGGCGCTATGCATGTTCTTGCATTCCTCGGTGCGAACACGACTGAGTCTTTTCAACTTCATCACAACTACGGAAACTTGAAAGTTCGAAATCCACTAAACTACAGTGGATACTGAAATAGCATGTTCATTTGTCGTAAACAAACCAATGAGTTTATTGGTTTTCAGAGTCTGGACATGGGTTGTATCCAAATGTGGATGTCGAAGACAGTGTTTCTGCGGTGACAAGATTAAACCTCATATGCCACAACCGCAGTCTTACATCTACTTCTTATCGCTTTGAGGTTTTGTGTACTTCTGAAAGCTCTGTCTCTACTTCTACATGCCAAAGTGGCCCGTACCGAGATTGAGTCCTTGTCGTCTTATTCCAAGCACTCTGAACCAACAACTCAGACAGCTGAATAAGCCAGAGACATGGAGTCGTATTATTGAACGAGAGATAGCTTACAAGTTGACAGGACTGTTTTCTCGAAGTATCTTAGGAAAACAATATTGTTCTCGCTTTTTCTAAGGTACAATGCTTTTGACAATTATTTGCACCAGCGAGAGTTTCGACGTTTCCAATGGTTTATATTTGTGAAGATCAGGGGACTCGCAAAACGTGAAAGGAGAAAACCAAAAGCAGTACTCGCACAGATTTATGTAACGACTTTGCGTAAGGGAAGCTTTTGCTCGAGTCCTAGATTCTGTATGATTGGTTTCTTGGTGTCCTAACTGTTTAAGCGCTGGGAGCGGAGAGGTCTTGATTGATAACCAAGTATTTCAATACCTGGGTTGCAGTTACGAGAATGATGAATCTACGCTAGGCAAGTTGCCGAGTTACCTGAATATGCAAAGATAGCTTACTTCACTGATTTGCGCTTACCTCAGAAGACTAGATCCCATGCGCCAAAATCCATCATGTTTTATTGAAGCCTAATATGGGTTTAAAATGTACTCTTTGTTTCGCCCCCTGCTCTTGGCATCTTCCCACATAATTTTGGCTCGCGAAGCTCAACCTTCCTTCCATAACACATTACGCCACGACTGTAGTTTATCCTAAGTCTCGTCTCTGTCTGATTCAAAACTGAGGTATGAAAAAGAAACCCTGAACTCCAATTGCTACGAACGCATAAAGCCTGGTCATCGGCCTGGATCTTCTCACATACAAAACATGAACAACATCGTTACCAAGCCAGATATCGGAGCAATCATCTTCAACGCACCACTCGTTGGAGATGGCGTAGAAACAATCGTCGGTGAGGGGTCCGTGATGCTGTTCTCATTGATCGCAATGCTCGCCGCCTCTACCCTCAGCTCGGAAGAGTTGAAGCAGTTCGACCCATTCACCGGCGGAATCTTCGACTCGTCGCCGGTGAAGATGATATCGACGCACTACATCCTCGTTAGTGACAACATCCCACACGTTTCATACCATCACGCGAAGGAAGACATACGCTGAAGAGAGCACCTCCATGCCTCGCCGCCTGCACGACCTGAATCGAAGCCAAATCGCCCTCCTTCGGCTCAACACCCTTCGGAAGGGGCACCCTCGGCAGACAGAATGTGCCGTCGTAGGCGCTGTTCGACGGGCCGGTGAGGTGGAACATGGGCACCATGACGGTCGTGAAGTTGGCAGGCACCTCGCCGAGACCGATGTTGATGTACATGAGGGCGCTCTGGTGGCCGCTGTTGTAGCCGGGCTGCACGGCGATGGCGCCGCCGTCGAGGGGCCAGTGAGTCCTGTTCTGGGTTACGTTGAGGCCGCCGCCTATATCCACGGTCAGCTCCGGTCTTGCGAGGTGCGGAGGTTGGCACAAGGACTTACATGGGTACAGCCATTGCATGCCGAAGGGGAATGTCTCGTTTGTGATGATGTTGTTTCCCCTCCATCCGGGATACGTGATGGCTACATGTGCCTGTGCCAACGAGGCGAGGAGGCCCCAGAGGGCAACAGTTGACGCGAAACCGGTCTTCATGTTCGCGTGATATTAGCGATATTTTAGCGAAGTGAGATCTCAAAGAACTGGAAAGCGAAACCCAGTGAGGTAAAAGATCAAGTGAATAATCGACCATATCGAGCATCATATATAAACCTCACCGTCTCAGTCTTACATGTGTCGCCGGACCCCCGCAAATCCTCTGACGTCGATGTCAGCAATGCACCGCCAGCGAAGAAGAAAACAAAGACCGTTAAACTGCTGTGCGTCCATCCTGAGCGCCGTTACGTCGAATAAGGTTGTTGCCTTCAAAGACGCATGTCAGCCCTACGGTCTACCGAGGACCGGGCAGGGAATGGCGGAGGACCTTTGGTATCAGCGGCTTACGCCACGGTGGGAGCTAACATTAGAGCTTCGGCGTTGAAGGACTTGGCTGCTTCTGTGCGTAAGACGAGGATGTTCTACCGGTTGAGTGAATAGGATGTCACCGCTGCTTCTGTGTTTAGGTTTTGGGGAACATGTTTGTCGTTCCTTCAAGCTGACGATGTTGGAATCTTATTTGAGAAATTGAGCGTTGTGATTGTGGCTTTGAATTGGCTTGTGACAGGTGGAGAGGCAACTTTGAGATACAAAACAATTGTCTACCTCTGATTTAAAGAATGACGGCGATCATTGTCAAGCCACAAGCTCCGAGCTAGTACTTAAGGTCCCGATAAACATACTCACAAGCACATTGGCATAGTCTGCCCATCTCAGAAGCAACATCACTGTAATGTATTGGATAATTCGCATGCAACAAACTTATGCCGATACGGATGAAACTACGCAAAGTCAACGTTGAACAGCTGCCCTGCCCAGAGCCCATGTCGTGTAAGATCCTTATTGCCCATCCCGGCCTCAAAACGGTAGCCCCAAGACGTGGCACCACAACCCAAGACACGATCTGATTTGCTCCCACACCGAGACCGCAACGTCAGCGCCCAGCACCCAAGGAATCCTAGCGGAGCCCTGTTGTCCGTTACAAGAAACAAACGCTGTCAATCGTGGGATGACGGGGCGGGCAGGCGGACGAGCCAAGACCGGAGAAGCGGGACCAGGATTTGGAGAGGGACAAAAAGCAAGACAACGTCCGTCAGCACTAGCGGTGCGCGATGTAATGCGACGAGGCAGTGTTTTTTTCCCAGCAACTACCGCGATGTGAGTGGGTGCGACATTGAGAGTGCCGTGAGCCGGGGAGCTGAAAAAATTTGAAGGAATTGAGGAGCGGCTGCGAACTGTTTGTCTCGGTCCCGAGACATCAAGAATTGACAGGCGTGATTGATTGACGGCTGCCAGATACCGTCTGCGGACTGGCTATCTACGCGTGCATTGGTTGATGCAAGAGCTCATTACCGCTCCTATTTCTGGCCGGCCGCTAGTACACATGTGAAGCTGTAATACCGGCTCGGGAAATTTGAGATGTTTCTTTTCTCACTATGTTCATGCTGCGATGAAATGATTTCCCTCAACTAACCAGATTGTCAGAGACTAAACAAGTCCGTCTTCCAGGCGAACATCATTATTGCTCGTCATTTTTCCTCACCATCTGAGTTGCCTGACAATGATAAACTGGGGAAACCCACAGGCTCCAGTCTCTCCATCTTCATCCTTGACTCCAATTTTCCCGAATCCTTTCTCAAATTCGACTTCACATTTCCACAACAACAAGTCTGTTCAACTAATCACGTAACGAACGAAGACTCTTCTCGACGTCTCCCCTTTTTTCCTCACTCCCAGAGGTCTCACTGGCCGGAACATCAGAGCCGACCTCGGGCCATTCAAGACAAACGGCAGGGATAGGGGTACAGTCGCGTCGCCCCGGGCGCGGCTGATGGAGACGTCACAAGGAACTTTTGATTTCATCCCTGCTCAGCTCCCACGAGATCGCCGCAATGTTCGCGAAGAACAGCCCTGGCCGCCCAGACCGTCCTACTGGAGCCTCCCCAACCATCGGGCAACGACAGGGGCAGGGAACGCTATCCGCTGAATGAGTGAATGTTCTTTTCGTGAACCCGATACCTGTTGGTGTGCGGCGCAGGTACAGGCTCGATACCGCCGTCACGCTGCAGCAAATACCTTTTGTGCTTCCTTTCGGGTACCGCGTTTCAATGCCAGTTCCTCCATCGAGCCGCCCGGGAAAATCGTCACCTGAACGGGCTGAGCAGCTCTCATGGCACTGATTTGCCGCGGCGACGAATGGTGGTCAATCATTGCATCACGGCCCTTCATACCCGCCGTAGGCAACCACAACCCGCATTTCAGGGGTTCACATGTAGGCAGAAGGTACGGATAGACGAGACTGTCCACACCTCGCACTATCCTCTTGGCCAGACCTCGAACTTGGCTGGCGCCGCTGTATTCGTACGAATCGGGCAGACCGTGGACTCTCGCCCAGAGTTGTGTGACAAGGGGTTCAAACTAATGTGTGATGATTAAATATCCAGAGATGCCCACGCCCAAATAGACTCATTCTTGTTTCCCCTCTCCTCAGCCCAAAGTTGCCATCTCAAATCGTACAATCCTCAAGACTTTAACTAGTCTCAGCTCTTCCGCTCGCAACATCCACAAAAACACGGACACGTTCAAGAAAACAACAAGACCACCACCACCGACAAGATGCAGTCCAAGCTTCTCCTCGCCGCGACGGCCGCCACCGGCGCCGTCGCCATCGACCTGTCCGGCAACTTCCCGCACGCCTTCCGCCGCGCCGTCGACCTCGCCCCCCGCGACGAGGCCCAATGCGCGATCGTCGCCGCCCAGAACTCGGCCGTCCTCGAGGACTTCCCGATGATGCCCACCGGCGCCGAGCTCGACTCCATCCCCACCCTCTCCGACCCGTGCAGCTTCCCCACCGTCACGGGCTCCGCCGGCAGCGTCGTCACCTCCTACAGCTCCGCCCTCGAGAGCTGGAAGGACGCCCACGTCACCGAGCTGCGCTCCATCTGGCAGGCCTGCAGCGACGCGCCCGCCTTCTCCTCCGTCATCGCGCAGTACGGCAGCGCGCTGTGCTCGACGGTCCTGGTGGAGATCACCAGCGCCGACGCGAGCAACGCCACCGGCACGGCCACGGCCACGGCTACCGGTACGGTCTCGGTTACGGAGACGGGTACCGTTACGGCGACTGACGCCACCGTCACCGAGTCCGGCTCCGCGTCGGGCACTGCGTCCGGCGAGGCTAGCGCTTCCGGTGAGGCTGCTTCGACGACTGCTTCGCCTGCTGCCGCCCCCAAGGAGACTGGCCTGTTCGTCGCTGCTGCCGCGGCCGCTGCCGGTATCGTCGGTGCCGTCATGCTCTAAGTGTCTCATTATTTCATACGAAGAGACATTGAGATATCGGGCCTTAAAACTCTGGGTTGTTTGGGGGAGTAAACCAAGTGTTGGAATGGGACGTCACTGTCTCAGCCTCCAGTCATCATACCTAGATTCGATCTCGTCGAAAACCAGTAATTACGTTGTAATCGATTACCCTTGGGAGCAAATATATACCCGCTTGAACACTTTTCATCATGAGTTCCCTTGTCGTTGGAGTGTGATGTTTTTGGCATGGATAAAAAGCTGTGGTCAAAGCTTTTATCGATGAAAGTTTGCCCGAGAATTTAATATGAAGAGCATCGACAGGGATGATCAGCTGGGATATGGGATGTTTGGGGGTCAATCAGAACATGGGATGATTACGAGAGCTTCTGCGTAGGTCGCATGGCCAACAATGAAAGCAAAGTCGCTGCGATAATGCCACGGGGAACTTGCCAAAAGTCGGTGATTCGCCAGTGTGGTTGATCCCCTCGGCGGGTGAATAGATTGCAGTGAAGAGCGCCAAGGACACAGCCACATGCTTCTCACCTATGTGAAGGTTCGGTGAGGCGGACGGCGAGCAGGACATGCCGCGGTGAGCAAGTTCGATGACAGCCCAGCATATTAACATGTTGTGCGGTGCATTGCGCGGCGAAAACTGGACACGTTTCTCGACATGGCAGCAGATACGGTAGCCGCTGTCGACTTACCTTCGACTCAGTTCGGTGGCAACCGCCAAATGAAAGCGAAGTCTGTGCTTGGTTCCATCGTCGGTACTCCTCCGCTGCTACTCAATCCATCTCCAGGTATCGCCGTCAAACATCAAAAGCGACGATATATCATATTCAACGAGAAGTCGAACCGAATGGTCACGCTCATGGATTGGTATCTTGATACACTATACGTAGACATATTCCGTGGTTGTTAAAAACACCTTACTCCAAACGGGCAAAGCCTCCCACCGCTTTTGACGAGACTCCCAAAGCCAAACAACAGAAAAGACGGACCGGTCCGTCTCGTAATGGGCACAGACGGACTAGTCCGACGCTGAGTATACACAACGGGAGAGGCTACTATGCCCTGCCGACCCAACCCGCGTTGATGAAAAACTCAAAGATGCGGCCGCCCTTCTGCGAATCCAGCCGGCAAATCTCCTTAGCCTGCTTTTTCTTAAGGGTGCCGTTGCTCTTGAGAGCCTCCTTCAAGATCTGTTCTTTGATCATGAGGTACGGCTTCGGCTGTAACCTCACTACCTCGCAGAGCTTAGCTTCCTCGGGCGTGAGGAGGTGCAGATCCGGCGCGGACTCCTGTGAGAGCGGGAGTGGTGTGACGCCAGGAAGGGCCTGCGCCATGTACTTCTGCCGTGTAACAGGACCCGTCGGGCCCGTTCCGTTGGCCACAATGACGGTACCGTTTGTCGAGGCCCCGTTGACGTTGCCGTTGGTCTGAGGCTTACTCTCTTCGCTGGTGGCGCCATTCGTCGCCGGCATGGGCCGTATCGGTAACTCGGGGGCGACTAGCAAGGCGGCCCCGCTCGGAGGGTCGGGGACGGCGGCTGCCTTAGACCTTTGTGCAGAAGCCATGCGCTCCCTGTCCATGGACCCCATTGGCACTGCCTTCTGTGCCCTTTGGGCCTTTTCTGTCTCGTATTTCTCTCCGCTCCGAAGATCTCCAATGCGCATGCTCCGCCATTCCTGGAGTTGTGTAATGGCTTGCCGCAGGTTAAGCTCGTCAATGAGACCTTGGCACAGACTCTCGAAATCGTCGTGGTTCGTCATTCTGGCAAATGGTTTGGCCTTGTTGAGCAGATCTCGCTCCTCCTTGCTCCTCTTCTTTTCGATCTTAGTGTTTTCGCGGTAGTCAAGCAGGTTGTGCTCGAATATTATCTTCTTTCTGTCGACACGCTGTGTGAGGCGGGCATTGTAAATGTCCATCACCGTCAACTTGAGCTCCATCTCCGGCTCGAGCTCGCCTGTCCTGGGGTTAAGGCCATCGCCCGGGTCGAATTGCATGAGCTGCACCGCCTCTTCTGCCTCGTTTGCGTGTTCGGTCTCGAACTCCAAGCGACCAGGCATGTAGCCCTGGATTTCGTGACATGCCGGTACGGATGCAGTCGGCTTCGTCTTGGGTTGTAATGTTGGCGCGTTCTTGGCGGCGTCCTTGCGCTCTTCGATCCTACGCTTCTTCTTGGCCTGAAAATCTTCCCTAGAGATCTCGTTCGCCAGTTCGTTGTCGTGGGGGCTGCATCGTTTTGGCAGAGGAAACCTCGGCGAGTCGACGTAGACCTTCAAGTAATGGTCGCGAACTTCGTCCTTGTGGCGGAATCCACCAATGTGATCGGCAATGTCGGCCCATGATCCCAAGCCGTATATCTCTGCGCCCTCGAGGAGCAGGAGTTCTTCGTCGGCGCCCCAATCGCGATCGAAGATGGGGAATGAATTCTGTTCGATGACACGGTAGGGATGTGTTTCTGGTTTATGATTTGAACTGGATTTTCCTAGCGAGAAGCATTGAACGCATAGGTCGTAGTCGTTGCAAGCGGAGTGCGCGCATCTGATGCGGACCTGTTGACGAAAGGGCCATGGTTAGCGCGATGCGCCAGATGCGGGCGGCGATGCGCCGGAGGTCGGCAGCGGGGCTCAGTGACCCTGATGAGGGAAAAACAGCAAAACCACTTACTGTTGATGTGATGTCTACAGAACAGATGTCGCAATGATATTTAACACCTCCCTCGCCTCCCCGTGTGACGGTCTTCTTCCTGATGACACCCATCTCGTCCAGGGCTACTGTGGGGACGTGGAGGCCAGCCCCTGGTAAGGCTCAGCCGGCGACGGAGGAGTTATCGTGATGCGGAGGAGGGCATAAGGCGGTCTGCGGGATCGCTCGCGACGATTCGAGGGGATGATTACGTCGTAATCGATGCAAATGGGGGGTTTGTCGATGAATTCGATGGATTTCAGGTGGTTCGTCGCGCGTGTTGATAATCACGTTTTCTCCAAGTTGCCGTCGAAACAATGCCAGGCTCCAGTGGAAGGAATCTGGGGATTGGACAAGGAGCCATTGTTGACCCGAAGTGCACCCGAAGCTCGGACCACTCCTTAGACCATTGAGAGTGGCTGTGCATCATGATCTCAAGCCACAGTTCCAAGTCCTACCTTCGGGCCCGCTTATGTCAGCTCCTGTAATATCCCCAGACCTCCGATTTTCGATCTCTCAATCGGCTCCGCCATCCCCGCCAATATGCTGTTTATTCGCTCGCCCAGCGGACCAATATCCGGTCGTTCTTTGCTTTCTTACTCCAACTGTCATCCATCACTTTGCACATTGTGTCTACCGGTCGTGGCTCGATACACCGAACTGACGAGAGAATAGAGTCCCGAGAGATCCAGGCCAGCCGGCATAGAATAGAACGAGACAATCATGTTCCAAAACAGTCCATCGTTGCGGTTCTGCTCTGAGATCTCTCACATGTTATCACTCGAAAACGACCAGCCACTGGCTCACTGAAGCATTCCGCAAGTTTCCCGCCGCTAATTTGGCCCTCCAGCACATTCGAGCCCGCTACACAATGGCGCATATCTGCGATGGTGGGGTTACGCGGGGCAATTCTTCACTGTCCCTCATCCCGCGAAACCCCCGAGACGCGAAAGCAGGGATAGGACGTCACCAGGTGAGCTGTTTTATGGCAGCTTCCCCGTCTGTTCCTCGGCCGCGACCTGCCGAGGGCTGCTTTAACCAGATTCGTAGAATAACCAACAACGTGATTGTTTTAAGTAATTTTGAACTTGTCCAAATTCCTCTCTTCCATCATCTCGGACAGGACGCTGAATTGCGTGTGATCTCGATTTAAACCTCCGCTGCCCTCCTCGTCTCCGAGCTACCCCGCCATCAACATCATCGTCTTCGCATTGAGGGGCAGACGAACACTCCATCACGATGCCTGACAAGATCCTCGACGACATCTCCCACCGCCGGTACAACCCGCTCAAGGGCACCTGGCTGCTGGTCTCCCCTCACAGGACCAAGCGACCCTGGCAGTAAGAATGCGCCGGCACGAGAAGACATATTGCGACATGCGCTAAGTTGGACAGAGGCCAGAAGGAGGGCCCCTCCGTGACTGAACTTCCTGAATACGACCCCAAGGCAAGTCGCCGCCCTGATCTAGTTCAGTTGCTCTGATCTGATATCTATCAGTGCTACCTTTGCCCTCGCAACTCTCGCGCTGTCGGCGACTCGAATCCCGACTACAAGAACACCTTCGTTTTCGTCAACGACTACAGTGCGGTCAAGGAAGACCAGGCCGAGTACAAGCCAGAAGACGGAGGTGATGGTAAGCTCGATCCCATCGTAAGAAAGTCGCATATGACTGAGAATCCCAGATCTCGCCGCTACCCTCCTCCGCGCCGAGGCCGCCACGGGCAAATGCTACGTCCTCACCTTCTCCGAGAAGCACCACGTCACCCTCGCCGACATGACGACCCAAGAAATCGCCCCGGTCATCGACGTCTGGACGCACATCTACGCCTCCCACCTCTCCCCCTCCAACCCTCTCTCCAAGGTCGCCGCCGCCCTCCAGCTCCCCGCCGCGACGCCCGAGAGCACCGTCACCCCGCCCCGCGACCAGCTTCGCTTCATGCAGATCTTCGAGAACAAGGGCGCCGCCATGGGCTGCTCGAACCCGCACCCTCACTGCCAGATCTGGACCACCTCCACCATGCCAGAGGAGCCCGGGACCGAGCTCGTTCAGATGGCCAAGTACCGTGGCCAGCACGCCGGCCGCCACTTGCTGGGTGACTACGTCAAGGTCGAGATGGAGAAGAAGGAGCGCACGGTGTTTGAGAATGATGCTTTCATCGTTGTGTGCCCTTGGTGGGCCGTCTGGCCTTTTGAGGTCATGATCTTGCCCAAGAGGCATGTTCGTGCCTTGGTGGATCTCAGCGCCGAGGAGAGGATGCTCTTCGCCGAGGCGATTCAGGAGGTTGCGAGGAGATACGACAACCTCTTCGAGACCCACTTCCCTTACAGTGAGTAGTCCTGTTTCTTTTTGGCGGAAGTTGGACTAACAACAGGACAGGCTCTGGCATTCACCAAGCGCCTCTCGATGCCACCAAAGAGGAGGCCGAGAACAGCTACCTCCACATGCACTTTTACCCGCCCCTGCTCCGCTCTGCCACTGTGCGCAAGTTCCTTGTGGGCTATGAGCTGATGGCCGAGCCTCAGCGCGACATCACGCCCGAACAGGCGGCCGCGAAGCTGAGGGCTATGGGCGGTGAGCTGTACCGCAAGTCGATTTAGAAAAGTAGATTTTAAGCATGGTGAAGCGAGGTTGGGGAGTCGGGCATATCAGGCGGCATTATTTGAAAATCCAAGATTTGTATTGGTTCCATTATTAACAATTAAGTTGAATGTACAGGCCTTTTACGGCGATGAATTCCTACTGCGGAGTGGTCGCGCCACTCAAACCCCCAAAGAAACTTCCCATCTACGGGCTGTCAACGTAGAAGCTGCGGACTTGAGGCATCCAGATCAGAGCAACAGTCGCCAGCGTGAACGGGAAAGCCTGCGGAACGCCAAAAGTCATGCTCTTGAAGACGAACAACTCGCTGGCGAAGTGGCCCAGCGCAATGACATAGGTCCAGATGGCCAGGTCGTACATGTGCGCGTAGTGCAGGTGGTAGGCGCAGTACAGGCGGACGACGCTCGTCAACAGGGTCCAGGTGCCGAAGCAGCGCGCGGCGAGGGGCGTTCCCTGGTCGAGGGTCTCCGACTCCTTCGCGCCTGCGGGCGCGGGCACGTACTTCTTGACCGAGTCTTCCGGGTTGTACTTGTCGGAGCGAGGAGGGAGAGATGCGTTGCGGACGTATTTGCCGTTGTAGACGCGGCGCGAGTAGTGCAGCGTCACGTAGTTCTGGGCAGAGTTGCCAATGGCGAGGAGGGAGAGCTAGAAACGGTAATTATTAGACTCAAGTTGTCTTATGCGTGGTGTTAGAGAGGTTTTTGACTTACCAGGAGCATATAGTAGGGGAGAATGCCCTTCGCAGGAGGGAGAAGGTCGGTGAGGGCGACCATTTTTGCTGTATTGATGTGTCTCTGCAGTTCAGATCTGGTCAATTGGCAAAAACACGAAGCGCAGTAGGGACTGAGGAAAACGAGAGTGGAAAATGGTCTGTCACTGGTGGGATCCTCCCCGTGAACTTCAATAGTTGCAAAAGCTTCCTACTAAGAATAAAACGACTTCCCCAATCCGAATACGAGCCCCTGCTAGCTCCCAATTAAAGATGTGGCTGAGTTAGGCCAATCGATAATTCTGGTACGATATCATTGGCTCAAGCTTCACCCCCACCGATAGCTCGACCGAGGTGTGGCTGGTGATGGATTTTCCAACAATTGCCCATCTCAACATTTTGTCTGTGTAGGTGTTCGTGCCTCGAGCTGCATATTCAAGGGCGACGCCGACTTGCAGCACCGTCCGCTTCTTCCCCGCAACATCACTTCACGCCCTACACCTGCTCGGATTTTCACAATGCTGGGAGTTACAGACTACATCGGCAAGCTGCCGGAGCCGGTTCAGTTGGTTCTGGCTAGCGTTGGTTTCCTGTTCCTCGCCAACAAGGCCTTGGGCTACGTCAAGTTCCTTCTCGGTGTTTTCGTGCTCGGTGGCACCAACGTAAGCAATTGGCTTCTTCTACCCGATACACAACAAACCTGACCATGATTCTACGCAGCTCCGCAAGTATGGCAAGCCCGGCACCTGGGCCGTCGTGACCGGTGCCTCCGACGGTCTCGGCAAGGAATACGCCTACCAGCTCGCCAGCAAGGGCTTCAACCTCGTCCTCGTCTCCCGAACCCAGTCCAAGCTCGAGACTCTCGCCCTCGAACTCGAGGCCAAGTTCTCCGGAAAGGTCCAGATCAAGGTGCTGGCCATGGACTTCTCGCGCGACGACAATGCCGACTACGACCGCCTCGCCCAGCTCATCGCCGGCCTCGACGTCGGCATCCTCATCAACAACGTCGGCCAGAGCCACAGCATCCCCGTCCCCTTCCTCCAGACCGCCCGCGACGAGCTTCAGAACATCGTCACCATCAACTGCCTCGGCACCCTGAAGACCACCCAGGTCGTCGCTCCCATCATGCAGAAGCGCAAGTCGGGCCTGATCCTCACCATGGGCTCCTTCGCCGGCTGGATCCCCACCCCCTACCTGGCCACCTACTCTGGCTCCAAGGCCTTCCTGCAGCACTGGAGCACCTCTCTCGCTACTGAGCTCAAGGCCGACGGCGTTGACGTCCAGCTTGTCATCAGCTACCTCATCACGACGGCCATGAGCAAGGTCCGCCGCGCGAGCGCTACGATCCCCAACCCCAAGAATTTTGTCCGTGCGGCGCTGAGCAAGGTCGGCACTGGCATCTACCAGAACTTTGCTTACACTTACACGCCGTGGTGGACGCATGCCCTGATGCTGTGGATTGTCGAGAACACCATTGGTGTTGCTCACGAGTGGGCTCTTGCGGTCAACCTGAAGATGCACGCTGACATCCGCACCCGCGCTTTGAAGAAGGCTGAGCGTGAGGCCAAGAAGGCCTAATCTACGGAATTTGTCGTCGATCAACCATCGGTTTGCTGTCATATGACGCGCCACAATATCACAAGTCAGGCTCTCTACAGAGCTCGACATGTGAGGTATGAGCAGGTATGCATATGGAGGTGCATGCAGAGGAGTTACGGGAGGAAGCCGCAAGGGAAGAGACCCTCATGGCGAGTGTGGTTGAGATAAACCAAGAGGATATCCAAAAGTTCAATAGATTTAATATGATCAATTACATCGAATGAAAACCATTATCTGAATGCCACAAAGCTCTGAAAATGTCCGTGAAGCTGGTGGTGAAAACGTCAGGTTCATTCAGCCTTGTAACCCAATTGGGCTTAGCGTGGGACCACCCGGGCTCCAGGCGCGAAAATTCCAAGTGCTGGCCCAGCCTCTTGCAGCTCCTCCAGAAATTGTTTACTGCTTGCTGCTCTGCACCACACCTTTCCTCACCGAGAGCCTTCGCAGCTCCTAATCTTTTTTCCCTTTGTCGATCTCGAGCTGCGCAAGCTTCGAATAGCATCAGCTAGCATTCTTTTTCTGCACAAAGGCTCAATTGGGAAGAGCTGCCACCGCCCGTTGATGATTCGATAGCGCGACCTCCTTCCGCCATCTACTGGCCGCACCTTTGCGACGCGTTTGCCCGACGACTCCAACTTCATTCGACGAGCCCCCGACCGACGACGACGACGATCATGTCATACCCTCAGCTGACCCCGGCGCGCCCCGTGCCAGGCGCTTTCTTCAACACACCCGCAGCTTCAAGATTTGCCGGCGGCGACGCCGAGCCCACGAGGCGGCGCTTGTTCCTGGACGGCGACGGAACCCAGGCCAGCACAACAACTGCAAGCAGCGGCGCTCTGGTTGGAGGATCAAACTTTGCGCCGGCAACGTTATCTTCGGTCGGCACCAGTGGATTGGTTTCACAGACGCAGGCTTCCCAGCAGAGCCTCCCTCCCGTCACGAGAGCTGCACAGTCGGTGAACGATTTCCTTCAGGCCGACGAGAACTACCCCGAGCTGGATTCGTACTGTAGGCGTAAGTTATCCTTGGCGGAGCAACTCATCCTTCGATGCAGCTTCTGACCCCCGAATAGCAGGCGCATCCTCCGAATATGACTACAGCACCCTCGATGCGGCTTGGGCGCCATTCCACAAGACCCAGATGTACCCGATCCCGAACCAGGTCTTCAGCCATTACAACACCGGCCAGCTCCAAACTTTAATGGGACTGTTCGCAGAGATCAACCACGCCTGGGTTGTTATCGACAACTCGCTGTTCCTCTGGGACTACACCCACCCCGACCCCGAGCTCATTGGCTTCGAGGACCAGCCGCACACGATCCACGCTGTTGCTCTCGTTGCTCCCAAGCCTGGCATCTTCGTCGGGTCCATCACTCACATCCTCGTCGTCGCGACTTCCTCCGAGATGATTCTCCTCGGTCTCTCCGCCGAGTCCACCCCGTCAGGAACGAAGACCGTCTCGCTTTACAGCACCAAGCTCAACCTTCCTCTTCGAGGCACCGATGTCCGAGTTATCGCAGGCACTGCAGACGGCCGCATTTTCTTCGGTGGAAGCAACGATACCGATATTCACGAACTGTACTATCAGCAGGAGGAGAAATGGTTTTCGAACCGATGCGGCAAGATCAACCACACCAACCCCGGATGGTCTTCGGTGGTGACTCTGCAGGGAGGATTCTGGCAGCACAAGAGCCCGGAAGGTCTGCAAAGCATCGTCATCGACGACTCGCGAAAACTGGTCTACACATTATCAACCAGATCTACTATTCGAACATACTACATGGACGGACCTAACAAGCTGACCAAGGTCATCGAAAAGGAGAGAAACGCGTGTCTTCGTGACATCACCCACATGATTACACAGTCTCCCCTGCTCAACGACCGCACCACGTTCGTCTCGATCAGCGCCATCCCTTCTCGCGAAGCCTCCAAACTGCATCTTATGGCGCTCACCAACACAGGATGCCGACTGTTCCTCAGCGCGACGAGTTCTGCTTCCTACATGATTGGCGGTGTGACATCCAACACACCCCCACAAAGCATGCAAGTTCAGTTTATCAAGTTTCCTCCTTCGGAAAACCCTGCACGAGCCAGCGCGACCAACCCCGGCGAGTCAATTATCGACTTCTCATCAAAGGCGCTGGCCCTCAGCAGGCTCGGAGCTCGATTTGCTCCTGGATACTTCTTGGATTTTGTCGTCAAGGAAAACGACCCTAATAATGACCAGCTCTTCGTCTCCGCTCCCGAGACCGGTCGTATCAAGACCAACGCTTCATCTCAACAACTCAAATACTACGAGCATGGTAACTGGATTGATATTGGAAGCAGAGCCGAAGATGTCGGCTTGGTTACGAAGCCCTTCGCCGCCGCAAAGCAGCCAGTTGGCTTCGGAAACGAGCTCGCTGTTCAGTTCGACGAGCCCGCCACCGAGTTCGCCATTCTCACGAATACTGGTGTTCACATTATCCGTCGCCGCCGCCTGGTCGACACATTTGCCGCTGCGATTCGTGGAGCTGTTGGTGACGAAGGCTTGGAGCTGGAAACGCGAAAGTTCATCCAGCGATACGGCCGTATTGAGACGATTTCCTGCGCTCTGGCGGTAGCATGCGGACACGGTGGCGATGCTCGTCCTGGTGCGGCGCGCGCCATCGATCAGGCCACAGAAGACCGCGCGCGCACCGTCTTCGTCGATTACGGTGGGCAGCCGTCCATCACCGAGACGGACGGCACACCGCTTAATGCCACCTCGGTTCGCCTCTCTCCACGACACGACGCCTTGTGTGTATACATCACCCGCTTAATCCGAACTCTGTGGAAGAACAATGTGGTTGCCTCCGGAGTGAGCCCAGCTGGCGGCGTCGTCATCCAATCAAACGTACCCCTTGGCAAGCTTCTGTCCATTCAAGAACAGCTAGAGCGCCTTCGCCGCTTCCTTGATGCCAACAAGAGCTTCATCCAAGGCCTATCAGGTCCCTCTGATCTCCAAAGAGTAGCCAGCAAGCAGGAGGAGGTCGCCCTCCAGGCCGAGCACCAAGCTCTGCATGCTCTCCAGAAGCTGATGGAGAGCATATCGGAAGGCATCTCATTCGTGTTGATGTTGTTTGACGAGCGTGTCAGTGACATTTTCACGAGACTGGATGCTCAGGCGCAACAAGAGTTGAATGCCCTCACATACGAGAAGCTGTTCTCTCAGGCTCCCGGAAAGGACCTGGCTAAGCTCCTGGTCAAATCGATCGTGAATCGCAACATCGAAAGTGGATCTAATGTTGAAACAGTTGCGGACGCTCTCCGTAGAAGATGCGGCAGTTTCTGCAGCCCTGACGATGTCGTGATCTTCAAGGCTCAAGAGCAGTTGAAGAGGGCGTCTGAGCAGCCTCTTAACAGCAACCAATCTCGCACCCTTCTGCACGAGAGTCTGCGACTGTTTGAGCGCGTCGCCAGCGCTCTTTCGTATGCAAACCTCCACACTGCGGTGTCTCAATACATCGAGCTCAAGTACTACGCTGGCGCCATCCAGCTCTGCTTGATCGTCGCCCGCGAGAAGGACAGAGGCAACACCGCCCTTACCTGGGTTCACGATGGCAAGCCCGCTAATGATCCTCGGGCGAATGCTTTCTTGGAACGCAGAAAGTGCTACGAACTCATCCATGAGGCTCTGCAGCACCTGGACGCAGCGTCGAGCAGGGAACCAGAGACGATCGACGGCAGGTTAACGTTGATTGGCACCAAGCGCCTGGAGGCATACAGTGTGGTGAACGACTCGGATGATGAAGTCTTCCACTTCGACCTTTATGAGTGGTATATCGAACAGGGATGGACTGACAGAATCCTGGCCATCGAATCACCGCACGTTATCACGTACCTGCAGAGTCTCGCCCGATCTAACGTGGCCCATGCCGAGCTTCTCTGCAAGTTCTACACCCAACGCGAGAGGTACTTCGAGGCCGCTCAAGTTCAGGCCGACCTCGCCAACTCGGACTTCAACCTTGGCATCAAGGAGCGAATCGTCCTTCTCAGCAAAGCCAAGGGTAATGCCAACGTTGCAACTGCTGGTGTTGGCAGGCAACAACAGCAGGTCTTGGCCCATGAGGTTAGCGAGCTTCTTGATATCGCCAACATTCAGGACGATTTGTTGGAGAGGCTCAAGGCCGACAGCCGCATTGCACCAGAGCGCAAGGCGGAGATCCAAGACGCGCTTGATGGTCCGATAATGTCACTGTCAGACGTAAGTTGCTTCACCGCATGGTCATGGACTAAGCTAATCTTTCTCAGCTCTTCAACCAATACGCCGATCAAGCAAACTACTACGACCTTTGCCTCCTCATTTACCACAGCGCCGACTACCGCAACCCAAGTACCATCTCACAAACTTGGGTCAGTCTGATCGAGCAGATCCACGAAGAAGCCGTTGAACGGATGGAGGAGGTTGGCCCAGGAATCCCGGTCCTGCCTTCACCATACGAGTCTGTCTCCGTCAAGGTCCAGAACATCGCCCACCGCACATCTCTTGACAGCTTCATCTTCCCCGTGCCGATCCTCCTCCCCGAGATCTGCCGTTACGCTGTCGAGTACCACCAGGACGCCGAGATCGGTGCCGACCCGACTTGGCCCGTCCAGCTCTTCATCAGCCTCGGCGTCTCCCACGACATGGTGACCCGCGTCCTGGAGAGCGTCTTCGACACCCAAGATTACGGCTTCAGCGGCAACAACCGCAATCGCATCATCGAGCTCATCGTATTTGCGGTCGACGTCTGGCAGCGCGAGATGAAGCGCCGCGGCGGTGCTTCCGTGAAGGGTGACGGCGCTATCGGCGCCTGGGTCAAGGATCTGCTCAGCAGGTGCGAGTCATCCCTCCCGCCTGCGGGCCACGGCTCGAACCCCGGCGGCGCGGACTTGGCCGAGGTGCGCAGGCGCCTGCGTACGGTGAGGAGAGAGATTGAGAATCTTGTCGAGAGGGGTCCTTCTGGAAGCCTGCGCTTCATGTAATGTCTGAATTTGAGTACTTTAAACGGCCGGGGCGGGAAAGGAGAAGGAAGTCGCAGACGGGAGGTAGGCTAAGTGGATGGGGAAGGGAATACGACAGATAAATTAGAGCGAGAGAGAGACTGATTTGCGGACGAATGGGCTTCCGCCCCCCTTTTTTTTACTTGCATCAAAGTCTGGGAAGAGAAAGAGAAAGAGAACTCGTGTACAAAGAGCTGAGATGAAAACAAAAACCCCAGTGTGTATTTTGTCCCGGGGTTCCTGTAGGAAGGAAAGGGAGTGGGGTTTCTGGCCGGGCGTGCGGGCTTGGGTCTGGCGATGTAAGCTTAGGCCTTTGGATGACTACATTTAGTTGGTGTTCTTTTTTTCCACTTTGACATTTCGTACTTGTGATACACCGTCGTAATTTCAGTCACGATTGATTAGAAGCAGGACGACGGGGGCCAGATTTCCACCAATGATACGGAGTTGTTCGAGGGATGCCACGTGATGTTAGCTGTTGGCTGCCTCCTGCATGCCTTGGGCGGGGAGAGGAGGGGGCGCAACTTTCAGTATCTTACGATAATCAAGAAAAGACACAGACGACAACGACGGCGGCGGCGGCGGCAGATTTCAACCGTATCTTCGCATTTGGAACGATCGATCTTGCTGCGCACCTACTCATCCGGAGAACGCATTTGCGACGCCGCGATGTCTCTCTACACCCCACTTGACCAGTCACAACAGCAGATCCGACTCCTGACTATCGTACCGGATAAACCGGATCTCGACGGTCCGAGTTCTCCAAAGGATGCTGCCGATACAGAACGGCTTCTGTGTGTCATGAAAACTGTGTCCCTCGAGGATGTGACAGTCGACTACGCACAGTTCCGAGATTCCGTTAGTTCAGAGACTGCTTCCAGCACCTCATATGACGACTCGCTATATGCCAGCAGTGATTCAGACTGCTCTTCGAGTTCTACTAGTTCGGAATCTGTTGTCACCGACACGTACGACCAATGGTGCGACTTCTGCAAATTGCGTGATCTCCGCGACCCTCAGCGCACGTTTCGCCGGCTAAATGTACCTGACCGATTCAAATGGGGGGACTATGAAACCCTGAGCTACATGTGGCATAATGGATCGGGAAACGAGTACACCATCCACGTCAACGGCCAGCCTTTGGTCATTCAAGAAAATCTTTACCTTGCGCTTCAGGAATTTCGCAGAGCTCGTCAGTTTTCTCCGCGGGGAAAAAGGAGGCTTTGGGCGGACGCGATTTGCATCAACCAGGAAGACTTACGGGAGCGCGCTACTGAAGTGCAAAGAATGCGGGATGTATTTGGGCTTGCTGTCAAAACGACGGTGTGGCTTGGTCCAACGCTCAACTTGATAAAGACGATGGATCAGTCCTATCTTGGAGCGCTAGAGCGCGTCGCGAAGCGCCTTCTCCCACATTCACAACCTGGAGCGTCTTCAGCGGGCGCGGGCTCCGACGACCTCGGCAGCAGCCTAGATGGCAACGACAGAGTTTGGCTGGATCACGCATATACACTCACGTCAGCATCCGAAAAGGTTGAGAACCTGTCAGTCGAGGACTATCGACTGAGCGCAGAAGTTCTAGAGAGGGCTCTGAACAAGGTGTTTCTCTCAGACGAACCAAAACGTCCCCATCCGACGTCGCAGAGAATGGCAATACCTGCTCTGACTCTATTGTATCCAATTTTCAGAGCCGGTTACTGGAGTCGGGTTTGGGCCACACAGGAGCTCGCCATGAGTTCGCTCCAGTCGGTCGTTCGTGTCGGCTCAACAAAAATACCCTTAGTCGAAATTTCTCTAATGGCAGATTGTGTTGATGACATTTTCGGTCAAGACTGGGTGCGACAAGACGCAGTTCTCAGCACAGCTACGCTGCTCTCACTAGTCGCCCGATTCCGTTTCAAACACCCTGACTTCAGAGTGACAGCGCCGGCTACCTGGATTGTCCACGGTTTCATGGCCCGCGCAACGCTTTCTGTCGATAAGCTATATGGGATCTTGGGTCTATTGGAGCCTGAAATAGCGCGCTTTATTGTCGTCGACTACACGAGTAGCGTTCGAGAGGTATCGATTGACGCTACGATTGCGTGCATCCGCTCGAACGGGCATATGGTGAACTTTCGGATAAACAGAGAGTTCCAAGGTCGCGACGTTCCATCGTGGGCTATGGATATTTCGAGGGATCAGACTTGGCTTTCAAGCATGGCTCTTTGGTTCAACTACCAAGAAGGCTCCTTCTTAACTCCAGCGGTTGACTGGGAGGCTTTCTGGGCCCGCCGCAATGGCAAAGGAAAAGATCCAGGTGTTCTCGCCCTCAGAGGGAGATTGTTAGATGTGGTCGATGGAGTCGCAGCTCCCCTGATTCCGAATGAAGAACCTTTAAGAAGCCTTCTCGGACAGTCTCTACCTCTCCGGGACATCGACGCAGCAATAACGAATCCGACGAGGCCGAATCATTCCTACGAAAGTGATATGGACCTACTCAACCATCTAGATATGTTACTTCGGAACGAGTCACACTGCACTGAACCGTCGATTTTTACATTAACACTCCTCGCCGCAGACCTGCAAACGAACGATGCGGGACTGCCAATGCCGAGTCTTCCTGGGGTATCTACAGATACTGCGAGATATCTTTACATCCTTAGACGATTCCTCGACGCCAGTGCAGACTTTCGACTTTGGAAAGCGAGATTGGCGTCCTTTTTTCCAGGAATTGGGAAAGACCACTTGAAGCCGAGCGAAGAAGCGATTCGAACATCTCAACACACGGTGCGCAATGTCATGGACGACCGTAATGGCGACTACGACAAACGATTGGCAAGAGCCGTTGCAACTGTGCGGGGTATATCGCAAATACGACTGATAACCACAATGAAAGGCCATCTCGGGGCGGCGGCGCTGCTTGCCAGGCATGGTGATCACATTTACGCGGTTGAGGGCCTCGATGAACGAATCGTTCTGCGGCCGGTAGGTAAGAGGTTTGAATTCGTGGGACTTGTTACTGTTCGCACCCCTGACATCCAACGGTCCTGTGAAAATATGGAGCTTGATTGTGTCGTTGAGATACAGTAGTTGACTGGGTGTAAGAACCACCTTGAGTATCACTCAGCCCTGGTCAGATTGTAGACTAAATGATAACAAATGATCAAATAGCCGACGCTACTTCCTCATACAACGCCTCAGTGAAAACCCCAGTGAAAATTAGCGTAGGCTTTTGTTAGATTGATGTACAACGTCAAACGATGATCTAATGATCCAACTTCAGCGGATTTGCCCTCCAGAATTCCATCGCTTCCCTTCTGATACTATCTTTCTCAATCCAGGTTCCATTTGGACTAACATTGACCTGCCAGCCAAGTTCGTCCGATCCTGCGTCTGAATACGTCCTCCACTCAGCTGCTCCCTGCGCCTTCAAGTTGTTGGGATCACCGGTCACAACAAAACTCGCATAATACGAAGACAGAACCTTTCCAGCCTCAGGGTATTGAGTCTTCGGCTCACCCCAACCGTAGGGAACGTCAGCTCCATGAGAAATGCCAAGGTAGGGGGTGACACTGTCGTTGGTGTTCCAATGAAGCTTCCAGACCGGGATGTTTTCGGCCGACAGACGAGAGGCGATTTCCTGGGAACAGCTGATGTACGATGTGTCGCCGTAAACGTCAGACAGCCGAGTAAACTGAGCCGATTGTCCTCGGGCGTCGGCGTAAACCGAGTCTGGATTGGTTTCGGGATCGGGATAGAGCCGCGAGAACGTCTCTCGATCGCCGCCATCGAGTCCCGGGTAAAGATTTGAGAGCCAGCCCCAGGCCTCGTCATCCGTAGTCAGGTTAGTGGGTGCGTAGAGACTACCTTCATCGGTGATGAAGGACGTCAGGGCCGGGAGCTTGTTCCACAACCCTGAGTCCCAGGTTGCGGAAGGAAGACGCGGAATGATGACTGCGTCGGAGACGGGCTGGAAGGGATGGGTCCCGTTGTAGCGATACTCGGCCAACAAGGCGGTGGACGTCTTCTCGATGAGCTCAACATTTACTTGTCTCAAACACGACAACAGGTCCTCGGCAACGCCATTGTCTTGGCAGCCCACCCTGCTGAGAAACTGCTCGTATTGCTTGACGGTCACCGGATCGGAGGCGTTGGGGAATGATCGTCCAGTTGGGCCACCTGACTGGAAGATGGCTTGATGGAAGAGTTCCTCTCCCGCAGTGAAGGGGTTTTGATAGTGGAAGCCGACGGAGTGGGCACCTGCTGACTTTCCTCCTAACGTCACTCGAGCTGGGTCGCCGCCGAAAGATGAGATGTGCCTATGGACGAATCGTAGAAGTTGGTTCTGATCTTGCAGACCCAAGTTGACCAAGCCGATATCAGCTAGGAGAGGAGACGCCAGGAACCCCAGGGCGGCAAGCTAAATTTCCGTGTTAGTTGGTAGCCAAAACTCCACAATTTTGGGGTTGACGGACTCTGTAGTTGAAGGTGACGACGATGACGGGCTCAGACGACGAAGCCACGAAAGATGCGCCATCCCATGTAATCCCTGCCGAGTTACGGAAGAGACCCTACACTAGTTGTTAACTCAAACAGCTCATCACACGATCTGATGGCTAAGGGAAAAAACATACTCCATGGATCCAAACCAAAACAGGTAGCTTCTTCTCAAAGCTGACCCCGGACGGTCTGTAAACGTTGAGGTTCAAGCAGTCTTCACCATACTCGATATTGGTCTTAATGAAAGTCACTAAGTTGGAGTTACCCGGCTCTTGAATGCAGACTTTTCCATACGATGTGGCGTCGCGCGTGCCATTGAAAGGCGAAGGCCGTCCCACCGGTGAAAATCGCAGGTCTCCAATAGGCTGAGTTGCGTAGTCAACGCCATACCAAACGTCCACAGATTTTGAGAGCGGAACCCCCGACGTCGTCGTGTTCAGCGTCGTTCCGGTGAACGAACCGTATGACTCGAGTTGGACGGTGAGCGTGTCGTTGAGAAACAGTGGACTGGCAAGGGTGGTTGATGCCAAGAGAAAACCGGTGAGGATCTTGGCATTGAGCCAAGGCGTTCTCAGAGTCGACAACTGTAACATGATGCTGAAGAGGAGAGGTGACCCCGACACGACTCGATGTTTGCAACCTCAAGAAGTGCAGAACACTGGGGAAGGTCAAGAGAAGATATTCTCGGAGATGGTTTTCCTTTCCATTTATACACTTCGGCAGATAAGAGGTTGATGCCGATCAGGTACCGGCGATGACCCCTCAATCATGATGATACCCTGTCACGACTCCACAGCACGAGATAACCCCCCGCCTGCGATTAATGGCGCAAGAGTAGGTTAGATGGCGAAGCTCGAAGAGAAAATTCTTCAAGGTTTTTGGGTCCATCCAACAACCATTCCGCGTCAGAGCATATTGATGTTCGCTCGAGTTCACCAACGCCGCCCCGCAGTGTCGGACCCGGCCTGTCTGGCACATCTGCATGGAATGCACGATTGCCGCATGTAACCTCCGAGACGAGCAAATCGGAGATTGACGTATCAATCCCGTAGGTGAAGGAATCACCCGAGTATCTCCCTTTAAACGCCGTAGGAACATAGCTCGTGTGAAAGAGTCTGCAGTAGAAATCAGCGTTACTCGCGCGATGACGGACACTCGGACTTCTTCCCGGTTTCCGGCTCGGGTGGAGAAGTGTCGATGTCTTGGCCAAATGCGGGGCAATTTGCCGGAGATCGGAGTCCATCGCCGACATCCGCCTCCGTGGGCTTCGGATTCTCTCAAGTCTGAGGGAACGTTCATTCAGGGCCCAGAAATAACCCAGCAAGCAAGTTAACACTTTGGTGGAAGCCTCTGGTAGTCTCATTTGTTTCCAACTACTGCTCCATAACAGACTTTCAGCAAGTCTATGCCACCGCTGGGTATTTTATCAACAAAACCAAACTGTGCCATAACTTGAAAACAACATTGTTAGCGGGAAGTCTTAGCAGTTATGACGCCTGAAACTTTTCTAAAAAGGTTTGCGATTTTAGGAGGCGATAGAGTACTTGTCTTGGTCTTCAGGTCGCAAGCACGAAGACGGGATTGGTCGCCCCACTCTTTCGGATCTGATCGGCGGGAAGCCCCACTTACGGTCCGGAACTGTGCCGGCGTGCAACGGCCAGCCCGGAAATGGGACTAGCAGCGGTCAGAGATTGCATCTGAAGCTAGAAATCCATTATGACTTTAAGGCACTGTTCGTTGTAGGTAGGACGCCACTGTTGTGATATAGCAAGGCTCGACTGGTACTAATTTGAAGTTTTGGACCTGACTTGTGGCACTCATGATGGAAGAAGCTTTGAAGGAAAACGGTTGCAACACAACACGGATCTTACAATAGGAATTAACTGATTCCATCAAGTTTTGCGATGTGCTTTGTCCCTAGTTTTATCGAAAACATACCGTCCAATGATGCCGACAGACAGAAAAGTCTGTTTCGGTGGTGGTGGGCAATAGTTCTCCAAGCAAAGACCAGTCAAACTTCCGAGGAACTATCGTTGCGCACGCCCTCTTATTGTTTCAGCAACTTTGAAGCTAACTACAGGCGAGTTCGAAGTAGTCGAAAGCAGCTGAGCTGAAGCGAGTGCTGCAGAATCTCCACTGATCGGGGGTCAGACAGTGAGCCATAGTGGCGGAGGCCTCGGGAGACATTCACATACAATCAGTTGGTAGGTATTGTGATATGCAATCATTAATCGTATCTCAGTCCTGGTTTACCCTAGTGAACGTACAGTGGTGCGCGTTTATCTCCTTTTTATCCCCCTTTTGAAGTTGTTTCGAGTCTCTCCGGGCACAGTTCGCCAAAGCCTTCACCCTCCCAGAATCCACTTACATCCAGATAAACATCGACGTGAACAGAGCCACGAAGACGACACAAGATCCAGCAGTGATGAATGAAGCCGCGCTCCTGCCATTGCCACCGTTGTTGCCGTTATTCCCATTATTACCGTTGTTTCCACCGTTGTTGTTTCCTCCGCCTCCGCTTCCACCCTCCTTGGCCATGTTCAGTGTGAAGAACGTACCACCAATGGGGCGCTTCAGGCCAGCCATTTTACGGAAGGCTGTTAACTGTGCAGAAAGTCAGCAGGAGCTTTGTGAGTGCGGAGATGGGTACAGGCGTACGTTGAAGTTCTTCCGGTTCTTCATGTCAATGCCCGCCATATCGAATCCCATCTTGTTCATCTTCTCTGGTTGAACGTAGAGCAGGTAAATGTATCGATGCATGCCACTTCCTGACTTGGGCTCTGGTGGCATGTAGTCATTGAAAGCGGGTGTCGAATTCGTCATAATCATGGCAGACGACAGAATTGCGGATTTGGTCTGCTCGACGGTGAAGTTTCCAGCCAGATAGTGTCTCATATTGCGTTCAGTCGGGTTCTCGCGCGATGGGGAGTCGGGGCCAATCTGTTATGGAAATTAGTCATTCAAGTCTGGGAAACGCCGACGCGAGGCAAGCACGTGGACATACCATGAGCACAATGAACCGAGAGTTGCGTGTGACGTTCTGTGCCATGCTGATGTTCTCCACGCTGAACTCGAACGGCATCTTAACTTCCTTCATCTTCAGCTTCGAACCGGGCATCATCAGTGCCTTGTCGCCGTCGCTGGCCATGTATCCAGTGTAGAAGGAGACCATTGGATCGAACGAGCCCATGACCTCCGGTACAATACCGCTCTCCATGAACGCTTGGTGGAATTCCGAAGTCGACATGCTTCGCGGCGGCATGTCATGGGCAAGCGCCAACGGGGCGAGCATCGCGAGGAGGTTTATAATTGCCTTCATCTTGATGGCTGATTTGGTCAAACTGATTGGTTGTGGCACGTCGTAGGAAACAGGCGTCCAGCACCGGATCATATACAGAATAGGTGTAGAGAATGAAAGACAGCAGCACGGCGAATCGGGCACACTGGCGAACGAAACTAACGCGCAAGGTTGAAGCTAAGGAAATGGATGATCTTTATGTTCTGCCCAACTCAACACTAAACCACCAACAACCCAGTATTGCAGCGTCACGGGCCAAACACACACATCGTATCCTGGTTCTTGAGATGTGGCAGGTATCCAAACATGCTCTCGCGACGAGACAGAAACAGTGAGGCTATTAAGCTTCCCGACATGGCTCGAAGGGCCCGGACGTGCGCGGGGTATCGCAGACTTTTGTGCTCATAGTTTCAGGAACATGAGGGTGCTTGCACCACCATTGGGCCCCCGCCTCGCCGGAACCAGATCAAGCTTCACATGTAAGCAGGTAATCTGGTCCTATGATCCCTGAAGCATTGAGATGGTGTCACAATGTTTCTGGCTCTTTCGGAGAAATACCCCGTCACCACGGCGCACGTGCGGTGCGGGAGGCCGAGATATCCACATCCCATAGGTTCGTTTCTTCCAAGCTATTTCACATTGTCTGTGGGTGGCTGTCATCAAATATTCGCATAAAAGACCCTTTTCTGAGAACAGCCTTGTTGTGTAGACCAGAATTGAAGGGACTTGTGAACAGACATTAGGACCCTTTCTCGAAATTGAATGGAGCCCAATTTACGGCTTATTTATTGACATCACGATGCCCAGTACATGGCTAGTAGTAAGTGCCGGAGATGGAAGGGGTCTAGAACGTCGATTTAACTCGCCAAGTAACGCAGAATGTTGCCATCCTCCAGGAAGAGATCTGATTGAAACCTCAACTTTGAGCCGCATGGCCATGCTCGGAGATACCGCAGTGTGCGCCTGAAATTACGGCATCGGCCGAGCACAGCGCGGGGGAAACCAAACCTTTCACGGGTCGGGGGACTCCGAACTAGCAAAAAGCTTTCGCAAGGCCAGCTAAGGGATGCCGGGTTCCAAGTCGCAAGGGAATTCCCAGAAAACCAATGTTCAACTTCGCCCACTTTCTCACATGCTCGTGTTGTGGAACCAACCCGACCAGCACTGGAATTTTCAGATTAACACAGGGCTGGCCACAGGTTGCAGACACGGAGGCCGAATTGACTTGCTCCTGAATGGATATGAGATACCCGGCGTATTGGATGCCAAGATCAGAAAGACTCCGTTTCAGACCGCCAAGAAACTCAAAGCCAAATATAGAGTTCGTCGATCATCGACAGCGGACGGGCCGCGCAAGTGTACCCGACGACAAGGGCGTCGTAGGGAAACATTAAGCGTCTTTCGGCCAACCCGACAGGTTGACGCCGTCAATCAGAGAACTCTTCGGGTTAGCGTTGAGAATCTCCAGGGAGTACGTCTTCATATCTGAGCGAATCGCGAGAGGAAGCGACTGGGCTGATGTCTGTGAACCTTCAGATAAGGAGAAGGGACCCCGGTGCGGATCAAAGCGGGGTGAGAAGCTTGACTTCTGTAGAATGCCTCCTCTCATGGTATTACATGCAGAACTTGGGCATTGAAAAGCTACTGTAGAACTCTCTAAGGATTCAAATGACGACGCAAAATCAGCTTTCGAGATCATACGATGTGTCCAAGGCAGGATACGAGTCACAACCCGCGATGCCTCACCTTGCATAGGCACTGTGCCGCGCTTGACGCGTAAGAATCACACGCGAGGATTCGATCGAGCGGTTGGCTCATTATTGGCACACTTAACGAGGAGAAAATCAGCTGCCACATCCGCTACCACATCGTCATCGCAGTATTCCTTGCTCATCTTGCGAATCGCTTTTTTGTCTGGAGGATTCAAGTGTCCCGCATTGCTCCTTGCACGTTCAAGATATGAGGCCTTGAACTGAACATTACAATCTTTGCTTAAAAGCCAACTACTTCGTCACACCCAGGCGATGCAGCAGGGCGCAGGTATTCAACTTGCTTTGGAGAAAGTTGGGAATCTCCAGAGGTTCCACAACATCGTGTGCGGTGATATGGAATTCGTAATCAGTGGGATCGAAATGCAGTAGTAAAATCAAAAGCACAGTCGTCATGTTATGCGTCAGGAGAGAAAACTCCGATTCGTCGTGGCCAGTTCGCTTGGAGGCGGGGTTGAGCTTTTGCGGGCAACAGAAAGTCAACATACAGCCAGAACTGAAGTCAATTGCAACGTAGAACCTCCGCTTGAGCCGAGAGAAAGCTTGGGGCGCGGGATAGCTTGCAGAAAGGGTATCTGGCGCGTTGCCCTTCTTCTCTGCATCAACTTTCAGCAGCAAAAGCATGATTCGTGGGATTTCGAAAGACGCGCACTGCGGAAAAGAATTTTGGAAGGAATGAGATGCGGTTTGATGATTATTTGTTCCCGAGGAAACATCTGATCTGAGATTGGCCTTGAGGTGACAGCAATGCACTGCAGTTGTCATCTCATGCCAGGAGTGAAGTGCCGAACTCCGTATCCACATGTAACATTGTGCGAGCATGGCGGTAAATTTTGGCACCTGAGTCAATGAGATACGAAGAGAAAACAAAAAGCGTAATGGAAGATTGCGATAGCGAAACATGCATAATGCTCAAAATGCCGTCTTGTTGTCTGTACCTATACAGAATACACCAAAGCTTCTTTTAATACATGCTGACATATGGCTCTTATCGAAAATGTGGCTGCTGTCGGCGGAGCTGGCATGTTCGAATGGAGAGAAGTCGGAGAAAAGATGTTCGGAAACAGTTGGCCTTGTAATGTACGTGTCATCGACCCGGGAAATGACGGGGAAACGCCGATATACCGAAATGCCGATAATCCACCCGGAACTACGCCGAAATTCCGCACGCATCCGCGAAACGGCCCCATTTATCCGGAAGCACTCGGCCCCGCACCAACCCCGCGCCATCGGTGAGTCGGCCGGGAACCACCGTCAACCACCAAATCCGTCCCGTTGATGTAGGAAGCGTCCGGCCCTGCAAGAAACGCAACAGCGCCGGCAATATCATCCGGCGTTCCGATGCGACCGAGCGGTACAGCATCGATCATGCCCTGCAATCCAGCCCCTTGGGCTGACTGCATAACTTGCCCAATCATCGGAGTCATCACTACGCCAGGGCTGACGGTGTTGATCCGCACACCTTGGCGACCCCAAGCAATGGCGGCGTACCGGGCACGAACAATACAACCTCGCTTTGAGAGGGAGTAAGCAGTGCCTGGGTCTCCAGCAAGATCGAGCTCAGAGTGATTGAGAAGCTCGGAGACGGGAGCAGTTGCGAAATGGTCGTCAAGAGCAGCATTCGGAGGCTTTAAGTGACCTGCGACAGATGCGATGATTGTGAGAGAGCCACCCGGAGCCATATGCGGGAGGAAAGTCTCGACGATAAGAGACGCGCCGACAAGATTCGTTAAATAGATTAATTTGGCGTCGTTCGCCGCATTCGAGACACCGGCCGTCACAACGACTGTCTGAACCGTACCGAGACTGGCTGCAGTCGCCGCGAATGATTCTACAGAGTCTTTGGAGGTGATGTCGACCTTTTGAGAAGAGAAGAAATGGCCGGTGGATCGCAATGAATCCTCAGCTGCGGAAAGGGTTGTCGCGGAGAAGTCGGAAATAAGGACGTGATGGGACGGACCGAGCCGGCGTGCGATGGCCAATCCCATGCTACCGGCACCAATGATAACCAAAACCGGGCGATGTTGCGGCATTTTTGGCAATGATTAGCTGTTAATCTGCTCGAAATGATGAAGATATTTCAGACTTTTTCTACGGGATTCGCATCAGCTTCTTAAAGAGGGTTTTAGTCTCGGATTCGGAACAGACGGGCTTCGCTTCTGGGTTAGAGCAAGCTGACTTCAATTCGCCAAGAGACAGGCGGCCATCAGCCAAGCCATAGTCGTATTCGCATTCGTACCTCGCTCACAGCGGACATGAGCGCAGTCCCACGAATCCGAAATGAGCCCTCGCAACTGCATTCATCAGCTTCACTGCCTTGACGGACTCGCTTGAGCTAAAGCCCCCGAGACTAAGGCTCAGAAGTCGCAACTCTTTTGGTTAGTTGCTAAAGCCCATGTTGTTGTTGCATCCGCAGACCTGATCTCAAGTCTGACGGACCAATCAAATTGAACTGAATTTCAGAGACTATGGATGGAGAAGTAACATCATGGTTGAATGTTCGTAAGCACAACTACGAACCTTGTCGTTTTATAGCTTGACAGCTCACGTGTATGGACTTGTAATTCATTCTTATGAACATCCTCGTAGATTGTGGACGAGATATACTTAGCTTCACACGACGAGTCGCGAAGAACGACTATGTATCTATTTGGGCGCGGAGGAACTCAGAGCCGGCATCTTCCCGATCCAACCATCCGCCTTACCCTCAGCGGCATCTGCAAGCCACTTCGCCAACGCTCCTCTCTTCATAGAGGATGTCCAACCTGATTCACCAATCCAACCTGTGAAAAGTTGTTCTTCTCTGTCTTTCCTCCAACCCTCCTCGTCAGACTCTCCAGGGATCTGTGCGATGCGGAAAACCGTCCAATCAAGACCGTCAGCTTCGTTCTCGAATGCCTTGGCAAGATTCAGCATGTTGCCGTAGATGGCACTAGCGAAGAGACACATGAACGTGGTAACCATGGTTTGAAACATAGTCCAATGGTCTTCGGATTTCTTGATAGACAGTGTGCCCATAGCGAGAATGCGTCTGACGCCATGCTTCCTCATTGATGGAAACACGTAAGACCGGTAAATGTCCGCAAAGAGCGATGGGTCGATCTTGGTGTTGTTGATATCTGGGCCCAAAAGAGAAATCACGACTGAGCATTGTGCCATTGCAGACGACAAAGCGGTCGAGTCGCTCATTTCGCCTTTGACAACCTTTGAGAATGTAAGTCATTGCTGATTTCGTACTTCAAAGAGTACCAGGTCCTTTCTCAACACTTACTTCGATCAGAGGACTTGAAGCCAAGTCATGGGGTATCTTGGCGGGATTCCTGGCGAAGACAACAGTCGCGTGACCGCGATGAATGAGCTCCCGCAACAGACAGATGCCCGCCGGCCCTGTGCCCCCAAGAACGAGAATCTTGCTGCCTGCCATTCTGAATGAGACGTGTTGACTTTGCTGAATGTCTTAGTAGGACTCACATCAGGGTTTCTCGACGCTTTAACATGAACGAATCTCCGCATTGATTGATGTTTCTGCTCCGCTGACCAACTTGATAGTTGCGATAGTTGTCCAACAACATGCCAAAGTCCGCCGCGCTATGTTCGAAGTCCGGCGCCCAAGTCGAATCCCGCGCGGAAACCATTCCGGGCGGGAAACTTTTGCGCGCGGACCCAACTGAGGCGGGCCGCGCCCCGAGCGGGTCTTTAAGACCTATCGTCCGAGTCCAAGGTCAAGCGCGCGGAAAACCTCACCTCTCTTTCAGCTTATCCTGTCATCTTGCGCAAGACCGAATTACCTTATCGGAAAATATAGGGAAAAAACGACCCGATACCTGAGAAACACGAAACAATGCCCCGGGGCACGTTGAGCTGCTGGACGTGCCGCCTACGCCACAAGAAATGCGACGAATCACTCCCCGTGTGCCATGTCTGTGCCGGCCTGGAAATCACTTGCTACTCCGGCCAGGAGGTTCCGGACTGGATGGACGGCGGCGTGAGACAGCAGGCTATGGCCGACCAACTCAAGGTTGAAGTCCGGAACGGGGCCAAGCGGCGTAGGGCTAGGAGGATCTTGCAGCGCATCGTCGGAGACGCCCATGAAATACCTGCCAACTTATTTGTTCTGGATCCTCCCGCTCACCTAGCCTCCCGTCCGGCACAAACTTCGGCGGACAACCACGCGAATAGCCCAGATACATCTCAGACGACGTCTCGCCAGAACGGCACTCGATCCAGGTCTTTCACCACATCCCCTGGCTCTGAACACGCCATCGACCCCTTACTGCAAGATGTGGCACCACCAACTCTACCGAACCTCCCCACGGAGCTGGAACAAAGTTACATCATGTCATACATCGACTATATCTTTCCCGCAGTGTTCCCGTTTTACACACCGAGTGTCCTTGAAGGAGGGCGGACATGGTTACTGATCCTCACCCTTGCAAACAAATCACTTTGCCACGCGGCTACTAGCCTCTCGTCGTACTTCTACTCTGTTGTGCCTGTCCAACAACGATCAGAGAGACGAGATTGCGTACCGGAAGCCGAAAGCGAAGTGCAAAACCAAACATGCATGGCCATGAGGAAAGCTCAATTCGACTTGAACGAGGTCAGTAAGCGCGGTGTCCACGGAGACTTACTTTCGAGCGCCCGCCTATTCGACAGTATTGTACATCTGATGTGCCTGGAGGTATCCATCGCTGCGAACGAAAACTGGCAGTTCCATCTGGATGCCGCAATTCTTCTATTCAAACAGATTCTCGAATTTCCCGGAGATATCGGAACACATCGGTCAAAATGGGACGCCATGTTGGAACACATGCGACGACTCGCACATCCCGCCATGGAAAATCCGCCCCGCTGGCCAGCGTGGACAGTCGACCAAGCCGCCTTCCGTTTCTTCTCCAGTCTCCTAATCGTCCACGACATCATTTACAGCACAGGTTTGGAGCAAATCCCGAGACTCCGAGCATTTTATCCTGTTGTGCTAGCAGGCGAGGACGAACCAAAAGAAGATCCGGACCGAAATTGTCGTCTACGTCTGGAAGACTATGTCGGCTGTCAGAACTGGACCATGATACTTGTGGGAGAGGTCGCCGCCCTGGATGCTTGGAAGAAAAACATGCACAAAAAAGGAGCCTTGTCACTTATGCATCTTGTCAAGCGCGGAGCAGAGATTGAGCAAAACCTACGAGCAGGCTTAACTCGGATCAGCAACACCGAGTCCATTGCAAAAGATCACCGACCTCCATGGCTGGCAGATTCCGAACAAGCACAAACCGAAGCCGACGCCTGTCACCTCGTGACCCAAATTTGGGCTCATGCAGGCCTCGTTTATCTCCATGTGGTCCTCTCTGGATGGCAACCAGCAAACGACGAAATCTCCGAGTCTGTAGCCCGAACGATCGAACTATGCAAACAATTGAATACGCCCCGGAGGATACATACGCTGGCGTGGCCGCTTTGTGTGGCAGGGTGTTTGGCAAAACCCGAGCAAGAACATCTGTTCCGCGAACTCTTTTCGCACATGGGACCTTTGGGACTGTTTGGATCAACCAAACTAACGATGGAGATTGTGGAAGGCGTTTGGCAAAAACGAGGAAGTATTGCAGCCGACTCTTGGGATCTGGCCGCTTGTTTGAACAGCCTAGGGCGACGAGTATTACTTGGATAAGTAAGGTATGCCGCCAAGTTCGCAATGTTGCTCACTTACACGACATGAAAAGACAGCATTTCATTGGCTCAATACGGTGTCATGCAGGCCATGTATGCCGGTGGGATAAAGTATATAACTGACATTCTGTTGTAAAGACAACTGGACAGATATCGATCCAAGCGCCTCGGAGCGACAAAATCAACTAGAAGTCGCATGCCATCTAGAAGAAAGCAAACAACTCTAACTTCGTGTTGGGTAAGATGCACAAGATTGTTCACTCCCTAAAGCTTCAAAGCATTTTGAATGTCTCTGACGATATCTCGGCTACCAGTCACCAACATAGCAATAGTCTGTCCCCAAGCCTTGACGCCTTTACATGTATTCACAATCGGTCAGCGGAGACACAAATTCGACCGTCTTCTGTTGTCGCCCCGAACGATCACGAGAACCGATACGTCCGACCTATCATATCGCTCGGCCGGTATACGATTCATACGCCATGTTCATATCCTTGCTCCCCTTGTGGTCGAGAGGGACCATGGCAATGCCCGACGACTCGTGCACATTCTTATCCATATCAGGAGTCTCGTTATGGGTAATGAGAGCTGTATTGTCGTCGAACTCTCCACCACCGGCTCTGCTGCGCCCATACTTTGGACCACCCGCGGTTCCGATTTGCGTATACTTGTGCTGACCCCAAGTCTGAACGCGCTTCAACAGAGTCAACGGTCTTGGTCCATTGTTGACATTAACATTGACGTGAATGACATTGGGTTGGCCAGTGACCATGCCACTCGTTGGGCCCTTCATGCCTCGAGCCGGTACGACGTTTCGAGTCTTCATGCTCATCAGGATGGAAGCAAGAAGGGAAAAGGCGAAGGCGATCCACGTTGGGACGAGAAGCAAGCCGAGCTCAGAAGAGATGCCGATCCTGTTGAACTCATCATTCATCGCACTTTCGACTTTGTTGAAGATGATGGTCGCTGCAACAGACGCCGCCAGGAGACAAATGGTAGCTGTGGAAGACATGACGGCGCCTGCGATACCAGCCCTTCCGAACCGACCGCTGATCACCGAGGCAATCGATGCGAGAATCGACAGACCGAACGCGAAGATGTATGCGACACCAAAGAAGGAAGACGTCTTGGCATAGTTGTTCAGGGCATTGGTGAGGTTTTCGGAGAACGTTCCGGCAATGGAGGTCGCGTCCAATTTGAGTTCGATCCAAGGGTCGAACCAGTACCCGATGCGACGGTAGCTGCACACTGTCTCGCCATTTCCGTGACCACAGGCCCCGAGAAGGGTGACATAGTATATGTTGGAGATTTGAAGGGTTGCCGTTGTCGCGTCTTGGCCAACGAGGTCGGCGCCGGAAACCTTGGACATATCTTGCAGGTATTGGGATCCGCCGAGTTTTGCTGGAATGTTCAAATTCGTAGCATCGACCTTTGAGCGATTGTTAGTTCAGCATGGTATTGGTGTTTGGATAAATGTCAGAACAATCACCCACCTTCATGAATGCCATCTTGTCTCCAACTCCCGGCCGAGATCCCGATGCAATGATGACCACGATCAGCATGGCAACGATCATGGACGCCAGGATTGGCAGGAAGGTGAATGCAGGCACTCTGCCTGTTTGAAAATTCCGTGCCATCGTGCTTGTCGTTCTCTGAAGGGTGACGATAGTGCTGTAAAATGAGGGGCAAGGGTGCCGATTCTGGGATGTTGTGGAGGGTCCAGCTAGATGTATGGAGGTGCAATGACAGTGATCTCGACTCGGCCGATGAGAGAGGACTAACGATAGGCAGCCGCGAGTCTCCGGTTTAACTTTTGATGATCGTAAAGGCAAGAAACATTTAAGCGCGATGCCAAGTGGGTGTGCTACAAGTGGCGTGCTCACGGGAGATGAACGGCGACCGATCGAGGTTTAACTAACACATCCGAGCGCCCGTTGAGTTGGCGGCAGTCGCTTAGTTCTTACGTGAGCATCCATTTGTTCGTGTTACCGGCTTGGCTTGCCATGTTTTCCTTCATGCATTTCGTGGTTTGAATGCTAATCGGCTGAAGTTGAACCATCATCCGGTGTTCGAGTCTGCCTCGTGTTCGGATGACGATGAGTCCGGACGAGGGTGCATAGTAGGTGAGCTGCGACTAACATTCACAACGTCCGTGAGATCAGCTAGAAGAGACGAAAAAAGTAGTGGAAGGTCGTTGTTCCGCGGTAGGGGTTCACTCATGATTCATCGGGTAGCGGAATAGACGACATCCGCGTGGCACAGCGGAAAATGCCCGGTCCAGGAGGCTGGGTTTGAACACAGAATAGCCGCCTAGCAACACCATGGGTCTCAGAAGGATCAACAAGCCAAGAACTAGCCGGTTATAGATAAGCATGCTATTTCGAAATCCCATCTTGGCACGCAACACACGGATGCTTGGTCATCCTGGGCTTAGCGCAGCCCTATTCCATCCTCAAGCTAATGCGGAGAGCGTGGCGTCTGCTCAGCCCAACCGGTCCCTCGAACATGATGGCGCCGTCCCCTTGGCGTCTGTATGGAGGTTTGTCTGGTGAATCAATGGCTCAACAAGGTGGGAACCGGTATGGCAAACAGCTTCACTATCGAGAAAATGGTGAAATATCGCAGGTCACCCCGCGTTTTTGGTGCCATGCTACTTCAGTCTCCAGCGCCTTGACAAGTCCTGGTTGTCTTCAAACTCACCAGCATCATGAAACTTTCTTTCACTTCAGCGGTTGTCACCGCGACTATTCTGTCTGGCGTGCAGGCCGCGCACTTCGAGGTCAATGTTGGGAAGAATAACCAGCTTAAGTTTGACCCGGAGACCTTGACTGCGAACCGTGGTGATACGATCAATTACAACTTCTTTTCCAAGGTAAGAGACCATTGGCATCTCACGTTGACCGAAGTGAAGGCTAACCTTGACGCAGAATCACTCAGTCACCCAGTCGTCTTTCGACAGCCCCTGTGCACCTCTCGCCAACGGCGGCTTCTTCTCCGCCTTTGTGCCCTCAGCCTCAGAGATCGCACCTGGGAAGACGACTTTCACAATCACCGTAAATGACACGAAGCCAATTTGGGTGTTCTGCGGCCAGGGCAATCACTGCCAGCAGGGCATGTTACACAGCATCAATGCTCCCGCCTCTGGAAACACCTTTGACACGTTCAGGGAGAAGGCCAAGAGCGCTGGCCCAAGCACATCTCCTCCCGATGGTCTTCCTGTTGGTGGACAGCGTATCTCCAAGGTTGATGTCGGTCTCAATGGGGGTCTCACTTTCATCCCGAATGACATCAAAGAGCCGCCCAGGACATACGTCGAGTTCAGCTTCAACCCGAGAAACCATTCCGTCACACAGTCCTCCTTCGACAAGCCGTGTGAGCCTGTTGCCAACGGCTTCAGCAGTGGTCTCATTCCTACTGCGCTCAGTCCCTCTGGTGTGACATTCAGAATCCTCATCAATGACACGAAGCCGTAAGTCCATGTCAGGTCACCGTGCTCTGAGACATGCCACTAACTCTCCCGAAGCCTTTGGTTTTACTGTGCCCAAACGACAGGAACACATTGCCAAAAGGGCATGGTTGGAGCCGTCAACGCTCCAGCTCAGGGCAACACCCTCCAGGCCTTCACAGATCTCGCAACCAAGGCTCCGCCAAGCACCCTCCCCGCGATAGCGCCCTTGGGCGGTGTTCTACGCGCGAACGGCACAATTCTGCCGATGGTCAACTCCGCCGTCGTCAACGTGACAGCACTCACCGCTGAAATTATCAGCTACATACCCAAGCCGGGCGACAATGATCAGTACATGATGGGCAAAGCCGGTGGTGGCTCCATCGTCAACTGGAACTTCGGCAACAACATCAGCGACTCGGCCGTCGAGCACTTGCAGTTGATCCAATTCCTCGACAACATTCTTCTCAAGGTTCTCTTCGCTGGATACGAGAACCTCAAAGACGGTGGAAAGTGGGCTAACGTTTGGCCTGAGACGATTGTCGAGACGATCGGCACTATGGCTGCGCAGGCTTGGGTTCACCGCGGCACGGCGACGGATTCTCTGCAGCATTTCTCCAAGACCGTGTTAAAGGAATGCTCTTATGCTATCCCTGATCTCGATATTGACGCGTTCTTAAAGACGACTCTGACGGTTCTGTTGCTCGAGATCGGACTCATCATCGATGCGACTGCACTCCTAGCTCCCTCCGACCCGTGGCTCATACCAGCTCTGGCAACGTCTCTTGGTGCCAAGTCACGAATGACCGCGGTAGTCAACCTGATGCAGAACCATATCGCGGCTGCCGCGCCCCGTGAAGTCTCTATTCCTGCGGAACTGGTCTACTCGTATGCCATGCACCACTACGTCTCTTCTTGCCCGGACAAGCTGGCTTGGGATAAGCCGCTCAGCAAGTTGTCCATCAAGGGTCAAGGGTTGGACCAGGCACAGAGGCTGATGGGAGTCGAGGTGCAGTGGGAGGGCAAGCACGACGGTGACCTATTTCTTGCCTGGCTTGGTCCTTGGGGAGAGGTCAAGTTCTCGCAGATCGTTGATGGAAAGGCTGCCGTGCCTGACGCTCTTTACGGCCACGTTTGGGTAGTCGTCACAACTAAGAAAGACATCAAGAGCTCGGAGGTGGCCGGGGCGGCTGTTGCTGGACCGGAGATGGTGTGGGTGACTCAGCCTTAATGGCTTAAGGTAGGGTATGAATGACAGGTCTTGAAGTTGTACGGCGGGAATTGGCTGGCAGTTCTTATAACGAAGTAAATGTGGCGCATGAAGTGTATCTTTCCATGTAGTAGCTGTCGTAGACGTTGTATATACATATTTCCATTACACATTACACATCTGCTCATCTATACTCGATGACTTATCGTCACCTTCATGCCGTACTTGTACCATTTCCAGCCGACTGATACTTTAGGATGAAATGCACTGTCTCGAACACATCCCAGTCTTCCTTCTTCTCCCGGTCGCCATAGATCCTCAGAGCACTGACCTTCATCTTGTAAACACCAGGCTCCAATACCGTACCATCGGCCAGCAGGCCGTTGAAGAATGCCCGTTGGTCGAGACGGGTGACGTAGGAAAGAGGCCATCCGGCCAGGCCTCCAACATTCTCCTCTTTGCCTCCGCTAACAGACAGAACTTCGACCTGGATTGAGGCAGTGCCGACGGTGGGCTGGATGTAGACGTTCGGAGTCGCGGATTGATCACCGCGGTCAGTCCGCGGAGGGTTGGCTGGGTCCGGGCGAGGGATGGTGTAAGTCCGGTTCGCGGGCACAACGCCGTTGTACTCAGCGAGATACACCTGAGACGTTGTCAAAACTGGGGTGTCGTACATGCTACCGACAACGCCTAGGTAAGGCAAGTTCAGAGAAGGTGCGTCAGTGGTGCTTGTGAGAATGACATATCCGCTGTAGACGGGGAGACGGGTGCCGTTGAGGTTGGAGGGTGGGATGCAGGTAATGGTCAGATCGATTGAGGCCCCAGCTGGTATGGTAACCTTTCTGTCGAGGAAGTTAGAGAAGAGTATGACAAGCATCAATGATGTTGGCTCATGACTTACTCGGAGCTGAACTGGATCTCAGCCCATTCCTCGACAATGGGGTTGGGGAAGTATCCTGCCCTCAAGCGGTCGGAGTTTTCTAGGAAGGTATACATCGTGACGGCCTTGCGATGGCTGACCTCAAAGACTACCTCGGCAGCGCCATTGTTTTTGATGTTGACAGTGTGGTTGCCGATGAAGTTATCGGTGTCGTTGAAAGAAATTGAGTCGACACTGAGCTCAACTGTTGTGCGAGCGGCATCAAACGCCTGAACAATACCAGCGCCCTGTTGAGGAACAGGTGCAAGAATGTCGGAGTGAGCCGATGTGCCGTCATACCAGTCAAGCTGTCTCGAAGTAGAAGACAGGAAAGAGGCAAGGCGCTTGGGGTCCTTGGTGCCGTGAGCTTCTGCAAGAAGGGCATAGATGGCAGCAGTCATGGGGCAAGACATGCTCGTACCAGTCATTACGCGGTAAGAACCGAGTGCAACTGGGTAGGTAGACAGGATATTTGCGCCGGGAGCAGCAAACTGAGGGCTGGCGTCGAGCTCCCATGTGGGACCCCAACTAGAGAAAGAGCCCATGTAGCTACCGCTGCTGTTGTTCTCGAGATTCTCCAGGCGGGTCTTGGTGTTGTTGGCATCGGGGATGGAGACGGTGACGCTCCTACCTTGACTCAAGAGGGACAGCCACTGCGCAGATTGGTAGGGGGGGACGGAAGCGACGCCCAGGATGCCATCAGAGTAGACGTATTGCTCGTCGCGCATGGTTCTAATAAAACTGTCAGTCGATCAATGCTCTAAACCAACAACTATTGACAACTCACGTGTTGTCGTTCGTGTAGTAGATGATGTAGTGTCCACCCTTTGCAGCTACATTAACGCCCTGGTCGTTCGGGTAGCAGCCGGTGGCGCGAGAGTCCGGGAATTGCAACAGTGCAATCTTGTTGCTTAAGTCTGGTGTATCTTCGGAAAGAGCGCTGCAGGCATCTCCGGCCCAGAGTTGAAGTGAGAGATCGCCGGTGAGAGCGGGAACACCGGGCAAATAACCGAAGTCAGTCTTACTGCTGCCGGTCGAGTTAGAGCCGACGGTGAAAGTGCCGGCGTTGAGGAGAGTTGGGAACAAGGAGTTGGTCACAGCTCCGATGCCGGCAACACCACGACCGGTGGCCGGAGTGGAGGCGTAGAACAGACCCGATCCGCCGTCGTTGCCCTCGGAGATGACAACGGGAACACCGGCGTCGACGATGCGTGCCGCAAGCACACCCCAGGCATCCTCAGCCCAGCCAGAAGCACTAGATGCGTCAGTGAGTTCATCACTACAGCGCTTCAGACATGTACTTACTCTCCGTCAGAGCAGGAGATAATATCGGCTCCCTCCTCAAACGCGCGACTGAAAGCAGCCATCAAGATCTCAGTAGTAGAGGAAGCGGCACATCCCCATGCACGGTATGCAGCCAGCTTGACTCCGGGTGCGGCGCCTGTGAAGCCATACTCGTTGCCTTCGAGCTGCGCAGCAATGATGCCGGCAACATGTGTTCCGTGACCAACGCAGTCATCCATAGGGTCGGCATCGGGTTGAAGGGGTCTGACTCCCGGGAGGAAATCATCACCAGTGAAATCCCAGCCGGCTTCAACCAAGCAACCAGGACCGAAGCACCCGCCAAGGGCAGGATGCGTCCAGTCAACACCGCTATCGATGATTCCGACGCGAATTCCCTTGCCCGTGATACCTTGATCTCTCAGCTTGTCCACCTGCGTCATGAGATGAGGAGAAAAAGTGTCCTGGGTCGAGTTGCCGGGGGCGCCACCCTGACGCTTGGCGCGAGCCGATTTTGCCGTAGGAGTCTTGGTGGGCGCGCCATTGTCCTCGGGTAAGTCAAGCTTGATGGTCCTCACAGGCCATACGTTCTTGATTCGAGAGGAACCTCCGATCTGGCGACGCAAAAGCGCGCTATCGTGATGCGCCGCGCTCGAGTTCTTGACCTGGAAAGAGACTCCCTTGAAGAAGCGGTAGTTCAGGTCCATGCGCGTATCGACATCGAGACCATCGGCCTTGAGGGCCTCCAAGAAGCTCGCCGGAGTGTCGTTATCGTCGGCGAACTCGACAATGTAGGCGCCTTGAAGAACCTCGGAGCGGCTCTTCGCCGGCTGGCTGTCTTCCGACTGGGCCCGGGGGAGATGAACCGCGGCCGGGGGGTCCGGGGAAACGCGCGGGTGGAGCGGCTTGCCCGTCGCGGCGTTGGCGCCCAGCAGGACCGAGATGAGCGCGTGCGAAACCTTCATCCTGACTTGAGCTGATCACTGGCTCGCGCAACGTAGGCTAGTGGATGAAGAGGACAAAGTCGATGATCGCGAGCCGCCGCGGGCTCTTCCGTTGATATACACGGGAGGCCCGCATCCCCTCGCGGGGATTGTTTATCGGCTCACGAGCCTAATGACATGACCTGGAGATGAAGAACGGCAAATACGAGCTTTCTTTCGTGATCTGCGCGTAGATCCCCGGCTTTGCAGGGGGCGGCTCCACGTTGCCTGCATCCATGCGATGCGCCGAGATCCCCGAGCCTCATCCGGACCGTCAAGACAGCACAGTATGGATTACTTCCATCAATGCTGGTGATCTTTGCATGCGTCCCTTAACTATGAAAAGGTTCATTTGAGTCTGACGCTCACATCAATCAATCCGTGAATATTCCCGGATGTACGGAGTAGTGAACTAAGTGTCATATTTTAGGTGCCGCCCCCTGTTCGTGTATTTCCACTCAAAGTAGCATTCGCTAGAGTTGCCGATGTGACCTTGCGACATGGATGACAGGAGTTGCTCGTGTTTATCCGTGGAACAAAGCTCGTCATCGCCTTCGAGGTACCAAGTCATCGAGACAGCAATTAGTTGATAGTATTGCAAAGTAAATATCAAAAATTGTTTTATCCCCCTTTTTTCCCCTTTTTTTTCACAGAGAGAGCCAAATATTTCAGCATCAACTCATTCGCGACTTCCAGAGTCCTCGAAAGTTGATGGCAATAACCTTAAAGAAGGCGACCAGGCCTCCGTCTTACAAAACAAGCGGTCCGAAAGATCTACCTCCACTTGCCTCACACAGTCGGAGGTTTTTCATAAGTTCTTTCGCTGGCGTGTATGCAACGACCATGTTACGCGGTATGAAGTCAACAGCAAACCATTCCGACAGCTGGCTTTCGGCCACAGGAACACGCAAGTGGCGCCGGATATTAAGAGTTGAGATGAACATTGTCGCATCATCGCCTTCGCCGGCTTTCCACACCGGCAGCTCCACGGTCTTGTCCAAGAACTCCAAGGTCACTGTGGACAGTTCCATTTCCCCCGGTCGTATCTCTGCCACACAAACATTCGGGTGGTTTCCGCGAAGGAGGAGTCGAGCTCTCTTGATAGCATCAGCTATTAATGGAGTTAGTTAGAATTATCCATGAGCCGATGAACACTTTCTAGCTTTGCGTTACCCTTATTGTCGAAGACAGATATGAATGGCGATGGCTCTGAAGATCGGTCGTTCCAATCCAGATGTTTCATGAATTTTCCTGCGTTGATCCAATGCTCGTAACGCATGTAATCACGGGCTTTGGCGTCGAAGCCCTGGTAAGGAGAGTACGCCGTGAAGGAATAGCGGCTTTGGACGCGGTAGAAAGTGCGATTGGAATCCATTGGGGAATTGGTGATGGTGTGTATCTCGTTTGGAGTGATTTATGAGTGTTTCTTTCCATATTCCAAGATAGCAGAGTCACACCACTTTAAGCCAGTCTTATATACAGGTAAAAGCTCGACATGGAGATGCATCAAATTGGGCAAGTCTATTCTTCTGAACGTGGAACTTTGACGATCTCGATATTCCGGTTTCGACGCAACTCAAAGTGAAAGTATACTTATGATTTACTGTTTCTTCTTTAGAAGATGGACACTCGGTCTATTCACTCATTCGCGAAGTTTACCTGTGTTTAAAATCCAACTCAACCACGCTTGACGAATCCAACAGAAGATACGTTGTCACACACTCTTCACTCCCGACGTGCTCAAACCAACCATTAGTTTCGGCCCTTGATATTACTGAAAGACTTGTAAAGTGACGAAAACGATGTGATATTAGACTCAAATCTCACGGTATTGACTTCACCGTCGTTTCAGTCTATCGGAACGGTCAACTATGGCAGCACATGAAAGCAAATGCTCAAACTCCACTGCGTCTGAGTTGTTCCACATGGTTCAGCAGACGCTTGACCTCGGCCTCTCGGTTATTCGTTGCTGCAGTTGAATCCCACTCAGACATTGCCGTGACACAATCCTCAATCTCCGCCGTCAACTTACCAGGGTCACTTCGTGCGGTGAACAAGATGTTGTCCAACCAGGTCAAGATCATCTCCCTTCTCTGTTGCATACTCTGTGCCAATATTTGCAGCTCTGTATGCTGTCCTTGAAGTTCGAACGCGAGCCTATCGATCAAATTGTCAGCAGAGTCCGCGGAGACGGCGTGGGCAGTCGCGGCGTTTTTGATAGAACAATGACTGGCGTCATCCTGTTGGGTAGAGTCAGCATCATTGAAACACTTCTCCAGCTGCCTAACCAGAACTGCCTCGCTTGAGACATTCGATCCACAGAAAGAATACGATGATGATTCTGTCGAATCTTCCACAGTGCCTGCCTGTGACGATTTTGAAGAACGAGAGAGAAGGCTGGGAGGTGGCGGACGGAGAGGTGAAGACATCTCTCTCAGAATGTCTTTCATGGTTGAGGAGAACTTGGCGAGGAACTCCCCGGAGATGTATGAGTCAGCATCGTTGGGAGCATCTGTGATGTCTTGAGTGCTTCTATCGACGTGTGGTTGTAAAGGCGCGTCTGCGGAAGTTTTCTCGTATGCGTTGCCATCATTGGTTGCGATATCTTTGTTGACAAACTCACTTGAAAACGTGGCCTGAACCGGCTGCGTCTGAGATGTCGAGGTTGAGGTGTTCATTCTGCTTGCTGTGTCTGTATCGTTTGTCGTGGAGGTTTGACTTACTGTTTCTTTTCTGCATGATAATTCGATTTTGCTGGATCGAGTCGTCAACTTATAAGAATGATTGAAATTCGAGAATACTGAGAGTTTAGGACTTCTCATATCTCTTTGATGAACTATGTTCTTTACTTTGGAAACAACGCCTTTGTATTCGTTCTCAGGTCGCTTTTGTGACCACCCAAGCCATCACCCTTCCAACAAAGCAAGTCGTACCTCATTTTCAATGAGTCTTTCATGAGTTTATGAAACGTATTATGGTGACTTATGAGACTCGATCTCAATCAGTGTCCCAGTCGTGGACATCACTGATCAAACATAATGACCGAACTCACTCCTGGTGGCTTGAAGAAAACCACTATGGCCCCACTTGCATCATCTTATCAGTGACTATTGCACCTTGTACACATTGGCTTTACTTCCAAGCGACAGTTGCCCCGGTGTTGTGAGACTCTCTCGCCAGCTCAATGATCCTGATCGCATCCCGCGACTGCGTAGCCTTCACCTCGAGCTCGGCCTTGCCGTTGATGGCATCGGCCAAGTTCTCGTAAATGCCCAGCCAGCGACCGGTGATGCTCGGGTACTTTCCGACGTACTTCTTGGTCGCCTCGTCGAACTTCTGGACGCTCCCATCAAACTCCTTGTAAGTTGTCAGAGTGCCGCGCAGTTCAGCGGGCTCTTCGCCGAATCCCGGCTCGAGCGGGCTGCGACCTTCCGCGATTTGCTCTTCCTGGGGGCAGGTGCTTCTCTGTTGGAACTAGAGAGGTGTTAGAGGAGTTCTGTCAATCGTGATTGTGTTCTCTTACCTTGATCCACGAGCCCTTGGTTCCACGGACCAGATGCTTCAGTTGCTGAGACAAAGGCGTTGTGACCGACGTCTTGACCGTGACGAGAAGGTCCTTCTGCGCACCGTCGTACTGAAGGACAATGGTGAAAGAGTCCTCGACCTCGCTGTCAATGCCGCGCTGAGCTCTGAAAAAGCCAGTCACGGACTTGGGTCGGCCGAACAATGTCACTGCCTGATCAATGCTGTGTGTTCCTGCACAAGGTCATTGTTAGGGGCCCTATCGTGGAAAGAAAGATTTCATCGACTTGGGGATAATCTTACCAAGACCAAAAGCCATTCCATCACCGGGGGTGTACTCCTTCTTGTTCATCATGCTGAGCCATGGTGGCGACTCAAAGTCATAGTGAATCTCAGCTTCCTTGATGTCACCAAGAGCATCCGCCTTCACCAGCTTTCGCAGTGTTTGGAAATCGCCATCCTAGAAGATCTGTTAGTTCACACATCCCAACAGTCAGAATGGGTTTGATTCTTCCTACCCATCTGCGGTTTTGGAAGCAAGTCAAGATCAGTCCCTTCTCGTTGGCAATCTTGATAACACGGTCTGCTTCTTCGGATGATCTCGCGAAAGGCTTGTCGGCAATGGCTAAGATAATGTCAGTTCGCCGCAAAATGCCTATGAGGTGGGAGATGAGGAAATCAGCTTACCATGCTTTCCAGCCAACAACGCCTTCTCAGCAAACGATGCGTGTGTATCAGTGTGAGTAGCAACAACAACAAGCTGGATGTCGGCGTCGGCGAAGAAATCCTCGGCGGTGCGGTAATGTCTGATGTTGGGGAAGTCGACCTTGCAGTGAGAACCGGCAGGCGCTGAAGAAATGTCCTTCGGGGCTTCGGCTCTCTGCAAGATGGCGATGACTTCGTAATCCTTGTCGGCCGTGATGAAGGGCAGGTGGAAGCTCTTGGCGGCGAAGCCGTAGCCAACAACACCAACTTTGATGGTAGACATTATGCACGAAATTTCGGATTTCGCACCGAAATGTTGGAAAATGATTTTAGTCGTATGAAATTGTTCAATAACTATATGGTGGTTGTCGTCTTTTTATCCCCCGGTTTTCAAGGTGCGGGGTGTTAGTCGTGCGACGATGCGGGATGGTGGAATGGAGGGGCGGGACGCGGGGTCCACGCCGACACTCCCCGGAGGATCTACAGCTCGGTATCGGGACTCATAACTTGAAATCCATCTTTACGGCTCAAACTCTGTCAGTACAGATCCAGGCGCTATCAGGTGTAAATTGCCAATTATATACTCGCTATGCGAAGCTTTACGTACTGTTTCCATGGCTCATTTTAGATTTGTTCATCACTAGAGCTGGTCCCTTTAGATACCGAAGATGACGATGAACTCGATCAGCTCAGGTTCAACAGACATATTGATTTCCACCGCAGATTGCCTTTCTCTTTTTCGTCATCGACAAGCTTGTTGGTTATCCCGCTCATCTAACAGCGTATGGAATCCGAACTGTTAAACTTACCAAATCGAGACTGGGCCAAGCTGATTAGTGGTAGGTATGACGTTATGCAAGATGCACAAAGTATTACCCGATAATCTGCCGTGCGTACTATTCCCCGCGGAGAATTATAGGCCTCTCCGTGAACAGCGCGTCAATTTCGCGTATTGGGCGCCGGGTGGGGTATGCGTTGTCGCGACCGGACTATTCATCATCTTGTCTCCGAAGACCGTTGACGGGACGCACCACCCGAGTATCAGAGACTGGGCGCTGTTTCTGCGTTGAAGCACACGAAACTTCAAGTCGAAATATGAGGGCCTGGGTGCCAACGGCTGCTTTGCCAGCCGGCTTCAGGCGTCTTCCAGCCCCCGCCAGCCCACCTGGCCAAGCCTAGTTCTTCTCTCCTTCACATCACCACATCGATACAGCAGTATTGTCCCTCCGCCCAGCCTCCTTTCTGTATCGGTCAAGCTGGGATCCCCTTTCTTCTCTACGATTGGCCCGTATCTGGTTTCCTAGCGGTCTAGCGCCGCCGGATAGACTCCACGGCTACAGTCATACCCCCAGTTACAGCTGAAAACAACATCAAGTCTGACGTGCAGGAAAAGTTGGCGCCAGATGGAGCGCCTTGTACAATCCGGGCCAAAGAAGAAGGAAAAGGATGCAGCCTTCAAGTTGAAGATAGGCGAATTTGGCCTATATCCCCACTGACGGACGTACTTGGGAAGGCGATGCTGCTCCCGAAGCTGCTATCGCCTGGGTTAGTGTCTCCTTCGCCCTCGAGGCAAGTTGCTTCTCATGGGCCAGTTGCTTCACGGATCCGCGAACATCCATTGATAGTACACCGTACGAATACCTGTCACTCCAGGCCCTGTTTCTTACCCTTGTGCGTGTCAAATCCTAAGTAAGGCAGCGTCTGCGTGTCACCGAAAGTGCTGTCAATCCAGATGTAGGCATTCATCGTTCAATTTCTGCTAAGAGCATCTTCATAACCCAAAACAAGATGATTCCTTTGTTGAAAAGCGAACCATATCCTTTTGAATAGAATATCGATCCACCTCGCTCTCTCTCTCTCTCTCTCTCTCAGAACCCATATCCAGACATGTTCTTCGCTAGAGGTTACGGCTAAAGTTCCTTTGATCAGTTTTAGATTCCTGACAGGAGGCTCCCCGCAACCTTCGCTACTTACACGCAACGTCTGCTAGCTTCATTGCATTTACAGCCCGACGAACAGTCATCATCTTTCAAGCAATACCCTATTGACAAAGGCGTTAGTGGAACAATTCCATGACAGTAATGCTCGAGGGCCATGATAGGCTACGCCAAGTAGATGGGTATATACCATCACACTGCATAGTAGCAGCGCCTCCGCTGAGATAGACCTGTACGTTGATGGCGTCAAGATGGGCCGGTTGTGGCTCGACTTGCTGGCGCTGGACCTCGGCGCCCTTCGAGGTATCCACTAAGATGACCTCGGTAGGCATGGCAAAAGAGCCGCCAATGACAGCGAAAAGGACGGCGAGGGTGGACTTCATTTTTCTGAGTGGTTGGAGTTGGTGAGTTCTGGTAGTGAAATGTGTTTGGGCTGAAAGTGAGATGAAGAAAGAGGTGGTCTATTTGGAAGCGGGTTCGAGAGGGCCTTTTTATACTTGATTATAGTCTTCAGTCCGGAATAGAACCTCCAGTCCGCGCCGATCGTCAATCCCTAGAGAGTTGGTATAAATGTAGCGACACCGTGACGCTCGAAGCGAGATTATCGTTTCCCGAATACGTTCAGAAAGGGTCAGAGTCCTACGTTGCAAGAGTCTCATATGGCCTCGCTATGTGGCCTCGATGGCCCCGCTTTCGCGGAGCATCTGGCCGCCGTACACGGCTTCCGGAGTAGTACACCGCCACAGAACGGCTGCCGTCTTGCTACGCGCTTGTACATAGGCTGGTCGGTTCTTCTTTCCGATCACAGTAACACCAGGAAGACGGGGTTGAGGGGCCTGGGGAACACTACATCGTGCGGCTTTTGTTGAGGGTAGTCTACGTTTGTCGATATGGTGATAGGATCTGTGGTAGCCGTGCCGGATGCCTAGAGGAAGCGAGGAAAGGAGGAGGCAGGAGGGAATGTATGTGGTCCTGGATGATAGGGGCCTGAGAGAAACGGCCAAAGCGAGTGGTTAAGAAGTATGGGAGGGGAGGGAATCACCATTAGCCCAAGTTGGGTGTTGGAGGGATGTTCCTCAGGGGAAGACGAGGCTAGGCCGGCAAGAAATGGAAATAAGTTTCTGGCGGAGTACCCATGCAGCGCTCTACCTCAATTCATCAGAGGGAACAAAGAGATCAGATTTGCCTTCTTATCACAGACTGCGTGCAACACCAAGATGGTCAAGCAGATCCCACACAACGAGAACCTGACGCATCGTGAGTACAATGTCCTCGGCAGCAGAAGTATTGAACTTAGCTCCCTGCCTCGTTAATATAGTAACCAAAGATGGGTAATTGCTGCTTAACGATTGGGCGCTATCCAGAGATCAAATGATATATGAGTGATTCTCGAACATTGCATAGGGGATATTCGCGTCGAGAATGACGGCATGGGCCGCATGGCAACAGGGGCAGTCAGAACAGTAGCGCTTAAGAGGACGTCCATAATCAGTAGGATCTCCATATTCCTCCAGAGTGCCCTTAGGGCTTAGAAGAGTGATATCCTGCTTGATCTTAAGATGATTCATAGCTCCTGATGTAGCAGATGCTGCATAACTTCCGGACAGTGCTTCGACGGTCACAGCGAGAGGAGACCCATAAAGAGTCTCAGTCTCCGACACAGACGAGGTCAGTACCGAGTGATTTTATGGCTGGGAAGAATTACTCGGGGTATTAGAGGGAATGTCGCGTATGAAGATGTCCTCATCCTTCACTCAACTCGTACGGCCTTAGGAACCCTTCCTTGAGAGGGGCATCGTATCGAACGAAGCGTTTGTTGCCGAGGCCGCTTGAAGTTGCTTAGCGATCGATCGCTGCACCGGGGCTTAATTGGGGTTGATTCGACGTGACGAAGGCGTCAATTGAGATTATACTGCACAAGCGAAGATTCCCATACAACTCACTTCGACTCCCAATTGTTCGCGTTATTACCTACTCGCTCCCCCCCTTTTTTTCGGAAAAGAAAATAATAGAGCTAGGTAGTATATCTACATCTAGCATTTGGGTTGCGTATTGCTGTCTGCGGAGAATCTCAGGCCTCTCCGTGAACAGCGCGTCGATTCCAATTTCCGCGTATCAAGAGTTGAGCGGGGTATGCCCCAGTCCCATTAGCAAGCGCGTTTTCGCGACCGGACTAGGTATCCCACGGTCTGTATCCGAGGGCCAAGCTATCAATGGTCAACGCACCACTCGTCCGGATGAGATTCGGAGACTGGGCGCTATTTCTGCGTTGAAGCACATGAAACTTACGCTCTAACTAACAGATCGGAATGTTGTTGGTGTTTCCGATTATGATGCAGGTGTTTAGAGACCTTTTCACTACTAGTTCCGTGGCATCGGGGCCGAGCATATGTCTCGTTCGCACTGAAAAGACTTTGTGATAACATGAACCGGTTCACTTGAACCAAAGCCAAAATGAAATGAGCGGTGTTCTAGTTCTTGGTGTTTCGGTATGCCAGTGGGATAGCGCACAGGTTCGCCCCGTCCATGCCGGCGGATCGACATGCCAAAAACAGTTCTCACAATGCAGGTTAGACTTCGATATTTTCAGATTGACCAATCAAACCACTTCGTCGGATGGCCAACCGCAAATGGTTTAGCCTCTGCTGAGCTATTGGTGATGGTTTCTGGCGTCTTTTATCAATGTCTTGAACGGGAGTGTTCACGTTTTCCTCTTGATCCTCGTGACTTAGCAAAAAGAAGTGAGAGCATGCGTTTGCAATAGACAAGACGCGAGTCACAAAAAATGGTCAATACCGGCAGATCATCCACTGGCTGCTTCGCCTGCAAGGAGAGAAAAGTCAAGGTAGGGCTGCAGCTTTGACCCTGGGGAAGCCCGAGGAGCAACATCCCGCGCCTGATTGGAGACATTTTGATTAAATCGGTCGGGAAGCTGACCCTTTTTAGTGCGATGAGCAGAAACCGAGCTGCAAGAAGTGCCTGAACATCAAGCGGGAGTGCCCAGGCTACAAGGATTCTTGGGCTACGATGCACCGCGAGGAAAACGACCACGCCGCCAAGCTGGTCCAAATCAGAGTTAAGAGAAAGCTCCGAGAAAGACGAGACCAGAATCAGAGCGAAAGACCGGTTCTTCCTCGACCGGTGCAGCTCAGCGTTGACGTGGTCACTTTGAACCACTTCTACAATGATTATTCACTCGGGTCCGGCGTCGGTTTTCTCGGTATCCTGCCGTCAATCTACTCGGCCGGCCCCGCCACGTGCTTCTTGGACGCCATCCATGCCACCGCCTTCGCGAGCTCATCACGTCAACGGAATGAGTCGGCTCTCATGATGGAGGCACGACGGCGTTATGGAAGAGCAATTGTGGGGCTGAACAATAGTCTCCAATCACCAGGAACTAACAACAGCGATTGCATGCTCGCCGCTTTGTTTCTTCTGGGTCTCTTCGAGGTTTGCAACCCGGTCATAGACTCTTTGTTCTCGTGTCCCAATACTCATCTAGTGTGGTAGGCAATTATTTCACAGCCCTCACCTAACATGCCCATCGATACCGAGGCCAGTTGCCACCCACATTCTCGAGGCGGCCTCTCTCTGCTTCAGTACAGAGCTCGTATGGGTCTGGACAATCAGCTCGACAGAACCGTCATCAAGTTTTTCAGTCACGTTGCGGTTAGGAAACGATCGTCTATTTCTCGGTAACAGAACATAGGAAGAGCTGACGGCTACCACTAGTTGATGGAGTTTTTCATGACCCCCCCGGGATATGCGCCGCTTTGGTCTGAACTCCAACGATTTCGAACGCCATGGGCTAACGGCCCAAATCTCGAGCCCGTCATCCGTAGAGCCGTTGATTTGAAAGCGGTCATTGAGACGAGGATATTCCACCCCGGGCCGCCTTCAGATCCCGCGAACACGGCGGACTTGATGCATCAAGGAATGGAGGTCATCAAGGATCTCAAGATTGCCGCAGACACAACCTCAGCCGAACAAGAAAGTCGCACAGCAACGGCATTCAACGGGTTGTTCAACGTTGCAAACAAAGTTGTTACGACCATTGCAACTTGCCTCTACTTGACGGTCAGACAACAGGTGATCGAGCTAATGTTGAGTCTGATGATTACGATTGAAGACGAGACAACGGGAGACGACGAGCTGGGTGGTTTATCGCAGCAAGGCGTCCAGAACTTGAAGGAGATTTGTGAATGCATCAAGATTGCTTTTGGTATCGACGGCCAAAGGGATATCGAACAGGAGACCCCGGGGCACCCGCTGAGAATCTGGTGTATGCTCTGGCCTATGGGAGCCGTTGTGGCATCTTGTCTTGCGGACGAGGAGACAAAGTCGTGGGCCAGGCGGCAGTTTCGCGAAATCGGGAAACAAACGGGGTTCGGATTGGCCATGGCAGTGGGATAAGCATCGGCTCCGAAGAAGTTTGTCCGGGCTCCCGAAACCCGGCCCCACTTCCCCGGACCACTGGCCCGCTGTTTGTGTCACCGGATATTCCGGAAAAGGGGATGGAGATACTATGGAGATGTCAAGGGCTCAATCGGAGTCGCTTCAAGGTCCCATTGAATTTGGTGGTGATTGTGGATATATGGAGGGGGATTTGGTTGTAGCGAGGACGGAGTGCTCTCCTCTCCATGTTCATCAAGTTTCGGCATGCTCTTGGTTTTCGGGAGTTTAACATATCCGACTCTTTATGCAACAAATGTTGCTAAAAGGTGACACAGTGAACTGCGAACATCTTGAGAACTTTTAACTAGGTATACATTATCGTCGTGGCATAATTCCAAAGCTATCAAGGTTTCCAGAACACATGGGGTATTTCCCAAATACACAAAGTCGTTGAGCGCGCCGAAATGCCGCCCAACTTCCCACTCGACGGCTTCAATTGGCCGCAGGCATGACTCGCCTTTTCTTTGATGAACGGAACGCGACTCCAGAGTCAACGCTGCCATCTGGCTTTGCCATTCCTTCCAGGCAGGTAGCCGATCGTAGCAACCAGCAAAGGGTCCAACCTTGCCGCTTTCCCGGCGAAATTCAGGACCTCATCTGACTAGATTCTAGAGTCGACCGTCTGGTCTACCTGAAGTCAACCTTGTACTCGCTCTTGACCTGGATGCCACCCTGATAGCGTCCAGGATCCTCAAAGCTACGGTCGTCACTGCGGTTGTCGGCGTACGCCGCAGTCTGGTTTCCGCCCTTCGGCTTCACAATGTGTTCCTGGCTTCCGACGGAGCCATCATCGGGAATTCTTTCCGAGTCCTCCCTCAAACGCGATCGCTTTGGGTTTGAGCCCGTGCCGCCGAATGTTACCAGGCCGGTAGGAGTGTGGCTGTTCGCGGTCGAGCCCTTATGACGGCTGGGGAAGAGGGGCTTGATTGACGGGGCGTTCGTGCAGATGATACCGATGACCTGCAGAGTAACGTTATAAGAGGGAATTCAGGGGCGCTGGAGATTTATTATACTTACGGTTTCACGAATGGACCAGTTAAGTCCCAAATCAAGTCTCTCGGGCGTCTGCAAGCAGATGACGCAACGCAGAAGCGTGCAAATGACGATGAAGAAACCGGCGCAGAACATGAGGCCGAAAGAGAGTTTCCTGGCGGTGTATGTCAGTGGTCTGCAGGCGGTCTGCTGATGTGCGTTACAGCTTACCTCTTGAGTGTAGTTTGCAATCTCCACAACAACGGGATAGGGATGTACATAATCATAATATCGGTGCTGTCTGTATCAGTTTGAAGCTCAGTTGGATTGTCGTGTAATGATCTTACAAGACGTTGGTCGTAACCAAAGCGTAGTACTTCGATCGGTTCTGAGTGCAGTCATCTATCATCACAAGTCAGTGCCGTTATCCTTTGATGCGCAACTATGTTTCGCAACTCACCTCCTGCATAAGGATACACTTGCCACAGGCGGTGGATTGGGCGGCAGTGTCCTGTGATGACTGCGAGAGTTGCAATGTACGCGGCGACCGTGATAACAGAGACCACCTTGACCAAACGTTCCTCGGGCAGAGTTTTGCTAAAACTTTGTTAGGCAATGAACAACAGTTTAGCAAATTGTAAGTAACTTACGTGACTCTTGAGAAGAAGAACAGCATGATCCCCTTCAAACTCCAGATCAAGCTGACGTAGATGTACCATGCAGCAAAAAGCCACTTGGCGCCGGTCTCGTGACTCTTGTACTCCTCCGGCGTCAGAGCGAGGGCAACCTCGTCGGTCATTCCCGTGATGCTTCCTTTCTCAACTGGAGAGACAAAATTGTTAGAACTGTCTGCGGAGTTGAGAGGGGCAAGCGCTTTTACCAATGATTTGGCACATCATCACCTCGAACTACGGCATGGTCAGCGAGTTCGCCCCTGAAAGTCGAACACAGGTATCGCTCCGGTGAGACCTACTGTAAAGAAAATAACGGCAGCAACAGCGAGATAATCATCGCCTTGCCATCTCCAACCAACCATCTTGCATCGGCTGAAGATACGTAGGAAGAGCACCAGTATTCCGATGCCATATTCCACCCACATCTCAATGACGGTGGGCCAAAGAGCTTCGGGCACCATCTTTGCGGTAGTCGGTCTCGGCCGATTGTGCACAAACTAAAGAAAGAATAGAACTGAATTGAATTGACTAAACGTCCTAGCCCCGAAATCAATCTGGGCAAGACGCGAAACAAATGCGATTGACGAAGAGCTTTATTGACAGAGAAGGAACGCATCAAAATCTCCGAATCGGGCACATGAAGAAGTCTTTGACTGACTGTAAAACTCGGACGAGAGTCCGACTTCCCTTGCAGAATTCCTCCCGGCAGTTGCGATCGACCAGACGTTCGGTTCCTGAATCGCGGCAGCCTACGAGAGGCCAATACAATACGAAATGAAAGTGGGCTGACGTTGTAATTTGAATTCCTACGGAGACGGTTCCGGGGTTCTGGAGGAGGAGCAGAGTCGCAGGGTCCACACCGAGTGTATCGGCCATGGCGATAATTACCCCTTTGTTCATTGTTGTCTCTTCTGTCTTGGGGGACTTTTGGCACTCGACGGCTTCGCGGAGTGCTTCTCGGCGAAGCGATCAGCAGCGCGCCTTCCCAAAGAAACACAACGGCAAGACTCCATGAATCTCACTCTGATGAGCAAGCGAGAGGTGTCAAGTCAGGGGTTGCAGTCGCACTGACCTCCGGATCGTGAAGGAGATGCCGCCAGTTGCCGTGACTGAGCTGCGATGCAAGGAACATGGAGGTTGGGGGTGACATTCCTAGATATGAAGCTCCGCTGCAGAAATGCACGGAGGTGCAGAGTCGCATTCCTCATTACGCGATCACGCAATGACAATTGCATGCGGGATGTGGGTTCTTGGCGGCTTTTCCTCAGTGTAGATAGTAGATCGTGAGGCTAAAAAGAATATTCAAGTTTGCGTAGGCCGTATATCGACATGATTGTCAGACAATTGGGGGATGAAGATCTGGTCTTGTGGGATTCGATTCCATGGGCCATTTTGCAGGCTCTACAAAAACACTAGGCGAACATGGACATGTTCATTTCTATTTGTCTTCTGTCCAGGGATTCTGGACTTCTCCGGCCAACACCAGGATGTGGAGGTTCGTCAATGCCCAAATATGGAGACGGTTTCTTCCGGGGAGCTGGTCCGGAGAAGGGATCCTGTTCCGGGAACCCTGGTTAGACTTCTGACATACACCGCCAACGGCTGAACTCTATTTCGACGGGGACTGACTCGCAAGTCGTTAATATCGTCGTCGTGATTGGCTAGAGCTCGAAATTGTTATTGTGCAACTTGACGTCCTGTGCGAGTACTTACGTGTATTGATGAACATGGTTACAGTTGCATAGATTGTGGCAACCCCGCTTCCATGACGCGTTTTGTTGGCATATGGGTTATTCACAGCAACGCTTTGAGGTCATAGGCAGGATGGTGCGAAAACTGTGAATAGGTCTATTTCAGATTACACATTACCACTCGATGGGGTTAGAAGGAATAGGCTTATCGAAGAAAGACGGCAACTGAGAAACCTCCACCTGCTCGCTTGCGAACGACGGGTGATCGTCGTAGGCCATGAACCCGGTACCGTCGTAGCAGCCCACATATTCAGCGTCCATCTCCTCGCCCTTCAGGATTGCGCAGTCGACCCAGAGCAACAAATCACCTCCCTCCATCACCCCACCGGGCCCATACGCGGCGAAGAAGTCCTTCCTGAGCTTGACGTGGACCTTGTCGTATCTGCCGATGTACTCCATCTTGGAAAGATCCAACCAGAACAGGATCTGGGCCTGGCGGATGTAGTCCAGGCCAGGGAAGAGAGATTTTGAGACACCGTCGGTGTGGCCGTTGGTACCGTTGACACCGTTCGTGTGGCCGTTGACACCGTTTGTTCCGTTCGTTTCCGTGTGGTGTCCGTTGAGGGTGACACCGTCGGTCGCGCCCGGCTGCTTCTTGCCAGCGAAGCCGTGGCAGGCTCTGCCGTTGACCATGCCCTTCTCGGGCCCGGCGGTCATGACGTTAGTGACCCATTGCTTGGTGAGGCCGTCGAAGTTCTCGTTCCAGTGGCCGCGCTCGTTGTCGTTCATGTAGCTGTAGTCCTGGCCCTCGACGACGAAGTTGATGTTGTCGGGGAACTTGGAGAGCCTCACCCTTCCGGATCGGATCTTGTCGGAGAGAGGTCTGGGCGTAGGGACGGAGGAGAGGGGGGACTCGAACTTGTCTTCCGGGGAGTCGGGAGTCATGCGCGATCGGTAGGCACCCCAGTAACCGGTTTTGGAGGTGAGGGGGATGGCTTCGCCGCAGTGGCCGAAGCCGGAAGCTTGGGGCTTGTTGGACTCGTACATTCCTCGGGTGGCCGGAATGCTGACGGTCTCTCTCCAGAAGCCGGCGTCGGCGGGCAGAGACGACCAGAAGGCCGCGGTCTTGGGGCTCTCCCACCACGTCTTGAAGGCCTGAGGCGAGGCCCAGTAGCTCATCCAGACCTTTGAGGGGAGGTCATTCTGCTCGAGCTCCTCGACGTGGATCGCCGCGCCCTTGATCAGCTCGTCGAACCTGTTGATGAGGGCGAGCTTCTCTGCCGAAGGTGAGTCGGCGTGGTATTGGGCGCCGAAAATGGACACCGTAAAGTGGTGGGCGGTAGGGAACTTTGAGCGAAGCATTGTTGTGGTTATTCGGCTGGGATATCGACTGATAATGGCGAAGAGTAGCTTTGATACGCCATCGTAGCTGGGCGTCCGGGCCCCTTAGGCTTTATACAAGTAATGTTCCATGTTAATCGCGGGTAATGCTCACCCGCGATGTGCCCTCCAAACCCACCGCTTGCGACCATTGGTAATGAGGCTTTCCTGACTGGAAAGGCGTGCCATCAGGTCTGCGGTCTACGAGCCTGGGGTAAACCCTTTGTGCATTCACGCATCAGGTACTAGTGGGTGTACAATGTGGTATCGCCGGTGGGGGGTCGAGTTCGTGAAGCCGTCCATGTCAGGCTCGACCCCTCGATCCTCCAGCTTCTGTCACCGCCCATCGCCAGGCCAATACGACAAATGCCGCGATGCGCGACCAAGATAGCGGGGCATAGGATTTCAACCCATTTCTGGGAGATGCTCCCGCTGTCACATCCCCCGCCCGACTCATGTACGTACATTGAGGTTGAAGCGTCTGTGGGCCGGCCTCTGGGGTTCGCGGGAGAGATCAGCGCTTTGACATACCAAATGAGATTGCGATGTGGGGATCGATTTGTTGTTTGGGCCTTCGCTGAAATTCTTCAACAACTCGTTTGATAGACGAGCAGGGCTCCTCGGACTCGAGTTTGAGAATGTCTGCGATAAAATTGTGTCTGGGACCAGCACAGTTGCAATGCCTGCCGACTGGAACGGTTGTTTGGTTCATGGAATGATACGCGAGAAAGTTTGAATGTGGAAGGACGTAGGGTTTGACGTGTCCATCCGATCTTAGTCAGTCTTTCCGTCGCCCCAAGTCCCTGTGGTGAGAGTTTTGTGAGTGAGAAATGCACAACACTGGCAGCTTTTTCTTTTTGTACTTCTCAGTGCTTTAAACTTCTGAGTACTTGTGTTGTCATGCTATGTCAAGTGATTCACGTTTTCATATTCATCGCGAAATTGAGGCTGAAGCTGAAGATCATTGTGCTCAACGCAAGACCATTCCTGGATTCATCACTTGACAGCCCGCTGCTGTCGATGCAGCCATCCGCATGAACACAAGTCCACGTGCCTATATCCCAAATTCTCTGCGGGCCGTCATCCCGACACAGTGTTGTCTTCACGACTCAGTTACAAACATGAACGAACCTGACGTTGAAGCGAGTAACGAGGGCTCATACTTCACCCGGGACCTAGTGTCATGAACGGGCCGCTCCTACAATGTCCCGATCGATGAGAACCACACACACCAGTCACCCGCCCCTCCTACGAGAGGGAGCAGTGTGTATCTCAGAAGAGCTTAGTGCAGGGTGAAGCGGATAGTCCGTCGGTGGCGCAGACTTGCATGTTTGCTTCTCATTGCGGTTCCGTGGCTGATGAACCACTGCTCTCCTGTTTGAATGAAATAATCTTTACAGCAATGCATTTTTCACTCGCCTTCACAGCAGGCGTGAAATTACGACTTACTCACATCTTAAGTCGGAGTTCGAATTGGCTCAGTCTAGAAGAGTGAGTCGCTGAAAAATGAGGCGAATCGCGAGTGTGTCACAGCCCCACCATCTCAAGGCATCTCACAACGGCGATGCCTGATTTTACCTTACCCGCCAGATAGACTCGAAATATAGATCATATCACAAAATCTTCACAACGACGTAGAGTTTAACACATGCAAACTCATGTTCATCGCTTCACAAACCCCATTTGGCAAGGCATCGCGCCCGCGAACGTGCATCTCGCGACCCAACTGCCTGTTCGGTGCGCCATGGCGCCAGTCTGCCAATCAGATCTCGCGATCGGCTGGATGACCCAACATGGTTTAGCATCAAAACCTCCTCACAGGACTGAGCTGAAAGTATCGTGGGCGCCGCCGGTTCCGATGGATTTCCTCTATAAAAGATGATGAAAATGATGAAAACTTTGCAGTTGCGTCGATTCAGTCTCGTCTCACCGATCATCATCTCATCAAAGTTATCAACGGGTATTTCCCAACTGTCTCATCCACCATGTCAACTACCGGCGCGTGTCTCTGCGGCAAGATCAAGGTCGAGATCACCGACAAACCTCTGGCAGCTGTAAGTCCATACATGCCCACCAGTGTTCTCGAGGCGGTCTTATGTGCTGATCAATGTGGATAGGCTTTGTGTCACTGCAACGACTGCAAAAAGATCTCTGGGAGCGCCTTCGGCTTCAACTGGGTTGTGCCGATCAACAAAGTCAAGGTCACCGGCGAGCCGAAGACTTTCTCGACGACCGCCAACAGCGGAAATCCCGTCATCAGCCACTTCTGCGGTGACTGCGGCGTCACATTGTGGCGAGATGGACCGGCGACGAATGGGCTCATGTACCTCAAGGCCGGTATCTTGGATGCGAAGTATCACAACGCGCAAGCACCTGTTGCTGAGATCTTCACCGTCAAGCGGTTGTCGTGGTTGACGGCTGTGTCTGGCGCGGCTCAGAAGAAGGAGATGGAGTAGGGAAGGCGATGGGATGCAATCAAAAGTATTTGACGTGAGTTATGGACTTCGCGTTTTATGAAGGATTTGGTTATCAGGGCTAGTCTTCAATTTATTTCTAAACCCATTCCTCAGCAGAAGCCTTGGGGATTCCAAAACGCTCGCTCATAGTAACCCAAGCGGCAACAAATAGCAAGATTCTGAACGCCTTAACATCCGTCTTCTCACCGAAACCTTTATCCAAAGCATTTTCAACCTGAGCATAATCCACAAACCCCAAGTTCTCGACTTTCTCCTTCGTAAGCGTCTTCTGAAGCATTGTGTGGAGAGGTCCGTCCTTGGGCCACACAATGGGTGCCGTAAACGGATGTTTCTGCCTCTCATACAATTCCTTCAAGATGAACGGCTTCGCCGCTTCCCTCAAAATCCATTTCTCAGTCAGAGCCTGTGACGCCACGCCGATGCCCTCCCACCATGGGCCCTGGTGACGCTCGGGAGGAATCTTGTCTGGAGTATATGCCATCTTCAGGCTCGGCGGGAGGTTATTAACGTACTCCGTCAACTTGTGATCCAGGAACGGCGTCCGGGCCTCGACGCTGTGCGACATCTCCGTCAAGTCGCCGAGGCAACTCAGCAGGATATTCGGGAGGGGGCCTTTGCTGTAGATGTACTGCGCGGTGTGGAGAGGATGCCACTTCTTCTGCATCTTCTCCTGCACAGCCGGCTTGAACGACTTGACGATGACGTCCCTGCAATCGAGTTGGGCCCACTTCTCGCTCTCCTTGACCCACGGTGCGAAGATCTCGAGGGTCGGGTGCCAGGCGAGGATGCAGGGCGTTAGAATCGTGTCGTTGACCTTCTTCATGGCCGGCGTCGACTCCCAGCCGTGCTCGAAGGCTCCGGCGCGTGGGATGAGGAGTTTGATGTCCCGCTCGGTCGACCTCTGCATGTTCTCGCGAAGCGTGGAATCGGCAACCAAGGGCGAATCCGGCATTGAGAGGTCTGGTTCTCGCAAGAGATCGGGCGGGAAGAAGGCGTATCCGGCGAAGTGCTCGTCGGCGCCCTCTCCGGTCAAGACGACTTTGACGCCGTTCTCATTTGGAAGGGACGATAAGGCGAATTTCCCCACGCAGTTGAGGTCGAAGTGGTGGTGTTCGCAATGGTATGCGCAGTCGGCGAAGTTGGCCGCCAGTTCAGTCTCATTGATTTGCTTCTTCTGGATTTGGACGCCGAGGTGCTGAGCCGTCCTCTCCGCGATGTCTATGAGATTTCGTTAGTGCTCGGAAAGGGAGTGTGGATGATGTTTACATACCAGACTCGTCGAAACCCGACTCCTTGGGGAACTCAATAGTGAAACAACTGATACGACTCGTCGCATCCTGGTTTCCAATCTTGATGCCTTCATCTCTGACCAAACGTGTCACGATACCCGCGACCAGAGACGAGTCGATACCGCCCGAGAGGTAGATACCAATGGGAACGTCCGCGCGAAGTCTCAACTTTATGGCTTCGGTCAGTCTCTCTCGAAGACCGAGAACCATCTCGTCCACGCTGCGTGTCTCGCCTTCGGTCTATCGAGGTATCAGCAAAGCCCAGGAACATTGACCTCGAAACCGCATACCTTATCCTTGTAATCAGCGTCCCAGTACTGATGTATCTGCATCACACCATCCTTGGAAATCTCCATCCAGTGCCCGGGCGGCACTTTCTTGACGCCTTTGAACAATGACCGGCCGTCTTGCATCCACCCGCCATCGACAATCGCCTCGACGTCCCACTGGGGTTTCCATCCCAGCGGAAGGAACGCCTTGGCCTCCGGCGCGACGATCAGTCTGTTCCTACCATCTTCCTGGCGAACAATCGTCCACAAGAGGGGTTTGATGCCGAATCTGTCGCGGCACAAGATGACCTTGCCCGCCGTCTCGTCATACAGAACGAATGCGAATTCACCTCGGAGATGTTCGAGGAAGCGGGGCGCACCATAAGCCTTGTACAAGGCGACGATGACTTCACTGTCGCTGTGACCTCTAAACTTGTAACCTCTCTGTTCACACTCTTGTCGGATACGATCATGGTCGTAGATCTCTCCATTGACCACGGCATGGATCGTCTCATCGTCACTGTGGATTGGCTGGTTGCCATCAGGTGTCAAGTCATTGATCGCCAGACGACAATGACCCAGCCCTAAGAAACGTTAATCATCATGATGGGGGCTCCAAGCGGGTTCGTGGAAGCACCAACCAATGAATCCATCTTCGCTAACCCACACCCCCTGCGAGTCCGGACCTCTGTGGCTGATCGCCTCGAGGCTCTTGCTCAACTGCCTTTCCAGATCCTGAGTCGACTTCGAATGACCGTTGGTCTGAGCTTCCGCCGTCCCGTTGGTGCCACTCGCATACCCATTGAGGGCCTCGGTGTGAAAGTGTTGCCCAGGCTGGAGCGTCAGACAGGCCGAGATACCGCACATTGTGGAGAATGTTTGATGAAACTTGGAATGAAATCTGAGTCAAGAGTTGAGCCAGGACGTTTGATCCGTGCACCGGTGAATTAGGCCAGTTCCGCCAGTGTAGATCAGAACCGTGAAGCTCCTATATCAATGGCGGGTGTCCCCGCACGGTTGCGGCCCTAGGACTCGGCGTTTTCGGTGATGTGGGGCCGGATAGACCCGTTGCGGACCTGTGCCGTCGGGCCGGGACCGAATGCGGAAGGGCCGACCCTTTGAAGTTAAATCACTGGAATCTGCCCAAAGAGCGACGCGATGCATTAATCGGCAGTCCTCAACAGTCTTCACATGTGAGTATAGTAATGGGAGATCGATCTCATGCATGCCGTCAATGCCTAGCGGGAGCCATTATCGCTGATTGGCAACCAGATCTTTTCGATCAATATGCGCGAAGTGTTCCGAAGTGAACGGCATAATGTAGAGGGAGTCTTATTCATACTAGCGCGCGTCTATTCGTATGGATCCAAGGATGTATGGTCTCTACGCATCAATCTCAAGCAGCCTGCAACATGGCCACAACGCCAGCCCAAGTTTCCCTAACGGTAGCCTGGATCTGACTGGCAGGAAGACTGAAGCCGTACGTACCCCTATCGCGAAGCTCCAAGGTGTAAGTGTACTTGGATTTGGCGACACCATGGATGTAGTCGGTTCTAGAAGAAAGTCAGAATTAGAACGTAGTGTTCGATATGAGGAGGGCATGAATGACTTACGAGTCGCCGGTGGTAGCATAGAGAGCTCTGCAGGCATTACCAATGGTGTACGAAGTGCCAGAGACCCCGCGGATGCCAGTGGCACCGCGCTGAGCCATGGTCTGAAGGGCAGCATCATCGGGAGCGACGTAGTTGCAGTCGTATCCGTAGGCTGTCACGGTAGACGTCAGCAAAACAATCGGACAGCAAATGCTAAGAATAACTCACGCCAGAGAATGTACTGTCCGTAGGAGTGGAAGTCAATGTAGAACTGAATACCCCTGCTGGCGCTGAGGGAGTCAACCTGGGCCTTCAGACCCTTGATCTCGGGAGTATCCGCAGGCGCAGCTCCCTTGTAGGTTTCGGAGCAGGGGCTGGTAGAGGCTCCGCCAGTGACCTCCCACTTGTAGGGCCAGTTGCGGTTCGGATCACGGCCGACGCAGGTACTGCCAGACTGTGTCTGACGGTTCTTGCGCCACAGGCGGTCAGTCGACTGAGTGTAGACAAAACCGTCAGGATTGACAACTGGGGTGATATAGCTAGGAGCTTTTTGTTAGCGACCGCATTCATGCTGACGTGTATAATCAATCCAACAGCTCATGTACTTACAAGTCGAACTTGTCTACAAGAGCCTTGACCGCGGAATCGGTAGAGTACTTGGTCAGAAGCTGCCAGGCCATGTACTCGGTAGTCTGAACGGTGTGAGCATAAACCATACGTGTCCCAGGGCGACAATTCTCACCATGGTGCTAATCCACTCGCGAGCGTGAACGGTGCCGTGGAAGATGACAGCCGGCTTGGAGCCCTTTCCTCCGCTTCCCCAGATGTGGATACCGGTCAGAGCACGACCTTGGAATGAGGTTCCGGCAGTGAGAATCTCGGATTGACTAGGAAAGCTGGATTGAAGGTCTCTGAGGAACTGGAGGTGGTCCGCATAGCTGTGGTAAGCGGTAAACCACGTCTCGCTGGGGACTGGCGAAGTATGAGTGTTAGTGAGCTGATACAGCACATGAAGAGCTCAACATCAGCCCTGTTGGATTTCTTGCTCACCGGCATAGACGGTAGAAGTCTCCTCCTCGGCGAAAGCAGCACCGACATCTTCGACGAGAACGGTGGTGTTCACGGCCAGCTGGGAGATGGCATCGACGACGTCAGGTGAGGCAACGACATCGAGTTGAGCCTTGGAGCCCGGGTTGAGGATCGTCGCAGCGAGCTCATTGATCTGGTCCGCGACGCCCTCGGCATCCTCAGGTAGTATGACTCGGAGACCCTTGAAGCCGGTGTAGTCGACCTTGGTCGACTTGGGCACCACTGTGGCGAGAGCCAGAGGCAAAAGGCCAGCCGCCGATAAGATTGAGGCCTTCATGGTGAAGTGAAGTATGAGGAGACTCGGACAACCAACTTATCAGGCTGAAATAAAGACTGACAGGGTTGGAAATCCCGATCTTGGCACCAAGAACAACGGAAGCCTTGGCGGAGGATGCGCCGTTGCGATGCCTCCATTTTATAAACAGCTGGTAGGTGACACTTCGCTCTGACATCCAGCTTCCCGCCTTCCCATCAGAAGCTGAACAAGCTGCCAGAATATCCCTCGTTAAACGGCGGAACGATAGGCGAAAGCGGTAGGTGATATCCAGCCGGGGCCAGAACAACGAGTTGGATGCTACTTCAAATGCTGCCAAGATGGAAATCGCACCTCTTGGCAACATACCATACCAGAAGAGGAAGCTGCTTTTCTCCCGCCAAGGCAGCGACCGAGCGATTAGGTAGGTGATAATGACTGCCATTTGAATAGAAACAAGTTGATACCTTTTGAAGAGGGAAGGTGCTCTCTACTTGAAGAAATTGTTGATATATGAGTGGGAAAGAAGAGTGTCTTTGGGCGCCCTGGCAGCCAGCTGGTGCGGCAATGGCGTGCCACCTGCCGAGCACGGGGTGGATCTCCGTATGGATCTCCGGGACCTTCCCGATCCTGTACCGAGTGATTGCCGGATCACGTTGAAAAGGGGGCTGATTGTCGTAACCGGTCGGTAAGCTTGGCTTTCTCTCAAATTCATTATAATGAGTCGTTCTATTAAACTTTCAGTACCTCAGAAGTATCCCATTCGTCTTGCTACCCCCAAAGAAACCGCAGCAAACAGTATTATTCCACTCATGATCCCAAAGAAGGCATTCAAGTTCTCGACATCGCCCCATGGCACCTTGACGTTCATACCAAAGAGACCACATACGACGTTCAGCGGTACGATGACAGTTGCAATGACCGTCACTCGGCTGAGGAATTCGTTGGTCCGATTGCCCATGTCGATGTTGTCAATGGACAGCTGGGCAAGGTAGTTGCTGTGTGAACGGGACAGCATGGTATCGAAGTGAATCAGACTGTTCATCATCGTCACCGCGTGGTCTTGAATGTCGCTGAGGTACAGAGCGATATCCATCCGGGGCGTGACGTCATAGTCTTCAGTGCATCTCTTCGTGAATGCACGTAGGACGTCTGCTTTGCCGCCGAGAAGACGCATGAGACTCATCACGTTCTTCCGCGTGAGGCCAATTCGCCGTAAGAACAGTTGATTGTCCTCTGGTCTCGTGATGAAGACTTGATCTTCAATTGCGTCGGCTTCGTGCTCAATTTGGTTGATGCCCGGGCCGAATGAGTCTACGATGTCGTCACTTGGTGAAGGTTAGCCAGGTTCTAGCGTAAGTCATCCGTTTATATAAATTGAAACTCACATCAACGCATAGCAGATCCAGTCACTGCTGATTGACACTTGCTCCTTCAGCTGTGAGATACGGAACCGGACCCGGGATGCGTGCGAATTCGGCGTGAAGCTGAAGCTGATGATCCCCTCTCGGAAGACGACGACGTAAACGTTGAAGGGATGATAGTCGACCCCATCTGGCTCTTCCACAGATGCAAAGGACCTGAAGCAAGCGAAATAGTAAGACGGAAATAGTTCAATCTTTTCACGGCTTTCCTTGTGGATGATGTCCTCGATCGTCAAGGGATGGATCCCAAAAGCCTTGCAAATGGTCCACACCTCGCCGCCAGTAGGGTTGTTCATGTTCAGCCACCAGACGCCGTCTGGCTCCTCATCTGGGAAGTCAAACAGTGACCGAATATTCTCTCCAGGCAAGATCAGATCCCCGAACTCGGCAGCGTGGATGGTCGACTCCAGCGCGGACGAGAAGAAGTTGAACCGGCTTTGCTCGGGATACTGTTGGCTAATTTGAATGGGTCCACTCTTTGCATCGCCCCCCTTCTCCTCTGAGATGGAGTGGTGATCGGTCGCGACATCGATGAAGTCTCCATCCGCGGTGAACATCGGTGCATTGTTCGGCATCGCGCTGTCTGGGAGGTTGGCAAAGTCGGCACTGACCGGACGTTCCCCATCTTCCGCGTTGATCAAGGTCTCGAGATAGTCGAAGTCGATATACAGCCTGTCTTTGTGCGGTCCCCGATGGCTCCCCTCGACCTCCGTCGTCGCCAAGCCCAGCGAGTTGCGGTGGCCACATGTGTTATGTGATCGGCTGTGGCAGCTCCGACCGCTGCCAAGAGGCGGCTTGTCAGCGCTGAAGTCGCCTCCATCGTCGTCGTCGTCGTCGTCCTCGTTATCGCTATCCTGCCGCGCCTCCTGCCCGCGACGTCGTGCCTGCGCGAACGCCTTGACCGAGTTCGGTGGCGAGACCGTGCGCCGTGTCGAGTCGAAGGTCGGACGGCGGCTTAGAGGTGCCATGGTGGGCGACTCGATGAAGACGTCGAGCATGTGGTCGCGGGTCGAGGCGTGGTCGGCGCTTCGGCCGCGGGGTCGCGGGCTGGTGCCGAGCTGGTGCGCGCTGAGGGGAGAAAGGGGAGCCGAGGCGTCGGTGCCGCGGGCGGGCTTTGTGGTGTCCTTGTCCGACATTTTTGGGCTGTTCGTTTTCGCCTGATCAATGTTGTGGAGGGATTGAGACGGAGAGTGTTTGTGAGTTGATCATTCTCTTTCGAAATGATGTCGCTCGAGCGTTGCGATCCGATGAAACAGTCTTGAAAGGGGTTCTGGAAGATCCTTATGGTGGTTGTCGAGAGGCGTATGCCATAGTCGGTGGTGAGAGGAAACGTCTAGTTATTCGAGGTGATGGCGGAGGTGTGGTTCTTCAAGGTTGGTGATGTCGTCTCATAATGGGAGGGCACCCGAAGATGAGACTAGCCGCTGACGCCGGGAAGTAGTTCACGATCATTTACGTGAAGTCGAGACAAAGATAATTATGGAAGCTGAAGAAAATGGTGATCAGGACGATGGTGTTCCTGGCAAGTTTCGACGGTGCCCGACTGGGCGGATGTCATGGACTAATATTTTAGCACAGCCTCAAACCCTGCGGAGTCAGGATAAGGTTTTCAATCATCGGCCAATACCTCATCGCGAGAGATCAACATGCTTGCATTCCGGGGAAATGATGTACTTTGGAATGTACACTATCAACAACCCTGTCTAACCCCAAAACACGGTGACGTGCAGACCGAAGCGTGAGGGAATTTTGTGCCAAGCCAATGGGAACTTCGCCTCCGAATCCTGGCTGAAGAAGAGAAGAAGAGGTGGGAAAAAGTTGAACTCTTCTCAAATGAATGACACGACGCGACGACGCCTCACAGGAAATGCCTAGCCAGTTCCAGCCAAGTCACCTCCCGTTCTAATCGCCGTTTCTCACATGCAACGTGGAACTCGTCCCATCTTCTGACTCGGCTCCCTCCATCCTCCACACTACCACAGCCCCGGCTCCTCTTCCCCCCATTGACAAGGGAGGATCAGCGACACAACCATCAAATGCCTCATAAAAACCACCACCGTCCAGCGGGCGTTCACGATGCTGCGGCATAACGCATCTGCCTCAAAGGAGTCCTCACTGCCCCCACGAAATCTATCTCATGACCACGATTGCAGATAAGGAGATGCAGCACGTTTTATTTCCAGATTGGAAAGTAATGCCTCAATCGTCCGCGGCCTTTGCGCCTAAGCATAATCTCTACCACACGCAGCTGAGACGCCTGGGCGGCTGGGACGACACTCAGCAAAGCTAGATGCTTAGACTTTTGCATCGTCATCCCCAAATTGGTGGTTTGGACACGCGACCTCATGTGCAGCTACTCGCTGGCCTAGGTACGCGCGCAAATGGTCGTCACCGCCTCCAATGTGTCGGGATCATACTACTGAATTGGCGGGCGGCCTTACGCTTGATTACAAGATATCGTTGCTGCCAAGGTTATTGCTTACAACTTAGAACGATCTGTTGATGTTAATTGTGTAACTCAACTAATGACAAACCAGTTTGAAGGAGTGCACGTGCTGCGACACCGGCTACGGTTGGGAGAGAGGCCACCACATCGGATCGATGCTCTCATTTCATCTGTTGAACTTCCGCCCAACACCATCGATTGTCTTTCCTCTCTTTCTCAACCACGGACTTCAACGTTCAGATGACGATCAAACCGTAATGACATAACTTCCATAGACGATCTTTCAAACTCAATCATTGTATCTTCAGCGACTTTATCTCATAGTAAGCTATTAATGGCAACAAAAGGCCGCAAACTTGGCGAACTCGTCGTCCTCCAACAATTGTTCCATCTCATCAGCAAAAAGGCTGACCAGCAACTCAATCCCTCCATGACTCTTCATAGGCAAAACCATGCAAAGCCTAAAATTTGCGTTGAATGCATCCATCAACGGACGCAGCGACTCAGGCTTGCCATCGTTGTCAAACACCTCGCCCCCGAAGTTGATCTTATCCAGCGGCAGCAGCAGCACCGACGTAATCATGACATCGAAGCCGTCGAGACGAGTGAACGCGTGCTTCAACTTCGTGTAGTCCGGAACTTCCCTCATGAGCGTGAATGCATCCTTCACCAGATCCGGGTTCACCTTGGCCGCCTGTGCGCGAATCTTGAGAGCGACGTCCCGGAGGCTCGTCGTCGGGGCTGCGAGCTCCGCGACTGCCATTGGCACCTTGTTGACTATGACGAGATTTCCCGCGTATGAGGGAGGTAGTGCTGGGTCGAAATCTGGCCGGCCGTCTACCGGCGACTCGAGATAAGAAACTTCATCTGCTGGTGTGGCTTGTCCCGCAGCGATGGCGGCGCGGTAACGAGCTTTCATAAGAGCGCGCCAGAAAAGGGCCAGAAGAGCGTCGTTTGCCGATAGTCCCGTGCCATCTTGACCTTCTCCAAGAACCTCGTGCTTCAAGGCATCAAAATTCGCCGGCGAGATGTAGAAGATGCTGGATTCCATGGTCCGGCTCGGGGCCGGCGGTGGGGCCGCTTCCCCAGTGGGTCCATCCTCCGTATCCGGGGGTTGAAAGCCGAGAAAACCCCATGTGTCGCGGGGAATCTCCGAGACGGGCTTCGCCGGGGCTTTGCTCCACAATCTCTCAAGCAGTGTCCTATCGAAACTCTCCGGAGCCACCCAGCTGCACACATTGGCATCGGGCTGGCCCAAGTTTCGACAGTGCTCAGCCCACGCTCTCATCGCGGTCACCATGCCGGTGGCATCGCTGGCGGAATGATGGAAGCCCGTCGCGAGAATGCAACCGCCGTTAACGAAGTTCGCTTGTGCTAAGAACACGTCCGCACCACCAGAAAGATCAGGGACGAATGGCGCTGCGAGGACCAGCTCATCGTCGAAAGCTGAAAACTCGAACCCCGCATCGCGGAGGTCCTCGAAGTCTGGCAGGACTGGAGAAAGATCCTTGAAAGCGAGTTGCCTGGGGAGCTCGTCTCTGGTGCCGGGACTAGAAGGGTCGTATGAAACCACAATGTGTCCAGGTCTCCACCCGGGCTCGCGCTCATTTCTGGGGAAAATGCGACCGTTGAGAAAAGGGAATTGGCGGAGAGTTCCCTGTAGCCCGGCTTGTAGGTGAGCGAATGCTTGCTGGAAGCTGACTTTGGGCTGCAGCGGTAGGTAGACAATGAACTTGATGTACACGCGCGGCGGAATTAGATCGAATACACTGAGTTGAGTCGTGATATTAGTAGCGGTCTCCTGCGTAGGGCCGAGATCCAGCTGCGTGGTCGTGGCGGCGAAGGTGTTGGTCGCCATGGTGTGTGTTTGAACCGAGCTATGAAAATACGCTTGGGATAATTTAACATCTAACAAACACGCTTTTCAAGCTCGCTCATGGGTCGTTCTATCTAATAGGCTCACCACAGCTTAAATTCCAATTGCTTGCAGGACTGCTGACCCAAGCCTCGGACCGGGGTAAACCATGTTTGGTACGGAACTGACCAAAAGGGGTAATTTCATGCAGCACCAAATAGCTCAACCAGAGGCGGGAAAGTTTGGAGGGGCGTTCAATCTCAATTTTGTTATGGGATGCAAATTCCATATTGTGTGAATAGCTAAAACATACAGACTATGGGATAAATACACTAAGCACTCAGACTGTTGAACTCACGCTTGTTTCTCCGGCCACCTCGTTCGTCTGACCGCCCTGGCGTAAAAGTTCAAAGGACGAACTACTATAAACTCCGGATCGTAAACCACAGCCTCAGTAGAAGCATCTTCAAAGTGATAACGATACGCCAATTTCGCAATCACGCTCTTGACTTCCAGCAGAGCGAGGTTGTACCCTACACAACCCCGAGTTCCCGCCGCAAATGGCGTGTATGACATCTTGTGCCGGTCTCTCACGGCTTCCGTGTCCCACCTGTCAGGCTCAAAACGCGTAGGATTGTCCCAATGAGCCGCATTCTTGTGTATCGAAGGGAAAGTGGGAATGATGACTGAGCCCTTGGGGAGGAAATATCCGCCCGGAAGCACTACGTCTTCTCGCGCGTTACGCGCCGTCTGAAAAGAAGGGTTGTGCATCCGCTGCGTTTCCTTGACGAATTTGTCGAGGAAGAGCATGTCGTTTAACTCATCGTAGGTCCACTCTTTGTCTGGCGTAGCTCCATGATCGACAAGTTCTTGAAGTAGACGCTGCTGATTACCCGGGTATTTCACCAGGGCGTAAATCAGCCACGCAAGCAGCGACGACGTGGTCACAAATCCTGCCCCGATCATGATGACGCAGTTGCTGAGCATCAAGTCTTCCGGAAGCTTTTCACCATTCTCATCAGTCGCGCGCCTCAGGTAATCCGCAACGCAGGTCGCGTGTAAAGCGGCGTCTTTCATTGGCAGATCCCCAGACGTTTTGATGGAGTCCTGAATGCCCTTCGCAACACCGTCCCATAGTAGCTGCCTGACCAAATGAAGTCGCTTGGGTGTGCCGAATGGGAGATATCCATACCAGCTGCCTCGAAGCGAAGTCTTCTTCATCAGAGAGAGGTACTCGCCAAGTAAGCGGATGGTCTCATGAGGCTTTGAGTCAATCGCATCAAAGTGGCCCAGGTCCATGCCCAAGATCACTTTCCAGATGATTTCGCCAGCCATCTTGAACGTGTAATGATACACGTTGAAAGCCAACTCCTTGTCGTCCAACTCATCGAAGACCTTGAACGACCTATCGACGCAAGCCTGCACAACTGGCGTATAGTGACGGACTGCCTTTGGCGTCAAGCTTGGCGGGATGTACTTGTGCGCGAGCTTAAACGCTGGAGCATCGCTATCGCAGGTGAAGAGCGCCTCGTTGTTTCTCATGTAGTACAGCGGATGACTAGGATCCGACGTCGTTTTGGTGAAAAACTGGCCCTCGCGGAGAACTTCACGCGAGACGTTGGGATCATTGGTGAGGTAGATGGTCGTTCCCATGTTAACCGTCTTAATGACAGGCCCATAGCGCTCAAAGAGCCTGTCGTAGTTGCCGAGGGGGTCTGGGTACAACTCATAGCGATTCCCAACGTAGGGCAATGGTTCGGGCCCGGAAGGCTCCCGCACGATTTCGCCGTTGACTCGAATTTGAACCGGGGCTTCACATTTCTCAATGTCATCCAGAGAGGTGAGGATATCTCTCAGGTTGTAGAAGCAAATAGCTTGTAGAAGTATCAGTCATCGGTTCTCTACAGGAAGACTAAACCGTCAAACTCACAGTCAGAGTCAGACACCGCAAAGACTTTCGCGATGCCAGCTCTAAGCTCCTGCATACTCTTAATGCTAGGCAGGCTCAAGGTCTGACAGCGCTCGTATGAGCCATGGCCAATGGTGAACTGTTGTTGAAACATTGCTGGCAGATTCGATGGTTGGAAATCTCTGCTCGATGAACACTGACGAGAACAGTTTTCGGATTTCTGCAGGCAGGAATATCATACCAACCAGACATGAAAACAATGCTATTCGGTGACACAACTTACATGAGTTCGTTGTACGGGGCGTGTCTGCCACTGATGTCAACACAACTTCCCTGTCATTTTGAAGCTGGGATATCCTGGTTGACCGACAACGGGCTGGACCGAAATGGTACACCCGAGAAGCCGAAATGGAGATGCCGTCGGATGTGGCCCGTGAAAGTGCCATTCCCGGAAAGCCGATCCCCATTCTCCACAGTCCGATGTGGAGGTGTCCAGGGATGGGCCTGGCAGGCTCTCTTATCATCAGTGAGTGACCAATTGAGACTTGGTCATAGGCCAGATTCTACCACGAGACGATGCTGAAGTCCCTAACTCGACAATGACAAGCAGCATGATGAAGGTATTCACGCAGGCCGAGCTTTCGAAGCACTACGAAGTTCATGATCTTTGGGTTTCTATCCGAGGAAAAGGTACTACAAGCAAAAGATCTCCCCGATCACGGTTTGTCATTTCTGACGTGCTATAGTCTACGACGTTTCTAGTTACGTAGATGATCATCCGGGCGGAGTTGAAGTCTTGAAGGATGTCGCAGGCTCAGACGGCACCGAGAGCTTTGAGTACGTCGGCCATTCCGAAGACGCACAGAAAACCCTTGCGAAATATCAAATCGGTGTTCTCGAGGGAGAGGTATGGTTCCGCGTCCTAAGATGAATTCCGATGAATTTTCCAACTGATGTGAGGACAGCTGGATGAAAATAGAGTCGAAGGATCGGCTCAAGCCTGGGATGCGTACCGTGAGCAAGTCAAGAACAAGCTGCCCAAGCCTCAACAAGCACGCTGGCATGTGGCAGTGACTCTCATACTTACTGCTGGAATGGTCGGTCGGCGGGCTCTTAAGAAACAAGACACTTCTGCAGAAAACGGCTTCATTCTCGTCTCGCCAACGCCGCCTTGGCACGTGTTATCGTCGTTTTGGGCGGGTGCTATCGTTGCTATGATGATGAGCATGGGAGGGTATCTTTATCTGTACACGAAGTTCACCAAGACGCTGGAGTATTACGGCGAGGTTTGGGAGTATCCTTCGTACTTCAGCTGTAAGGCCAATAGGGCAGACATCTGATGTCGATGCGCCAGACGAACAGAGACAAGAAATGCGTCTCTCCAGCATGACTCGCTCAGGGACTGACTGAACTTAAATGTGATCATTCCCCTCATCTTGACCCCCAAACACCAACGCCATCAGTCGGTCATCACCGTGAACACCAAGATGCATACCTACTTTCTTGGCCTCAGTTTGGTTGGCTACGACTGCCTCTGGGGGCGTATGTTCCGCAGTGGTGTGGCAGGCGGAGTAGGGCAGATCAAAAGAACGAGTGTCTTCCCCAACGGCGATTTCCTCCGGACGAGCTTCACTGGCATATCAAAACTCGACCAGTTTCTCATTCCAGCGGTCATATTCTACAACAATATTTTGAGCAATGGGTCCTCGGCCGATCGCATGTTGTTGGTCAGTCTCTTCACCACCATGCAAACGGTCTCGCACTGCATGATGGTCTTGGGATGGAACAGAGGGAAACGCCCTTGGTTGGCGCCGTTGTGAGTACACGAGTTATGAGACCAGAGTGAACGCTAAACAGTGATAGGGAACATCTCTTTTGGGGAGTCTTCAACCAAGCTTGGGGAGCAGCCGCAGTGTACCCCCTTTACTGCTTTACCCATGTCGAGCGACTCCTCACTGATGAGTCTGCGAATGAAGACCACGGCATCGGTCCATCAGACTCGACGGAGGCGTTAGCACTGATCCCGACTGCTGTCCTCGGCGCCATTACACCTGCAATGCTCCTGTACCCAGCTTTCAATTCGAGTTGCACCACAAGCCAACGTCAAGGCTTGATCGCGTTTTACAGATTCACGCCGCTGGCTCTGACTGCCGCACACCCCTTCTTCACTTGGGCGGCCCAAAAGCTACCTAAGAAGTCATCAAAGAAACACGATCCAAACATCTCAAAAATGTTTGTCACAGCTTCACTGATGATATCCGGCGCCTCTGCCTTGGCCGGCCATGGATGGGCACTTCTTGGGTCAGCAGAGGTTGGATGGCGCCGTGTATTCTGGCCAGAGAATTCAATCGTTGCATCGTCACCCACGGCAATTGCGGATGGTGCCCGCGAGTTTCTACAATTGGACATATTCGTTATCACTGCGGCCTTGGTGCCATTTGCAGACTTGGCACTGCGATCCTCGGCTGTAGTGCGCCGGTTGCGAAAGCGCAACCAGTGGTTTTTGTCGCTGATGGACTCTTTCATTGTGAGAATTGGGACTCTGACTCTTGCGAGTGGCATTCTCTCTCCTGGCGCTGTCCTCGCGTTCTCTCTCGCTGCCAAGGCATATTGTTAAACTAGACAGAAAATCATTCAAAACGTGGTATCACACTTTCGATGATCAATTGATTCAGTAATGAAGGGTTGCGGTATTGGATAGCTATTTGACATCGACCAAATGTGCCACAAGCTTGCTTCTACCAGCAATCTCTGATGCAAGCTTTGAGAGTGGCGAAGGACTCAACAGCTCAAAGACAGACATGTCAGTCTGGAGGTCTCGGAAGATACGATTGCGAAGCTCGACGGCTTTCAGAGAGTCAACTAAAACAAGGTATGTCAGCTTCTACGAACCAAAATCAAAGAAAGTGGCAGAGAGGCACAAGAAACCTACCACCAAAGTCGTAAAACGCCTTTTCTGCGTCCACCTCATCTGCTGCAATGTCCATGACCTGCGCAGCATACATCTTGAGAACATCCTCAAACACATTGACGGCATCTGCCTGTGTTTCCGCTTTGGCCACTCTCTCCGAGATGGGTTGCTGGCTGGCAGATGATCCCGAAGAAGCTGACGAATCATGATCAACACGGTGACTGAACTTTGGATCTCTCGTCCAGGATGCTGCCAACGGCCCCTTGGGCATCGAGCTACCGAGACCCAGCACAATCTGGGGCTCAATTGGTTGACCGTCGGCGGTGCGACCTCGCATGGCAGCCTTCAACACAGCGTCCAGCTCCGCCTGAGTGGTTTGAAGGCCGTCCCAGCGGTGCTCGTACATCTGGAGATATGCGTCCATGTCGAAGTCCCCGGTGAAGTGGGCCGAATCAGTAACTAGTCCCACGTCGATTGCCGTGGTTGCGAGGCTTTGGCTCCGGCGGTAGTGTGCGAAAGCGTCTTCAAACGTGTTTCCGGCGGCATAGTTTGATTGAGCTGCGTTGCCAATGACGCAGGTGATGGATGAAAGAAGTATGAAGAATTCCATGTCCTTTGGCATATAGTTGTGAAGGTTCATGGTTCCGCGGATCTTCGGGCGGGTGGACTTCTGCCATTGATCATATGTCATGTTTTCAAATATGGCATCCTGGAAGACTTGTTAGTATACAATAGTTGAAGATCTTCTCACTGGTATCAGGTGTCTTGCCTCGAGAACCATGGCACACTGAATGACGCCCCTGATACGGCATCCCTTGTTGACTAATCTCTCAACCGCATCTTTCACGTGGGATGGATCAGAGACGTCGCACTTGAAAGCATGCACCCTCGACCCGCGATCGCGGAACATTGTGAGATCAGCCAGGTTCTTGTCGCCTCCTGATCGAGACAAGAAGACAACGTGGCCAGCGCCGTGTTGGAACATCATGTCGGCAATCTGCAGCCCCAAAGCGCCGAAACCACCAGCGAGGACGTAAGTTGCTTCGGAATCCAGGCGGAGATCGGGAAGTCGAGATGGGCGCACAAGAGTCTGAGCATTGCTATCAACATATAGCACAAACTCAGTGGTATCATCATCCTGTTCGATCGTGCTCAAGTCGGCAATAGATCGTGTACGAACTTTGCCAAGTGGCACGACTTGCTTATCCTCGATCAAGGCGAGGGACTTGTCGAATAGTCTTTTCATGATCGCAGGCTTTGCCTCGAGAAGCCGAGATGCGTCAATGGTGGCCATGGTAATGTTCTGTGGGACGATGTTCTTTGAAGACCGGGAGTCGTAGTCTCCGCTGAAATCAATGAAAGTGCCAAACTCAGCGAGACTCTCAAGACTTGCCGCAGTTGGACAGGTCTGGTCGCAATTCAAAACCACATCCGCACCTCTCCGACCCGTTCGTGACAAGACTGCATCACGGATCTCGTTTGAACCATGTCCAAAGATCTGGTCTTCTGAGACGCGTAGTTGCTCGGACAAGGAGGACTTCTCGCGGATGCTTTTGACTGCGAGGAAGATTTCTGCGCCCAGAGACTGAGCAAGCTGAACAGCGGCCAGGCCGATGGCGGTATCGGCTCCGCGAACAATGACTGTTTGTCCACGTTCAAGCCTGGTTGCCTCGAGCAAGGCATATTGAGCTGTTGTCAGAGAAGAAACGAGTGAAACTACTTCCTTTGCCGGGATGCTAGGAGTAAGGAGTCGAGCCAAAGACTCATGAAGGCGAAGCTTGGTTCGACAGGGACCTGATTGTAACGCAACTACACGCTCTCCAACTTCAAAAGATGTGACATCAGGCGAAGTTGCGGATACGATACCGACCACAGTCTGGGCTAAAAGGTTCCCATGATCGCCGTCTGGCATGCGAGTTGTGCTCTTCCGCACGAAAGCGGTTTCAACGGTGATCTCTATCTCTTGCGGGCCAAGAGTTCCCGAGGGCTCTGTCTCGAGCCACACAAGGCGCCCATCATCATCGGTAAGCTGACGAGGAACTTGATTGCCCAGTGTCGTGAGAACAGGTTGCAGACATGGACCATCAGGGTCGAGGTCCATATCGATGTTATCATCCTCAATGAATCTTGGAATGAAGACTGTTCCATTGAGCTCAGCGTACTCCATCTCAAGCGACTGAGAGTCTTTGCGGAGCGTCGAGTTCCATACGTCCAGGACGATTTCCGAGACTCTTTCAGACCCCAGATCGATTGCCCTGCTCAAATCGAGATGTGGCAAGGTAACCTGTGAATACTCGGTGCGCAACACACGCAAGAGACCCTGGGAGGGGGCGAATTCCAGCCCGTCGTGCCAGTTGTGCATCAGGCCACCTCGTGTAATCCATAGGATGTGGCTGGTACTGGAAACCAAGCGCCTAAACTGAGAGAACTCTTCGTCGGTCCAGTCGTACACGAAGGGGGTCTCCACTTCAAGTAAAGAGATCACATGCTTTCCTTGAAGATCATGAACGCTGTCCAGTGTTGCTGGATGAGTCTGACAGCCACTTTCTTTGAGACGGCGGACCAATGATTCCTCCAACGCCTGAGTCTGAGGTGAAAGTTGAAGTCTCCGGAGCAGAACGACTTCCTTGGGGGTAGTCTTTGCGGCCACAGGTGTGGGCTTCTGAGTCAGGATAAGTGCTTGGCGGGAGTCGTTGTCATTGAGGCTGAATCTGGTGATCAGACCATGTGATTCAAAAATTTCTGAGGCCTTCATGTCGATAGCAGAAAAGACGTTCGACTGCAGTATGCCGATGTGGCCGCTGGGATGCGTCACCCCGTACGCTTGCGTCAGAATGGTTGCAAAACCAGCATGGTAGTAGGAATCAATCGTTAAGACCAAGTCAAAGAGTTGTTCCTCAAACGGAAATGAGTCTCTGGAACCAACTTCCCACTTCTTGACGACACTCGATTCCTGCTGGTCTTCCAACTCTTTCTCAACCATGATTTGGGCGGGTTCAGCTGTTGTTACCACCGCAATCCTTTGAGAAACAGATTTATTGCCATTGGCAAGTCTCTTTGAGATCATCATGAGAGTTCTGAAGAGACGTTGGGTCGATTCTGTAGCCTCTGTGACAAAAAGAAGCACCTGGTAGTTTGGCGTCTTGTGATAAAGCTTGTCCAACAGTCCCGACAAAGTGTGCAAGACCTCTTCACTGTGCCCTGAAGTATCCTCATTGCTGTTGGGGAGACCGTGGCTGAGAATAGAGTCCGCGGAGCGTATCAAATCCAGATCTGCCTTCCAGCGAACCTTGGCACACACCTTCCGTGAAGCCGTCTCGGTGGCTGAGGACGAGTCCTTGGATGACGTGACCTGTCTCAAGGCAAAGTCACGGACAATGATTTTAGGACCGCTCCAGCTCTCATCAGAAACGATCAGATCGCCGGATGTCTCGCGACCGTTGGCTCGCAAGCGCTTTGCAAACCCGGTGTAGACGCTGCCATCCCCTTGCGGTAGATCGGTAGAAACGTACATGTGTTTCAACGTGTACGGAACAGCGGCTTCGTCTAAGGACTGGCCATCTGAGAAGGCGATGAACAGAAGATGGAAAATGGCATCCATGGTAGCTGGATGAATGAGATGCGGAAACTCGAAGTTGAATGGCATGGAAGACTTCGTGTCAGGTATGGCAATCGAACCGTATGAACAATGTTCATCTGGTACTGCAGCAGCCTGGAACACGTTCCGAAAGGTCGGTCCGTATTCGACGCCGACAGCTTCGAGATCATCGTAGAAAGACTCCATGTCAAGCTCTTTGGATGCTCTATTTTCGATATCCTCTTTGTTCAAAGATAATTCGGACCACTCTGCCTGGGAAAGGCGCGAATGGTTGCGCTTTTCATGAGCGTAATCAAGCTGAAGATTGCCGTAGCAGTGTCTGGTCCAAGACCCAGTTGCTGTTGTTGAGAATACTGTGAAGTTCCACGCATGAGATTGCGAATCATCGGGACGCAAGCTGATTTCGGTTTGAACAGCCTGATCTCTTGAAGCAACAACCAAACCGCGCTCGAATTTCAGATCATGAAACGATATGCCGGTGAGAGTCTTGCCGTGATCACTCAATTGTCGCGCTGCCTCCATTGCCATGACGATCATACCAGCTGCTGGATATAACGTCGTCCCAGTGATCTTGTGGTCTTCGATCCATGGATTCTCTGATATGCGCAGATAGTTGCGCCATCTGGGTTCCATGGGATTTTGTAAGTCGACCGGAACTCCAAGCAAGTCGGTCCGGGGGCTTGCAGGAAACCTGTTTGAACGAGCTATGGCTGATTCGTGCCAGTAGCCCTTCTTGTGATTCCACGGATAGGATGGTAAATCTGGCAAGGCCATTGGGAGCGACTCGGGAATAATCATGTTGACTCGTGCAAGGTTGATGCTGTGTCCTGAAGCCCACAGTTGTCCCGCAAGCTGTAATGCGGTTAACTCGGCGTCCTTTCCACGAGTGACAGCAGAAAGATAAGGCGCTTCCTTCGCTGCCTTGCTTTGACTGGACTTGACAACCTCTCCGACGGGACTCTGCAATGCCCCGTGAGGGCCAAGCTCGACGAAGGCGCTCCAGGGCGTACGGTTGCGACCCCGTCCTTGAGATGCATCCGGTGCATGATCCAGGAGATTGCCCATAGCTTGAGAGAAGCGGACTTGTTCGCACATATTTCGCATCCAGTACGACCCGTCGAGATCTCTGGAAGTCACTGGTTTCCCAGTGAGAGATGAGAACATCGTGGCGACTTGATCCTGGTCTGCAAGTGGGATGATTACCCCCATGCGATCCATATACTCCTTAGCGACGGTAGCCATGTGAGGAGAGTGGTACGCGGTTTTCACACGGAGCATTCTTGCGAACTTGCCATCGGCGGAGATGAGCTCAGACAACTTCGACACTGCGTTGCGACCACCTGACAAAGTGACGCTCGATGGACTGTTGACGCAAGCAACCACGACTGAGCCAGGTGGCACATGCTTAAGATATGCCGTCGCCTCCTCTTCAGAGAGACCTGCCGCAAGCATGGCACCAACTCGAGGGCTTACGATATCTGCAACCTTGGCAGAGCAAATGCCTCGGAGATACGCAACCTTGACTGCATTGCAGCGCGAAAGAAGACCGGCTGCATACGCCGCACCTGGAAGACCGTTAGCTTCACGCAATGCGAGGACCGGATTAGACTCAATGTACCTATTTCACCACTTGAGTGGCCAACAACGGCTTTCGGTGTAATGCCCCAGGCTCGTAAGAGGTCAACAAGTGCGATCTGTAGGACGGTGCACAGCACTTGGCTGTACTGTGGTAGATCGATGTTGGAATCTTCCGTCTTGGAAAGCTCATCCGTCAAATCCCATAGACAGCCGTAGTGCTCCAGTAACACCTGCGACTTGTTGATGCTCGTTCGGAAGATGCAGTTGTTCAAGAGCTCTCTTCCCATAGCAGGCCACTGAGCACCCTGCCCCGTGAAAACGAAGACGAGATTATCGTGCTTGGATGATCGCTTCAGCTCCGGCAAACCCTTTGAAATTTGGCGTTGGAGGTCCGAGATGGAATCCGCGACTGCGAAACTTCGAAATTCGAAGGGAGCTCGTCTCATCGACAGCGTATAAGCCAGGTCACCGAGAAACCTCGGACCAGATGTGAACTCCTTCTGGGACAGGTAGTCGGCGTAAACCGCACCGAGACGCTCAATTCCACTCTGGTCCTTAGAGCTGAAGGCAAATAACCTCTTGTTAGCATCTTGTCTTGGTGAGTCAGATCCTAGACTGATGCCTGATTCTGAAGAGTCGTCTTCGAAGGTGCTTGTGTTATGATTGCCGTGCAGCCCTCGATTTCGCAGGTAGTTATGAGCATCGTCCAGGATGACGTGTGCATTAGCACCGCCGAACCCGAATGAGTTGACACTGACACGTCGCTGACCAGTGGCTGGCCAGAGCATGTTCTCGGATGGTAAAGCCAGATTCCATTCGGAGAGCTTAAGCTTCGGGTTCAGCTTTTCGATGCCGGCAGTTGGTACGAGGATTCCCTTTTCCAGGCAAACAATGGACTTCAGTACACCAGCTAGACCGGAGCAGCCTTCGGTGTGGCCAACGTTGGCCTTGATGCTGCCGACATACAATGGGCCGCTCTCTGGTGTGCGCCCAGCTCCGAGGGTTGCACCAATTGCCGACAACTCAATGGGGTCCTGTAAATGATTAGCACTCACCTCACATCTTAAGCGCTGTGGTTAACTCTTACCCCAAGAGGTGTTCCAGTTCCATGGGCTTCAAAATATTGCGTGTCCGAGAGCGATAGGCCTGCAGCCTCATATGTGCTTCTGATGAGTTCGGCCTGGGCCTCGGAACTTGGCTGGGTAATGCCCGGTGTCTTGCCATCCGCGTTCGTGCCGGTACCCCTGACCACCGCTCGAATAGTGTCACCATCTCGCAGTGCATCTTTCAATCTCTTCAATATCAGGCAGCCGATGCCTTCTCCTCGACCATAGCCATTGGCCCTATGATCGAAAGAGTGAGATATGCCTTCCGGGCTGAGCATGTGCATCGACGATAACTGATGCATGAAGTTCGGATGAAGGATAAGGTTGACACCAGCCACCAATCCCTATTCAAAATCTCAGTCACTCATACCAAATCTGGTGATGCTCCCGACTCACCATGTTAGTCTCTCCCTGTTTCAAGGACTGGCAAGCCAGGTGAAGGGCGTATAAACTTGATGAACATGCCGTATCGAGAGTTAAGCTGGGTCCTCGCAAACCGAAAAACCAAGAAACTCGGTTTGCGGTCATCGCTTCGCTCAGTCCAGATGCAGCAACATCGCCTACATCATGAATGTCGTGCGTTGAAAGTTGCTCGTAATCATTTGTCATACATCCAACGTACACGCCGGTCTGGGAATTCATCAGAGTATCCACCGGGATTCCGGCTGCAACTCTTGTTAGCGACGGTGAGCCGGAGACGAGATGTCGGCCAGAATTCACCATTCTCAAATCCCTCATAGCTCACTTCAAGCAAAAGTCGTTTCATAGGATCCATCCCAGCGGCCTCTCTAGCTGTCATCGAAAAGAAAGGGGCGTCGAAAAGCGATACATCTTCTTGGAGAAAGTATCCATGTTTCACACTAATCTACGCATTCACAGTTGTCAACAGGTTGATCTGAGAGATCGAAAATGGCAACTTACAGATCCTTTACGATCTGGATCAGGATGATACCAAACATCGGCGTCCCATCGAGAGAAAGGAACCTTTCCATGAGCACTTTTGCCATGGCTGATCATGTCCCAGAGTCTGCTGAGTGATGTTGCTTCGCCAGGCAAGCGGCATGCTGCACCAACGATGGCAATTGGCTCCTGGTCTCTGCACGGACTCATGATGACTGTGATATCCGTCGTTGTTGATTGAATAATGGTGATGGCTACGTAGTGTAATCGGAACTGCAAGGAACTACTGTAGACTTGCGCAAATGGCTCAACGAACTATCGTGAGTCTTGGTAGCTAATTGACGTTCAACGTAACCAATCCAAGGTATCTCCATACTGATATCCGTACCTTGAAGCTTTTCCGAGGACGGCACTTCCTGGTCAGAAACCACATCCAGTAGCGAGTCACCATCCCAAAATGGCCGCCGGATCCGTCCCAAACGGTACAAAAGTACACAAATTACCCGATTGAGACAGCCGACTTACCGATACCGAGAACGAGGAGCTTAATCATTCAATTCAAACTTCACGATATCAGTCTTTCACGAGAGTTTTCTCTTCTTATCCTGCATACAGGAAATTGTAATTTCGAAATTACTTTCGGGTTGCCTTCGACGTTACCGCTGTCATTATCATCTAGCAAACATGAGAATTCTTGCATTGCATGGCGTTGGCAGTTCTGCCAAGATTCTGGAAAGCCAGCTGGTTGGCTTGATGAGATCGGTTGATGCGAGCTATGAGTTTGTCTTGGTCGATGGTCCTGTCCCATCACACCGAGGGCCTGGTAAGTTGATAGCCCGGAAGCAATTATGTCTTGCATCCTGCGAACTCCTCGTGCTAACGGCGTAATCTTAGGAATGAGCCCTGCGCTCCCAGGTCCGTTCTACTCTCATACTGCGGGGTACTCCCCACGAGAGATTGAGACGGCACATCAACACATCGCAGCAACCGTTGATGAGCTCGGCCCGTTTGATGGCATCTTAGGCTTTAGCCAGGGTGCTTCTGTCGCGCTATCCTACATTTACCACCAACAAGTCAACGGCGAAGAACCGGATTTCAAGTTTGCAGTTCTCTTCTCTTCAGTCGTTCCTTTCTCAGCCGATGAGACATACTGCGAGACTGAGATTGAGGATCTCTGCTCATACCGACGCAGCGGGACGAGCGCAAAGGATCTTGCCCCACGACAGCAGGTCTTCAACGACTGCCTCGTCCGGACTTTCCAGTCGGCATTGAAGATCGGAGCAGTTTTGCCAACCTTCAATCAAGACTTTTTCCGTGATGTGGGAGGCGTTGTACCCCGAGTTCTGCACCCGATGTTACTTTCCGAGCGCATACACATACCGACGGTTCATGTTTCCGGGAGACGAGACTTTCCTTTCATGCATGATATGCATGAGGTTGGCTATCAAATGTGTGACGCCCGTATCTCAAAGAAGCTTTATCACTCTGGTGGTCACCACCCGCCCAAGAAGGATTCGGAGATTAAGGCAGTTGTGAGAGCTATGGAGTGGGCCGTCGACCAATATTATAGGCAGCCACCATCGTTTTTATGATACCAGTTTTAGAAGAATAGACATTACAATCATTCTCGTTCGCACCCATATAAATCCAAAGAGCCTGCTTTACGTCAATAATGTGGACGCATTCCATCTTATCGTATCTTACAACTTGACACTGCGGGAGAACTCAAGTGATCAAATACGGGAAAGTCACGTTTGATTGATCCATTCTTACATGAAGACAAGAACTTCTCGGTATGAAAGTAGAACATCTACATCCCAGGTGAAAAACACATAATCCAATTGAATGAATTGAAATCGCCTCGAAATGAAGTATCCCATATTCTATCCGAACTAAACTCCACAATGCTCCATGTCCGACATCTATCTATCGCATTTGCCTCCCCCGTGCTTTCTTCTTTTCAGACCGTATCGTTCCGTTTGTTAAAGACATCATTTTTGGTGGAACCGGTAGGACTTAAGTCCTGCTGTTTCATTTCCATTGCATCCGCTGCTCCGCTCATGGTGTCCTTGCTCCCACTCTCGTCGCCAGCGGCTGGAGCGGCCTCTTGCTTAACCGTTCTCCACTGAACAAGTGCACTCCCAACGATACTTGCACAAGCAAGAGCCAAGGCCACATACCACGAGTTCGTCAAAGACTTACTGTAGAGACGCAAAACCGCATCCAGTGACTCCGGTGGTATGACACCTGGCATTCTGATGCTGTTCGCACCACCATCCACAATGGCGGTAGCGTTGATGTTCGGAAGTTCTGACGCCAATCCAGCTCGAAGCTCGTTGGTGAAGACGTTTTGAGCCACCGAGATGAAGATTGCCCCTCCAAAGGTCTGTAAGAACATGACCAATGCCGTTCCGAGAGGTATTTCTGCCATTGGAAGAACGGTCTGAACGACCATCAATGGGGTCTGCATGCTCTGACCGGATCCCATACCGTAGAGAACTTGATATCCTATCCATGCCTTACTTGGAACGTCCGGTTTCCATGTTGTCAGAAGGCCGGCACCAACAGACATGAATAGCGTCGCAGCAATCATGAAAGGGTTGTAATAACCGATCTTGGTGATTCCCACTCCGCTCAGAATGGATGCCAGAGCGGTTGCAAGGATCAACGCCAGATTCATCAGCCCGGAGTCAACAGCAGATACGCCTTTAACCGCCTGGAACCAGATTGGTATGTACTGCCGCAGTGTGAAATCCGCACCAGCCGTGCAAACCGAGAACCAGCACGCAGCCGCTACACTTCTCTGAGAGACGACTGTGAGGGGCAACGTGGCGTTCTTTCCGTTGCGCACCTGAATGATGACGAAGACGACGGATAATACTCCGAAGAGCACGAAAAGAACAATGACCCGGGCATCGTTCCAAGGGTAGATCGTGCCTCCCCACTGCAACGCCAGCAAGAGACAAATGACGGCTGGCATCAGGGCAGCGGTTCCTAGAGGGTCGATCTGAAGGAATTTCTCCAGTGGTGTGATGTTTGCGTCTGAATCTGGGCGAGGTGGGGACTTGAAGACGAAGATCATGATGACGAGTGCTACTGCGCCAACCGGAAGGTTGATATAGAACTGAGAACCGTTAGCTTTGGAAGATGTGTCGGTGTAGATCTCTTCCGTTAACTTACACACCATCGCCAAGTGACCTTGTCAGTAAACACGCCGCCAAGCAGAGGACCGACAACGGAGGCGATCGCGTAAACACCCCCGACCAAACCAGTGTAGGCAGGGCGCTTAGGCAATGGGATGATAACGGCAATAATTGTAAAGGTTCCGGCGAGAATGCCTGAACATCCAATACCCGCGATTGCACGCCCAACAATCAAGACGGCAGACTGAGGAGCTGCGCCGCATATGGCTGACCCTATCTCAAAGATGAGGATTGAGATCAGGTAAGTGAGCTTGATGGAAAATAGAGTATATAGTTTGCCGAAGGTGAGCTGGAAGGTGCATGTTGTCAGCAGGTAGGCACTGCCGTACCAGCCAATATCGTTGATCGACGAAAACTCGTCCGTGATCCGGGGAATTGCGGTCGATATGATGATGTTGTCCTATGTTGTGGCTATGTCAGTGACAAATGGTCACGAGCTGCTGGCTCTAGGAACCCATACCAATCCAACTAGGAATAGCGTCAAGCATAATCCAAATGTGATTGCGAGTAGCTTCAAGCCAGTCGGTCCATCGGCACTTGGATCTAGGGGAGGGCTCTCAGGAACCGGGCGCTCTTCGACGGAAGGCTCATCGGATTTCAGGCTTGACTTGCGGTCGCCAAATTTGGCCCACTTAGACAAATTTCCCGTGGAAGGCATTTTTACTGAAGGGTGGTGATCTTGACTGCTGTTTGATAACGTTGCCTCCAATGCGACAGTACAATCGGTGAGAGTTGGATTGCTAAGATGTGACTGGAGATACTTGAGGAAACAATGTTTTCTAAGGCGCGCCGTCACCAAGCGGCAGGACTTACACCACACTCAATTCCAGCACCCCAACCGGATTACAAAATTGTCCGCTTAGGTGACTAGGTAAGGTTTCTTCTGTTATTGGCATCCTATAGACTTTGACGGTTAGAGTCGCGTATCACCCTTAGCCCATCGTCCAAAGTTACGCTCCCGTTGACACCATGAGTCGTGAGGAACCTAGCCCCTATAGTTACCTTTCAAAATCCATGATCCCGGTTCGACATTCAACGTCCCGAGCAGATAAGGTTGCCGGCCATGGGACGTGACTTTCCGTGTGAAGCTTTCCCGCATTAAGCGCCGAAGCGAACGGCGCTTCCCAAAAGGGAAACGTCTTTGGAAGCCGGAAAGATCAAAGACAGTTCCACCATGATCAGCCGGAAGAACCCATGGAAACGTATTCGGCGCAGTCGACTCGGTGTACGCCTTTTCGGTGATGCCGGTTGCTCAGGGAGCTGACCTTCGTGAAGACATTGACCATGCAAATTTGGCACAAGATCTTCCAACATAATTCTATCAACACGGCGCTGAGAAGAGTCTAGTCGATACGTAGTGCATGTAGAACCCCTTAGTAAGACCGTGCTTGCTCATTGACATATTCTCCGGTCTCGGATATTCCATCTATCGAGATTCGAGAACCCACACAAATCCGACATCACAGATCGATATTCTGTGGCCCGTGTTCTGTAGTAACAAAACCAACTGAAGACTACAATCAACAATTCACTATGGCACCCTACATGAGTCATGTATCCTCAGAGTTGAGCTCTCCTGTGGACAGCATTCAATCGCCTCGAGGAGCACCAGTAGAGCCAATTGCCGTCATTGGCATGAGCTGCAAGTTCTCAGGAGATGCTACAACTCCTCAGAAATTATGGCAACTAGTTCTCGAGGGAAGAGATGGATGGTCAACCATTCCAAAGTCGAGGTTCAACTCAGATGCATTCTACAACAAGGACCATGCAAAAACTGGAATGGTATGGACAAATCAGAAACATGATAGCAAAGCAATCGTGGCCAGCTAACGATGATTCATCTAGTCCAATGTAGTTGGCGGTCACTTCATACAAGATGACATCTCCAAATTTGACGCTTCCTTTTTCAACTTTACCGCAGAAATTGCCAACGTGAGTTGAGAGACAAACTACCTGTAGGTGACAAGATATTGACCTGTTTTGGCGTAGGCAATGGACCCTCAGATTCGGTTGCTTCTCGAGTCTGTATTTGAAACATCTGAAAATGGTAAGAATGGTCGGCTCTAACACTAATACGCGAGCTAAAATGGAATAATAGCCGGTGTATCTCTTCAAAGACTCGCAGGGAGCGATACGTCTGTGTTCATGGGCTCTTTCTCGAGAGACTATCATGATAGCCTCATGAGAGATCCGGACACACTGCCACGAACCGCTCTCACTGGCAACGGTGTCGCGATGATGTCAAACAGAATCTCTCATTTCTTCGACCTTCGTGGTCCTAGTTTAACGACAGATACGGGTTGCTCCGCGAGCTTGGCTGCCCTTCATCTAGCGGTTCAGAGCATTCGGAACGGAGAGTCTAGAATGTCTATCGTCGGGGCGTCGAATCTGCTGCTAAATCCCGACCCCTTTATCGTTATGTCAAGTCTTGGGTGAGTAAATCATTAGTCCATACAGGCTGTTGAGATATGTGCTAACAAGTTCTAGCGTTCTAGGAGCCGATGGACGGTGTTTTGCTTGGGACAGCAGAGCCAATGGATACGGCCGAGGAGAAGGCATTGCCACGCTCCTTCTCAAGCCGCTTCGTGAGGCTGTTGCGGATGGTGATCCAGTTCACGCAGTCATCCGAGAGACTGCTATCAATCAGGATGGTAAAACACCAACTATTACTTCGCCGTCCGCAGAAGCGCAGGAGGAATTGATTCGGGCTTGTTATCGACGAGCCGGTTTGGACCCTTCCAAGACAGCCTATGTCGAGGCCCATATGACGGGCACACCCACAGGAGATCCCATCGAAGCCACTGCTATCAGCCGGGTTTTCAGCAAGAGTCGCAGCAGTCATGATCCTGTTCTAGTCGGATCGATCAAAACCAATCTAGGCCATTTGGAGGCCTCCAGTGGAATTGCAGGCGTGATCAAGGCGATCATGATGGTCAAGCATGGAGTTATTCCCCCGAGCTTGAACTACGAGAAGGCCAATCCCAAGATCGACATGGAAGCTCTCAGAGTTAGAGTACCCCTAGTCACCCAAGAGTGGCCTCAGGGCATGCCTCGCCGGATTTCAGTCAATAATTACGGCTATGGTGGCACCAATGGTCATGTCATCATCGACGGCCCGCAGGAGCATCTTCAAAATCTTCCTGAGCCGCCAGCTGGTTCAGATGAGCCGCGTCTCTTTCCTCTCAGCAGCAAAGACTCAAGTGTCACTTCCCAGATGGTGTCAGATTTAAGATCCTATCTTGAGGGCAAGAAGTCCTCAGGCGACAAGGTTAATTTTGACGATCTTGCCCATACGTTAAACATGAGAAGGTCGCAGTTTCCCTGGAGAGTGGCAGTCTCGAGTCTCACTAGCCTGGACAACCTGATGGACTCTCTCGAGGATCCTGTCAAGAAGACGGTTTCACTCGCCAAGGAACCACCTCGCATTGGTTTTGTTTTCAATGGCCAAGGCGCTCAGTGGCATGCCATGGGACGTGAGCTCATCTCAGCCTATTCGACTTTCAGAAAGGCAGTCCTTCACGCCGACGTTGTCTTGGCGGACTACGGCGCTGACTGGTCCTTGATCGACGAACTTCAGCGTGACGAGAAGACAACTCGAGTGAACGAGCCCAGGCTTAGCCAACCAGTCTGTGTCGCCCTTCAGATCTGCCTAGTCGACTTGCTCAAGTCTTGGGGCATCTACGCAAGTGCCGTAACAAGTCACTCCAGTGGAGAAATATCTGCCGCCTACGCCTCAGGAGCACTCACTTTTGAGGAGGCGCTCGGTGTGGCCTACTTCCGCGGCGTCCTCACTGAGAAGTACCACACATCTTCCGCTGTCCCAGGGGGCATGATGGCTGTTGGACTTGGCTCGGAAGCAGCCTGGTCGTATCTGGCCGAGCATGGGGTTGACAAGGGCACCGTGACAGTTGCCTGTGTCAACAGCCCGTCTAGCGTGACGCTGTCTGGAGATCTGGACGCGATAGAGCGACTCGAGAAGCAATTTGCCGAAGAACAGATCTTCGCTCGCAAGCTGAAAGTCAAGTCTGCCTATCACTCTCACCACATGCTTCCCATGGCCGAGGAGTATCTCAAGACGTTGAAGGACATCATCCAGCCGAAGCTCAAGTGGAACAAGATCGTCTACTCCTCTCCGGTAACGGGCGATCTGATTACCACCCCCGACAAGCTTGGGCCGCAACACTGGGTGAACAATCTTTTGTGGCCAGTGCTTTTCTCTCAGTCATTTGAGAAGATGTGTGCTCCTGGATCCGACGGTACCAGTCCGAAGGTGGATTTCATACTTGAGGTTGGTCCTCATTCAGCACTGGCTGGACCGATCAGACAAATATGCAAATCCGCTGCGCTGAAAGATCTCAACTTGCCGTATGCGTCCTGCTTAGTTCGCGGTCAAAATGCAGCCATCTCGATGCAAACAGCGGCTGGTTCTCTCTGGTGTAAAGGATACCCAGTCGACGTGGCTGCTGTCAACGACCAGCATAACCAAAGCAACAGGCGTGTCATTGCAGACCTTCCCTCTTATCCTTGGAATCACGCCACAAGCTTCTGGCAAGAATCTCGACTCAACCTTGCACATCGTCAGAGACCTCACGTACGCCATGAATTACTTGGTTCTTTGCTTCCGGGCCCTGCGCCAACGAGTCCGACTTGGAGACACTTCCTCAGGCCCTCTGAGCTTCCGTGGCTCCGGCATCACTTGGTTCAATCGGACATCGTCTACCCTGGCGCTGGAGGCATCACGATGGCAATTGAGGCTATACGTCAGATTTCAGGCTCTGCTGCAGACTCAATCGATGGGTATCGCCTGAGAGACATCCAAATCAGCAATGCCTTGGTCATTCCAGACACTGAGAGTGGAATCGAAGTCCAGTTGTCTCTGCACCCATGTGATAGCAAGAACCTGGAGCCTGGATGGTATGAGTTCTCGCTCAAGTCAGCCCGTGCTGATGGTGATTCATGGACCGAACATGTTCACGGATACATCTCAGAAAGAACAAAAACAACCACAGTTCTTCCTCTGAGTCAGCCTACCAACTCCTCCGAGTCTATCCAGGACAAACACTTGCAGCCTATGGATGTCGAAGAACTATTCAGCCGTCTTAGGAAGATGGGACTTCACCATGGGCCTACCTTCCAGAATATGCTCAGCATCCAGTCGCAGGAGCAGGTGTCTGGTTCTAGATTTCAATTTCAAGTTGCGGACTCCAATGCTGCAAGCGGTCATGTTCTTCATCCGACGACCTTGGACTCGGTCTTCCAGGGAGCCTATTCGGCACTCCCCACAAACGCCTATCAGAATTCCATGGTCATGCCACGATCTATTCAAGAGATATTTGTCTCCAAGCTCATCGACTCGGCTCCTGGAACCCAGTTTGACGCTCTTGCGACTGTGACTAAGGAAGACAGATCAGGCTTCCAGTCAACAATCACCACTCGCGCCACGCAAAGCTCAAATGAGGTGCTTCTAGAAGTCAAAGGTCTCTTCTGCCAGGCTGTCGATGGTTTGAACCCAGTGCAGGGCCCAGACGGAGCACCTAAACTCTTGTTCAAGATGCTCTGGCACCCGGACATGACCATGATGCCAGTGGAGATGATCAAAGAGCCGCTCAGATTTCACGTCGACGCTCATGAACTCTCTATCAACAAGAAGCTAGTTCGTTCTGCATGGCACTTCATCCAAGACGCTATTCAAGACATCGGCTCAGACGATCAGGCTCTGCTTGACATGGAATGGTATCATAAATCGCTTTACGATTGGATGAAGTCCAACTACGACGCTGGGCTTGTCGGCACTCTTGCTCGTGGTAGTGCATCTTGGGCTAAGGCCAGCAAGGGCATGAAGCATATGCTATTCGACGAAGTCTCGTCTCAGAGCGTCAATGGCCGCCTCTTATGTCGCATCGGCCGGAACCTGTCAAAGATCCTTCGGAAGCAGGTGGCACCTCTGGAAGTCATGATGGAAGGTAATCTTCTCTATGAATTCTACGAGAAAGCCCTTCGCTGCAACCGATCTTACGACCAAGTCCAGCAGCTTGTGCATCTCTATTCCATGAAGACTCCGCGAGCAAAGGTTCTCGAGATTGGGGGAGGCACCGGTGGGTGCACCGGTTCTGTTTTGAAGGGACTGTCTGACGACACTCCTGATGGCAGCTATCGCTTCTCATCCTACACTTTCACTGACGTTTCTACCGGTTTCTTCGAGGCGGCTGCCAGGAAGTTCGCCGACTATGGAAACATGATGAGCTTCAAGAAACTTGACATTGAGGTGGATCCCTCTGAGCAGTCATTCATACCTGGCTCCTACGACCTCATCATTGCTTGCCAGGTTCTCCACGCTACGAAGAACATGGAAAAGACGATGAAAAACGTTCGGAAGCTTCTCAAGCCCGATGGGAAGCTCATACTGGTCGAGACCACCAAAGACACATTGGACGTCCAACTCATCTTTGGAGCGTTGCCTGGTTGGTGGCTCGCAGAGGAGGCTGAACGTAAGGGTGGACCAAATCTTACCGTTGACCACTGGAGCCGGGTGTTGAAGAACAGCGGATTTTCGGGAATCGACATGGAGGTCCGCGACATGGAAGATGATGCCAATTACTCTTTCAGTGTCATGACCTCCACTGCAACTTCACCACACTCTTTCCCGTCTGAAGTTTCTATCCTCTGCCCTACAGAGAAGGTCCCAGTTCCATGGATGGATGGTCTACAGGCTGCGATTCAAGCGAAGACCGGCGCTTCAACGCTTCTCGAAGACTGGAAGAAGATCGATGCCACCGACAAAGTGTGCATTATGCTCGTCGAAATGGTCGTCCCTCTGCTGAGCCGTCTCGCGAAAGCAGAGTTTGAGACTATCCAACGTCTCTTGACCACCGCTCGGGGTATTCTGTGGGTCACAAGAGCGAGCCTCACCAAGGGTCTTGAGCCAGATATGGCCTTGCACTCTGGGCTTCTTCGAACCCTTCGGATGGAAGACGCCGGACGGCGATACGTTTCTCTCGACCTCGAAACGACAGAATCAGTCTGGGCTGAAAAGAATACCGACTTCATTGCAGATGTCTTCAGTGCTTCGTTCGACTTCGCACGGAGTTCTCAAGACATTGACACGGAGTATGCTGTCCAGCATTCGCTGCTTCATGTGTCACGCATCTACAATGACGATACCGAGAACAAAGCTCTCAGTCCGGAAGACGCCATACCACACCTGGAGATCCGAGAGTTCGCGACCAAAGATTCAGGCACTGCCCTTCAAATGGAGGTTGGAACTCCTGGTCTCCTCGACACCCTGCGTTTCCATGAGGTCGACCGGGATGGATCTTCTCTTGCACCAGACCAAATTGAGATCGAACCACGCGCCTTTGGTCTCAACTTTAGAGACGTCTTGGTTGCTCTTGGCCAACTCGATGAAACCATCATGGGATATGAGTGCAGTGGCGTTGTCACTAGACTCGGCTCAGACGCCCTAAAAGAGAGTGGTTTGAAGGTTGGCGACCGTGTTTGTGCCATTCTTCGCGGGCACTGGGCGACCAGAGTTTCCATCAACTGGCCATGTGCCGTTCGCATCCCAGACGACATGTCATTTGAGGATGCTGCGTCAATTCCTATGGTCTTTGCTACTGCATACCACGGACTGTACGATATCGGCAGATTTGCTAAGGGTGAAACTGTGCTCATCCATGCCGCCACCGGCGGAGTTGGTCAAGCTGCCGTCATGTTGGCTCAACATCGAGGTGCCGAGGTCTTCGTCACGGTCGGCACTGAGGCCAAACGCGATTTCGTCATAAAGGAGTTTGGCATCCCGCAAGATCACATCTTTTCTAGTCGAGACGCTTCCTTCGGGCCTGCGATTATGAAAGCTACCAACGGCAACGGGGTTGATGTGGTTCTCAACTCACTTTCGGGTCCCCTACTGCAGGAGACTTGGGACTGCATGGCCCGATTCGGGAGATTTGTTGAGATTGGCAAGCGAGACATGGAGGCTGCTAAGCACCTGGACATGAGCCCGCTACGCCGCGCTGTCTCTTTTGCTGCGGTTGATCTTTTCCAGCTGGGCAAGTACAAGGGACTCGTTCTTCAAGACGTTCTTTTGGGTGTCATGGCAATGTTCGAGCGAGGAGAACTCCGAACTGTCGCGCCCGTGACTACTTACTCCATCTCGGATGTCGACAAGGCCTTCAGGTTCATGCAGAGTGGCAAGCATCTGGGCAAGATCGTGGTGAAGCCTCAGCCAACCGACTTCGTGAAGGTAAGAATGATTGCAAGACCACTACGACTTCACAGTTTACTAATTACCCTAAAGGTTATTCCTAATCCCAAGCCTGCTCGCCTGTCTCCAACTGCAACTTACGTTATTGTTGGCGGCATGGGAGGCATCGGCCAATCCATCGCTCTGTGGATGGCGCGTAGTCTTGGATGCAAGAATCTCATCATTCTTTCTCGAAGCGCTCGGTCACATCCATCTTGCCAAACTCTCATGGCGAACCTTCAAGCCGCTGGATGCAAGACTCTCGTTGAGAACTGCGATGTGTCCAATGAGGCAAATTTTAGGCGCGTTCTGGAACACGCGAGACATAACCTCCCACCCGTTCGTGGCGTGATTCAAGCTGCTATGACCTTGAACGTAAGTTTATTCCCATGTTTGTCTTGGTTGGGCGGGAAAAGCTCACACGCTGCCAGGACTCCATTTTCCCCAACATGACTTACGACCAATGGCTCGCGGCCACAGGGCCTAAGATCGCGGCCACGTGGAACATTCACAACAACCTTCCAGACCTTGACTTCTTCATCATGCTCTCATCCTTGACAGGTCTCGGCGGTAACACCAGTCAAGCCAACTACTCGGCCGGCGGAACATTCCAGGACGCCTTCGCGAAGTATCGTACATCCAAATCCTTGCCAGCTGTGTCCATTGACCTGGCGAGTATTCAAGAGGTTGGCTTCGTCGCCAATACTGAGGGTGTTGCGGAGCGTTTGACCAAGACTGGACTCGCCGACATCGATGAAGCGCAGATGCTGAAGATCATTGAGACAGCCATTCAGCGTCCTCACCGCCCTGTTGATCTCAGTCAACTTATTACAGGCATCTTGGAGTTTGACGAGTCGTCGACCGTTGCTTGGGTCCAAGACAAGAGGTTCACCTCTGTGCAGGTCAACCACAACACCACGAGCGGCCCACGTGGCCGAGGTGACAACCAGGGTGCCACTTCTGCTCGGCTGTCTGATTCCTTGCAGTCTGCACAAAACAGCACTAGTGCGGTGGTTCTCATTTTGGATGCCATCATCTCCAAGTTGGCGGAGATGTTTGGCTTGGACGCTGCAGAGATCGACAAAAAGCATCCCGTGTCCAAGTACGGGGTTGACTCGCTGATCGCCGTTGAACTCAGAAATTGGCTGGTATCCAGCGCAGGAGCTGAAACGACAAGCATTTTTGACGTGCTGCACAGCCCAAGCTTGACTGTTCTAGCCGAGAAGATCGGAGAGAAGAGCAGATATGTGTCAACGATGGTTAAAGCTACATAGACTTGAATATTTGTGTGACTCCGTACACCCATGTTCATAACTGAAGTGTGCCGAAATATTTGCTTTAGTTGTTAATGATCAACCACATACATTAAAAGTTCACTTTTCTCTTCTTATATTCTGAAGCCTTGGTAGTTCGCTTTGTAGATGCCCGCGTGTGAAGCAATTGCATTACGAAAATCTCATACATGCTTTTGATCTCGGCTTGCGGCATATCATCAGGTCATTTTTCATAGTGATTGGTTCTCACTTTGTTGCCTAATGAAGTAATCATCTACTGCCTCCTGGCCTGCAAAGTGATGGAACTGCCCCGGTCATGGGAGGTCGAAGGCTGGTGGTGTGGTGGACTTCAGAGTTCCTGGGTTCCTGCTGAAGGTTCGATCTGATCGATACTACAGGAGATGAAGTGGCATGACCCTGCCGGCTCCCATTGCTTGAGCAAAGTTAAGACAGGCTCAAGCTTTTGACGGGAATACTACGCAGTACAGCTCACGACGCATTCGTCTCAAACCTGGAACTCAAATCCCGGACCATCAGCAACATGCAGCTGCATGCACCGACAAAACCAATTCTGCAGGGATCACCACGTCGATTCCGGTGGGTGAATTACGACAGCTCAAGTGCGAAGTCCTCGGAATTGTTGATAACGTGAGTCCAGATATTTGGTCTATGCTAATTGCTACGAGTCGCTGCTGCCACTTCTTGAACCTCTATGACTTTCGCACTGCATCAACATCGTCCGCATGCATTGAATCTTCCGCTCCGCTCCCAATAGCGGTGCCAAATGTGCTTTCCTTGTCCCAACTCGTGCCTTGATTTTGCTGATTAGTTGACAAAACTCTGTCAACTGGCTTGTGACAAGGCACCTGAGAACTTGGTTTCGCTCAGACGCACTCTCGATCTTGTACGATCTGAACCACATGGACGCGCCACCAGCTGTAGGGTTTGTGGGCTGCGTCTGTTGTACAACATCCACGTAGCATCTGACCGTCTTTTCGCAAATGTTGCTGAGATACTGCCCCGCCATGGCGAGGAGCATCATGCTTTCGGACCGCGACTTGCACAACTTGCAGCTCAGTATCGAGTCACAGCCCTTGATCGCCTCTCTGCAGCAATTAAGAAGTCCGTCCATCGTGGGCTGTTCCGTGTTGGCTCCCTCGTTTCCGAGTTGCTCTAGAAGGTGTGCGGCGAGCCGTAAGCAACGGCACTCGCTCTTCTTCTTGAACGTGTTCTCGGCGGTTTCCAGTAGGGCGGTCATCGGACTCGTAGCCGGTGCAGACATCCTGTATGACACCGGGGTCGGTTTACGGCTTGGCTGTGACTTGCTGGAAGTGGGTGGGTCTGGCAATGCGTTGCTTGTGTTTGCTGGAAAGTTCTCATCTAATAGCATATCCAAACTCGAGGCCGACAGGCAAGGCGTAGAAGAAGAATCGTCAATAATTTCGTTGGTATCTGGTTATTTAGTTAGTTATTGTTACAGAAAGTCGTCATGTTACGAACCATTCATATCAAAGTCTTCGAGCTGAGTCCCTTGAGAGCTCGCACCGTCATCACCACTATCTTCCGTGTTATCGAAGTATGACGTCTCTTTTCCAGTATCTTGCCAATTCGTACAGAAGTCTCCTGCCTCGAAGTTCGACATCTCAATTGTCCCGTTTGGAGACAACAAGCTGCACGATGCAAGCCACTGGTCGATCTGATCTTGTTCGTGTTTTTCGTCCTGGCCGTTCGACAAATCACCAAGCATGTCGGTCGGACATTGCAGGAGATCCATCGCAGGGCTAGGGAGGGGGTTATGCTGTTGTAACTGGCCCAAGGCCACAGTATTGTCGACACCTTGACTTCGCACCTGCACCATCAAAGTTGGATCTATCTTGAAGTGGTCCGAGATTGCTGGAGAGCGCGGTGTTGTGGCGTTTTCGAGAGCTGAAGGACGCTGTTGAGGCATGTCCTTCACCGAGGCACTTGATTCCTTTCGTTTTCGGATAACACTTCTGTTGGTCGGATACTTGCAGACGTTGGAGGCTGTTTTGCATCTATCACAACCGTTCGGATTCCCGTTACACCGAAGCTGCGAGATTCACAGGTTAGCACCGGGCGTGCAGTCTAGATGACTTCATACCTACCTTACGCGCTCGGCAGAATTCGCATGCAATGTGCGGCTTGCCTCGTCGGTTTCGGTTTATGACGGCTTCGGGATTGTTCTCGATGAACGTAGGCTCGTTGTGCTGTAAATCATACATCAAAGTGCCGAACATTTTGCTTTCGGTCCAGTAGAACGAGGGATAGTTGCCGATCAGTCTTCAGGAGGAGCAAATCATAAGGCTGATGTGGTGGCTTTCGAAAGTTCGGTGTTAAGATTACCAAAAGTTCTTGTGAATTCTCGTCGTCTGGACTAGAAAGGTTTAAGTGACTTGAGGCCTCATTGGGAAAGGCACCTTCATAGTTATTGGGTGTCATCAAACACTACCCTGAACGGTTCGCAGAAATCTTGCCGTAACCTTTGAGGGGGCAGATTGTGATGTGTGAAAAAACCTTAGCAAACAAGATTTATCCGAGGTTGACCGGTGAAGGGAGTGGCATGCTACCAGCATCGCCGGAAATCTGGTGGAACATTCTTCTGCATGTAATACACCATGGCCCTGGCCGGTGAAGAAGAAGCTCTCGTCTTGCAGAGCGTAGCGGTAGGCTCCGTCAAGAAGGTTTTTCAGTCCCCCCAAATGGGCGACTGTATCCACGGAATCCGACGGTTGGCACTCTTCTAGATGGCGATAATAGAGTTCGTCTGCATAGAGTCAGGGTCCGTATTTCGAGGGGAAAGGTCCAGCGAAGTCCAGCCTTACCGCGAGCTTCAGCTGAAACCAGACCCCTGAGGATACTGCCGATAACATCACAGTCTGGCGGACGGAAAATGGCGCCATGAACACAGGATACGTCGTCGGAGGGTATTGTCATTGGCTGTATTGTGCCGGTATCCCGCGTGGGGACAAGTGGTGACAGGACCTTGGTGCCGGGAGATGCACGTTCACTCGGGTCGTGGGGGAGAGACTGGTTGTACGGGAATTATTCACTCTCATGGATCATGGCGCGAGCTTTGGGAGCTCAGCGTCAAAACACGCGAGCTATCATCTAAAGTTTAGCTGCAGGCGCCGAAGGATGCAAGATAAACCAGCTCTCCGGACCTCTTCGGGGACGTTAGCCGACATATGCAACGGCCGGGTCGAGTCATGTGTTATCGGGGTATGATTCAATGTTCAGCTAGGCATCTCAGAATGTGACGACACTCGGCATGTAATACAAGAAGCCCTGAAAGAATCCTTACAGCACAAGAGCTAACCTCAGTAACCGAAATCTATCACGGAAAATTAACCCGTACTCAAAGACGTGATGATTTAGAGGGATGCTTCGTGGCTTAGGCAGCTGAAGTCCGTTTAAGCTTGAACGTACCTACACGTGCACGTGAACCAAACAACCGTTACCGAGTAAGCAATCCTGAACCCGTGGGTGACTGCTGTTGATCCTAGTATGCAGCAACTGTCGGTAGTTGATCGCCGGTGGGAGACTCTTGCTGATAGTAAAGCCATTGTAAATTCTCCGGTCCGGCAAACGTCAATAGGTGATGGCTTGTAGAATCAGAACTTTATCGAGTCCCCATCGAACAAGTCCCAGTTAACTCTCAAGTCCGACCATGACTTGTTGGAAACCAACGCCGATAGCGCGCGGCAACCGCTCACGTCTCAATAGAATGTACGGATATTACGGCAGCATTCGGCGGCAAATTTTGGGTAGGAACAGACATTTCTGTCAGTCGGACTTCGTTGATCTCCTCTTGTTGTTTCATGGAGACCACGTTCCAGCAGCTGAGGCAGGGAATTGACCCTGTGGTAAAAACCGAAACCGAAATCTCCGCCCGAAACGTTCGCGCGAAGGTTACATGCGACAACTTCGGGCTTGGAATATGAGATGATAAACTTTCGGAGTAGCCCAGAAAGGGCTTATGGGAGTTGGGAAGTTCGAATTGGGGAGCACCGAAGCTCCTTCGTGTTCCCGCCAGGAATCCCCGTTAGCGGGAAACGTCCCTTTTTGTCAGGTTCTCAGAGAGCACCATCTACGGAAGAGACAGCTGTCGTTGCCTGCTACCGGGAGTAGCCGATGGCGGAAAAGACAATGAATAGACTATGGCTTTTGCGATTCCTCGAATGTTGTCTTCGAAGCTAGCATAGAAGATTAAATGAATATTTCTGACAGAGACTAGTTGAGGAAGAAACTAATTACACACTGAGAATAGTTCATTGATGTAAATCAAGAAAAATGGAAGCAGCAACAAGCCCCTTTCAACATGACAAGATCGACGTGATCTCGCTGCCTTGGATCCTGTATCCGTCATTCGATCGTCTCTCATGGGGAATGATTTCCGTATATGCTATATCAGTGGTAGGGAAGAGTCGATATTACATCAACCAACATGGTTTCTCGCTAACTAGCATTGTTATCTTCAACTAGGTTATTGGAGTACCGTTTCTTCTAGCAGTCTACAACTACTTCTTCCATCCCATCGCTCATGTGAAGGGCCCCTTCATTGCTGCTATATCGCCTGTAGGTCGCGCACACGCGTTGGTTTTGTCTGCCACTAACTTTCGTCGTAGATTTGGCTCATCCAGTCTGTTTCTGGTCACAGACTCAACAATGACATTGAACAGGTGCATGCAAAATATGGTAAGTTCGGCGTTCCTGAGACTCGTCAGTTGAAGATGGGCTGATTGTCGAGATGAAGGGCCTGTTGTGCGTATCGGTCCCAACGAACTCTCCTTCGCGACAGAAGATGCCCTCAAGACGATCCACAACCCAGGACCCAATGGCGGACACTTCACGAAGCAGGGCACAATCGAGTCACTACTGGCAAAGCTCATTTGGGCTGCGCCAAACCTATTGACGACAACCGACAAGACGGCACACAAGCGGCTACGAACCGCCTTGCAACCAGCATTCACCGCCAAAGCGCTGATGGAACAAGAAGACATTGTACAACATCACGTCAGCAGGGCCGTCGAAACCTTGGGCAAGGCCCTTAACAACGAGAAAAGCATCAATATCAGCGATCATTTCTCCAGAATGATCTGGAGCATCGTGGGCGATTTGTCTTTCGGCGAGCCGTTGCTTCACGACCAGATGAGTAAAACTCTCGGAGCCGTAATTCCGCACGCATGGAGCTAATCACGACAATAGGTGCCTACGAAAAGCTAAAGTACACCTACGGCAAGGGTGCGCCGCTCCTCGAACTCTTCCAATTCCTCACGGAAATCCCAATCTTTGGCGGTCTGGCCAAGCTTCCCGTCATGATCGTACCACACATCTTCAGAGTTCCGAAGAACTTTTTGTTGATGAACCAGCTCCGAGGGTAAGTAACCTCCGGAAATCATTCACCGACTCTGATTCTCTGACGTAAAATTGTAGGTGCATCGAACGGCAAGGAGGGCGTAAAGATTTCCTTACCGCCATCCTGGCGGCCAAGGAATCTGCGGGTTTGACTCAGGCTGAAATCCTGAGTAACTCAGCTTTATTCGCGTTAGTGCCCAATCATCTGCCGCGTCCGAGGCTCTTTAAGACTGACTTTCTGGCTGCTCCAAAGTATGGTCGGGTATGACACTTCTGCAACAACTCTGTCTGCGCTCTTCTACCACGTGCTCCGTGAGCCGGATCACTACCGAAAGATCCAGGAGGAGGTCCGGGGCACGTACTCTGCGCTCGGCGACATCTCTGCCCAAAGCGTCCTTCGTCTTCCGTACCTGAATGCTTGCATCCAGGAGACCCTTCGCTTGCTGCCGCCTATCAACGGCCGAGGCTCCCATCGCATTTCTCCAGGAGCTATGATCGACGGTCTCTACGTGCCCAAGGGCGTCAACGTCTCCGCGGACATCTGGACGATTCAGCGGCGACCTGATTACTGGGCGCTCGCTGACAAGTTCCGTCCTGACAGATGGATTGACAATGGCCCAGGCACCGTCTTCGAGCATGACGTGCGGACCAGCTACCGACCTTTCCTCGTGGGCCCGAGGGTGTGCATTGGTCGAGAGATGGCGCTGCAGTCTATTCGTCTGACGGCGGCAAAGGTTGCTTTCGCCTACGACTTGGACATGGCCAACCGCGATAGCTTTGTTTGGGAGAGGGATGCTGGCAACGACTACGTGTGGCATGATTACAATATCATAGTCGAAAGGTCGACCTGAATAAAGTTTCATATGTTCCGCAAAATGGAACAGACAGACAGACACATTCATTCTTGTTGTGCCATTGTCCTTCGTGTCACATGCAGTCTTCCACAGTACTTGGGAGCTTCCATACTTGCAAGCGCCATCATTCATGTGTTATTTATGAGAAACGTCGCAAGCTCCATTCTTTCTGCCCCTAAGCGCACCATCCCTTTTGTTGAGCTCTAACTATCTGATTGGCTATTGAATCATTACAAGTAGGTTCATCTCATTCCACGTGATATCCCCTTAAAGCTCTCGTGTTGGTATGAAATGGCCACTTTAGCCTGGTTTTCCTCGCGGTCGGGTCTGTCCGCCCTCCTCGAATGCTGAGGCCCTGTCTGATCTCGATCCTTGAACCACTGTCTTGGATTCTTCTTCCAACACACTCTAGAAAGCTTGAATGAATTTTCCTTTATGCGAGTCAGCTGCGATCGAGTGAATAGTAATCACATAATATCAACTTACTCAGTTGCCAACGGATGCATATCAGCTCAACCGCCGAATGAGCTCTTCACTCAAGTACTCTGCCGCCATCAAGCGAGCCTTAGCATTATCGTTGTCTGTGATGTCTGCCACTGCTTTGTCCAGGTCCCGGCAGTCTGTGAGGACCAGATGCTTTCTGAAATCCTTGATGTTTCCTTCCCGATTGACAGGCACCGCCAAACGGGCTATAGTGTCCAATTTGCCCGCCGCGATAAAGGTCTTGAGAAACTCAACACTTGCTTGGGCGGATGAACTCGTGCTTTCTGAAACTGGTTTGTTGTTGGGATTCTTCCTTGGCGCCGGTCGTTCATCGACAATCTGAATATCGCTATCATTGTCACTCTCCTGTTTGACTTCGGGCTCGGTGATCCTGATGACCTCGGTCTCGGTTTCCGCACTCGGCTCGCGTCTCTCTGAAGTACGTGGACGTTTCTTACTTGGTCGGGATTGTGATTCATGACTGTCGAGAGATCGTCTCTTGTGCGATTGTTGCTTGCTTGACACGTCCGAAGATTGTGTATGAGGACGTGTAAGCTCCGGACGCAGGGATTGCCTGGTTTGAGGAGCTACCGGGGCTCTTTCCGGGGCTATACGTCGTATCGCCGTTGAATCCAGCGTGCGTTTTTCTGCCAGGGCTTTGCGAGCTCGTTCAGTCCCCAATGTGACTATGCGGCTCTGTTTGGTGTGAGAGATTGCTCCTGAAGGAGATCTTGGACTGCGGATTGGTACCTTGACGCTCTCCTCGCTCCTTTCTTCGGCGTCTGAGGCTTCCTCATCATTGGGTTCGCCTAGCCGAACGGTGATGCAGTCCTCTGGACTTTCGTCCTCGGACGTTTCATTTTCCTCGGAATTGGAATCACTGGAGTTGTCGATTGTTATCTCTCTGTCGTCCGTTGATGGAGAATATGTAAGGTATGTTGTGCGAGGACTTTCTGGTGGAACAATTTGGTTTCCGGCCGTCGTTGCGTCACTATTACCGTCCTCTTCAAATGTATCGCTATCGTTGATTGACGGAAAGAATGGGGTGTATGTTGTGCGAGTACATCGTCGCGGAGCGTTGCGACGTCCAACCATGTTGAGAGTTCGCTTGTCCGACACCAAAGCCTTAACTTGAAGACGGTTTTCTCGAGAGACGTGATTAAATCCCAAGTTCTCGTGGTTGACGTCAGGTTGTGTTGCTGCCAAAGGTGAGTAAGGTGCTATGGGGTGAGGTTGGTGAGATTTACCTGAGGCTGCTCCTTTCGCAAGCCAAGATTGTCGATAATCACAAACTGTAGGAAATAACCTCACAAGCGTTTTCCGAGAAAAGTAATATGTGTCGGAAGTGGTGATGCCAAGTTGCGTCTCTTCACCGAATCATGTGCCGATATCAGAATCCTGTGAAGTGACAACTTCAGGAAGCCTGACCAGCGCAATCGATGTGGCTGGGGTAAAGATAAAAGCAATTTGTTTGGTATGAGAAGGCCTTTTTATATAGTGGAGTTATCAAGGAAATAGAAAACTACTTCACACTCCCGGTCTTTTATAAGGGAAGGCGCGTGAGAGTTCAACATTGGTGAAATAGGAATGAACGCGTTGAAAGCTTTGCCGTATCGTAGCTTCCTTTAACAACTAGAATTCACCTTTAACAAGAGATAAATCCTTCCTTCTTGCCTTTAAAGGGGTCTTCGTATGCCTTCAACAGGAACTCGGATGTCGCTATAGCGGGCAGTATTGGCAATACCAGATTCAATGTCAACAATTATAATTACTAATAAATAAGACTATAGCCATCTCATCATTCACACAAGAGCGAGAAGCTGAACAGGCAGGTTTCATGTTTCTCTTCCTAACACAGCATTACGCCGCGTTCACCCTTAAAGAGGGGGAGCATCCGGATCTTCCATGCACTGATCGATCCGCATGATCTGCTTCCCCGTCGCCTTGGCCTGCTTGATGAACTCTGGGAAGTAGTTCACCGTCGTGTTGTACGAGAAGTGCATGACCACGAGATTTCCCCCCCTGGCCACGTCGGCGTTGAACGAATCGACCTGCTTCTCGGGCGTGCTCGTCTCAGCCCAAAGCCAGTCCTCAACATCAATGCTCCAGTTGACGATGTACGGATTTCCTCCCGCAGCAGCAGCCCAACGCTGACGCATACGTGCGCCTTCGACGCCGTACGGGGGCCGGAAGTACTTGGACTTCTCGCCGAACATGTTGGTCATGACTCTGTAGTCTTCGTTGTATTCCCAGTCGATGTTTTCGGTCGTGAGGCCCTCCATTCTCGGGTGCGTGTAGGAGTGCAGCGCGATTTGGTGGCCTTCGCTCTTCAGCTGCTTGTACAGGCTGGCCATGCCTGTGGCATCGTTCTCGAGCACCGCGCCGACGGCGAAGAAGGTCACCTTGATTCCGGCGTCGCGGATGATTTGCGCGAGTCGGGCTGCGTATTGCGGGTTGCCGTCGTCGATGCCGAACGCGAAGGAGTTGGGCCGGGTGCATTGGAAGACAAGGGTGCCAGAGGGCAGCTTTGAGGGTATGCTGACGCCGGAGGGGATTGACGAAACGATCTCAACCTTGGTGAGAACTATGGGCTCGGTACTGTAGATCCCCCTGATAGCGACGCTGGTGACACGCTGCAGGTTGATGTTGAAATGAGAGATGGGGATATAGATATCATTGCCCTTCGCGTACCGGGCGGCTTCCAGACTGTCCCGTGTCTCGGGGTACGGTGCCACGGCATCGCTGCACTGCGAGTTGTGCTGCTGCAGAGACACCGAGAACTTTGTATGGCCTGAGAAGGCGATGTGCAAATACGATCCACTGTGACCGCGCATGTCTCGGCAACCACCGCTGACAAGCGTGGTGAATGCGTAGTCGGGGCCAGGGGCAACGATAGAGACACGGTTGGTACCCCATGTGAGATCTACCTCATCGCCGCCGTGCCAGAATCCCAGGGAGTTCGAGCCTGAGTTGCTGAAAGTGTCGATCACGAAGGGTGATGCCGTAGCAGATGGTGCCGGGACGGTCGATGTCGGGACTGCTGGGCTGGTACCGGATGGCACAACCCAGGCGCTCGGAGTGCTTCCACAGTACAGTGCCAACGGACCCAAGGTGACCGGATTGTTGGGTGCTGAGAGCACGATCGATCTCAACAGGCTCGGTCCGCTGAACTTCGACCACGGGAAGCTGTAGAGCTTCTCGGTTCCGTCAAAGGTCCAGCCCAGTTGAGCTGTCGTTTGGACTGAGCTTGATGACGCGCCGTCGCATGTGGATTTGGACGACAGCTCCATCTTGAATGTCGTTCCAGCCGGTGCCTTGATTCGGAGGGCAACACCGCCATACTTCGTGGTGTCTATACAACCGGTCTGACTGTAGAAGTAAGATGAAGCAGACTTTGGCGTCAATGTCACTCGGTTGTTGTTGTCCACGAGGACAGATTGCATTGTATCATCATCATTAGTCGGTAGAAGAAGTGAGTTGTATCCCAGAAAATCAAGACGCGACTGAGAGGCCCAGTCATCCACCAGGAGGGGTGAGCAGGACGCAGAACCTGCTCGGCTGGTGGTCAATGATGCTGAGCTAGTTGTTGTTGTCGAAGGAGCTGAAATATGATCAGTGGGCTGACAATTACACCGGCAAACTCGCAACTTACGCGTACTCTGACCGCACACGAACGAGACCTTGTCCAACTGCCACTGCTGGGTAGATGAAAAGGAACCAATGACCACGGAGACTGCAGCGCCGAGGTTTGCTCCACCAAAGCTGCTCAACGGAACGCGCAGCGTCTGCCATTCACCAGTGAGGCTCGTAGCCCGAAAGGACGTCTTCGTGGTAGTTGTTGTGGCCGAACAGCTCGAGGCCCAGTTCAGTTCGGCTGTCAAGGCCGCGCCCGAAGCGGGAGCCTTGATGTCAAACTGCACATGAGTGTACGAGTCGATCGCCTGGCAGGGGAATGTCTCGTAGAAGTAGGCTCCGCTTTTGGGGGTGAAGCTGAGGATTCCGCCGGACGCGGAGATGCTGGTCATGCTTCCATCGTCTATCAAAGTAAGACACTGCCTGAAAGCTGTGGGCTGGTGGAAGAGTCTTACCTGACGTCCAGGAACCTAGATTGTTCCGGTTTGTGGAAAAGTTGGATAGGTCATCCACGAGGAGGTCGGATGTGCACGCAGCAGCAGCAATTGCTACATGAGCCGCTGCCAGCAGGCAATGAGCCTTGAAGTTCACCATACTTGCGAGGCTCTGCTTGACGAGCTTGAGGTGGAGGAATTGGGGACCTTGGCAAACCCTTGTCCGACAGATGCTACGGCCGGCGGAAGACCTCCATCCTATATGTGAGTGAGACCATGACAGACATTCGCAGCCTTGCCACGAGAAACCCGAACCCCGTGGTTCGGTTCAGGAACCCCTCAGCTGAACATACGACCCGGGCACGAAAGATATCGCCAAGCAGTGACATGGCGGCCCTCTCGGTCGCCGCAGACGTGGCGTCGCTAATGCGCTCTTCCTCAGGGGCGCTAGAGAACTTCAACCTCTCACAACCTCGAGAGCCGCAGCTGCGGCAATTGGAACCCCTGGCCCCGTGCGCGCTTGGCGTTTTTCAACGGTTCTCTCTCCATCCCTCCAGCTGGTGATTAAAGTAGGTCGATCGCGGCCAAGCATCGTATTCCGAGACTATTGCTCGCTAGCGCCGTGGCATGCCTTGCAGGCTCACATAAGCTTAGGGTGGATTGCCCATCATCGGCTGAGCTCCATTTCGCGTGTTGGGGGAGAGAGAGGGGCAAGCGGTCAGTAAACAACGTTGGATCGCCGGCCCGGCTTACAACGGAATGTTACACTACCCCGAGCAGCTCTGGTCCGGGGTAAGACGCGGTGCGGCGGGAGAAACACGCCATCGACTCCAGCTCTCGGTAGTCAGCACGGTGGCCCGCCATTTCTTTTCATTCGCCGCCTTACTTCGCCGGTGAAGGCAATGGCAGCTACTTGCATGAATATGTGATGTTCTCGTATTTGTACAGGATGCGGGCCAACGGTTTCCTCCAGTGTTGGTAGGGAAAAAGAAACTGAAGCACGCCGAACAGGGCTTGAGACCTGGGATGGGATACCTCTTTTCGGAAGGTGGCGGTACTAATAAATATGCAGTCTAGTGGTTTGCGGGGTTACAGCATGAGCTGGGATTTTCTCTTCTCAATTCTAGACTTGGTTATTGTGATCCATAACTCGACGCATATTCTAGGGCAATATGATCTGATACGACACAAGCCGTAAATAGATCGCAAATGTCTTCGTCGCTTGAACCTTCCATATCACGTACACGAGCTTTCTCTCGGGCGGACTTGTTGTTGGGAACGCCAAGTTCCTACTTCGATTCCAACTACTTCTCTAACATACACAGCAGGTCAACGTAGCACATCACCGGATTGAAAAAGTCGTGAAGGTCAGCTCATCATAGAATTACTCTATCTGCCACAATCACAGAGAGAAGTCCTTCAGCCCCTTCGTAGCGCCGTCAATGCCCAGAGCCTGCTTCTCATCATCACCCAAGACCCCCAAAGCCTGTCTCCGAGTCGGGGCATTGGCATCGTAGTACGGCTTCTCCGCGAGGGAGGTCACACGAGTTCCATGGCGAGGATAGTTGCCCTCGTAGTCCCAGCTTGCGTTGTGAATGGTGATTCTGGTAGATGTCAGTTTGTAGCTCCAGCATACCGGTGATCTCAACTGACCTGTTGTCCCATAGCGCACTCGTGTTCGGAGTCCACCTGAACCGCACCTGGATATCCACGTTCTTTTCGAACACGTCAAAGAGGTAGTTGAGAATAACATCACTCTCCGCCTTATCCAGACCAACGATGCGGTCCGTGAAAAGACGGTTGACCCACAGCGCCTTCCATCCCGTCGCGGGGTGAACGCGGACCAGCGGGTGCGCGCGCTCGATGTGCTTTGGCCCGGCCTCAGGTTCGTTCTTGTCCAGGTACGCGTGGGCGGACTTGTAAATGGCGTACTTGCCGTCGATGATCTTGCGGAAGTCCGGGGAGAGCTTCTCATAGGCACCGTAACCGCTCGCCCAGAGGGTGTCTCCGCCGATGGGCGGGACGGTGTCGTTGTGCAGGTGGGTGATGCCGGCCGGCTGGAGCTCGTGGACGAGATCGGTGTGCCATCGGGAGGCCCCGCCCGGGTTGCGGAAGTTGGCCGGTCGCTCCGTGGCCCACAGGGCGGGCCAGATGACTGTGGCGCCGAGAACGCCGGGGACTTGCGGGACTTGGGGCTGCGGGGGGGCTTCGTTAGTATATGGGTCACTTAGTGGATGTGTTTGTGAACACTTACATGAACTTCGACCTCTCCGTACCAGTCACCCAGCTCCTTTTGCTGTTGCGGGGAAAGATCCTGGTCCCTGAAGAAGACGACGCTGCGCTCTGCGATCAGGAGCGCGAGCTCATCCTTCTGCTCGGGCGTCAGGTCCTTGAGCTGAAGGCCCTCGATCTCGGTACCAATGTGGGTGGTCAAGTCGGTGACCTTGGTCGCGGCACCGAAAAGGTTCTTCTTGGATTTATCTGCTCGAGACCCAGCATCGACGTACTCCCGCTCCTTGCCACGGATGTTGATAGCGTCTTGCAGGTAAAGCGGTCTCGACGGCCGGTACGGGTACCCGTTCGAAAGGTCCACGCCAGCTTTTGTTAGTCTTGCCTTTGCGGCATCGGGGAGGCCGAGGGTATCCTTCCGCGGCTCCGCTACCTCGGTGATGGATGGATCGATGGGGGCGGGCACCATGATTATCGATTTGGCTGGGCGGTGACCTTAAGTTGCGGATTGCTGTTCTGCTGGAGTGTGAAGGTAGTCGGATATGATAAACTGGATGTTTTCACTCTTTAATCACAAAATTTCGCTCTTGGTAGTCGCGACCGCCTGCTTTTATGCTCCAACATCACTCCCGTGAAACGTTATCCAATGGCATGATCCTCGTTTCCGACCTTCACAAACACCAACCAATGCTCACCAATCCAGCTCTGATTACCAATAATCGCGGGGTAGACGGCCATTTACAAGACTTATCTATGGTTCAATCTGCATCGACAGTGACGAATTCCGGCGTCGTCGAACCACTCGATTCACGGATCTCGGAGACATGAGTGGAACCAAATCCTCCAGACAGCACGCAATGTACGCTTTCCCTACTACACAGAAATGCGACCATAACTCGAGATGGTGTCGAGCCAACCCCGAGTGAGGGGTTTCTCAGCTCGATCCATTGGACGCGTCTCCGCGTGCTGGCGGATCCGGGGGTTGCTGGTCGGCCGCGAGTGGGGGTTACGCGATACAAGGGCCCGATTGTGTGCTCGACGACCAACGGCGGTCCGACCCCTTTTAAGAGGATCACCAACCAGACAGACAAAAGCACCCCGGAAGCTAGTTTTCTGCAGGAAACAGGATTGCAGCGTGGTTATGAAGGTTGTTATCTCCGTGTCTTCGCATTACTGGAGTTCGGTCCTTGAGAGCACCATGCTTGCTACTAACTCCTCCAGGATGCGTGGACTGCGGAATTATAATTTTCAGATTGAGAACTTGGCACCTGAGCCAACATAATCAAGCTCTTGCCCAGAGTTCGAGACCTCTTAGCATAGAGAAAGATCCGTTGGTTTCGGACCGTGCCGCTGAGCCATATTCTGACCTCGCCGCTTTGCCTACCTCAGTTGCTTAACCACGCTTAGATTGAGAGGTCGTCGGATGTTGCCCGCTGCGAGGGCTGAAAAGTAGCAGCACGCCATCGTATCCAGAATCATCGTCAGCGCCAAACCCAGTTTTCCTTTGCCTCGCCTCCCAGACAATGTCCGATGATGCTCCGAAAAGACCCTGCTGCAGAAGATGGAAAAGGCGCATCGGAATTCGATTCAACATATAAACCGACTGCTGTCACACAATGTTTAACTAAGTCTAGACTCTTGTCGATCTTCTCGTTCCTGCATTCATTTCGTCCCTCCCGTCTTCGAATTCGGACCCAGAGGCTGTTGGTCACAATGGCAGTCACCGAGATCAACGAGAAGACGGCCGCCGTCGACTCGCCCCGGTCCAAATCGCCGACCTCCACCGACGAAGACTCGGCCGCGGGCCATCTCGTACAGGAGACGCCAAAGCTGACCTGGAAGTCGTACATTTGGGATACCCTGGACAAGTCCCCCGAGGAGCGGAAGTTCATGTTCAAGCTCGACGCGGTCATTCTCACCATGGCGTCACTTGGCTACTTCATCAAGAACCTGGATCAGATCAACATCAACAACGCCTTTGTGTCGGGAATGAAGGAGGATATGAAGCTGTTTGGTAATGAGTTGAATTACATGCAGACGTGTTGGACCGTTGGTTACGTTCTTGGAGAGATTCCAAGGTAGGTTTCGGTTATCTTACCAGTTGTGAGGCGCATTGGCTGACAAGGAACGTCAGCAACCTGCTCCTCACCCGAGTCCGACCATCCATCTGGATTCCCGCCTGTGAAATGACGTGGGCCGTCTTGACCATTCTCATGATCAAGTGCACAAACACGACTCAACTCTACGTCTTGCGATTCTTTATCGGTCTCGCCGAAAGTACCTTCTACCCTGGCATGCAGTATATCATCGGGTGTTGGTATAGAAAGGATGAACTAGCCAAGAGATCGTGTATCTTTCACGCTAGTGGTTCAATAGGTATATCTCACAATCATGTTTTGCTCAATTGGGTTCAAGGCTAATCATGAAATAATAGGATCAATGGTATTCCTTCCGATCTGCTCTGTTGACTCGAAATACCTGCTAACAGAATCGTAGTTCAGCGGATATCTTATGGCTGCTGTCTATAACTTGGATGGTGTCCACGGATGGAAGGGCTGGCAATGGCTGTTCATGTAAGTCTTCAGCCTCTTTGGCACGGTTCCGAAACTTGCTAATTGTTCAAGTGTCGATACCGTCATATCCCTTCCCATCGCGCTAGCCGGCTTCTTCCTCCTACCCGACGTCCCCGAAATCACCAAGGCATGGTACCTCTCGAAAGACGACATCGCGCTCGCGCAGAAGCGCATGCAACTCGAGGGACGCGCGACCCGCCAACCCTTCACAAAAGCCAAAGTCAAGAAGATCTTCACCAGCTGGCACCTGTGGACTCTGACGCCGCTGTACATCTTCTTCAACAACGGCTGCGGACTCCTCGGCCAGCCCGGCTTCCAGCTGTGGCTCAAGGGCGCCGGGTACAGCGTCAAGGACGTGAACACATACCCGACCATCACGTCCGCCATCGTCGTGATCACGACTCTCATATACGCGTGGTCGTCCGACACCGTCTTCAAGGGGGCCAGGTGGCCCCCGATCGTGTTCTCGGGTGTCGTGCAGATTGTTATTTACTCCAGCTTGGCCGCGTGGAACATCCCCATCGCGTGGAAGTGGGCGTGTTTCCTGCTTGCTGGGTTCGGCGGCGGCATTAGCGGTTTGACGTTCGCGTGGGCTCATGAGATCTGCAAGGACGACAACGAGGAGAGGGCCCTTGTGACGGGATCGATGAATCAGATGGCTTATGTCTTCCAAGCTTGGTTGCCGCTTCTCATCTGGCAACAGGTTGAGGCCCCGCGGTATCCCAAGGGCTATCCTACGATGGTGGCTTTCAGTGTGGGTCTTATTGCGACGTGTTTTGTGATTAGATATCTCCATCGGAGGGAGCTTGGGAAGAAGGCTTTGAACATCGCGGCGTGAGGCACTGATCGTGGATGCCGGGTTGTAGGAAGTAGCTGTCGTTACAATACACTTTGCGATGAACTCACTCCCATGAGCTTCATAAAAAAACACTTGAAGGATGAGACAGTCACATCAAAGCGAAGGCCAAAGTTGAAACGGTTGCAATCGAGGCGTTTTCTGAGAGTATTAGAACCTGAATGGTGTAGATCTGGGCGTCTGCGACTGAGAGCACAAGCCGTGAGAGAGCGATCGCGGATGTAGCTTGTGATGCTCATATGAGTCTGACTGAGTATTGGATATGTTGAATGAGTGAGGTGAGAGGTCTCTCATGCTCTCATACTCTCATGTTGAATTCGAACTGTGTCTCACAAATCTCACTGAATGGACTGCATTGAGTTCAGACTTTGCTCTTCTCTGCTGCCCCTCCTTCTCACGACAGCTGAACTTTACCCCGCGGTGACCCCACCTTTCCGGCGTTCTCACATCTCACTGTGAAGGAACATCACCAAAACCATCAACCAGTCATCAAAACATACTCAACTGGGCCGAAACAGGCAAAAAACGACCCTCGCCGGATTCGAACCGACAGCCTTCAGCAGAACTGGAAAGATAACCGGAAGCTGACGCGCTACCATTGCGCCAGAAGGCCGATTGTGGCGGTGAAGCCTGCAAAAGATATTCAAGATCCAACTCAGTGGGTGAGTGAGCTGTTTGAGTGGGGATGAGAGCTTCAAATGGCACCGGAACTCGCTGTTGGCAATGCGTTTTGCTTATCAGTTACGTAAGATAGCGCGCACAGTATTGATGTTTGCACAAAAGCTGTGGATTCAAGTGAATCTCGTCCTGCAACTGGCCGAGAGCACGTACCGTTTTTGATATCGCGGAGTTCTTCCGCGCGGTGGCCCGTGCCATCACGTCAGCAGCGCCTTCCGTCTTTCTTGCCTCCACTCAATCTTTGGAGACTCCAAACTCTTAATACTTCGCCCGTTTCTTCGACCTCATCCCGACGCAGCTCAGATCGTGACATGAGAAACCTCACCAGAGTCATGAGCCGAGTCCCAACAACAGCGACCGTCGTTCGCGGCGCCAGCGTCAACATCGTTCTCAAGGCCGACCAGCCCACCGGCCGCACGGTTTCCGGGACCGTCCAGGATATCCTGACCCGCGGCAACCACCCTCGCGGAATCAAGGTACGGCTTGCCGATGGCCGAGTCGGACGCGTACAGTCGCACGCGGGATCTCAGCAGTCGGGCGCACCTGCTGCGCAAGACGTGGTGGATGTGGACGGAGCACCTGGTCCTGCCGCTTTTGGAGATCGGCCACCGCGACGCCGACAGGGACGACGACAGGAGCAGGAGGCCGAGCTGCCTTCGTCGCAGGTTGGGCTTGAGGCCTACATTCGACCTGCGAAGCAGAAGAATGGTGGAAGGGGTAGGGTAGCTACCGGGGCGGGTGGCGTTGGTGAAGACTCGACGTTGAACGTACCTTCCGAGGTTGTCACTTGTCCTGTTTGTGGCGCCTTTGAGGGTGATGCGTCGGCCGTGGAACATCATGTTGCCAGCCATTTCGATTGAGAGACTTCTCTGCCGCTACGATACACCAACAAAGCCGCAAATATCACGACAGTCACCTTGACATTACGAGGTCGACAAGCAAAGGCAACGGAATCTCCCTCAGGAGAGACGAGCAAGATATTCTACTCAGTCGCCTATCACGATTGTGCTTCGCGAATTTCGAAGAAGTCCATGTTTGCGGCATCCAGCCACGGTATCATTACTACACCAGCTTCTGGGCAGCATCTACGGATATTACCTCATTTAACTGGCTCATATGACATCGATCATCTGATCTGATGAGAATCCACTTTGGGACCGATCACAACCTGTATCGGAAGCCGGCCGTCTTCCAGTCGGTCACATCCTCATAATCCTCAGGCCTCAGCTCGACTTGGTCCATCATGTTCGCCACATCATTCGCGTTTCCGTCCGCCTGCATCACCTTTCCGCCACCAACGGCGCCAGCACCTCCAGCGCTGCCTTCGAATCCCTCCTCCTTGGTCCTCTTGGTGTTCATCCACTGCAGGTAAACCCTCAGACAAACAGCGAGAACGACGACAAGCGAGTAGCAGATCATGATGGTCTGGAAAGCCGTCTGATAGTGGGGCTCCTCGCTGGTCTTGAAGAACTGAGGCCCGGCGATGTTGCCCGCGCAGTACGCCAGGAACAGCAGCGCCGACATGGTCATCTTCTTGGTCACGCCGCGGTAGTTGGCCTGTACGAGAGACATGGCGAGGGGCATGGCAGCAGGGCCCGGAGAAAGGAGGAAGTAGGCGAAGAGCGTGACGCCGTTGCTAACGTGCTCGCGGGAGTAGATGATGGCGGCTCCCGTGATGCAGGGCAGCACAATGAGTGCGATAAGAATGCAGTTCATCTTGCGGAAGCGACCGGCGATATAGCCGGTACCGGCAATGATGCCTGCGGACAGAAGCGAATACGGGATGTTGATGAGCGTCGACTGGAGACTCGTGAAGCCGAATGACTTGATGACGAGGTTGGCGAAGTTCTGCGTGCCGCCGTTGGGAATCTGCGAGACGATCTCGAGGCCGAAGATAAGCCACGTCTTGGGGTCAATCAGACACTCCTTCATCTGATCCCAGTTCCAGTGTGTCTTCTCCGTGCGGCCGGTGCCGGCAATGACAACGCGGTCGCCGGCGTACTGGCGCTCCTCAGGGTTCAAGAACCGGGCGGTGGAGATGGAGTCGGGGAGCCACAGCCACAACACGAAAGCCCAGACGAAGGTCAAGACGCCGAGGATGATGTACATCCAACGCCACGGTCCGATCTTATCAGAGATGTGGCCTACACCAAACGCCAACAGCGAGGCGACAAGACCACCGACAGAATTTCCTGCAAACCAGATACCCGTGCGCGTGGGGATCTCGTCGCGCGTGTACCACGTGGACGTGAGATACATGAACGCGGGAGTGATGGTGCTCTCCGCGACGCCGAGGAGGAACCGCACGGTGAGAAGACCGCCGTAGTTACGGCAGGCCGCGGTCACGGCCACCACGGTGCCCCAGAAGAAGGTGTTGGCGGTCATGTACTTGGCGACAGGGAGGCGGGCGATGAGCAGCGTCGTCGGGTATGTCCAGGCGAAGTAGCCGAAGTAGAAGATACTCGAGACCCAGCTGTAGTTCTGGCCTTTCAGGTTCTATTGATGACTCTTCAGCACAATGCGACAGCATTTCACCTCACAATTAGACGACTTACGGTGTCATCGCGGAGACCAAAGACGGATGCGCTCGACAGGATCGTCTTGTCCATGAAGTTGAGCATGTACGTGACGAAGAGAAGCGGAATAATCGTCCGATCAATCTTCCACAGAATCCTCTTCGCCATCGCGGCGTCGACGTGCTGCCTCTCCCCGTCCTGCACCTCGACAGGCGCTGGGTTCTGCTGTGTTTCCGTCGTCGAGCCCATGTTGTCGTCGGCTAGCAAACTTTGCCTTTCTTCGTCGTCGCGAGAACTCGATGCCTCTGCGGGGACACGAGTCGTGACATCGCGGGAGGCTCGCCACCGGGGAACGACCGCCCTTTTGAAGAGTCCGGTCATTCAAATCGTCGTGCCGAGGAAGCTCCCTCTCTCCGCGGGAAGACAGGCAGGGGATAAAAAAAAAGGTCGTCTTATCTGCCGATCTTCCCCGACGCAAGACGCGTTCGCCTCCCCCGACCGACCAACCACCGCGAACCGGAATGCCAGCGGGCGGCAGATAAGCAACACACAGACTGCAGCGAACGCCTGCTCCGCATCCGCTAGACTCCGCTGAATAGACGGACGGCAAGCGCAGCGCTCCCTGCACGGAATTGTCGTTCCACTTCGTCGGCGAATATCCGAACCGCACACAGGATGCGACGTTACCACGCTGCCTGAATCCAGTAGTCGGCGCCGTCTTTTTTGAAAATCGGGTTGAGAGATGGCTGGGAAGAATATGAATGGACGGGTGGGAAAAGTAGAGCCGCTTTGATACCGGCTGGGCGGTTATGGTTGGCCGATGTAAAGGGTTCGACGGGGGAAATCCCTTAACAATTTACGGGATCATGTCTTATCGGATCCTTCACATTTCAAGCACCCCACAGTGCTGCGAACATCGGCCGGCGAAACCCCATCGAATTGGCTTTGATTCGCAAGGTGATTCACGTCTTGATTTACTAAGAGCCCGAAACTAGACCAGTTGAGTGATAGGTATTTGTCGCAAGACAATCCGAATAATCGGGCTATGTCCGACGCGGCGGGGCTACCATTCACGCTGCCCCGGCCGATCGGCCACTTTCCATCCTGGTTGTGAAGATATCTCGTCGCGCCGTGCCGACCTGTCATCCAAACCTTCAAGCACACCTCCACGCCACCATCCCGTCCACCGGGTTCTCGGCACACCCGTCATACGGCACTCACCTATCCATCCACCATGAACGGCCTCGAGATCTCCCCCTTCATCGCCTCCCTCCCCAAGGTCGAGCTGCACATCCACATCGAGGGCACCCTCCTCCCCTCCCTGCGCTGGAAGCTCGCCAATCGCAACTCGGTACCCCTCCCGCACGCGACCTACGAGGACCTCCTCCAGTCCTACAAGGTCTTCTTCAACCACCGCCCCGAGATCAACGGCCGCGTCCCCGGCATCCCCACCTTCCTCGAGGCCTACTTCGCCGGCTGCGAAGTCCTCAAGACGGAGGATGACTTTTACGAGATGTCCATGGACTACCTCCGCCGCTGCGCGGAGATGAACGTCCGCTACGTCGAGCCCTTCTTCGACATCCAGGCCCACACGCGCCGCGGCGTGCCGGCGGAGGACGTGCTCAACGGGTACCTGCGGGCGCAGCGCGACGGGGAGAGGGAGCTCGGTGTGCGGTCGAACTGGATCTTCTGCTTCATCCGCGACGAGAGTCTCGAGGACGGGCTGGAGGCGTACGAAGTCGCGAGGCCGTGGGCCGCGGGGAACGTCGAGGGCGGGAGGGGCCTTTTCCACGCCGTCGGTCTGGCGAGTAACGCGTACGAGAGGCCGCCCATGCTCTTCGAGAAGGGGTACGAGTGGGCGAGGAGGGACGGGTTGCACGTTACCATGCACTGCGACTTCGGGCAGAAGGATACGTACGAGCACATGCGGGAGGCGATCTTCGAGGTGTGTGGCGGGAAGGGGGCGGAGAGGATCGACCACGGGCTCGATGCGGCGGATCGGGAGGAGTTGTTGGAGGGGCTGGTTGAGAGGGGGATCGGGTTGACACTGTGTCCGCATGCGTATCACCGGCGGACGGCGACGGAGGTGCTGTTTCCCAAGATCCGGAAGTTGTGGGAGCGGGGTGTGAAGTTTTGTATTAACAGTGACGATCCGGTGTATATGCATGACGTGTGGGTTGATGGGAATATGCAGAAGGTGTATACCTACTGTGAGATGAGCAAGAAGGACATGGTCCAATTGGCAAGGAATGGGGTGGATATGTGTTGGGCGAGTGAGGAGGTTAAGAGGGAGTTGTATCGGGAGCTAGATGGAGTTGATGTTTCTGAATAAGAATTGGTGTATACGAGTGAGGCTATGGTTTCTTCTTGACTCTGAGAGAGATCTAGCACTTTCCAAGGCAACTGCTGTTTCTTTAACATTAGATGTTGAAGTGGCACTGACGTAAACTGGATATGTAATACAGGTCACGACAGGTAGCCGTCGCCCTCGTTTATGTCTAGATAACGGATATATGGAATAGTAGCCCTGCTTTGAATAAGAAAGCAGAATTTTCCATATATAAGATAAAACTGACATGGATATACTGGAGTTGACTCGGCTATCTACTGCTTTCCGACATTTGACATACGTTAGGTAAGGTAGCTCCTTCTTCTAAATAACAAGACCTCACGCGCAGCTCAATGATTCCGAGCCGCTACTGCGACTTCGAGGCTGATTACAACTAAGAAGCTCTATTCCGTAGGCAGCTATTGAACTGAGCTTTGTCTCATCGATCCCAAATCTCTTTCGCTCTTGTCTAATTTTCTATAGACTATGGCCAGAAGAATTGCGAGTCGTTAGTACGCTTGCTTCGAACCCTTCGTATATAGTCGCCTTTAGGGATTAGTTTGGCCGACTTAATCCCAACCCTCTATGACAGTATTTTCAGGATATCCACTTCACAACAACTATCTGGCCCTTGAATAAGTCTCCGTCAAGTATCTTGAGGTCGACTTATGCATAGTCTAACTACCAAACATCAGGCATACCTATCTCACGTCTATCACCAGCGGCATCGCCTTCAATTTTCCAGCGTTCATTCAATTCTGATCTTCACTTTGAAAGTTTAGACGAAGATTCGTCTGTTCACTGCCGACGTGATATTCTCAAGCTGTCATCTTTCTCCACAACTTCTCGACTACAACACAAGATCTTCGTTGCGATAGATACAGCTACCCAAGTTTCAACAAACCAGAGAATGTGGCCAACAACAAGGGCAAAAGAGTTGGCAGAGAACCCCACCCTCACTCCACAAGGATACCGCCAGGTGTCCGCAGCAGTTTGAAGAATACCATTCGACTCTAAGGCTAGCCTAGGAGTCGAGTTCAGGCTTCTACCACGGATACCGACAGGACACCTTCGCAGTGGACTCGGGTCTACTGGCATGGATCAGAACAAAAAGCTCCCGGCTACGAACGTCGAAAAGGAAGAACCCTCACTCGAATGATGGAGATAAGGCTTGGAAGCGCCAACGACAAGGGTGTAGTCACCAGGAACTTCTACCAACAACAATGACTCAGCAGTTGATGATCAAAATACTGGGATCCACGACGAGGTCTTACTCGACGTACCGGACCTCAACAGTCTAGGGGGCTCAGCAGAGACAGTCTCTTCAACGAGAATGACTTCGAATATGTTGCAATTGTCAGATACAGTTTCTCGCCTCAAAAAGCTGCTTTTAAGCCAGCAATTAAACTATGCCTGAGATGGCCAGTAGCAGGGTGCTGGGTTCGGCTGCATGAGGACATGGGGGCGGCTGCGGCCCATCCCATTCAATGTTCAATGTTGTAGCGCCAACCAACAAACAGCAAACGCGGGTAAAAATAAAATGAGGCCCCCCCCACTGTTTGTTTCCAAGAGTTCGGTTCTGCATATAAAGGCTTGGGCTTCCCCCTTTCCAGACTTATGAGACCATATCCTACTGTTCCGCAAAAAACAACGCCGAAACCCGGGCCGCGAGCCAAGCCCAGGATATTGATGCGCATACATGTTCAGTTCACCATGGGTAATGTCGCCGAAGCCAAGGCCGAGTCCCGCTCCACGGAGCCGGAATTTTCCTCCATGGACGCACCACCGCCCGCATACACGCCGTATGACAGCGGCGCCGGCGCCCCGTCGTCGAGCGCCGTAACGCCGCCCGAAGCCCAGACTCCCCTCGCGCCCATCAACATGAGCACCTCCGCTTCTCCATACCGCATGTTTCCCACAAGCCTGAAACTGTACTATCAACAATGGAAGATCAGCCGCGTCTTCCACCTCGGGGACAGCTCCAACCACAGACTCTACGCCATCTCGACTTACGCCGGATACTCCGGTAGAGGCCCCGGTGGACACTGCATGATCCTCCACAACGGGCCCAGCGACAAAGATGCGGCGCTGGCCGTGGCCAGCGAGGAGAAGGACTGGACACCGGCGTCGCGGACCAGCATCATCAGCCTGCCGCCCTTGGATGCCCCCGAAGCCGGTGCCGGCACCTCCTCCAGCCACGATCAGGTAACGCACCCCGTTACGGAGGTCATGCGCGGTGAGTCCTCGCCTGGCCAGTTCACCCTCGTCTTCCGCTTCTCCGTTGAAGTCGACCGCCCCAAAGATGATAGCGGCGGAAGCGGGCTGCGTCGTGAAGACTTTGAGTGGCGAAGTATGAGCTCGGAGGAGTTAGATGGCCTCAAGGGCGGATTCAGACTGTTTCGTATGGGGCCGGGGGCATTTCCGCGCAGCGGCTGCGGAGCCTGTTCGTGCACCGGGGCTCTTCACGGTTCTGGTGGAGAAAGCAGCCAGGACAGGAAGGACGTTGAGGTTGTCGCCTCGACCGTTTTCAAGGGGACTATGAATATGAACAAACCCTTCAGCATAGATTTTATCGGAACTGGTTTGACCGGAGAACTGGGGGATCGATGGGCTGTCATGGCCATCATCACGGCTTTAAAACTTTGGTTTCTTACCCTACAGGGGAGAACAAAGTGAGGATATTCCTGTTTTACTTGGCAGTGGGAGTTTGATGAAACTACCCATAGAATAGTTCATTGTTATTATGTCCTTCTCCGATGGTGTTGAATGCCTAAGTTCTTGCTCGGTACAACTACCTGAAATAAGACATTTATAATGTGCAAATGATCAACTTATCTTCGTATTGTAGCCATTTGATGCTCCTGGTAATATCCAATTCCCATCTCAACACAAATATGTGCCCTCCGCCCCCTACTTCTCCATGACATATCCAGGGATTTCAGAAGGAGATGGATCATACTGACCCCAGTTTGGGTGCCCAAGCTCACAGCGGCTTTATAGCCTCATGATCAAGCGCACAAGACCACATGAAGCTCTTCAGGAGAGTCACTTTTTTCTGTGAGGCTGGAAAAGCTCTTGGGTTTCTGTAAATTGTCACTTAGTTCTTCTAGGCAGTGCCAAGGTGGTTGTATCCGAAGACCTTGCGGATGCTGATCAACGCCGCACTGATTCACGCTCGAAATCCTTCTGGGTGATACATGTAGTAAATGGATGGCCTGGGTAAGTGAAGCAAGGAAGGTTGAAGGTATAGACAAATGATATTCGACGTAAATTATTATTTGATATTTCTGTTACTCGCTCTTAACAAATGGGTTGTTGATTTATTCACTGTATCCGGATGGAGATTCAAAGAACGAGAACTATCTGCGCCGCATTGCAACGGAATATACAATGGGGACAGAAGCAATATTCCTAGTCAAATAATTCTCTGTAGCTGCCAGAAAATGTTCCTGGAGTTCTATTACCTCCAAAAACCCTCAAATACAGAAAGAATCAGGACTCAAACTACAACGAGGGGCCTAAGCCCTAGTAGCTCTTCAACAACAGGCGCAATCCAACCCAGGTATGGCCCGTAGCATCCCACCAGTCTCAAGAATTGAACTGCCTGCGAGGTACATGACCTGGTTTGTCCGTTCATTGTTGTCCCCTTTGGTGAGAGTCGACTGCCTTCCGTTGTCACTAATAGAGTCGTTAGTCATTTCACTGCACTCATTTTTTGTCATCCACATGTGGTCTATGTCCCTAGAGAATCCCAACCCTGCGCTTGGTCCGCATGTTTATTAACGTGGAGGAGAGAAAACTCCGTCGCAGTGTGATAAGAGTCGGGCTTCGTGCCTTGCTCGTGGGAAGTACCAGGGGTTCCAGTCGGATTTCCGCTGCGCTTAAAACCCCCAACCTAACACATAGGGGGGTGGAGTAGGCTGTGTTCAGCGCGCCTGATAGTCAAAATGAAGACCGTCACACAATGTGTTAAGAAAATTATGGGCAGGCGGACCGCCGCGGCCGTGATATCCGGATATCTCATGGAATTCCTTTGTAAATAAGGGTTCCCTCTAGTCGTAGTCAGGAACCAACGCATCATCGCGCATGACTTTGAATGCTCATTGGTTGTTATATGAAAACGGATCAACTTTCGCTTGGCTTCAGGGGGAGAATGTGGCACAGTAGAGCCGAAATGCAGTTCTCATGTTTGTTAATTTCGGGGTTCACCACTTTGGAACCAATAGGTGTAATACATCCATGCCGAGTCCACGAACGTGACATGGCCCCCTCCCCCAATGTGAACCGGAACTGTTACCCACCACCGGAGCCGCAGGTTGAGCAAACACAACCGCGGCTTCTTCTCATCTATCACACCACAGGAATCGTGAAAAGCCCCATCGGACCTCGACTGGCATTGACCCCAGCTTGATGACACGCTTTGGGTCCGTAACTGGCAGGATAGTCCACCCGAGTGTGCATCGTGGCACAGTTATCCCACAGGAGCAAATCGCCCTCCTCCGCAGGCGGTACCAAGATGTACTCCGGCCTCAGTATGCGTGATTGAATATCAAGCAGAAACCGGCGAACCTCTGCGACGTCGTCAACGATCTTGACCTCATCCCCGGGATCCTTGCGAATGAAGAGCTTCTTAGCAGCATTGGCCTGCACCTGAAAAGACCTCCGGCCTGTTCCCGGGTTGGTCCATACCATCGGATACTGAAAGCTCACCACGTCAGTTTCACCTGGGCGCGTTGCTGGCATCGTCGGGATGCCTTCAACTCACCCGCCGTATTTTCCCCGTGTCCGTCCCGATAGATCTCAGCTCAGCATCGGACAGTTCCTTGCCCTGGCTGACGAGGCCGAGTCCGGTCGGGAGGACCTTGCAGTTCCGATTCCACTCGTACGGCAGCTCCGCGTACTCGACCCAGCTGTTGTCCGCGACTCGTCTCTCCTGCTCGTTGAGAAGCTCCTCGTAGAGCTGCGAGCAGCAGAAGAAAGGCGTGCGGCCCGGCGCGGACTCCATGGACAGCCCAGACCCATCGTCCCACCGGATTGTGACCGGGGGCCCCTCGGGCAACTGCACCACGTGGAAGGCCGTGAACCACGGCGGGTCTCGGCTGTAGAGCGGCGCGTCAAAGTGCCAACCCTGGAAACGCGTGTGGCCCCTCTCGAGCTCCTCGTGCGGGAGCGGCGGCAAGTGGTTCTCGTACGAGAAGGACTTGTTTAGGTTGAGATCCTTCAAGCCGTAGTGGTCGCCCACGAGGCCCTTGCCGACGACGTGGACATTTTCGGCGGCCGGGATGCCGGTCACGCCTCTCGCTTTCTGAGCCCAGTTTGTTATTCAACGATGCGGAGAGTGGCAAGGCTGGGTTTTCACTTGCTAGGATCCCGCCTCCATGCGGGTGAAAATCGGCCATGAAAAGCTCCGGGCTCTGAGGTCCGGCCTCTGGATCGAGCTTCGTCACCAGTTCCCATTGCTTGACGGGATCTAGCTCATCTTGGTCCTTCACTATAAGGAGTTTGTGCTTCCACACGGACTCTTTGAGTGAGACAAGTTCGTCATCTTCAAGTTATCATGCGGTCCGTGTTAGTTAGAAAAAGACTTCTTTGCGCACTTTGTACTAGCTTGTTGACGCGATCGAGAGACGAACCTGAAATATTATTGATGTCGAGCCCGGTCACTTGTGCACCAAACTACCCATCATGATTAGATTGACCATGAGAAAACGAGAGGTCGAGAGATGTACGTACGTGAACCTTCTTGCCCGGTTCATGTTGTAGAGGTTCGACATGGAATCCCATTTTCTGTCTTGTTTTGTTGACTTTGTCCTGTCTTGTCGAGAGTTCTTTTCTTATTTTCAACGAAATGAGATGATCATCATATCAGAAACCCGATGGTGCTAGTCAAGGTCACTTGAGCCTCACTTCGTGGCGGTTATCGGCTCATGGCGTTTCGACTTTTCCCCTCTTGCTTCGGGGCAAGACAGAGGATTCCACTCCAACGCTAATTCAACAAACGTCTGTTCAACTCCGCCGGACCGAGGCATGAACTCGTGTGTCAATATTCTCTAGGTATGTTGGGCTCCAAGACAACCTTGATACTTTCGTCAACACGATGGTGCGGCTCGATCGTGCGTGTCCCCATATCTTGGAAAAGCTTCAAGCAAATCCGGCGAAAGATGACTCTTTACGCGTGTCCTACACGCGCTACCCTGGGAAAGGCTGTCTAAGTAGCTCGTTTGAGCAGGTCGGATATATCGGTTCAAGGGATCCTTGCTTTAGTTATGAGTGCTCTATCCCAGTAGTACTGAGATTGACGCGTTGGTAGCCGCACTTAAAAGTGACACTAAACCTTACTGCGTGTTCAATGTCTCTTTGTGTTTGTGTGTGTAGTCGGAGCCAGCTCGAATCGGCGCCAAGAGCCCCAAACCATGACCAATCGGGGTTTCGCCACGAAGGCTTCGACTCAGTGGTTCGATAAGGTGTGCAAGAAACGCGTGCCGCGCCTCCCGAAGCTGATGGAGCAGCCCGAAATCTCAGCGCTTACAGAGTTGGAGTAGAGCCTTTGCACCAGCTGCTTTGCACTTAGTGTCTCGAGTGGATCAGCTTCTAAGGGTCAAAGAAGGGATTTCACACATTGGTATCATCTTAAGTGCGTAGCTCCATCAGGAAGTAAATGAAAATGATGGAAGCATGAGCTTTGAACTAAGAAGCATGATCTATGGCGATCATGACTTATTGTTGCGCCAATTCTGTTCCGTCATCAAAGATATTTAGACAGCTGTAGGTGATCGTCTCCGCCTGGCTTTTAGTTGAAATGGATGAAATCACGTTATTCTAAGACAATAGCGACTACATACGCTGTTCTAATCCCGTCTTTTCCTGATAAACATCTTGGCTTCTCTATCCATCATCACTGCTGTTCCGTAGTATCTCGTCTGCGGCCGATCCTCAAAGTCCAGGCTCATGTCATACTTCAGCAGTAAGTGCGCTAGTACGACTTTCATTTCCGCAACCGCAAAGAAGCGTCCAGGGCAGGAGTGGGTGCCGTGTCCGAAGGGCAGGTTGTCAGGCCCCGTTGTTGCGGCGAGATACTTGTTCGGTAGTTGTTCCTGCTCCCTGCGCTTACTAAAGCGAAAACCGTCAAAATTGGCGACTTTGTCGTCGTGCTGAACCTCCGGTGATCTGTGTGCGTGGTACATATCAAAATAAACTGTTGTGCCCCTGGGAACAACTGTTCCGTCGTCAAGATACAAGGACGATGTGGTAACTCGGCCCATCGCAACTAGGACCGATCCGCTATTAGTCGGAACCTGCGAGTCTCAGAGGTGATGATTTGATCTTACCCAAGAAGGGTGCATGGAGTCTGGCTGACTCCCGAAGCAGGCTGTCCAACTTGGAAAGCCTTCTCAACCTGCCCATATCCCACATATCGTCGTTGCTGTTGGAGACGACGGAAGAAAGCTCGTCACGAAGGGAGTCAAAGAGGCCAGGGGTAGATAATATATCGAATATGGCGTTTGTCAGAGCCTGTGAGACTGTGTCCGAACTTGCCAAGGCCGCTCGAAGCTGCATTCTCGCCATCATGCTACTGTCCCGCCCCTTCCAGCCAAGACGCTGCCGGATAAAGCGCATGAGTACGCCGCCATCGACCGAGTTGTCCTTTGCATCGGTCATCAAAGGTTGCAGCAATTCGGCTGCTCGCTTTCGTCTTGCGGAGAATCCGATCTTTCTGAAAATGAACGGGTGAACGAACGGCCGCGCCCAGGGATGCCATCGGTTCAGGGCGTCAAACGCCCTCCGTAAATCGCTCGAATAATTGTACGCGATTTCCTGCCACTCAGTATTTCTCGACAGACGCCGACCTACAAACGCAACTGCATTCATGATGGTCACAACTCGCTTGATGAAGACGAAGGCTGGTACTTCTCTCCATTCCTCGCTGTTGTGGCATCCCAGGGTGTGCTCGCAGGCGTATTCGGCTTCTTCGTGCAGTACGGGAACTAGGTCGCGTATATGTCGCGTAAGGTCGACTTTGATTGCGTTGAACATTTCCGGCATGGGTGTTCCCAAGTCGGTGTATTGCCCTAGGCCTCGCCGATAAACCTCTTTGTTTGCGGACAGCTCTGATTCGGGGGCAGACTTAAGCTTATTGATAAGCTTGTGAGGAAGGATGACGATAGGCGGTTCAGACGGTAACACGAATGCCCTATCTGGATACTAAGGGGTAATAAACTGTCAGCTAGATTAATTCAAATTCAGTCATGACATATGCTATAGGGAATAGTTGGGGTTACCAGTCTTCTGCCTTCCTCCAAGGCTAGTCTGAAGTCTTCGGCCCTGGCAGTGACTGTAGGCAAAGATATTCTCTCTCTCGATCTTTTCAGCATCCCACTGATCAGCCAGAGTATAGCTGATAGTAAGACCACCACCGAAGCTCCCCGAACCAATATGGCATGGTCTTCCAGACTACTTACAAACGAGAAAGAGAAACAAGCATCCATTGTAATTACCGTAGACAAGCTGAGAGTCCAGAGAAAAAACGTGTTGGAAAGCAATCAATGCCGACTATGCCGTGCCGTTTGATTACCACTCGAAAACATGTTTTCTCTTGTGCGGGTGCGTCTTTGTGACTCCATCAGGTGAATTCCGCAGAGTTCCAATGCCGCCTCTGATTAGACAGCAAGTCTGGTTCTGCTGCTGCTCAAACTCTGCATGTCTTCACTTTTTAGTTGCAACTGTAGTTTCTGTTCTGATTAAAACACCGAGACCGAGACCGAAATATTAGATGCCCACCTGCAGAACAGGCGAGCTGTGTGTTGTCAAACTTCGGATCCGCATTAGCCCACACGTGTAGAAGCGGAGTCAAGGCGTCTGGAAGAATTACAGATGACTGATCTGTCCGAGAAACCTTCTTTGTACCGCAATAAGCCTTTTCTGGTAATTCAATATTACTGACTTGTTGCATGGTCTGAAGTCGTGAACGAGCACTGTGTTTGTCGGCACAGGCGGCGAGTCACGTTGGTGGTTGTAAAAATGAGCAAAGTTCAAAGCTCGTGCCTTAGGAAGCCGTTATAAGCGGATAATATATTCCTCAGGCCTGCAATAGACTGCCCACGCCTGCTTTTTCAAGTCTGTACTCCATGAAAAGGAAACATGTCGGATCAACACTCCACTCAGTTTCTCCATCCTTGCTATTGGGGATTATCTGGATCAGAACTGTATTCCCGTCAGCCAGACACCAGAGAGCGACTCGTGCTGAGGCAGGTTTACAGCATACCTGGTCATATCAACTACTACATGGTATGTTGTGCTCGCATGCAGTACAACTTGTCAGATCTCGAGGCCGAGACGCGAGCTCGTAACGCCTGGGTCACTTTACGTTGCAGCCAACCATCAATCGCCATACAATTTGACAGCATCAGAGTGACATTCTCCCCCCTTGCGCCTGAGGATGTGCCCGCATGGGTTGGAGATACCTTTTTCATACACCGCACGAGCAACACGGCGCTCTCGTGGTCTGCCACGCTACAACCAGCCTCTGGTATGCAACTACACTTTCTCCCATACACCAAAGAGATGGTTTTGACGGCGTCACACGAGCATATCGATGGCCATGGGATGGTTATGCTTCTGGACACACTCTGCCACAATATGGCGTTCCCCACGAAACCCTGCTTTGAGAATCAGGGAGAGCGGTTGTCTCCGCCGTTGGACGTTGCCGCAGGTGTTGAGGTCGCTTCGACTGAGACTTGGCAAAGAACGGAGAAGTGGTTGCAGGAGTGGAGAGAATATGCGTCTCGTCCGATATGCTTAGCTCCAGACCTCCCGGGACCAGGCGTCCGGGAGGTCGGCACCACTCGGCTGGTTCTGTCAAAAAAGGATTCTTCGGCGATCTTCACTTACGCAAGGTCCCACGGCGTATCTGTGAACGACTTGATGAACGGCACGGTGGTCATGACAGCAAAACAACATGCCGGTTCTCCAGAGGGCAACTGGGTGGGGGGCGTCCTACTCGACGCTAGGAATCTATGCAAACACCCTTACAACACAGCCCAGCATGCAGCCACGATCTACTTCGCAGCGTATCCAGCCTGCGTCAAAGCTCCCAAATCCATTTTGGACGCAACATCACAGATTCGGAAACAACGTTTGGAATTCCAGGAAGATCCCGATGCCCTTTGTACTTTGCAGCCAATGTTGCACCTTTCTGGGACTGCAACCACGGAGGACAAACACCGGTCGATGGTAACTCAACAGATGGCTCAAGTTGAATACAGCGGTCTAGGAAAGTTGGATGGAATGTTGCGGAAGGTCCGAGGAGACATACAGATTGCTGACTTTTGGCTCAGTGTTGGTCACTGCACAGCTGCGATTGGCGTGTACTGCCACACTTATGACGGACGTCTAGGGTTCACAATCAGTTACAACCCTGGGTTTCACAGCTCTTCAAGCATTTCCTGCTTTGTGAAAACTTTAAGCTCAGTTCTACTTGGAATCTCAACTTAGAATAGAACGAAGCATTTATTCGGAAGCCGAATAAGTTGCCTTGCTAAAGATGTCTTGAATCATGAATCACGATCGTTGTTTTCCGAGCTGCACGATTCAAAATATCAACATCGGAGTCGACCTTTTGGAAATTCCGAAAGATTCTGTAGCCGTGCCTTTGATTGCGTGCTCTTCCTGACTTTATGTTGGTGCTACAGCCATCCCAGCATCTCAAAGATCAGGCAATACCAATTGAGAACCTATTTCGAGCTATTGTATGATAGACTCCAATGAGATTGGCTGCTACCCAGATTATGAGACGCTGAAGTAGTTAAAGCCGGAAAAGCCATACGTAGAATATATATCTTCAGGGTGTTGAAAAACGACTGCCTTAAAATTTGAATTTGAATAGTCACAATTACTTCGTGGTCATCAACATTGGACAACATGGCTTCATCTCTGATTGACGATCACGTACCCTTGGAGTACCATGTTCTTTTTCAAGTTTCAGATAACTCGTCAAGCAACTTGAACTGGGCGTTCGGTTCCCAGTTTTTCCAAGAACCCGACTTTCTTGGGGCTACCGTCTGCCTACTTGGAGCGGTAAGAAACTGCAAACCCATTACAGTTGCCAACTTGAAGTGAATTCTTTAGACTCATATGATCAAAAGCTTTTGTCCGTATTGTTGTACTCCCTAGCTTACAACATCTATTTGGGTCCCATCTCCAATATTCCCGGACCCTTCCTGGCAAAGGTTTCACCGGTCAGTATATTTGCGTCTCCCGTTCTTCCAATTTACTCATCGCTCTCAGTTCTGGCTAATGCGAGCTGCCCTGCGGAAAACGCTCAATCGAGACATTCAGGATCTACACAATAAATATGGTAATAAAGATAGTCTGATGAATAATTGAAACTGCTGGCATCTAATCTCGACATCGTATAGGCCCAGTTGTTCGTCTGTCCCCAACAGAGGTCTCTTTTGCTACCGTCGAGGCACAGACGGCAATCCATCGGCCCGGTGGCTCAGCGAAGCAGAATATGTTTTTCACAAAAGAAGGAACCTTGGAAGCAATGATGGGAAAGATCATTTGGACAGCTGAAAATCTACTGACATCCACCGATCCAAAGGAGCACCAGCGCCTCAAGAGAGCAATGCAGCCGGCTTTCACCGAAAAGTCATTGCAAGCTCAAGAGCCAATCCAACAACGACACACCGACCGCTTGATCTCACTTATACAACAAGAGTTAGAAACGAGTCGAACAATCGATTTGACTCCTCTCATTTCACAAACGACTTGGGATATCATTAGCGATCTTTCGTTCGGGGAACCCTTGCTGAAAGACCAACTCGGTAGCCCACCCCTGTCAAACAAGACCTCGCGGAAGTGGAAGCTATGTACTAAGCGTTTTCAGCAAGGTTTGAGCGTTTAAAGGCGATGTTTTGTATGGCCAGTCCCCTACTGGAAGCTCTCCAGGTTTTGCTGGCTGTGCCAGGAGCTCGGACGCTGACCAAACTTTTCGTTGACGTTATCCCCTTTCTTTTCCGACTACCGACCAATATCCTGCCGTCAGCCCAACTCCGGAGGTGAGCATGTGTGCCCCCCTTACCCAGCTCCATCCATCTGACTCGTTTTCTCTAGCGGGAAAATCCGTCGTAGAGACTGCAAGGAAGACTTTTTGGCGGCAATAATGAGATGTCGAGAACTGGGCATCAGCATGACAGACGAGGAGCTCCTGAGCAACTCCTCGCTACTCGTGTCAGTTAGAACTCAGGTATTATCTCCGAAAGTCTATGATGTTAACACGCGCGTCAGCATGGTCGGCTATGACACAACTGCTACCTCGATCTCCGCAGCAACAAACCTGCTTCTTCGGCATCCGAAGTATCTCGCGGCTCTTCGGCATGAGCTCTTTTCTCGATTCAAATCAACTGCCGAGATGGATGCCGTGTCTCTAACTCAGCTTCCACTACTCAACGGCTGTATTCACGAGTCTCTTCGTTTATTTCCTCCTGCGAATGGGAAGGGCACGAATCGAACATCTCCGGGGGCCTTGATTGACGGAGTTTTCATCCCCTCTGGGATAAACGTCTCTGCTGACATGTACACCATTCAGAGGTCTGTGTCATACTGGGCTCGTCCGAACGAATTCTGCCCCGAGCGGTGGTTCGACAATGGACCGGACACTGAGTTCGCCAAAGACGTCCGGTCCTCGCACTGCCCGTTCTTACTTGGTCCGAGAATGTGCATTGGCCGCGCCGTGGCATTGCAGTCAATGAGACTGATGCTCGCAAAAATGGTGTTTCGATTCGATATGGAGGCAGCTGAGGATTACAACTGGGAGACTGATGTTCCCAACTCGTATCTGTGGATGGATTATCGGTGCCTGGTTTCTTTGCGAGACCTGCAGTAAGCTGGTTATGTGGTCGCATGTAATTTGCTCGGTTTATGTGACGCTCCATTATCTGCATTTTAAATCATTCAAGATCTCGTAGTCACATGAATTGTTACGTTTGCTCTGATTGAATGTATCCCTACGGAAGCTGAAGCTGTTGATGTATCATACTTTAGCAGAATGGTAACATGCCGAGCAATACTCAGCTCAGCAAACCTTCCTCTTCAGCTCTGCTCACTCAGACTTCGCGAATTTTCTTGAGAAAAGTGTCAAGTCTGTATTTCTTAATCGGAATATGTCATTTCTCGCGCCGTAGTAAACAGTCAGAGAGATTTCGGACGCGAGTGAAAGAAATTGTTCATTTGTATGTAATTCAGCTTTTATCTTGTTGTTTCAATCTTCCACAGAAATAGGTCCACACACAAACTTGCAAACGACTTCAATGTGTAGACATCCTCTTCTTTTCAAGCTGGCTCTGTCCATTTATCTCTGATAGCCCGGTTCGACTTACATTTCCTCCTCTTCCTCCAAAATAGTTCATGGAAGCAATCGAATAGGAGCTGCCGATATGATGGGATTTGATCACTGTCCAGGGTTGTAATCCGGGTGTGTCTTCTGATAATTTCGAATGATGTTCATGACGCCTTCCGGAGCTGGTACAGTCTTCACGCCATGGGGCTTTCTGACGTCAGTCTCTACCATGTCTTTTACAGCCATTTCATTGTGCTCTTCCAGTATGGTTTCGAAGTCCCAGCACTTTCGCCAGATGTTTGTATCGGCTATCGGGCGGTTGAATTCTTCCATCCAGCGAAAAAGATAAACTCCAGGATCCTGCAAGCCTGATTTTAGCCGAGATTACCATTTGAAGGTGAGTTTAACTTACTCCCGAACAAGTCAGATGTTCAAACAAAATCATGACGCAGTGTGCAGTGTGATAGGCATGGAAGGGGTTGTCATCGGTGCCATTCGGATAGTAATAATCACTGAAAATTGTTAGCAAGCAATTACAATTCCGGAGCTAGTCTCTTACGAATAAATGGCCTTGCGTAGATAATCAAGACAGTGAATATTGTGATACATTGCGGACTTCGCCATGTACGTAGGTTCGCCGTCAATCTTGTAATTATCTGGCATGGACACAACGACAGAAGGATCTTTTCTCATGGCGGCAATGTCCGACTCTTTCACTGGGATGAGATACTCGGCTGTCACCCGCTCCCAGGCTTTGTCGACTTCGTCACTGGGCTCGGCGCGCCAGATCTCGGGGCCGCCCATGCCATACTGTGCGTAGCTCTTTCGCAGCACCATGGGAATCTCGATTCGATTTAGGAGAGGTGCTGAAATATTAGCTTCCTGTCCAGTGACTGATTTGGTAACAAGCCGACACACTCACAATACATAGCAATGTCTTTGTGGGCAGCGTTGAAGCCATGAGAGTGCTGCCAAGCCAGGAAAAGGCTCCCTACTCCCACTTGAAATAGCATGAAGTTGACCATAAAAGATGGGCTTTTCATCGCCGATCTACAAGACAGCAGCAGTTTGCGGACTCTAGATTGCTTTTTCTTCGACACCAGCTCATCATTCATCAGGGGGTGGTCAGACTCCTGGCTGGAACGGCTGTCTTGCTGGTCTTTCTCCATGTCGATCGAGGGCAGGGAGTGATAGGCCGCACTGGCTTTGTTGTGGCTGAATATGTTAGGCATGTTCGCAAGATCACTGCGGTTACTTTGAATACACGGAGCGAGACAACCAAAGTTGATACTTGAGGCTAATCGAAGGCGACACCGCATGCTTCTCATAAGATATGGACAGGTGAAAGTTTTGGACTCTGCATATATCGGAGGATCCAGAAAGGGAATGCATTCGTCCATGCATTCACTCATGATCAGAATTAACCCTGATCTCTATCCCAAAAAGGAATTACGCAAAGGTCGAAGCTATCGAGATCAGTGCTTTACGCCGACAGAGCTCTCGCGATTCAGGAAGCTTAGATCTGACTCGCTGGAGGGGTTTCCCTATCTCAGTGATGGGATCTTTTGACTTTCGACATGTTTGAGTCAGCCCTACAAGAGTACCAGGATCTACGCAAGCTCATTTTCCGGGCCGAACATGCGGTAGGTGTACCGTAACCTTCAATGGCACAATTTGCAATTGAACAGCTGATCGTTTCACTAGTTCCTCAAGAGCAATGCAACGGATGTTTCTTCCTTCGCCATGAATCTTACGATAGACGCCTTGACTGTACATCCACGGATGACAAATGAGACAAATGACGGCAGGCATGGCTGCTAGCTCCCGGTATTATGAGACTACAGCAAAAAGTCAAATCAAGCAGTTGAATTTCGGTATCGGTTTAGAAACTGGTCCAAGTGCATCTATCCAGCTGGTTGACAGACCACCGGGACCTAGGAGGATTAGTTCCCAATTTCCTCGCTCCTGCTAAACCCTGTCCGGCCCGCGAGACACATTTCTCACGAATGAAATCGAATCTTCGTCAAATCCTCTTCTCTCGTCTCAACTCAGACTGATTGCAAATAAGTTCTCCATGATGATCTCACAAGTAGTTCTCGCCAGTGGGCAAGCAGGATTTTTCTTGCTGCTATTCGTGCGTCATCAAACTCCATGCATCTCATGACTTTCAAGAGTTGACAAGTAACTCTAGGGGCTCACGTATCTCATCCTATCATCGTTTTACAACCTCTTCATACATCCGCTTTCTCGTTTCCCAGGCAAGTTTTGAAGTCAGCTCTCGTTCCATTCTTCTATCTCACGCGACTGAAGGGCCGTTTTCAGGTCGATGTCAGGATCTCTGGGTTTCTCGACAGTGGTGCGTTCACCTGACGTTGTCTACAGCGGTCTTCTCTGATGTGGTACTCAGGATCTCTGGCAACTGGCCTTGGGAGATTGAGGCTTTGCATGCCAAGTACGGCGATATTGTGAGAATCGGCCCCAATGAGCTCTCCTTCGCTCATCCACAATCAATCAAGGACATTTATGGACAGCCAAACATCAAACATCCACAATTCTTCACCAAGTTTGCTACTTTCTACAAGCAGACCGACGTTGGCGGCTCGATCGGTACTGAAGTTGATCCTGTTGTACACCAAGGCATCAGAAAGCGTTTGGCTCCCGGTTTCAGCGTCACAGCTCTTGGAAAACAGAGTGACATCGTGGTGCGTCACATCGATTCATTGCTCGACCAGATCTCGATTTTCGGTCAGAACTCGGAGGGCATGAACATGAGCCAATGGTTCATGTGGCTTGCCTTTGATGTGATCGTGGATCTCTCTTTCGGCGAAGAGCTGGGTACGGTAGAGCAAGGTATTTGCAAGCACGTGTGAAAAGCTGATCGTGGATACAGCTGACATTTTCTAGGCCAGGGAAATGACTGGATCAATATGCTGGCCAACAGTGGCTTCCAGATCGCCCTTGGTTATGTTGTCCGCCGTAGGTTTAGAGCGCTTCAGAACGTCGTCAGGCTCTGTCTTGTCAACGAGAAGAGCAAATCCATGCGCAATAAGTATGTTGCGAATTCTCGCGAGAAGGCCAGTCAGCGGTTGCGGAGGGGAGCAGATGTCGAGCGCTTCGACTTTTTCAGTCATCTGTTGCGAGAGAAGGCCATTGAGGCAAACATCGACTTCTTTGCATCGCAAGGCACCACACTTGTTGCCGCCGGCACCGAGACAACATCCACATTCATGTCTGCTCTGACCTACTACCTACTCCAGAACCCGCGGTCCTTACAGCGACTCCAAAATGAGTTGAGACAAACTTTCAGGCAGCACAGTGAGATTAATAGCGAGACGACAAAGCCGTTGAAGTATTTGAATGCCGCAATAGAAGAAGGCATGCGCGTCTTTGCACCTGCGCCCTTTGGCTTACCGAGAGTGAGTCCAGGCGCCGACGTGGTGGGTGAATGGATACCCAGAGGCGTAAGTGGACATATCCATTGTGTTCATCCGGCGTCAGCTAATATTGACTACCTACTCTGCAGACTGTCGTTGCCACCGCGGCGCATGTCACTTCTAGAGACGAGAGATGGTTCCACAAGGCAAAAGAGTTCCACCCCGAACGATGGCTCCAGTCTGATCACCCGCACTATGAGCCCATCTTCGGCAATGATTGCAAGGAGGCTTCAAAACCGTTTTCCGTGGGCCCCAGATCTTGTATCGGCAGTCATTTGTCGTACATGGAAGTACGAGTTTGCATTGCGAAGTTAGCCTGGGCCTTCGATTGGGAGCAAGTCAACGTCAACGAGGATTTCGTTAGAGACGCCCGCCTTCTGGGACTTTGGAAAGCGGCCCCATTCCACGTCAGATATCTCCCTTTCCAGGGTGTATCTGTTTAGACGGCCAATGCTGGTGCTGAATGATTCTTGGGGGTCGCGAAACTTCGTAATTTGACTGCCTGGAAAGCAAAAGGCATGAAAGGGTCAGCAACCGACATGGGATGTAGTTTTAATCGGTAGCCAAATTGAAGTCATGGAGGAGTGGCCCAATTCAACCACGACCCTGTTGTAAACGCTCGTGCCTAGATTTCACCTGAACTTTCTAAAGACTAAGGTCTCGGTGTATTCAAGGATATGGATGTGAGTACACAGTGTGTCTTGCAGCTGCTTTGGACTTCGGAACTTACTGCAGTATGCTTTGTTGCATAAATAAGACTCCGCGACCTGGTCACACTTTCAAGGATGATATGACGTCCTCATCAATGCCCCTCTAGACGCGCTTGAGGTGATTTTCATATCTAAACCTCTTTTTGGACTTTGGCCGCTACTCCGCTCTGGCGTGGGCCTTTCAAGCTTATTGCGTAAATGATTAGGTGTTGCGGCAACCAGAAGATAGACTCCGGGTGGTGTGACGATGTGTGGAACGACTTGCCGGCTACTGCTGTCGCGAATGGAGCTCTCGGAGAATTCCGTCGGCGCTGTTCTACATGATTCAAACCATGAGAAATAGTTTCTTCGACTTACAGTTTTCCTCATCGGGCTGGTTGCCTTTGAATCAGGCAAGCTCTCAAGTCGGGCTCAGCATGTGTGTTAATTGGTCTTGGACTTAAGCCGACGTCCATCAATCGTGTGAGAGGAAATCTGGAGTCGTGCTTTCGTGAAGGCCTTTTACGTGACGCCCGTTCTTCGTGCAATTTGAGAATACCTTCATCATGGACTCCATCTGGGAGCAATCAGTCGCTGTTAGTGGTGAAGTGGCCGCATCAACGGGCTGCTTTACCACGTTGCCCATTCGCATACATCGACGAAATGATATAGCCGATGACTCAACCAAGCAGTCCATATTAGACTGGGGGGCTCACATAAGAGATGGATGGGAGCATAGATCCGGATCGTCGTGGAGTCCGGTTGGGAATTGGTGTGCGTTCATTTTCCCGGAATCACTTCCTGAGCGTCTTGGTGTCATCACCTATTTAGCAAATATGGGTAATATCCACGACGGTATGGACCTGTCATTGAAATTCTGAATGGGTGTGCAACTAATATGGCTTATAGATCTTTGTGATGAGTTGCCCTATGAAGAGGCCCTCACCGAGCATGCGACGCTCAGCCAAGCCATGGACGTTGGCGCCTCCGAGAGCCGCTCCGGAAACAAATCCGGAGACCGATCTATGAGGATGAAGAGATACATCTCCGAGTGCCTGATGCGAGCCATGGAAATTGACCGCGTCCGTGCCTTGCGCATGATCAACTCCTATCGATCTAAGTGGCTCGATGTGATGGAGAGCCGAGACGTCAATGAGATGGAGACTCTCGACGAGTATCTGGTCTTCAGAAACCTCAACGGAGGTATGGAGTGAGTGGGCTTTTATTCCACACTCTTTCAAACTACGTCAAGCTGATTCGTCACTAGGGCCTTCTGGAGCATGGTGACGTTTGGTATGGCAGTCGACATATCGGCAGCGGATATGAACCAGCTTCGTCCCATGTTCCAAGCGGCGGAGTCGGCTCTTGTCCTGACGAACGACTACTGGAGCTGGGATCGTGAGTGGCGGCACGCTCAGCGAACTCAAAACCCCAGAATCGTCAACGCCATCCACCTGTTCATGCGAGCCAAAGGCATGTCGCTTGAAGAAGCGAGGGAAACAGTACGGCAGCGGATTCTAGCTTACGAGGCCGATTATCTGAGAGCCAAGGAGGAGTTCTATAAACTGAATCCTCACATTCCGTTGCATGTGAAGAGATACATCGAGGTTTGTGGGGTCATCGTTGCCGGCAACCACTATTGGTGCGCAAACTGTCCAAGACACCATACTTGGCGGGACGAGGACACTTCTTCCAGCGATGAAAGCACCTCCTTAGCCGAGTACGCTTCTGAGGAGGGTGTGGAAACGACATCGGGACCATGCAGCTCCAGCTATGCTTCCCCTAAGTCATCCTCCGTAATGACCCCGTCGCTCTCTGAGACTTTCGGATTCATGATGGTTCATGACGAAAAACCAGCAAGAGCGAGCGACAGAGCTCTCCTTGCCCCGTGCGACTACATTCGCTCAATGCCATCCAAGGGCTTACGTTCTTTGATGGTCGAGGCCCTCGATCAATGGTTACTCGTCGACGACAGTTCGCTTGAACAGATAAAAGCCATCATCGACTTGCTCCACAATTCGTCTCTCATACTCGATGACATCGAAGATAACTCGGCTCTCCGAAGAGGCTTCCCTGCAACCCACATGGTCTTCGGGCAGGCGCAGTCGATCAACGCCGCCAATTTCATGTTCGTCCGCGCCGTTCAGCTCACTCAAACTCTGGAGAGCCCCGAGTGTCTTGAAACCCTGCTCGATGAGCTCGAGTGTCTGTTCACGGGCCAAAGCTGGGACCTCTACTGGAAGTTCCATCTTCAGGTCCCGACGGAGGAGGAGTATTTTGAGATGATCGACAGCAAGACCGGCGCGATGTTTCGTCTCCTTGCGCGGCTCATGTATCAAAAGAGTCACGTCATCGCCGCCAGCAACAGCCATCGCACAATCTCCCCATGCGAGACGTTGCGTCTTTTGGACAAGATGTGTCGCCTTTTCGGTCGGTTTTTCCAGATCAGGGATGACTTTATGAATCTGAACTCCACCGAATATTCCGACCAGAAAGGATTTTGCGAAGACTTGGATGAGGGGAAAATGTCATACCCTCTCATCATGGTCATGAGACAGAATCCTGAACGAAAGGATCAGATCATCGGAATATTCAGGCAACAGGCTGCAAATTCATCCAGAGCAAACATGACCGAGCCAGCGCGTCTATCATATGAGACAAAGCGGTTCATTCTGGGTATCATCAAGAAATCCAAAGTCATGCATCAGACTCTTGAAAAGATACGGGAGCTGGAATCCGCCGCTGAAGACTCGATTGGTGAGTTGGAAGGGGCGTTCGGTGAGACCAATCCGGTCATGCGTATTCTACTCGGGAGACTTAGTGTGCGAGATGTTGTTCTCACCTAAGAAGTCATTGTGAAATTCGACGTTAGATCATCGACAGTTCAATCATTCTGGAAAGTTTACGTGCTTCTGAGAGAACTACCAAAACAGCCCGAAATCGTATTCTCATTTGACATCCTCTGCCTACTGCCATCAAATCCAGCCGCATCGTCGCACCCAAAACGTCTTGAGTCTCCAAGCAAAGTGGTTTGTTATTCAGGGTGAATTGAGTAGACATTTATCATGACAGCCGGGCCGTCTCTGATGTACGAGTTGACTAGTAAAAGGACTCGTTCATTTCTCAAATTTTTGCAGATTTGGTTCAATGAGCAAGATGTCATTTTATTTGGTTCTATATGTTGTGTTTGGACGGACTGTTTCGGGTGCGATAAATGATCTCCTGCAAATTGTTGTGCTCCTTCACAGTCTTAGCACCAAGCGGCTTGGACATGCTAAAGGGATTCACTTTCTTCAGAGCAATATTGTCGAACTTCTGCCGAAACGACTCGAAGTCCCAGCACTTGCCCCAAGTGTTGGCGTCAGGCAAAGGGATTTCTGTGTGTTCATACCACTGATATACTGCAGTAGTGTTTTGTTAGTCTCGGTTCAAATTGATGACTTGATGTTTTGCCATTCATAAATCCATTGCCGCACGAAAAGAACCGGGGCATGTCAGTACTCACCATAGACACCAGGGTCTCCAGCGCAGGTCAGATGGTCTAGGATCATGGCCAGACAGTGTGCGATATGCTCTGCATGCATCGGAACGCTTTCTGTGCCGTTTTTGTAATAGTACTCCTTGTAAACTGCCTTTCGAATGTAGTCGAGACAGTGAAGCCTGTGGAAAATGAGAGCGTGCGCCAGATAGGTCTTCTCGTTTCCGAGGTGGTACTCCTCCGGCAGCATCACGGCTACAGAAGGGTCTTTCCTGAGAGCAATGATCTCTGCCTCTGTCACTGGAATAGTAGCCTCGGACGCGAGACCCTCCCACATCTCATCGATCTCGGTGTTCGGATAAGATCCCCAAGTCATGTCGCCGCTGCCGCCGGAGATTACTTGCGGTTCGTCGAACCGCACCGTTAGCGGGATCTCAATTCGATCCAACAAAGGGGCTGCAAAAACAACGCATCAGCTAAGCAGCCTGGTTCTCGCGGAGCTGCAGTTGGGATTGTACTGACAGTAGAAAGACACGTCCTTCAGGCGTTGATTCAGGGGCTGCCGGTGCCAGGCGACCCATAGGACTGCTCCGACAGCAATCATCATGACATGAGTGGCAATGCAGATCTTGAGTATCGCTTTAGTGGTTTTGTAGTGACCCTTCGAGTAGATCTGAAGGCTCTCTGCGTCATCGTCCTCGCTGCCGCATGTGCACCGTTTATTCAATGGGACGTATTTGTGGGTGGGCAAAAACATGTTGGATAACATCATGTGTTGCTTTCAAAGGACTTGGGCAAATATCACGGTCGAACTTGCATGAGAAGGTCTTGTCGTAGAAGATTTGGAAGAACAAGTTACCCGCGCATTGTGCAACATACCCCCAGAAGTGGCAGCAGCTTGGTATCAGCCAATGGTCTGAAGCACCATTACCGCACCTCGCAACCACGTTGAACTCAAGACTCGCGCCTATACTGGCGGATAAGCTGAGTACGAGTGCGTTCGGGCGGAATATTCCTGACACACAACACGAATTTGAGTCAGTACGGGAGACCAGCATGCATAGTCTAGCCACGAGCTACCGAACTCTGTTTCCCCGCAAAACATGCGATTTTCTCCCTCGCAGTTGAAAAAAAGCTGGAACTTGCCGAAAACTGCTCGCCAGTACTATATGTCACTTCAGGTTGTCAGAAGCTGTACTCTGTGAACTCAAATCTAGTCATGCTGAATCGACAACCTTGGGTGTTTCGACCTGCTCTGGATTTCCGCTTTCAGCACCTCCGGAGGTTAAACTTCGACCTACTTCGACCTAGAGTGTCTGGAACGCCCTGTCTTTGGTGGTCATCATGCCTGCATGTTTGTTGTTTTGGTCATTTAGTAGTTGCACATCCTTGGACTGGAAGTAAGTTCAGGGGAGCCGGCAGGGGCTTGATATGATCTAGATACTCGGTGAGCATCTGCATCGGACTGTTGTCGTTTTCCCCTTGTTATTTCGAATCCAAGTACTGAATCCTGGATAATGCCAATGTCGTCTTGAGATAGAGTCCAACACTAGAGTCCAACACTATCTACCAACGCGCTTTCGACTTCGCATTCGGTTCAGGGCACTTGGGAAAGCATCTGTTTTCGTTCCGTTTTTTCCACGACAGCAATCCTAACCTATACTTCGTACAGCTTGGACTAGATAAAGCCTTGATTACATACAGACTTGACTCCATACAGCCGTGATCAGTTTCGATCAAATTTACGGTCTCTGAGTAACGTCATGCATGTCTTGGGTAGAACCGACACCATGCGTTACGATGGTTCTCTCGACCAAGGCCAAGAAAAGGGCCCGGACATTGAGCCCTCGGTTGTGCGAGAGCAGCTCGGTAACGGTACTGCTGTTACTATTACCCATACACGTTGGTGGAAGGACCGAGGACTGAGAAGCCTCAACATGCGCTTGCTTGCCATCTTCCTCACCCCGCTGATGATAGGGTACGACGGCACCCTTATCGGCTCGTTGCTGTCCATGCCCCGTTGTAAGTCCTCAATACCTGAATATAACAGAAGCCCAGGCTTAACACACACACGCTTTAGGGTACCGAGGTAAGAAACGGGAAAGCTTGAGATGGCCCGTTGTCCGTCGCAGACAAACAAGCTAACAACACAAACCAAAACACACCAGATCTCGGTCTGAGCCCCGAGGACGGCAGTCTCGTCGGGTTGATGGGTGCCGGTTACGCATTTGGTGCGATGATCGCCTTCCCCGTCTTTAGCTGGGCCGCGGATACCTTTGGCCGAAGACTCGTGATCATGTTAGGAGACGTCATCGTTCTCGGCGCCGGTGAATTCCCTCCCACACCATAACGGTTCCACGGATGCCAGAGGTTTCTGACTTCTACTCCTAAGTACTCGGACAAATGTTCTGCTATAATGCACGTCTATACGTGCTCACTCGATTCGTCGTGAGCCTCCGGTTTCTCTAAACACTCAAGCTAGAAAGCGCGTTCTAATCAGACATTAGCTTGGCGTAGGCTCCATGCTCGTCGCCTCCAGCAGCCCGGTCCTGCTGACGGAGATCGCACACCCCCGGCAGCGAAGTCTGCTGGTCGCCGGGTACGGCTCTCTGTTCTTCGTTGGATCAATAGGTGAGCCATGCCAGCTTCAATATCCCTCTAACTTTATCTTCCTCTCTCTAGCTCTCCCTGTCTCTTCTTTTGTTGACTATCTTTCCAAGTCGTCGCTTGGGTCTCCTTCGACAGCCTGTACACTCCCACTGAATGGAGCTGGCGGATCCCGACATTGCTGCAAATCATCCCGCCCGCGCTTCAACTGCCACTGACGGCCATGGTGCCCGAGTCCCCAAGATGGCTCGTCTCGCAGAACCGTCATGAAGAAGCTAGAAACATGCTCGTGCGGTTCCACGCGAACGGCCGAAGCGACGACGGTGACGAGGGCGTGGCGACGGAGTACGCCATGATCCGCCGCGCCATCGAGCTGGACCGCCGGGGCACAGCAGGCTGGCTCGCTTGGATACGGGGCCCGGGAAACCGCCGGCGCCTCCTCTTGGTCGTCTCCTGCACCGTCTTTGGGTCGTGGAGCGGCGGCAGCATCATCAATGTCTACCTCTCGATGGCCCTACGGAAAGTCGGCATCACCTCGCCGGCCCAGCAGACGGGGATCAACGGCGGGCTGCAGGTCTTCAACCTCTGTGCCGCGCTCCTCGGCGCCGGCCTCGCCGACAGGCTCGGGCGCCGCCCGCTCTTCCTCGCCTCCGCCGTGGTCATGCTTCTGGCCATGGTAGGCTTCACCGTGGCCACGGAGCAGTTCGTCGAGCGCGCCCAGCCGGCGTCGGGCGTGGCGCTGGTGGTGATGGTCTTTCTGTTCCAGTTCGGCTACGACCTGGGGTATGCCCCGTTGACGCCGATGTATATATCCGAGATCTGCGCCTACCACCTGCGGGCTAAGGCCATGGCTCTTCACTATTTCTTCATGTACGCCTTTAGCGCAGTCGGCCTGTACGCCAACCCCGTCGCGCTGCAGGCGTTGAGCTGGAGATACTATATCGTGTACGTGGGCATATTGGTATTCGAGGTTGCTTTTACGTACTTCATGTTTCCGGAGACGAAGGGTTATACTCTAGAGGAGGTTTCTGCTATCTTCGACAAAGGGGATTCGGAGTTTTCGAGGGCGCACACCTAGAACTGTGTGTTATGTGCAGCGCGCAAGCCACTATGCAGACAGATCAGAGCAGCCAAGGGGAAAGTCGCCGTCGATGGATCGCCGAGAGCCTAATGCTCTTCATATGGCGCTTCTCTCAGGCACAGCTCTTTCTCATAAGCAGAAACCAGCGGCTGGAGCGAGCACCTTGGCTTATCATTCCAACTTATTGATCCTACGGGTAGGATGACGGGGACGGGTAGCTCACTGTTCCTAGGATGAGGGGGTGCCAGCTTACTGTTCCGATTAGGGGGCTGAGATCACTGTTTGTATTATTGAGATGTTATGTTATCCCGTTAACCCCGAGATGAACACTTGCACCATCACTTTTTCCTGCTTATTCAGGTGGGTGAAGACTGAAATGTGTAATCGTTAGGTATTCTGGCGAGATGTTGAATCGACCGAAAAATAAGGGCGCCTGCTTTGTATTGCGCAGCGAATAACATTTGCTGCATCTAATACAAAAACTATTTACTAGGACTTTTATTGGCTTTTAACATAGAACAAGCCGCTGATTGGCTAGTAATTCGCTTCAAGAGATTTAGAGACTCTCATTGGACAAAAAGCATGCAACGAATAAGGTACGCTGTAAAAGTGTTACGTGAGCAGCAGGCAACACCACCTGAGCGCGCGCCTCTATCGCCACTTCCTCCAGCGCGCTCCGCGTTTTTAGCGGCGATCTCCCCGCTGAGTCGTGACGCTGTGAACGTTGTCCAAGGGAAATCTTTCCCTCCCCACCAGCAACACCATGTATCTTGACTTGCAACACAATGGCTGCGTTCGCTCTTGACTCTGACGACGATTATGGCTACGATCTTTCTTTGGAGGACGAAACCTTGCTAAGCCAGCTCATCACCGACGACCCCAATCCCGCTTCCACGCACCCCGCCGCCAGCACTGTTGCCTCCGACCTGGGCATCGACACTGTGGCCGAGGAAGAATTTCGCCTGAACGATGTTCCCTCTGATGCAGTCTCTTTCGAGACGTCTGCTCCGGCAAAGGCGCCCCTGCGGTCAACTCGGAGCCGCCACAGGGCTGCTTTCGGCACCGATGGGAGGAAGCCCTCTTCGTCAAATGGCGACCGCGTCGTCAACTACCCGGATCGTGAGTTTACTGCCGGCTTAGGATGGTTCTCTGAAGACTGACTGACTGGGAAGCGACTAGTGAGCAAGGCAATGTCTAAAGGCGACTCCGGCACCCGCTCGTCACCCTCGAAAGCGAAAGTAGCTCCCCCGCCCGAACCCTCCGATGATACTCTTTCGCCGCTCGTACGGTTCCGTTCTTTTCCAAAAAAGCCACTTTCTGTCACCGATCTGACTGCTGGCGCGTGGTGCGAGCTGCAATACTTCTACACCCTGACGAGATTGCCCTTTGGCCGGAAGACGCGGACGGCGGCGATGAAGCAGGGGACGAAGGTGCATCAAGACCTCGAGGATGAAGTACACACGACAGTCCGAGTCGAGATCGCGAGCAAGGAAGACGGATTTGGTCTGCGGATGTGGAACCTGATCCAAGGCCTGCGAACCCTGCGCGATACGGGCATGACCCGCGAGCTGGAGGTCTGGGGTTTCGTGGACGGCAACCTGGTCAACGGTGTCATCGACGGCCTGAGCTATGAGAACCCCGACCCCGAATTTGAGCTGCAGCTGAGCCAAGAGTCAGGGGACCAGAGCCAGGCCAGTATCACGGACTACTTCCCTTCAGACAAACAGAAGGTCCCGCAGATCTACCTGACGGACGTCAAGACGCGAGGGACTATGAAGGCGCCGAATAGCCCGGTGATGCTACGGCCTGCGAAGGTCCAACTCTTCCTTTACCAGCGGTTTCTGTCAGAAATGGCGGCGGACAAGCTGGACTACTTGCGCATTTTCCGGCGGTATAACATCAATCCCGACGAGCTCTTCTCAGACTCCTTCATTGCTCAGATTGGCAGCTTGCATGACGAGCTTTTCTTCGATGTGAACTCGTCCCCAGATGGAGAGTACGTTCCGCCTTCATCGAGTACGGAGACAGATACGACAACATCAAATCAACCGCAAGTCTCAGCACCAGATTTCATCAAATACAGAACCCTTCGCGAACTCCTTCCTCTACTTGCTTCCGAGCTGAAACAGACCTTCCCACACGGGGCGGACTCCATCGGCAGACTCCTCGCAGTCGAATATAGATACCGTGGAGACGGCTCCCTCATCGACAGCCAGGTATTCCCTATGGACGACCGCGCTCTGAACCTGTATTTGGGTAGCACTATGGAGTGGTGGCGCGCCGACCGAGAGCCGCGGGGCGTACAAATCGAGGAGACGTACAAGTGCCGCATGTGCGAGTTTGCGGGTGATTGCACGTGGCGGTCAGCCATGGACGAGGAGAGGTTGCAGGCCTCGAAACAGCGGCTGGCTAGTCGCAGGAAGCGAGATGCTGCGAGTGGGTGAGTTAGCCCATGACCTACTGCATTTCTTCGATATGTGTTTTTGGCATTCTCAGTTGGCGAGGCGCATGGAATACAGGAGGAGTTCTGGTCTTTGCATACCTACATATTGCGAAGTAGTTCATGGATACGAGTTCACGAATTACGATCTCATTGGTAATTATGCCCAATAAAATTCTTTCGAGGCACTGAAAAACCCACCTTGAGGCCACTCGGCAAACCACTGCCGTCGTCACTGTTATATTGTCGCTATGATCATTACTATGAACCTTTCCCCCAGCCTGAAGTCACGGCGCTACGGTGTCTACTTTTCTGGGGCTGAGAGCCATGTGTTCTGCCCATAGGTAGGCACTAATGGGAGGCAACAGTTGTCGTCTCACCCGTGACTCTTTTTGCGGGCGAAATGCAGGCGGGATATGTATTCCGCAGAGGCTCGAGCATCGTGGGTGGTCCAGAACACGGCCCGGCGCCCCGCGTTGAGCCCCACGGCGCCGGCACCCGCTCCCGAGATTTAACCTTTCCATCCATTCAGAGGCCGTCGGGATAATTTTCGGGTCAAACCCCCCTCTCCATCGAGCACTTCCTGATTCGGGAAACGCATCGTGGCGGAGTCTCCGCCTCAACGTATTCTCGTGTCTCGCCGCCGCTTAGAACGACAGTTTGCATTGGCCTTGGACGTACACGTCGGGAAGTTCCTTGGGGACAGCAACACCTTTTTCAACGAGCAAATCATTTGGTAGTCGACTTTTCAACTTCAAAACTCCCGACTACCTGCCTACCTACCTGACGTCTGGACCATCATCCCCGCCTGAATCTTCAACCTCACCTCACAACAAACCGCAAACGCAACCACAATGGCCCGATCCCAGAAGGACCCCGCGATCCTCGAGATCGCACGCACCCTCAAGAACACGCCCTGGTGCGAGAACTACGAGCTCATGGTCTCCGGCATGATGTGAGCCGCACCGCACCGCGCCTCCTCTCCGTCTTCGTCGCCCGGGGCAGCAGCAAACTCACACGAGAAACAGGTACAACCCCGTCGACCCGGTCCTGGTCGAGGGCCGCCACCAGGGCCGGTGCCTGGCCCGCGACTTCAACGACCTCGACCACCGCAAGCACACCGCCGACGAGGTCGCCGAGAAGAAGTCCGAGATCCTGGGGCGGATGCTGGGGCGCGTCGGCGCCGGCACGTTCGTGGAGGCGCCGTTCATCGTGGATTACGGGTGTAATGTCATTTTCGGCAAGAACTGCTTCGCCAACTTCAAGTACGTCCTCTCACTATTTTCCTTGCCTTACCTTTTTCCTGTTTTCGAAGGGGGATGAAGATACTGACGAAATAACCAGCATGACAATCCTCGACGTGAGTCTCGTCACAATCGGCGATCGCGTCCAGTTCGGTCCCAACGTCAGCATCTACACCGCGGGCCACGACACCTCGGTCCTCTCGCGCATCAAGTTCGTCGAGTACGGGCTTCCCGTGACCATCGAGGACGACTGCTGGATCGGCGGCGGCGTCATCATCATGCCGGGCGTCACCATCGGCCGGGGTACGACTGTCGGTTCGGGGGCCGTCGTGACCAAGAGCTTGCCGGCGTACTCTGTTGCCGTGGGCAGCCCCGCGAGGGTGATCAAGACGTTGAGGACTGTAGAGGAGGAGATGGCGGATCCGCAGAATCCGTACCGGGATCTGCCTGGCAACCTGCCTGAGAGGGATTGAATTGGATCGGGGTGGTGAAAATGGAGTCTGGTGTGGAATCACGGGACGGACTGGGTGTGCGCTGTTAAAGAGAGAACAATGAGTTATGAAATCGAATGCTTCTTTTAGGCTACTTTATGACAAGGCCACGGAGGCAGTAGTCGACTATCTAACTTCTGCATAGGTTGTATTCATTGTGCAGAGCTTTCCATCGCCTGCTTTTTTCTCCGTCTCTACCGCTGCCTGGTATCGTCTTCGCTGTCGCTGTCCTTCACCACGTCCGCCACCTACTAGTATCGTTTGCTGCCGTACTAATACTTTATGTGTTTTTTTCTACTGTCCTTGTGGAATGTTGTCTGTGTTTGTGGATGCCACCCTCACTGATCGTTTATCGTTTGTTGAGACGGGGTGTTGTAGTTCTTGTTGTTGCTGTAGTATTTAACACCCGCTTTAACCCTCTACGAGGGATACCATGCCCACACGCCAGCACCATCACCGCATAATGAGGCATAAAGCGTCCTCGTCGGCAGTCTACTAAGGATACCCCGCGACGAATCGGCCAAAGCTGGCGTCAAGCTCGTGGCATCGATTTATCTCCGCGACGTACTAATTCATCTTTGAGTTTGTGTAGTGACAGACCCCTTCCGCGCAGCAATCTAGCCATTCGAGGGCGCGTTGGCACGCGTACGCGGCTTCGAAACCCTGGAATTCTGTTGGAAGATCGTTGAGGTTGTTTCGTAAAAGAACCGAAGTTAAATTGCACCTCTTCTTTCCCAAACCTGATTGCTTCTTCTCTCGGATCTCATCGCAAATGGTCACAGCCGATTTGAAGGGCCAAAATTCCGTGAGGAATTTTTTCTGATCTCGGTACATGTCATCTGATGCCTCTGCGGATAGTTCGGCTATAATCCACTCTTTGACGGTTCGGGCATGCAATCTGTCGCCCTTGTCGGCATTGAACAGCCTGCAAGCAGTCTCGAGGGTCTTGATCTGTGTACTGCTGTGGTACCACTGCCTCGTGTAGGCGTATGGTGCCGCAGCACCAGCAGCAGGGGCACCTGTGGCACTGGTGGAGAATGGAATGCCGGACATGATGGAGTAGTACTGGGTATCGATGTAAGGTTTGGGTTTTGAAGAACTAGAGCAGACTAATGAAGAAATCTTTGATCTAAAGTTCGATGTTGATGGCGTAAGGTGATGACGGTGGGTTGAGAGATGGATGGTAAGTGGGAAGACATGGGGAATGTTGGGATTTACTTAGGTAGCTTAGGAGACAATAGAAGGAAACAGAGCAGGAGCGAAAGTAAGGAAAGAAGGAGTCAAGGTAGGGAAGGAAGGAACGCAAGGTTGTGATCCTACCAGCTGGGACGTTTGGCTACCTACATTTCCATCCTTCCTTGCCAAAATGAGACATTTGCTATCTTGTTCTTTCTAAAAGCACAAGAATATTCCGCGAGTTTGGAAACTTATTCTCATGATGAAAGACCTATGATACAGCCTGTCACCCTCTGAGATCGACACTCCGATACCGAACTCATGTGGGTTTAATTAGAACCTGGTGTCTTACACATTGTCCCCGTTTTCCCCATTGACTTCATCATCCTCATTATCCTTGTTATCCCAATTACCCTTGTTATCCCCTGTGTTCTTTTTACTGCGGCTATTCTTTTCATAGTTCTCCTCGTTCTCCTCGTTTCTCGTTGCCTTTATTCTATTCGTTGTCCACGTTCTATCCGTCGTCTTTGTGATCAGCTTTGCTCGTCGTAGATGAAAATCAAGTCGAACCTTCGATGGTAATGTTCAGCATATACCCCGAAGAAGCCATCACGATGGACTCATTGGGTCCTTTCAGCCTCGCAGATAGCATACTCGACCAAGGTTGTCAAACTGTAATCATAAACGCAGCTAACTCTATTCAAGATCAATGAGATTTTCCTCCTCGTCCAACCTTACCTTCTCTCCTTTCGTAGCAGTGAACGGAGAATGCCCATCGAGTTTGGGGTCATACTCCTGGAAATCCCAGCAAACCAGCGTGTCTCCCTCATTGGTCTCGCCCTCAGGCTCATCCTTGTATGGGACGAACTCGTGGCCAGTATCCATCTGCCGATCTGCCTTCTTCATGGCCGTTTTCTTCATGGCCTCCATACTCTCTTTCGCCTCTGTAACAGGATTCTGGACCATCCCAGATCGCCACTTCTGTCTCTCTCCATCAATCTCCGCAAGTCCACCGCCCGGATGGATCACCTGCAGACCCTCAAGGAAATCCCACAACATCAGTTTGCGTGCCAACGTCTCTCTGAGCAGCTTCTGGTCTCTGTCTGTAGCCCGCTCTGACTTTGAAATGAACGCGAAGAGCATGCCCGAAAGAACGCGAACGGCCTTGCGCACATCGCTGAAGCGGTCGAACAGGAGCTTGCAGATTTCGTCTTTCTGGCTAGTGAGTGTGGCGAGCTTCTCTTGAGTTAACTCACCTGATTCAAAGGTACTGATCATCAGCCTGGACATGTCGGCGTGGAGATCCAGTCCGGCCTGGAATCTTGCGATTTCTGTGTCGGTGGTGCTACGGAGAGCCTGGAGATGAGCCAGAGCTGGGAGTTCGGAGGAGTTGTTGGAGGCCATGGTTGATTCTGAAGGCTTGCAGGTTTTGTTTTGTTTTTTCTGCTGTATTTCGAGTATCTTGAACGAAACTGGAGTTTGGTTGCAAATCTTGTAGGATGCAGTTTTATTGTGCCGAGATGCAGGAGATTGTGATGCGAGGTCTTGGGGGAGTTAGCCGTCACATATTTATAACACAATTGGGATAGTGAAAATGGTTTACTGTGTTCAATGCTCTAATGTGATCAGTACATTTGTGAGAGACTCTCAGTTCCATCGACTGCAGTTCTTTGTGTGTCGAGGTGCATGTAGGCGAACAAGTCCTTTGTTTGGACACATCCTCATGTTGATAAAGGCCACCATCAGCTCTGGTATTGTGACGCAATGTTTGGAAGTTGACAAAAGAATCCAAGTATTCTTCATGCTTTATCTAAACTGAAAGCTTCCCAAAGCCAGTCTACTTCTTTTCGTGGTCATTCGAGCTGCGGACTATGTCCACAACATTTATGCGAATTATTATCAAACTCAAAAGCCTCCATAGGAATATAATGAGTCTGGTCATGGATTGAGTTGTTCCGTGTGTTCCTTAGCTGTCCAATTGAGTTGGGCCATTATGTGCCACAACCTGAATTCGCAACTCAGCCGTACGACGCTAGAGCAACCACTTCCAACTGATCGCAAACAACGGGACTCAAGTAGGCATAGTCTCTTTGTTCGACATCCATGGTTTCCTCAGCTGATCTTAGTCTTTTAGCCACATTGCTCGTATTTACAACTTCCAGCCTCGAGTGCCCAGCAGAAGACATTGAATGCCCAGCTGAGGAGATTGAAGCGTGTCTGTGGACAGGTGGACAGTGGAAGCAGGGTCCAGCGTCTATAAATGCATCGATGCCGATCCTTTGTATGTTAAATGTTTTCTGAAGTGTCTGGTAATTTTAAAACCAGCAGATCCATCATGGCTTCTTCCTCGGCTCTTTCAACCACTTGCAAGCTCTTCTGGGTCAACGTCCACAACAACGTCGTCGAGATTGACAACGACAAGGCCGTCTGCGACAGCTCTTACACCAATTGCGTCATAACAGGTACCAGCGGCGGCAAGCTCAAAGCAACGTGCGATTCAAAACTACATTTTCCAGACAGCGGCGTTTCTTCCTTCTATGCTCAGTACTTCTGCGCCTGCAACGACAACCCAGTCTCCGTACCCGACATCGTCACCTGTGGGACGTCATGCTACGACCTCAGCACCAAGTTTCCCAACTGCGAAATGGTCAGCCTCTACAACGGCTTCACCGACGCTAATCCCTCTTCGTCCTACAATGAGGCTTGCACTGCTATGACCTGCGATAGCGCGGGACTGCATTGTACCAACGACTCATCGACCGTCTACACTTGCGACAACAACGAGCATCAATCTCAGATCGCTTCGGATTCTACCCATTCTTATGTATGCAACTGCAAAGGGACAGCGAAGATTCCCTCGCCGTATAGCGGATCCGGGCAGAGCATCCAAGGAAAGGGTTGCGGGACGAATGCGGCCAGTGCTGGAGGAGGTGGAGGTGGAGGTGGAAGTGAAGGTACGGTGGCTTCGACTTCCAGTTCCAGTAGTGGAAGCACTGTGACTACTTCCACGCAGCCTGTTTCAACTTCAGCTGAACGAACTGGATCGGCAGCGAGAGGCCAGGTTTCCAGACGCTCGTTGGTTGCCACTGCTCTCATTGTCATGTGGGTGCTCCAGCTATAACAGTAATCAAGTAGGAAACAAATCTATGTTTCATTCGTAAGGTCTATCATATGCAGAATGTAGACTCCAAAATATCCCGATATATCTGTATATACCCGGCTATAGTACAATATCTCCAAGTTTGAGAAGAACTCTCTCGATGAACCTGACGCCCACTAAGATGCCATCTTCATCCTGCATCTCCTCTCCCCCAAACTCCTTGTTGTCCGGGTCAAGACAGGTCAAGCAAGTGACAACGACCGCAGCGTACCTGTCGCCCATTCGTATCGGCAGCCGCGTCTTCGCCAGCTCGACCAGCCGATCCTTGATCTTCGATGTACCTGAGTCGTTTGATTCGAACGCAAAGCCTTCCAGGCCTATACCCAGGCCAGCCCCGGGCAGTTTCTCTTGGTCAGAGCCATCCGTCTGAGTCTGATAGTCGACAAAGCTCTCCCACAAACCCAGCTCTAAGAGACAAACCCCAAGACTATACACGTCGTGCTGCATGATGTATGCCTCCTGGGCCTGGATACCTTGACGGCTCGGGTGCCTGTAGAGATTTCGTTCCCAAGCCTTGTCGCCAATCTTCAGCGTTTGAAGGTTGACGTGACGAAAAGAATCGAAGCCAACAAGAAACGCTGAGCCTAGCTCGGACTTCGTTGAGTGATCCGGGAACACGAGTATCGTCTCCGGTCGTATGTTCTTGTGGACGAAGTCGAAGGTGTGGATGAAGATCACAGCTCTCGCCAGCTGATTTGCGATGTCAAGGACTCGGCTCAAACTGAATGTGCGCTCTTTCAAAAGATGGGAACGCAAGCTGACGGGAACGTTACCAGTCTCCGGTATAGGCAATTGAAAAATCAAGTTCATTGAAATCAGCCTCTTTGTCTTCGAGTCTTTCCGTTTGACGACGCCCTTGCAGGTGAGGAGACCAAAGTAGTTGATGTCATTCTTTTTCAGCTTCTTTGCCATGCTGTCCACAGCGGTTCTCAGGGGTTGAAGATCGTATTTTGGAGTACAATCGATTGTATCGATGGCGAAAACCTTCGTTGAGCCCGTCTTCCGAACGAGAGAAGTGGTCGAATATTCAATAGCCTGAGTGGTGCTCCAATCCAGCCCGTCCTCTGCGAGCGAAACATGCGGCTCGGCAGTCCCTTCTCCCTTCAAACTATCTCGAATGCTCCGAGCTGTTACGAGCGTGGAATGCATTGAAGATACGTAAGAAGGCCTCCGCGACGGTGTGATCGGAGCATCTGCGATCCCGGGTGATTTCAATAGTTCCGTATCGATAAGCTTGTTGTCGATGCGAAGCATTAAGAACCAGGTAGGATCGAAGATAGTGTGCCACGTCTGAAGTTGTGCAACCGCGTCGTCAATATCGTCTCGACTCAAGACGTATTTCAGTTTCTTCACACCAGACCCAGCGCTAGTCTTGGTGACCGATTCAATTTTGGAAATTGCCAAACTGAACTTGCAGTGTAACGTCTCAAGGATTCTCAGATAAACTCCGCAATGCTCTTCCTCAAGTACTTTGAACACGACCCTAGCGAACTCGATTTGTGACGCGGTCTTGCTCCACATAGCCTCCACGATGAGGAGCCTTTCTTGGACAGCTTCGCTCGCTCCTTTGAAGTCGCGATAGGCAGACATCAGCTTTTTCCCGTATCTTGCGGGCATATGTCAGCATCTCATGAAGGCAGGCTGGGCACTGTGACGTTAAGCCTGGTTGAGTTACGTACTTGAGACATAAGTCAGCTGCCGCTACAGCAGCAAGAACAAGTTCTACAGACATTTGATGGTTCAAGCCATCTCTTTTTGATCTTCAAAGAGGGCTGTGGTGTTGTGTTTGGAGAAGAGGCTATCTGTATTCCTCGACCGACCTTTAAGTGGGTGCGGGGTTATATATAAGGTCGATGGCAAAGTAATAGAAACGCCCTCGGAATTTCCGCTATGCGAGTATGCCTCGCTTATGCACGTGTGCGAGCGAAGCTGACCCATTGCGTCATATTTGTATGCACGTGTCTCGTGATCAGGCTGAGCTGAAAAGACGGGAACCCCCTCATCGCCAGTGATCGCAAAACAATGTGTTTTGAAAATCTTTTTCGGGATGCGAAACGAGTGAACTGAGCGTAAGTTGATGTTATCGGCCTATATGTCGCTGTTGAATTGCTTTGCTGACACATGTCATAAACAGAAACCCTCCTCAAAAGTCATGTTTAGATAGACATTCGCGGTCCAGTATGCCCTCCGATTCCGATCTGGTCCAGGACTCGAAACTCGAGACTCGTTTCGGATGGAGCTCAAGCTCAACGATTCACACGTTTTACGAGAGGGGAACCTCAGATCAAGATAGGACGGTACGATTGGAAGAAAAATGGAAGCGCCAGAGGACACTTGGCCATGGTGCTTTTGGCACTGTTTGGCTGGAGACATGCAAAAGTCCTGCAAGACCGAATGGTCCAAGTGTCAGGGCGGTAAAAGAAATCCTTCTCGATTCTACAGCAGCGAACCAGGTAGATTACCACGTAGAGCTGGAGGCCGTAATGACGTTCTCCCATGAGCAGGTATGTTTATTGTATGTCACTAGGAACGAAGATCGTTAAAGATGCTGACAGCGATCAGTATCTTCCGTTATTTGTTCGATCGTTTGGCTGGTTCGACAGCCCCGACGCCATATTCATTGCGATGCAGTACATGCCGTTCGGAGACCTGCAAAAGTATTTGGTTTACCCAATCCCTGAAGACGAGACAAAGATCATTGCATCTCAACTAGTTGAGGGTCTTCTTCACATGCACCAACATGGATTCACACATAGAGATCTCAAGCCGCGGGTAAGACATCGTTTAAGTACCTCTTATCGCACCTTTCGTTGACAAAAGTACAGAACATTCTGGTGGTAGATCAAGGACCGCAATGGCTGGTACAGATTTCCGACTTCGGCATCAGCAAGCGTTTGCGACCCGATGTGGACAATCATACACTTGGGACGATGGAAAGGGGCACGAGGGGCTTCATAGCCCCTGAATTACTAGGCTTTGTGCTTGAGAGAAACTTTCCACATGCTGTGGACATGTGGTCTCTTGGGTCAGTTATTTTTCGAATGTTAACGGAAGAGCTGTTTCTGCCGGACTTCGAACTGCTGGAGAAATACGCCTCCGCAGAGTTCCAGTTTCCAGTTGACAAATTGAAGTCTTTCGACAATTCGGGGCTTGTAACGGAGCTTTTGAAAAGTCTTCTGGCATCGTCGCCGAAAGAAAGACCCACAGCGTCAAAAGTCCTCGGCCATGACTGGTTCTTGGGTGTTGATAGCTGTCAGCATAAACCCGCACATAATCACCGAGAAGAGGACTTGGTCCTAAGTGAGTCCGAGGAATCGGATGATGCACCTTCAGCAACATGGAGCTCCGATTGAGACCTTCCCAGAAAACACCATGAACAATATCTTGAGGGCAGGGGTAGATTACCGTAATCAGCGCTGAGCTTATCTCTCCTGAACTCATGCCCGGCGTACACCATCATCATTAGATATCTTAGGAACAATCATAATGTAGAAGCTAACCTCTAAGGTGTTCTTAGGAGACGTTCAATGCAGCAAAACTCTACATGAAAGCCAGTTCCTGATTCAGCTCTAGCCGATAAGGAACCAAGCTGCGATCCAGAGTTTCCACTGTCAAACACGTGCGCAAGATGTTCCATGTCAACTCAGCAACATCGCCTAAAAGCACCATAGTACCACTTCTGAAAGACGCTGAGTCTGTATCAGCAAGAACAATAGCCTGTGGAAATTGGAAGAATGGTAGCAAATGAGGAATGCAGTCTGGGAAATAAGTAAAGTCCGGTCATGAATGAACCTGTATGCTGTGGCAGAACATTATTGTGGAGGCGCCATCAAGTCAAATACGCTGTATTGAAGTTCGAATTTAACTGCGAGGATGAAACGCAATACGAAGCAAGATTTTCCAAAAATTACATCTACTCAGATCAGACGTCTTTAAGCCAACATATCGTTAGAGGCATCTTAGTCAAACTCGTCAATAGTACTCTCAGGCTTTCTCGCGTAAACACAGTGGCTGCCAAAAGTCAGCAAGAGAAGCAATACCACCAACGATCATACTTACACTCTCCAATAAGCATGAATCTTCCTATCCCGAATCTCCTTCCGAGTCAAAGCGCAAAGAGTGATGACTTCCTCTTTGCTCCAGCCCAGAACGCGAGTAAGCAGCGCCAGCGAAAGCCCCTCGAGTCCCAAGTCCAGATTCACGCACTGGAAGCTACCGAGCTCCTTCAACTTCGGATCCCTGGGCCATGAATTCAACGGCCACTTGTACTCCTTGAACCCGATATCCACAAAGCCGGCCTTTTTGATAGGATCGAGGTGTGTCGACATGCTGACCAGCGGCCGGCCGAGCTTTTCCGAGGCCTCGGCCACTGCGCCGTGCCAACGCGAAATGGCCGAGTCTTTGGTCAGCGTGTCGTCGTCGCAGCCGACGGGTAGAGCCAGGTCGTCGATTTCAAACCAGCCGTTGGGGGAGAGGTTGCTACAAAGAGGGTGTTGTCAGCATGTTCTCAGATATGGTTTTGTTTTGCATGGAGACATATGGGATTTTGCAAATATGACGAAAAGTCGTACTCGTAGAACTTCTGGATCATTGCAGGAACATCGGCGAAGCAGCCGGCCATGCCTCGGCACATGATGAAGTCAAAGGGTTTCGTCCACGTCCACTCCTTTTCCAGATCGTCGATCTCGAAGGAGCAGTTAGGGGGAGTCCTGTCACATCTCAGCTTCATAACGTTGACTTCACAATATGAAAGACGTGGACTCAATACCATCCAGGCTGGATTGGACTGAGATCAACCCCAACAACCTGGGCACATTAGCTTCGTTCCTTTTCGGGACGAGATGGATCACACCTCTGCAGAAGGGAAGGCATCGGCTAGTCGATCATGCATATCAGTATCACTCGACTCGTAAGGGTCGTGATTTGCTTACCGTAGTCGATGGCCCATAATCCGGTCCCCGTGCCGATGTCAAGAACCCGCTTAGCAGTCTTGTGTCCCGGATTCAAGGCCAGGTCACCATCGAAGCAAATGATCCATATGCGGTGCTGCAGATCTACGGGCAACGAGATCAACAAGTTAGCAAATCGTCCCGTGAATGGTTACTGTTGTGGTCTTGCCTCACCTAATCTCTCGTTCTCGCGCTTCCAATTGCCCCTAGTTGTCAGCATTCCTGATATCCTCAAGTAATTATGAACTTAAAGTGTGTTCTTACGTCGTCATTGGGGTAGCTATACTCTGTTCTTTTTGTAAGCACCATAGAATAATACCCAACAATGAGTTGGTTCTCGAAGGAGGTACATACTCCCAGCGCTGAGAGAGTGGTACGTTCTCCCATTCTCCTGCTGGTTCTCTAAGATACTCGATCTCAGAGAAGCCAGACTAGATGATTCATAGCCCTGTCGATCGAAACCCGGTTAGCATATAAGCGTAGGATAGACTATGACGGCCTTCCTTACATCGTCAAGATCCGGCACATTGTTCGCATCGACAGGTTGCTAAGCATGAGAGTCAGCGCTGCAAAAACACCGTAAAAGTGGGTTTGATAGCATTACGTCCTGAGGGTCCTGCATCGTCGTGGCTTGTTCACCAAATAGTAGAGAAATACCGACTTCTCAGATCTGCAATTCCCGTTTCTTGGGCAGATGTCGCGATAACTTCACGCCAAGGAAATGACGCAAAACCCGAAAGAAACCGAAGCAACTCTCTAGGAACCCCAGCACAGGGGGATCTCGCACATAAATACAACGCTTCCCCACCGAATCAAGCCCATCACGTCCGCTGCAGAACCAACAACTTTCGGGAACAACATCCAACATCGGCGTCCGAGTCATTCCGAGATCAAATTCGCCGACATTATTGGATCGTTTGATCAAAGAGTTATGAATGGATTGCGCGGTGCGGAATATGATTCGTGAGTGAAGAGAGTCCTGCACCGGAGACCAGCGACGTGCAGCCGGCGCTAGAAGATACCCCTGCGGAGACCCTGTTCATCAGCACATCGTATCCACTGCGGGATGCCCTGCAACGGTCGTTTTGCTGTTCTTGGGATCCTTGGGGTGTTCCCTTTGAGAGCTCAGCAGCCCATGGATATTAATGACGAGTGGTGTAGAAGCACGCGTGATAGACAGCATTTGATTTTTCTCCCGTCAGAGTTGAATCGAGATGATCACTGCAGTCCTTGTTGATAGCCACACAGTCTCCATAATGAGTCTGCCACGAATTCAACAGCGATACACGAGGTGGCGTTCCATGGTAAACGTTTCCAGTTGACCAGTTGAGAATTAGATATTATGTAGCTATGATGATGATATATATGACAGAGTTCTGGCTTAGTTACAGTCTGGTTTTCCATCAATTCTGCAGTGTTTACGGTTGGGGCATGGCCGGTGCCGCATGCACTGTCGAGCCCGAGGCCCAGGTTGCAAACTCAGCCATCCAAATCCAGCAGCACACGATGGGAATCAAGGCAATCAACACCCACCACAACTCCACAGTCAATCGCCGTCTCAGCCAGCGTTGGCACCTCGCGCCGAGTTTCCTTCGGTGTGAGCACACTGTAGTCCCATAGACAAGACAACCCAAGCCCGGTCGGGATTCACATTCCATGTGCTCTCGTCGTCGCTGCATGAGAAGTCTAAACCCGTCAGCGGTTAGCAATCTGACGCAGTTTTCCATCTTTTCTGACGACAACTCACGGTACGCTGCCTCTACAAAACCGGAGGTCACTGCCGAGATCGCATCGCTTGTCGTTTGGACACTCCAGATGCAGCATCCGGCGCTCCATAAGCCATTCCACCTTGAGGCGGACACCCGTGTCGACCAGGTAGTAGAAGTAGCTGTTCGTGTGTTTCAATGAAAGCGCGTCGGGGTAGATGAGTTGTTTTGAGATGAGCAGATGGATCTCCGGCGGCAAATCGGTGAACGTTGCCAATTCCTTATCACCGGAGGCCTCGCAATCAGCACGCCGGGTTCGGGCATCTGCGGGTCCCGCAGTGGGTCGTCGGAGAGACACGGCCGGCTCCATCGCCGAAGATGAAACGGCGTCACGCGGGGTGCAGGCTAGGAGTTCGGGCTGCATAGGGGGGCCAGGAAAGTAGCGTAAAAACTGGTTCGAATATGACCTTGCTCTTTGTAGTGTGTGTGAAGAAACAACAAAGACCAGAAGAAGACGTTGCGGCGGACTCTGAGCGGCAATCGATACCAGATATTGTAGTCAGAAATCCTGCTGCCTCGAGGTGATGTTTTGGGGAGACCAACCAGACCGTGGCAGCGCTCCTAGCGCGTCAGATACGAAGTTTCAGTCCGTCCGCCGGCGGGGAATTCCTGTGCTGTGTCAGCCAAGGCAGACGCCAGTGTGGCTGGTTTCAGGAACGGCTTTGCCGCATTCGGGTCACGCAACGTGGCTCGGCCGACAGGCGGCAATTCTAGCTCCACCGAATGACCGCGTGCGCTTGGCTCAGTTGGAATTGTAAATAAGGGGAATGGCTGCCTTCGTTCTGACACGTGGCATTCAATTCGCTGAAGACAGAGTTGAGCAAGGGAAATCAGGACACTTCATGCATCAATGCCTACCTTTAGTCTGAACTGCTTTGCGACAGCTGGCAACAGCCGGCATCGAACCAAGGCTTCCGGCCAACGCGTGTTGTTGTTTATGTTGGGATGAGGTTTGCGAGCAGCAGGAGATGTTGATACTGGTGAACTAAGGTCGCTGGTCTTCTCCTTGGAATCTTTTCTGATCTACAGTATGGAATGTTTCTTCTTTTGTGAAGAAGAAGATAAGTTGTTGGTTGAGTCAACTCCTAACTGAAAGCTCGCTCGTGAAGCCAGACCCAGCTTTAGTCTTAAGCATGGAGAACTTCGGAAACATGCTCTTTGGGAAAGAGTCCTTTTGTAGTATCATGTTTATGAGAACTGGCAATCTACGATTTGTTGCTGTTTGTGTCTTGGAAATGAGTATCTGAGCCACTGAAGGATTACGACCAACGCGGTGATATCTCTCACAACAATGCTTTCAACGTGCAAGAACGATCATTGGGATTATGTTTCTGGATTTTTAAAAAGGGAAGACAGAGTACGGATATCCTCAGATCTTCTGAAGCGGCAAGAACTATCTTACCTCGTTCCTCGTCAAAGAGCAACTGCCTCGTCAGAGACTTTAGCGGACACATCTCAATAGCTACTTCCTCCTCGATGCGAGACTTCACACTTTGCACTTACCACAATCTTCTCAAGCTTCACACTGACTATATCTACTGAGACTCTACAGTTGCCGCGTCTTCTTGCCCTCTTCGCACTTTCTCAGTACACGTCGTGGACCTACGCCGATCTTAGCGTCACGATCTTGCCTCGCAAACTCGTCGAAACTGTCAACCCTTCCACTTTTGAGTCTCCAAAACAATTCTTTCCATTCGAAGCAAGCCCGGCTTGTTCTTTCCTGAAGGGCCGCATACTTGCCGTCTTACACACAGCACATTGGCCCTTCCTCAGTCGCAACCTGGCCAAAATCGCAACATCATTGCGAACCAAGTTCCTTCTTCCAATAAATCTCTAACTATATCTTTCTATTTCTAGTGCCCATTTCGGAAAATCACGACGTTTCTCACTACAATGCCCAATATCGTACCTATCGACAAACCTGGCAGCATCTCGGCTCATAGGGAACCTCCCAAAGCATCAAGTAACCTGAAGGTGATTTCAGGTCCTCCAGATCATACGTATCATGGCTTACCAAAAATACAGAGTGTCCGCGGCGCATCGGCCAAGATACCTTCCCGCAAGCAACTCCTCTCGTCACGCGTTAGAGTCGGACCGAGGCCTGGAGTCAGACCCAAGCCTGGTAATCACATCAAACACAACTCATCGAAGGCTCAGGCGGTTGAGATCCGAAAGGTGGCTCCAGTTCGGAAGGTGGTCACCGGGCAATCTGGTAATCATCTCAGAGCCAAGCTTTCCAGCAACCTGACGATCACCAAACCCATTGGCAACGAGGCGAAGGTGGGAGACAAGAGATCACACGCCGAAGTCTCTGGTTCCAAGGTCGGTTCGGCCAAAGCTACGACAGCCCAGGTCACCGAGTCGCCGAAGCCGAAGAAGACGAAGATCGACAGCGTTGGTCACAACGTGGACCGCCCCAACAAGGCAATGGACAACCGCAAGCACGAGGACATTGTCACCGCACTTGAGTTCGCGGATTGGTGCTTCAAGGCGGATGCCGCGGGGTTCATTTTGTCCCACGAGATCAAAATGCAGATCTGCAGCAACCTTACCGTGCCGGGTTCAACAACAGAGGAGTACATGACCAATCTCATGTCGTCTCAAAAGTTCCAGGAAGTGGCCAAGCGAGCCTTTCGGATCTTCAAAGGAGAAGAGCCAGTTGATGATGCTGTCATTGTCACCTTCGTTGTCGCCGATTCGACGAACCCTGACGGCCCAACCTCCAAAGCATGGGTCACGGCTCAACTCGTTGCATGTCTTGCACCAGAGATGGACTTTAAATGGAGAAAGACGGGGATATACCGAGGATACAAGCGGCTTCTTCGGTACCTTCAAGGTTGCAGGAATGATGAATACGCGTTCGACCCTGACCTAGGAACTGTCCTTCTTCGGAAGGCCCGCGCTGGCGAGGGTGTTAAGACGCTGAACCCTCTCAAGCCTACAACGGAGTCGACAAATCACACTTCCGTCAAAACCAAGCCGCTCGAACAGGCGCCGGAAGCCATCGATCAGTCTGAGCATCTCAAGCAATCCAGCAACATCAAATCTCTGCCGACGCATCTTCGCAAGGACAAGGCAACAAATGCCTCAGTTGCTAGCGGACCGCCTCGCGAGAAAGTACTTGAGTGAAGTGTGTTCGCCAATTTTATACGCTTTGCAAGTATAACGACGAAGGCTAGTTGATCTTTCTGGGAGAGGGGGCAAACATTCTTGTCGAGGTTCTTCCGAATAATTATGGCGTCCATACGGGGACGTGAACAACGAATTTGGAGTATGCGACGCAAGGCGCTCTTACGGTATGAAACAAGAGTATCGATGGCCGCGATGGCTTTACATTGCGCAGGGCTAGTTTGAGGCCATGATTGCTTGGTTAGAAGTGCGTAAGCTGCGCACAATCGGGGGAAGGCGTAGTGAGGTAGTCTTCAATGGAATTTGCTCAACAGATCTTCGAATTGAAAGATGCATTTGCTCAACTGAGCAGCTTTTAGAGAACTTGGCTGCATAGTGTGTTACTATCTCCTGTCTCCTTTTGTGATCACTTCGGTCGTTTACACATTGAAGCGCTCCTCTCAACTTTCCATAGCACATGATCCCCATCAACCACATTCTTACGACCTCAGGATGCGTTGTCCTGAATCATAGGCTGCAATGGTTCGAGCCGACCCCCTTGAGATTCTGCTTCTCGCATTCTCTCCTCCGCGCGAGCCAAGTCCTCGGCACTCAAGAGCCGCAGCCAGCAAGAGAAATACGACCCTAAGCCTGTGACTCTTCCATGCCCAGGAGGGCTCGCGAGGCCCAAGTGCGCGAGTCTGTGTCTGTCCCACACCGCGAATCCCAAGGACCGATATGGTTCGAAACCCGCATACTTGATCGGTGAGTGCGCACCCCTGCCCATGCTGTCCACGATCCAGAGACTATCCGTCGGCATTACCAGGTGCGATCTTCGCATCATAGCGGTATCTGGCGTTCGCATTGTTGCAGGTCTGAGATCCTTTAGCGACGACACCGGCGGCAACGGTAACGAATCGCGACGGCTTAATCCAGCGCCGCTCTTCCCGTCTTCCAAGGTCTGGAGGTAGTCGAGCACCGTCATGACCTCATGATACGCGGCTTTGAGATTGCTCGTTCTGCTGTCGTAGAAGCTCTCAAGGTCCAGACTGGCGCCGCACTCCGGGTCCTCAGGCGGACAAAGAACATCCGAAGTCCGCGCCGCCTGTCTCAGCTCGAGGACGAGTTGCACACGCCAGAGTGCCCTAAGAACCCGCTGTTCTTCCAGCCACGACGCGTTCTCCATCGGTTCTTCTCTAGACAGCCACTCGACACGCCCCATTTCTTTAGCAGCCGCCAGCTGCCGGAGGTAGTGCTCGATGCACGACCGGCTCAAGCAGTGGACCTGAGCCGCCGTCCTGAGCACGGCTCGCAAGACGCCGAGGGAGGGAACCTTGGTGGAGTCTCTCGTCGGGAGGTCGTAGCCCAGCTCTTCGCTCTTCCCGAGGACGATGCCCCCTTCTCGGTCCTTGATCTTGCGAATGATGTCGTTCAGGTTCGTCTTCTGGAAGGCGCCGGCGCGAAGTTGTATGATGAAGCGGATGATGTCTTGGGTCTGCGATGGGATCGTGCTCTCGGAGATTGCGGGCCAGAAGATCTCCTTGCTGTAGTGGTTGAAGATGCGGTATGAAGCTGGCGATGAGATGAGGAGGTTCCACACGCAATGGAAGTCGTCGATGTGCGTGAGGATGTGAATGAGGACCTCCGTTGGGAGGTTTTCGAAGCGTGAAGTTGGATCCATACTTTGATTCTATCTCGTACGGGTTTGCCTTGTGGTAGAGAGAAAGACAATACTGATGTTATCGATTCAAATGTGTGAGGTAGTTGGCTTGAAGTTAGGTGTTGATGAGTCGTGGACGTTCGACCCCGCATTCCGCCCCTAGCTAGGTACCTCGGATTCCGACTCAATTACAGCGAAAGACAAGGTTCCCTGTACCACTGCAGATCCACGTTGTGTCTTGACGTCAATCATTTTCATTTCAACCTTCAAGACAACGAACGATAGCTTAGCTCCTTTGTCATCAAGATCCCTGCCCTTCGACCTGGAGGTTGAGGCCATTCACGCCACCACATACGCCTGGAAGTTTATTAGGACGAAGATTTATTCTTTCAGGATGTTAGAATGCTTAAATTTTATCCGTTGGGTATGGCTACATGTCTGAGAGAGCAAAGTGGATGAGTAAAGGTAGCTAGCTGCCTTGTATTGCGCAGCGAATTGCAATTGCTAGCTTCTTGTTGTTCTTCGCCTATAGGTTTTCAGGTTGCCCAGCCTTGGGAAATAGGAGAATAACGAGCTTATTATAGCTGACTTAATATCACTGGAATCTGGTAGAAATGCGTGCTGCTGACCGAGAACGACTGAATTCACACTTCTGTATGCCTAACTTCACCCAACTGCTGCATATTGAGACTCTGAATGTTGAGTATCAATGATTTGATTACTGGATCACACCAATTTCTTCGAAGACTTGAACTTGGAATGGCATCTACTGCTATTTAGTGCGGCGCGTTGATTTGAGAGAAGTTTCAATTTGAGATTCAGAAATGCTTACGTTCAGCTTGCCGTGAGTGTCATCCAGTCCAAGCAGCCAACCTTGCCAATTTCTTACAATAAAACAACATCGCATCTAATCATCATAACATTTAATCTAATTAATGTATCAAAAATTGTCGGTTTCTATGTCATCGAATAATTGTGATTTTCAACAGTCTCGTATTGGCGTTGCGGAGTGAAGGGCTGGACCCCCATGCAGTCCCAGCTATAACACGTGACAGCTCATATGCAGTTTGCAGACACGAGTGGCTTTGTAAAGAACGAGAACTGGCAATGGCAGGTATGACTCGTAGGTGTTGGTTCAAAGTTATTGATCGTATGGTCGGAAGTTTGATGCTTGTTATCTGACCTTGATCCAGTTTTCGTCAAAAGTAATCTGTGCTTTTATTCCTCTGGGCAACCAACTTCATGCATTTTCCGATAAGTTCGGAATCGTCGTGCTTCTGTGAGGATGGCGCAGCACACCAGCCACTTCTGACCAGGCGAAGATCCTCGAGTTCAGAGACATGTCACTACACGTGATTGTTTTGTACGACGAGTCCGACAGACTCGGACTCGGTAAGAGTACGAGATGTACGAGAATACCGGCAACTACCCACTTTGAGGTATTCACCCTCTTGATTATTGATCAAGAGGTATATTACTGAGAGACTGCGCCGTCATAGTTTGCTTCTGGCTTCGTACACCGTTCCATCAGATTTTAGCCATTTTCAAGCATTTGAAAGTGTGGCCCCTGAGCCGTCCACCTAGACTGTGAGAGACACCATCCGAACATCTCGGCAAGCCGTACACAGCGCACACCCTATCGACTATCCGAAACAACAGAAGACGAACGGGGCTGGTGGCCAGCCAGCACGCAACGAATGGCTTGAAGTACAAGCGGGCCAGCCATCGACAAACCTGTCCATGGCCCTTATGACGCCACCTGAACGTTGGTCACCTTCGCTTTCCATCATGGTCTGCCACGGCTTTTGATCAGAGGGAAATGGCACGAAACGGGCAGGAAAATTTCTGAGGCGGTCTAGCAAGCCCTCCCATCTCCGAATCACCATGGTCGACCGTAAGAGCGAGGCAAGACTGGAGGTAAGGAAGCTCTACAGTATATCCCCAGATCTACGTCGAAGACGAGCGCGCCCTCCACTCGGGCCTCCCTCTGAGCTTTCTTGCTAATTTCGAATTCGCAGATCCGTCAGAATGACGAAGGCCCTTGACTCTTCGATATCGCTCATGATCGCTGAAGTCTTCGAAGCTAGCACGAGAACTCGCTAGACCATCTCGACCTCTTTTTCGACATGACCTCCTCCAATCGACGATTCGAAGTCTTCCGACCGACGAAACAGTGTTCTGCGAGCTGCTTGAGAATATGTTCGACAGCTAGAGACATTCCACTGCGGGTAACGACAGTATCTCTCCATGGTTCAGTGGCCCGGAAAGTACATATCACTCGACGACAATCGTGAGCATACTTACTATTCATCAACTCAAATGCTGGCCATAGTGAAATGGCATCGCCGGAATAAAAAGAAGAGCGAGGACGTTGCTGCAAGTTTCCACGAACAAGAACAAGGTCGGGAAGAAGTTGAGGATTGGTTTGCCTATTGATTCGCCTTCGGAATCATAGTTGGGGTTGGGTTGATTAGGAGCTTATCCAAAGCCATTCAACGTCCTTGTCAGAAACAGACCGCCCTGGGAGACCTGGGAGTCTACTTTTGTGGTAGACAATCATGTACAAGATCATGGAGTGGTAACACATTGTATGGAGGAATGTGTTCCAGGGTCAGGCATTGTGAATGGTCATCGCAAATGAGTAGTCAGGGAGACACGTTGCGCTTTTGCCATATGCAGTTATAACAAACTTACACAGTCAGCTACCATCTGTTACAGTTATCAAATACCACACGCGTTCAAATCACACATGGTTCTATGCACTGCCGAAGCTCGTTTGTCACGGACACATATCGCTGAATTCCATTGTAGGATCTCTGATCCACGCGCGGTGCTCGTCGTCTAGCAATCCATACGTCTTTCCATAGAGGTTACTCGACCAAGCGTCCAGCCACCACTGACTGGGCAGCTGCTTAAGAAGCATGCAAAAGTACAAGAAAATGACCAAAGCCTTTTGCCTTGATTCTCGTAGCAGTGGAAGAAAATCATCCGCAACCATCGCAATCCAAACAAACACGTCTGTAATGTCCTGTGGCTCGGTGCACTCGTAGAAGACTCCGTACGACTTGTAAAGCTCGTTGATCGCATGGTTGTAGATGGCAAGAAGCCCATCGTCTCGCTCCGAGGCGTTGATGTTCGCCTCAAGATCCCCGAGGTGCGTGTGGTGGTACGGCCTTTCCCGGGTCTGGAAGTGTCTCGTCGTTCGTGTGATAATAGGTGAAATCAGTAGGTTGTCGTTCGGCTCTCCCACAAGATACCGGGTCCCGCAGAACAACACAATCCAGTCCGGCGACTGCTCCACGCCGGCCAGCGGCGCATCGCTCAAATGCTGAGAATTCGCAAGCACTGTCAAGGAAGCACAAATTAGTTAAGGATCTCCTCAAGAACCAATAAGTACTTACCAATGTAAATGGTCAGCACGGAGAAGATGAACAACTGTGCTTTGTTGCTCTCATGAACCTCCTGCATCAACCCCACTGCCGTTCTGGAAGACATCTCGTGGTGGGCCATAGACTTCTGCAGAAGGTAGTCTTTTCTCTCCGGACACAGATGTCCCAGATGAAGTGCTGCGAGAGAGAGGACGCTACGCATCACATAATCGCACTCGACCCCTAGTTTGATAACATTCATCCGCCAGAACTCTCGCATCAGCGAGTTTTCTGATAGGGTGTACGCCGTAAAGTTGCAGTAGTGATGCAAAAGCTCGAGGTCGAGAAAGTTCAAGTCTCCTGCGTGTTGCGAAAGAGAGAACATCGGATCCCGAGACGGGGACGAAAGGAAGCCACAGGCCACGCCATGCTTGATGCAATTCTTGCATGCTGGTCGTTGCTCGTCACACTACATTAGGTACGTCAGTCATTTTGTTTCTGCAACTCAAACGACTTTAACTTGGAAATAGTTATCCCGTCGGCTTGCTACGCAGCTTCGACCTTTAGGGGCACGGGCGTGGTGGACTCGGATCCGTAGATTGCAAAGCTCCCGGGTTTCCGAGCCGCACAAGCAAGCAGCCAAGTGTAACATTCTTGATAATAAACAAACGCATAAACTGACCTTAATCTTTCTCGATTTACAAGTTTTGCAACCAGTCCGTGTCTTGGGATGGGATCGTCTCGATAGATTCGACTGCATGTTCGTAGTCTTCGTACTCGGGAGTTGTCCGCGTTTCTCTGGGCGTGTACGCGTACAGTCTCGGGACAGTAGGCAGAACCGCGCAGGATAGAGGTTGGCATCTCTGCAACGAAAATAGCCTCAGTTGGCAGGAATCCTGTACCCAGCCAGAAGCTCGAGAGTGCGAAGTCGTTCTCGGCTGTCAATACAAAGGACATGGAATCTCAAGGGCGATTAATAGAGGGGATGCATAATCCACACCGAATCCGCGGAGCCCTTCGTAATATGGTCGTACTCGCACTTCCTCGGGTTTCCCAAGGGGCTAAGCAGGACAGGCTAATTCAATTGGGCAAACCTGGCGCCACATTGGCCTTTTACCTGGCCCAAATCGCCCGCTGATATCCGCTGAGTCATACAATATTGAGCGTAAACAAGGAGGAGGTTCTTCTCCCTATTGCCTTACGGACGGACTACAGGTGTGTGTTGGTCGCCGACTATACCGTAGCTAAAACCCGCCGTCAGCTGCCTCGAACGAGGGATATGCCATCATAATGATACTGCCCATCTGGAATCGTCTGACGGTCATAACTCCGAAACTTAACGGCCATAGCCGTCCAACCAAATCATTGCATACATAACCGTTAAGCTACGGTAGAGCAGGGTCTGAGCGTGTTGAAATCGGCTCGTCTATCCGACCACACCACCTCTTCCAGCTGCAGGGAATCTGCGATCCACGAACGTGCCCAATCTCACGCGTGAGATATGCTAGAAACTCACGAGCAGAAACTGAAGTTCCCCAGGTGTTCGCCTCTTGAGCTAAAGAAAGAACTGCACGCGCCATTGCCTCGGCTTGCTTACCTCTCTTGATCAGCTGCTACCAGAGACGTGAATCTTGGCAGACAGTAAGGCTGCAGCGGTCTGAACCATGAGGCACAACGTCTCATCTAGTGAGCATCACAACACTATTTCGACGCGTCTAGCCTCTTGTGGTAGCGGGACGCGCCATAAGTAAAGACACGGAGAAGTCTGATAGCCTGTGATAGGTCGCTACAGATTTAGTTCGGAGGTTCAGTCGAAGTCTCGAGTCATTGTTGTGCCTACGCGAGACCCCATATCAATCTCTAATCGACGGCCATCTATAAACCCGTGCACAATTTTGGTGGTTTGATGCGGCATTCGCCAGTCTGTGCCGGAGGTCGACCGGGGGCATCGCGCACGTCTAAAGCACGGCCACGTTTGACTGACACCCCCTGGACCGTGAAGCAAGCCACGAGCCACTGACAGAACCTAACTGCCAATGAAGGGTCAGGTTTAAGCAAAGGCTAATCCACCAATTGTGTCAGTGGTCGTTCCGGTTGGAAATCGTGTCAAAAGAGATTGGAGGAAGTATCGATGCCATCGTTCGCTTAGATGGTGGAAAGCTGAAGATGGTGTGTCAAAGCTCGGCCGAGAAATCAGTACGTGCTTGCGACTGGATCATCAGCATCCGGGAATTTGCCAAATCTTGCTGCTGGGCGTGTTTGTGAGTAGCAAGAGCCGGGAACTGTCCAAATGCGGTTAGGTGCGACTGGCCGTGTGTGGTGCTGATCATGGCACTTGTCTTGTTTCTTTTCACGGGATAGAATAAGGTGTTGCTTGATCGATCTCGGGGACCAAGGGCCGTATTACTGAAATTGATTCCGCAAGTATGACCGGTTAGGGTCGACGGCTTAATCGGTCCTTTTGTAACCGAGTCATTTTGCGGGCCAAGGTTTGCGTCGTTTAGTTCATTCAATGCAGCAGTCTAAGAGTAATTCGACCGCAGAATTTGGTGTCTTCGGAGAGAGTCCGGCTGCATATCCGGTGGTTTCCGGGCATATCCGGACGAACGCCGGCCGAGAGTATCCACCTTTATACCGGATGTTATGCAAGTCATTCTTTTCTTCAGCCTAACTCCCCGACACAACTGCTCAATACACTGGCTATAATGAAACTTGCAACAAGGTCCGAGCTCTGAAACCAAAAGGGAACAAAAATGATCTAGCCCGGACTTGAACCGGAGACCTTCAGTGAACCGCAGGAAACATCGTGAAATAACTTCAAGCTGTTAGACTGACGTGATAACCAACTACACCACCAGACCAGTTGATGCGTTTCTCCTTTGTCAAGTCGACTCGATTTTGGACTGCTGGAGGAGGAGTTCGTTGAGATCCGCTCTGGAGGAGTTGTTCACGATGGTGGAAAACATGCCCTAGGTGGAGACATTGGGATCAATTCCCCGCCCCCAATCCCACTTGTATGTACAATTACCAAGCGATTACTATTGGCAAAGGCTGTGGAGGACCTTCGTCCCCGACCACGCAAGCTTGAAGGACTGTCGAGCGTGCTCTGTTGTCGAAGATCGTGGCGGACATAGCTCAGTTGGGAGAGCGTCAGACTGAAGTGGACTCAAGTCCATCAAACTTCAATCAACAAAATCTGAAGGTCTTGTGTTCAATCCACAATGGCCGCATCTTCATCTTTTGCCGTCATGAACAACTGTCGTCGTTGTTGTGAGATACGGTGCTGCTTTTTGGTGGCGTATCCGTACTTAGTTACAAGTTACGCTTTGCCCCAGCCTCCCGAGCTGAACTTCCAGGCCACGGACTTGCCAGATATCTGTACCCAGATGCAATGTGTGTGTTAGTAAGTAAGTATGATCAATTCCTTGGAATAATGGTTTATTACAGAAATAAAAGAAGATTGCGTGGCCATTAATTAACCCAATCACATACCGGACCTGAACAAGGCCAGACGACCGAGCTCTTCCTCGCTCATCAAAAGAAATAAATGGTGCAATTTTGGTGGTTTTATTTAGTTTAGTCAAGTGTGACTAACAACTGTTGTAGTTGCGATGGATATCGCCATTAGTAGGGGCCGGACGAAACCGGTAACAAGAAGCACCAAATAAAACAAAAACATTTAAACGGGAAATAAGGCTACCATTTACTCTAGCGAGATCTCGGTTTGGGTATACTTACCAGATGTAAGCGCCTCTCCATCCATGACACCACTCACATATGCATCGCCGACCAATTCGTACAAACCATTCGTTGTTGGTCTGATGATGAGTGGCACTTCAGAACCAAAAAGCAAACAAACATAATCGCCCTTCCGGCCCTCTCGGGGTATCATACAAAGTCGGCCTTCCGCCGTCGAGGAAAGTCTTCTCGGAGTCGCGGCCGAAAGAATGCTCATCTCAACTGCCTGCCCCGAAACAACGAACCTTATCCTGGCCATTTCCGCCTCTTCCGGGTCCTCAGAAGTCAACCAGACCTCCATGCCGGTGATCATGGTCTTCACATGCCCCGACATGTCGACGTCGATGCGGTCGCTGAGCTGGCTTCTCTCGCACGTCATCGTCTTCCAGAAGGCATCCAGGCGCTCGGCGGACATGTCATTGATATTCTCGGAGCCGCACGCAAGTTTCACGCATTGTCGGTAGTAGTTGAGGGATCTCCAGGCGTTTCTGGAGTGATAGCTGTCGACGAGATGCAGCGGGTGCGGTACTCGCTTGGGCGCCGGCGGGAACGGCAGTTCAGGCCAGAAGATGCCGTCTTCCTTGACCGTGTCGATGATCATACCGGTACACCTGAGGACCTTGTCATCGATGATCTGAACGTTCGGCAAAGCTATCCCACCGGCCGAGAACTTTCCATACCGTACACTGTAGCTCGGCAGGGAATCGACTTCTTGGTTCCTCAGGTCCGGAACCCACGACGGCAACCCGGGCAAGCGCCGTTTCTGCCATCGAATGTACGGGCGAAGGTACCACGGTGCCATGGCGTCGGCAACGAGTTTCTGTGGCGCCAACGATAAGATATTCAAGTTGCGTTTCTCTAGGAGCTGGGATTTGGCGAAGCGTAAGTAGCAGTCTTGGACTGACAATGCGTACAAGTTGTCTTGAGAGATGATGCTGTCCTTTTCGACGTCCGATGCATGTCCAAATATCCCCAGGATATGATCTCGCGGGTCGCTGCAGGCGAATGATCTGGTGGCTTTGACCCCATCCATCAGAGTGACGGGCTTCTTGCCGCGGTACCAGTGGCTGAGGCGCATCAAGGAAAGGTTGTAGAGTCGCCCAGGAATGAAAGCCACTGTCCTGTCGGTAAGTGATCCGTCGTTAGGTAAAGCTTGGATTCCGAACGTCGCCATACGCAACGCAAGCTCTGCCACAGACTCAAACGGCATTTCCAGCTTGCCGCAGTAGAGCACGGTCTTCTCATTGAGAACGGCTTCCTGATAGACCCATTTCCTTTCAAACCAGCTGTGATTCAGCAACGACCGAAGAGGCTTCCAGTCCATGCCCTTGGTAGTCGACTTTCCCTCATCAAAGCGTTCGGTATTGCGTTGGCCAAGCAACTCTGCGCTCTCCCTGTTCTTCTTGGGGTCATCCACGACTTCCGGGATGAATCCCAGAGCCTCTTCAACCAGTTCCGTTACCCCATCGAGGTCCTTGTCATCGCTTCCCAGCCAGATCAAAACAGAAGCAGCCCTGGAGTAGATCTCGGTCATCCGAGCGATCTGATGCGTCTTCTCCTGGGTGTTTTGTTGATCAATGCAGATGGAGTCCGCCCACAGAACAAACTCTTCGTCGGGCCGGCGCCAGCGCTTAAGTGCCTCGAAGAGAGTCCTTGTGATCTGCATCTCGCCGTCGTCGCATGTGATGTAGGCATGGTCTCTGAGGTCGCCCCAAGCGTACGACACGGCATGATACGGCGCCGGGTCGTCAATCGAGACGGTGGTGAGCTTCACCCGAACCTCTTCGCCATCTCGCCCCGGAAGGAGATGGAGCTGCCGGAAATAGCCCTCATCAAGCCGGGCATGTACGTATCGGGGACGTCGCCGGATTAGCCTCTTCACGCGGGACAACAGGTCGCGGCATGCGTTGGGGACGAACGCGTAACAAACAAGGGGTGCCGCAAGGACAAGCGTTGCCCCGAGCGTAAAATGTCGTAGAGGGCCATTGCTGAGGCTGTCGATGAATAGCATTTCAACTAACACGAGTGTCCCGGCCGGCTGGGTGCCCAGCTTGGACATGGGACTCCTATCTTTGCGCGCTTTTTGTCTCCGTCAGCAATCCGGCTCACCCCTGGAATTTGCGGAGTCGTGATTCAGACGAACGTGGCCGCGGATCCGAATCGGCATTTGCATTGGCCAATCAAATGTTTCTTGCCGGGCTGAAAATACCCACCACCTCCAATTCACATGGCGTCCAGACAGTCGTGTTCGGCATCGCAAGTTGGAACTGGACTGAATTTGGTAGTGTAAGCGCCAATGACATGAAAAACTAGAAGTCTAATCAAACTTCAAAAATGGCGTTATCTTTTCAATCTAACTTCTAGCAGTTCAGTTGACTGTTTCTATTCCCGCAGTACTGGTGTACAGGGACATCCGATCTCGCAGCAAACATGGCAGTAATGGGTTCGTGTTTCTCGTTTGGAGGCCGATAAAAAGTCACAAGCTCCGGAAGGTGGAGGACATAAAAGGGAGTGCCATCATCCCCTTCCCGTGAAGATTAATTATCAGCATCATGTGGAATGATGGCTAAGCTCCCGGGGAGGAACACCGACTTGCCTAATTCATGATTGCTTGTATCGTCGACTGATGACTCAGCGGAATTCCCTTGCGCGCAAATAGCCATCCTGGGAAGTTGTGTCGCGGGTACACGAATAATGCAGCTATTAATTGTTAAGCTTTGCCCCTGTCATGGGGTTGTGACATGGATTCCAACAATCTCCCTGCGTCATTATGCCCCATTGCCTTTCTTCTTGCATGCCAACGGAAATATTTGCCGTAAGTTCTCCTGAGAAGTCATGTAATGTGTAGGAGCGGGCACGTGGAGAACAATACTTGAGAATGAATATGAGACTTCACAGCATTTTTTAGCAATGCTGATCGTTTACGCCAGAGCTCAACCGAAGCAACGTCGGCCATCCGGATGAAGGAACAAAAAGGAGAATTCACATTGATACTGACTTGGGTCTTGTCAGTAGCCGACCGATGGTATAGGTCCTGCACTTTTGCCTTGGTGACTCCGGAGCCAAGAGCTGCGGATGCAATGAGGTCGAAGCTACTCAAAGTTCAGCAGCGGCGTTTCCGTCAGTAGAGGACATCTAGTTCCAAATCACTCCGAACGCTTCCTGCAATCGGGCCTTCTCAAAGCACGCGCAAAATCGCGTCTATCGCGCGTCCTGCTGCAACAAGGTAACATGCCATTCGCGTGACCCCGCGATGAATATTTTTAGCTTGCCCAGACTTGCACACGGCAGATCTTTACCGGGCCCAGAGCCTTGGTAGCCTATGGCTTTCACTTGTTCGGGGCCTTGTGGGTGAGCAATTTCAAGCAACAAGACGGTTTCCCCACGCCCGATTATTGCCCCGGAGCGACCGTTATCTGGAGCGTGATGACATTCTTAGCGCCCGTCTTCGCTTGCAATTAGCCCAGTAGGCTAACAAACAAGCAAACCAATTGAAAGACAACAAAATCCGCGTCAAACTCCCGAATCCCGTACCGTCTAGATACCGGACGGAGTAGCCCGTCCTCTGAAGGGCAGAATGGGTCAGAGGAACAACGAGCAGACCTATGCTCAATCATTTAGATTGAGTGGGAAAATTGATGGACATAGATAGGTACAGATAAGCAATCTGTAACAAGGAGTCCATATCTATTGATTATGAGGCCAAGAATATCAGTGTTGGATCAAGGCAGTGCCGTGTTTCAGCGCCAAGCGAGGGATACTATGACGGCGGTCAATCATCAGACGACCAAAGACTCTCGAGAGCCATAGCTTCTACTTCGCCACCGGACGGGGTCTTACTATTCATATCATATCAACGCACGGAAGAAAATAACCCAACCACGAGAAGTGATTCGGTTCATCAATCAAGTGAAAACGAAATCATAACTGGGATACCGACGGGATGGACTCAACGGGTAATCACTTGGCAGCGAATTGTTTTGCTTGTCATGAACCCAGATATTTCCTCACTGAGAAACCCGTTTTAGTTGACCATTCACTGCCCCGGGTGGTTTTCTGCTTCTCGCGTGCTCCTGTCGTGTGGAGAGGGGCAGGCAGTACACTACGCATAATGCCCCTCTCGTTGTGTTGGGGATCCATTTCTCCAGTCTGTCATCAGCCCTACAGGGTCTGCTTCTCGAAGCTCGCTTAGATTAGCTTCTTGTTGATGATTATTTGCCCTCGGCAGTGCCAGAGATGGACGCGGCCAACGTCAGGTGTCAGATGATACGCGCAGTTGATTCTGCGAGACCACGCATCTAGCGGTCGCTCCGACCGCCTAGAAGTGCATTCGTCTCAACTGGGTGATGATCTACCAACAGACAGCGTGATACCCCTTTCCAGCGTTGTATTCTTCAAAAACAAAGTTCTGTCTAGCAGCATGACGTGGGGAGAAAAGCGGCCCGTCAGCCCAGAAATAAACTCATCCCTGCCCATACCAACAACTCGTTCGTCTCTTCTCCATGTTCACTATCAACGCCAGGCACAATTGTTCCTATTCTCTGGGAAGCTTGGATGGACTTGACAACGGCCCACGGCATGACCATGGGGGGAGCTGTCTTCAACCTGAGACAAACGTGGTGGGCAGTTGATCTAGTCGTGCCTATATCGAAGCAATAATAGGACTCAGCGCAGATATCGTGAGTAATGTGAGCATCGTGTATAAGTACAGATGGTTGAGAACACCATGAATGTTTCCATCAAGAGTCTGTCTCTCACCACATCCTTCGTTTCTATCAACCACAGTCGTTCTCTTTGAACTTTTCAGTCTTTTATCTTGTCCTTCTTTTTTACCATCATGCCTTCCGCTCTCTCTTTCAAGCACCTTCTCTTGGGTGCAAGCCTGCTACCGAGCCTGGCTTTCTCTTCTCCAGTCGCCAACCCGGGCCGAATCGAAGTTCCCGCTGCCCTCGAGTCCATCGTGCCAGACATCATCCAACATGGACCTCTGGATGATGCAGCGCTGGAGCGCCTGCAAGAGTCTCTCACCGCGAGCACGCGCCCAACTCCGACGCCAAAGCCCGAGAGAGTCAAAAGGCAGGCGACTAGCACAGCTCAGGGCTCGCTCACCATCGCAACCAGCGACGCTTTTGTCTCCGTGGACGTCGGCGACATCAACCTCATCGACAACAACCCGGCCAATTGCCACTCTCAGACCTTGAATGGCCCGATCCAGGCACTACACACTTGGATGGGCTCCACCAACGTTCGTGCGATGAACATTACTGCCTCCGGTGGAAACACCACCGCCATTACTTCTGTAAGTTTACACTTAGCGTCTATCATAGACATGTTCTCTAACTGATCTTCCATAGAAACTCGACGAACCATTCGATGCCGGAGCATTCACCTTCGACAACAACGAGCGCATCAAGGAATTCTGGATCCTGGAGAACCGCGGCTCTTTCCTCGGCTTCAACTTCACCACCGCCAGCGGCAAGACATACTCCGCCATGGCCCAAACGATCCGCGACCCGCCTCCGATGGTCAAGGTCCCCATCGGCTCCGGCATCCTCGGCCGCATGCGCGTGCAGTACTGCGACATCGGTCTCATCGGCCACGTCGGCTGGGACTTCATCGATGACCTGCAGTCCGTGAGCATCAGCAACCTCGCCTACTCCGGCTTCACCGACAACATCATGCCCTCCGGCCCCGGCACCACCGTCACCGTCGGCTCCCAGATCCTCGACAACCGCAACTCCAGCACGGAGCAGATGATCACCATCCAGACTACCGACGCCGTCACCAAGTCGCACACCATCAGCGTCGCCAACCAGTGGCAGGTCGGCGGCAAGGTTGCGGTCGAGGCTGAGGCTGGTATCCCCTTCATCGGAAAGACCAAGGTTACGACTGAGTTCAACTGGCAGGTCGGCAAGACCACGGTAAGTCTTCGCTCACCATCTGTTGTGTAACCCAGATCCTGTGCTGACTATGTGTTACGCAAAGACCGAGGATGACATGCAATCCGAGACGTTGACCAAGTCGTCTACCGTCAACCTCAAGTGCCCCGCCAAGAAGTACTGCGTGGGCTCATCCTTCTACACCAACTTCAAGATGGACGTCGACGTCGAAGCCACCTTCCGCGCTAAGACCAAGTCTGGAAAGGAGTTCTTCTGGGTGCAGAAGGGCAAGTACTCCGGCGCTGACTCCCTCGCATTGCAGCTGCAGGTTGATGAAGCTGACGGCGTGATCGGCCGCCGAGTCTCGACTGTCAGGCAATTTTGATACCCCCACTTTTTCTTTTGCAAGAGCTGCTGGCAGGAACATGACAACCTACCTAGAGTAGAGTAGAGCGCTGTACTTTTATCCCCTTGACTGGGAGGTGCGATGGACACGACATTCGTTTTTAGGACACATGATTGGCACGAGACAAACACTCTTTTGATGATAGAAACACGAATTTTTGAAATTTGACCGTTCGATTTCGAGCTCACACTTCCATACTTTTAATTTTATACCCTGAGTCGGTGATTCGTGGCCGGTGCCGGTTGAAGTTGGTAGTTGAAGCCACGTCGTCAATCCGGTCCCGTTCAGAGGATTTCTCATCGTGCAAGCATTGTGATTGAGCTTTGAAGTCCTGAACCACCAGCTTCTGTATGCAGTTCATCGAAGGATATTCAAGATCTTACGTCATTGGTAGCACTAATCGTCGTCCGATAGGCGTCTTACTGTCAACTGACAAGGCAGTCTAGGGCTTCAGGACTTCGGCAGTGGTCGGTGATCGACAACGTCAGCCCAACAAATGTCTACCACCATCCTTATTATTTGCTGGCCTTGTCCAGAACACCACTGGACTCTTGAGTGCATCAGCAAGTGTGACCCATGAAGGATTGTGGCTCCCTCCAACAGCATGGAGTTGCCGTCACAAATTTTCATTCTTCAGAGGCGCGCGAGTCTGCTCCGGGCGCGGTACCCGCGTCGTAGAAACGTCATGTCATGATAAGAACGGGCAATTGTGTTCGAATCTTTGGATAGAAGCTTTGCTCCAGACCTTTCTACCAACCTCAGCGATTGCGAGATTCGTTCTCATCAACGTGCAGTACATGTCACCCTCCGGGCTCAGGCGAAGCTTTGTCTTAGTCAACTGAACCCCAATGTCCATCCTCTCTGACCTTTCTCCGGGTCTCTTTCCAAGAGACCCCGGCACATTCGAATGCCAAACCGCACGAGCACCAGATTACTATGGCCTTGGCAATCGGCTGGGAATCTACTTCGCCTGGGGTAACGCCTACATCGCCAACACCATGCTCGCAAGCGAGATCGCCGGCGCATCGGACACGAACAACATTTTCCTTCTCGTCATCCTCATCGCCATGATCAAGTGCAGCAGCGCAGGCATGCTGACACACATTGACGGTCTGATTCTCATGCACCTCAGCGGCGGTTTCCTCTTCGGCACGCTCAGCATGTGGGGTTACCGCACCCGGCAGTATTTCGACAATGGACCGCAGGGTATTCGCTTCTTCGGCGGCTTCGGGACGCACTCGAGACTCATCGTGAGCTGCATGATCAGCTCGTATGGGCTTTGGTATTGGATGTATGGAGTGGTGGGTGGTCTTGTTCATATGGGCAGTCCTGAGGAGACTGGCGACTTGGAAGTTGACCCGCCTAATCCCCCAGAATGCGAAACGCTGTACACATTCATGTTTGCCAAGGTTCGGGCGGACGGTGGTATTAGAATCTTTTACATCATCATGTGTATCGGCTGTATCATCTACTACGGAACCATGCTTCTCATCTCTAGTATTGCCGGCTGGGCTCGGGCCACGAGGATGCTGTCCCTATTCAAGCAAAAGCGATGGGCCGAGTCGTCCAGGTTGAAATTTGCGACGGGTTTCAAGTATAGAGAGTAAGTCGTTACCTGGGCTGCAGGGAGTTTGACTTCACATGCTGACGCTTTCTCTCGCAGGCTTGAAGTCCTCTTTCGATGGCTGCGCTGGCTCAACCTAGCCTTCCTCATTTACTCCATGCTTCTCGTCGAGTTCACCCTCAACTTCAATCACGTGAACGCGGTACTGGGTGGTCCACACAATAACGAACTGCACCTTCCGGCCCAACTTCTTCCTCTACTCATCGGATCTTTTGGCTTCGTACGCACCTGCTACCTCCTCTTTGAATCCTGGCGGTCACCTGAAGACATCGATCCCTCTCTCTCAGCGCCACCGACCCCTGTCGCAGCACGAACAATGCACACCCGCGATGTGTTGTTGCTGTTTTCGCCGGCCATGGCTCGGAGACCTACGACGTTTCACGACCCCGATGAGATTGACAAAACTGCGAAGCAGAGAGGGTGGCCCGTCCGGTACTTGGTGGCATGGCTGCCTTGGTTAAGTCTTCTGGGATTCTTCCAGGAAAGACCCGCTCTAGAAGATAGAAAGAGACACAGCAAGGGCAGCGAAAACAGTGAAAGGGTTGATTCTAAGACCTCGGCCGAGTACAGAACCCGACGGTCAGTGAGTCGAGGGGTCTGATAGGTAGGCCCCGGATGGGGCATAAGGGCGCAAGAAAATCATGCTACCTCGTCAATTTTTGGGAGCGGGACTGGAAAACGGGGACTCTTTGAGTGTATAAGTTTCACATAAGAGGACTATGTATTGATATCTTCTGTATTAACACAATCGACAAATGAGTCTCCTCCTTCTTGAGCTCAATAGCTGTTCCTCATTGATGTTTATATTGCAGAACCTACCTATTCATCTGAACTTATAGGCATCGGCGCCGGATGCGTGGATGGTTGATACGCGGATGGCTATCTCCCATTTCTGTCTCGCATGCTTCGGGATCCCATGATCCTGATATAGTAATCGCGATGCCAATAGATCAGCAGGAAGATCTCAGTAGCAAACCTGCTCAATGGATCTCTGCATTGTTGTCATTCTTGTCGTTGATTTTGTCGTTATAGTTGTTGCTGTTGTTATCGTTGCCGTCGTCCATCATCACTCAGTGTCTCTCCTTGTTTATTCCGTGCAAGTACACGTATACAATGAATAAGACTTGAGCCTTTTGTCAACCTAGCGAGAGGAGGGCATTCACGATTGCAGATGGTCCGCTCCGCCTAGTATAACTATATCATCTTTACTGTCTCCTTCACTTCTCGAGATTTCCTTTCCGCCTTATGGAGCCGACCGAGGAACGCTTGTGTGATAAGGACACTCCCAGTATCAACGCCTCAAGGGGCGCGGCAATGAACCACGCAAATGAGGGGTCTGGTAGGTAATACGATTGCGGTTCCCTCTTTGGGGTGTTGTGAATGTTGGGAGAAGTGGTTCTAGGAGCGGTGTACGTATTAGTTGAAATTTCTTTTTAAAATTTTCTTATATTTAGACCGTTTTATATCCCTGGAAACTCGCAGCACTCGGGTCTTTTAGGAGGTACCCGGGGAGTGGTGTACAAATTGACGGGACCATCGACATTTCTCGCGTTGATGCTTAGAACATTGATCCATTCTCTTTCTTCATTTTCAAGCTGTCCTTCTCAGAGGTCCTTTCGGGGTAGTCTTCCCTCTTGGGCCACGGCCACCATCCCTCCATCGGCATGCCGTCGTACACGGCGTTGAAATTCTCCATCGGCTCCAAGCGTTCAAACTTGTACTGGTAGTAAGCCTTGGGGTAAGGCGAATAGTGAACGGCCCATGCAGAGTACACCATTTCGGGCTGCAGATCCGAGAGTCGGAACTGGGCGAGTGCCTTGAGGTCCCTTGCGCAGACGACCAACTCCGCCGCCCAGTTCGGATCATCACCCAGCTGCGAGAGGTAGTACAGGCGGCAGCATTTCCAGCCGTCTTTCTTGAGAAGATTGATGTCGGTTGCATCATCGACGCGGGATGCCTCGAGACAGACGTTTGCCTCGCTCCAGTGGAAGCCCTCTCTCATCAGACGGGGCATGTCTTTGACTCGGGCCAGGAGCTTGGCGTCCCACTGCAGGGCCGCTCTGAATGTGTCGCCTCTGCGGGATGGGATGGGTCGGGTGGCCATGTTCATTCTGAGCTTATTTGGCAACGATTGCCATTCTTCGGAGAGGAGGAGCGCAGTTTTCGGTCTTTGCAGTAGTGCATCGTATGATGGTGGCTGCTCCAAGCCTTCGGCGGGGGACGTTGTTTGATTGTTCATGGTGGTAGAAGAATGTTTCAACCCGGAGGTGCGTGATGTTGTGATGGAGATGTGTTTCGCGAGAGAGGTGTTGACGAGGATGAGGAAACGGCTTGTCAAATAAGAAAGGGGTGAGTCAACGGAGATTCCCTGAATACCTTGTGGGAAAGATTATCAGGGTATCGCCAAAGTCAATCAAGCTTTGTGGGAAGGATTGGGAGGCTGAGGTGGAAGTCAACCTTTTCCCAGCTAAACCTGGCGGTCACCTTGTTCAAATCTGACCAGGAGGGTGCTCGAGAGCTACGTTGCCCGGGATTAGGTCTCCTAACACATGCGACAAATCAACGGGAGCTGTCAATTTGAATACCAGCCCAGCTCAAGAAAAAATGCTATCACTATCTCCAAACGCCACAATGCAGCCCATGCAACCCCGATCCCTAGAAACAGACTCCTCCCGGCCCCGAGTCCTCAGTCTGACATGTTCATCAATCCACAGCACTCCCGACCAAAAGGCCGACTATCTTTTATTCCACGTCTTAACAACTTCCTCCTCCCCCGAGCACCAGCACCAGCTTCAATCCTCCCCCAAGCTCTCCCTCACACACGCCCGACACCTCCTCCGGAAGTCCTTGTTCTTGCCCTCGCGCTCCTCGCGGAACATGCGCGCGGCCTCGACGTTGGCGGGCGACTCGTCGTTGGGGCCGTGGAAGAGGCTGATGGTGCTCAGCAGGATCGTCTCGGGGCTCTGCACGGGGCTCCAGCGCTCCGAGGCCGCCTCGTACCCGTACTGGTCCTCCTCGGGCGGGTGCAGGATCGAGATGCACAGCCGCCCGTTGGCGTAGATGTTGGGGTGGAACGGGATCGGCGTCTGGAAGGTCAGGGAGGGCGGCATCAGCGGGTAGTTGGGCGGGAAGACGAGGCGGGCGCGGAAGTTGCCTCCTGGTGGCGCGACGATGGTTAGCGTTTGTCGAAGATAGGAGAATCATGACAGAGAAGGGAGAAGCCAGTGTCGTTTGCAGATGGGAAACGTACCGCCGTAGTATTTGCAATCGTCGCTGATCATGAGCATGACCTCCCACTCGAAGATGTTGTTATCGTTGACCAGACCGCACGAGATGCCCGGGATGTCCTTCCCCGTCTGCATCTCCTTGAGCTGTCGCTTCAGCAGCGAGGCCGCCGCCGCGGAGGTCGAGGCCATTGTGTATGTGTGTTTGCGCTTCGGTGTGGCAATCGTCGCGGCGGGGGAAGAGGAAATTCGGGGGTTCGGTGGCACGCGAGCAGCTTAGGCGGAAGAGTCTCGATGGCTTCGAATTCGGACTAAATCGTGTCTCGTGTCGTACGGTGTCGAATGTCGTGCGAGGGCGTCGGGGTGGTCGTCGTCGATCCGCGGACGGAGGTGCGTTTCTTGCAGAATGGGGAGGGGCAAACTGAACTGACTGAGGTGAGGTCGTCGAAATTGGACCTAGCCAATGCGTGTGGGGTTACCCGAGCTGCAGGGGTGGCCAGGGTGGCTTTCCTCACCGAAGCCACACCGAGAGAGTCTCGGTGAAGGTCACCACGCCGTGCTTCTGCTAGGTGAGTAAATGATAGAATGACCACAAATGCCCTCGCCAGCTCTTCAATCTTCTCCGTGCATCACCCTATTCTCAAACAAAGTCCAGTCTGGGGGGTATCATTCTGCATCCTATCCATCAACACAAAACAGCTCTCCGGCTCTCCCGCGTCTCATTTCTTCTTCGACGTCCCAAACCCAGCAATGCCCATCGCGGCCATCATATCATCCTCGTCGTGCTCCCCCTCGATCCTGACATCCTCGCCATACTCCGTCTTCACCTTCTCCGCCTCCTCCGCCTTCACCCTCCTCCTCTCGTCCGCCTCCTTCCTCTTCCTCCTCCTCTCCTCCGCCTCCTTCGCGCTCTCCTCCTCCCGCAACGCGAGCCTCTCCTGCAGACTCGTCACCTTCTCCTTCTCCAGGTCCACCTTTCGCTGCCACAACGCCTCGATCCGCTCCCGCACCTCCCCCGCCGTCGCCCGCCGCACCTCGTTCGTCTGCCCCGTGTTGGCCAGGTGCTGCGGCGTGTTGAGGTGCTCCACGAACTGCTTGTTGTCCTTGAACGTGAGGTCGCACGCCTCGCAGTAGAAGCCCGCCCCGCGGCCCCTCTTGCCCACGCCGGCGCCCGCGGGCACCAGCTGCGTCTTGCCCACCTGCGCGCTCAGGTCCAGCACGGTGCGCCGCGCCGACGTGAACGTCTCGTTGCCCGTCAGCGGCTTGTGGTACTTCTTGCCCGCCAGCTTCGCCTCGTACCGCGCCTTGGACTCCTCCTTCTCCTTGGCCTCGCGCTCTTTCGCCTTCGCCGCGTACTCGTCCAGGTCCCAGTTCTTGCGGAAGTCGGTGTCGCCCGCGGGCGCGCCGTAGGCGCCGCCGCCTTTCTTGTCGGCCATTGTGTGCGGTTTTGTTTTTCGCGTCGAGTGGTCTTCTTCGTTTCGGGTTTCGCGTGCGCTGTGGTTTGTAATTGAGGCGGCCGATGTAGGAAGACGTCCGCGCTGAGGAGGAGGATGATGTTGTAGAGAGGAAGCTAACCCCGGACGCGTCGATGATGGAAATTTGATGTCTGGGAGATTGTTCGACAGACGAGGCTACAGGGATCGAGGCCAGGAAAATTGAGATGGGGCATGGCGAGACATGGGCCAGGGGTTGAGGCACCGCCCGATGGTGGGGTTACAGCGCTAGGAGGTACCTACCCCTCCATCAGGTCTGTTCCCCTCCAAATGCGCAGTTGGAAAGAAAAAATAATTGCGCCCGACTCAACACCATATTGATTTGCCCCTCCGAACTTTGCGATCGCGAGACAGCTACGACACGCCACTCAATCTCCAAGCTCACCCGTCAAAATGCTGTACCTCGTCGGCCTCGGTCTCTCGGATGAGACCGACATCACCGTCAAAGGCCTCGAGATCGTCAAGAAGGCCTCCAGGGTGTACCTGGAAGCCTACACCAGCATCCTGCTCGTGGACAAGGCCATCTTGGTGCGCAAACCCCCGCCTTCGAACCCTGAAGTTCTCGTAAGGAGAGGGTATATATGTACTCACACACGTCGTCCCACCAGGAAGCCTACTATGGCCGCGAAGTCGTAGTCGCCGACCGCGAAATGGTCGAGTCCAACAGCGACGAGATCCTCCGCGACGCGCAGACCGAGGACGTCGCCTTCCTCGTCGTCGGCGACCCCTTCGGCGCGACGACGCACACCGACATCGTCCTCCGCGCCCGCGAGCTCGCCATCCCCGTCTCCACCGTCCCCAACGCCTCCATCATGTCCGGCATCGGCGCCACCGGCCTGCAGCTCTACAACTTCGGCCAGACCGTCTCCATGGTCTTCTTCCTCGACAACTGGAAGCCCGCCTCCTTCTACGACCGCGTCCGCGAGAACCGCGCCATCGGCCTGCACACCCTTCTCCTGCTCGACATCAAGGTCAAGGAGCAGAGCCTCGAGAACATGGCGCGCGGGCGCAAGATCTACGAGCCGCCCAGGTACATGACGGTCGGCCAGTGCGCGGCGCAGATGCTGGAGATCGAAGAGGAGAAGAAGGAGGGCGTGTACGGGCCGGACAGTCTCGCCGTGGGAGCGGCGCGGGTGGGCGGCAAGACGGAGAAGTTCGTCGCCGGCACGCTGAAGGAGTTGTGCGAGACGGACGAGATCCTGGGTGGGCCGCTGCACAGCATGGTTCTGCTCGGCAGGAGAGCACACGAGCTGGAGAGGGATTACATCCGCGAGTTCGCGTACAACAAGGAGACGTTCGACAAGAGCTGGGCGGAGAGTTATGGGAAGCAATAGTCATCATTCATGTCCCGTAATTCGGGTCGGTGCTGGTTCCCCCCTTTTCCCGAAACCTCGCTTCTAATGTGCTATTCATACATGTTTTCCATTCACAATCGTAACCACGGCTAAGACGACGCGGTGGCGCGGTACTGCTCGACCTCGGCGGACGAGATCTCCCTCAACTTGTTGACGTGCGCAGGGCTTCCGGTCACCACACCCTCGGCCACCTGGGCAACCTTTCCAAGAATGTTGGCGTTGCTGATGGCGTAGGTTGCGCTGACCGTCTTGACGCGGATGACACCGATACGGGGGTCGTTCTCGGAGCCGTCGTGCTTGCCGTCACCAAGGTCGCCGAGCCATGCCTTGAGGGTGGAGGTGTAGTGCTTCTTCACCAGCGAGCGGTCGGTGACGATGCTGGAGACACCTGATACGGAGGCCCAGTCGCCGGAGCTGTTGTAGAAGGAGATGTTGATGTGGGGATCGCTGTCGATCTCGTCCGTCTTGTGGGACTCGGTGTTGGTGTGGAAGAGCAGGTCAATGCCGCCGTTCTCCTGGGTCGTATTAGTATGTGGTGATGTGATCAAAAGTGTTTTATGGGAAGGATTTACCGTTGCGGCAACAGCCATGCAGCGGGAGACGAGAGCACCGGACTTGGCGTCTCTGGTCGTCATCATGCCGAACTTGCTCTTGTTGGCGAAGTTGACGAGAGCCTCGACCTTTTCCTTGAGGGAGACATCGGTGTCCTTGTTGGTGGCCTTGTAAGGGTCGGCAGGCTTGTCGCCGGTGGAGGTGTTGGAGAAAGACATTATGGCGATTTTGTGATGTTGAGTTGCAGGTTTGGTGTTTGATTGCAGGTGACAAGATGCTCAGTCGTCAGATTAGATCGATTGAGTGGTTGTTTTATCGTGAGGTGATGTAGGAGGAGAAGGAGCTACTTTGCAGCAATTGTCTTGAACGGCCTCTATTTGAACCCAACAAACGAGCTGACCTCATCGCTATGGCTACGGCAGGAACGAGCATTTCATCATCGAATGGCCCGTTACGTTGCAGCTCTGGCGGCGTTGAGGAGCTTGAGCTGTAATGGGCAAGACATGATGACGTCAAGCGGAGGGGGGTTCCTGCACCAGCACCTAGCACCAGCAGCGAAGGGGGCGATCGGGATGTGGCACTGGGGACCGCGATGGACGCATTTTATGGGGATAATATCATCATTGATCGTCTGTTCCGCAGATGGAGAAGCAGGTGCTGGCTGGCTAGAACGTGAGGCGACAGCTGCGTGACATGAGGCGTGACTGGGCTTTATCTACCTAGGCTGTTTGATTAAGAGGCACGGAGGCACAGAGGAAAGAGGGGAAGACAAGCTGAGAGGTCTGAGCTGTTGATGCAGTTGCAGTTGCAGTTGCAGTTGATGCTAACTATTGTCCAATGGCGGGAAGCATTCAACGCGTCGCGTGGCACATTGGAAGATATTCATCCAGTCAGTTTGTGGCCTGTGCTATTCTACGATGCCATTGACAATCGCACAGACAATGGACGAGACAGGGAGTGACAGCAGGGACCTGATTGGTGTCGTTGGCGTATATTCGGCCGAGCTCCAGCTTCCGGATTGGGGGCGAGTCGGCGACTGCAGTGCCATCCATGGATACCCAGTTGCTGTCGCCGTGGCCATGACAACTTCGCGATCCGATCTTTGATGTCAAACAGCCATGGTAAGGCATTACGAGCATTACGAGAGAGTACGGCAATTGTGCATATTTGTCCCCGTTTATGCTAGTGCAGGGACCTAGTGACGGCTTTCTTGCAGGGATGCCTAAGGGAAGGTGGTGAAGCTTTCCGTGTTGTCGACAGAAAAGATGGCGGCTGCTGAATAAGGCGCGGGGTAGAAGGATCGTGAGTTTCCATATCGCTCCTTCCCGAGAACTGCAAGTTCAAGAAGGAAAGACGGAAAGTGCCTTCCTCCCTTGAGAAAGGCAAGACAGACAGACATCAGTAGAAGGAAAGAAGCCCTCAGATACCCCTGCCAAAGGTGCCTGCCGCTCGATGAGGTGCTTGCCCCCGCTGGGCCTTCCCTCCTTCCGTCCTGGCTTTCCCGCTCCGAAGAGTGGGTGCAGTTTCCTTTCTTTTCCAACACATTTTCAATGCCCAACATCGACATCTTCAATCATCCATCAATGCAGCCACACTCACGATCCAACGCGAGTAATCCTCGGACAATTGCAGCTGCCCCACACCTTAAGACCTGGCCAATTGCCGCCACCCTTGCCTGCCCAGAGCCAGTGGTAAATCGTGGCAGTCCTTCGTCTTCCTTTCGCTAAATGCTGTGATCGTAAGGCACCTCAGGCAGAGCCAGGTTCCGTCCGCTGCAGAAGGTGCAGACGGCGCAGACGGCATGCTGCCCGATGCCATTGCTGGTGTGTTGGCCGTCAAACGAATGCAACTAGTACGAAGAGACAGACCACAAGTGCAGCAGGTGCAGCAGGCCCAGACCGCACCTTCCCTCCTCCTGCCTTTAAATCCCAATGCTCGCATGCTTGCATGAGGCAGAGGGCTTCCAGCTGGCTCGCAGTTCGCAGTGAAGCAATGGAAATGAGCCTAAAAAGAAGCTCAGGTCGGGGTTTCGGCGGACGTCGGCACCGTCAAAGCTGAGACGGCATTTCACTGGACACTTCCGTATGGCCGTCTCTGGCTCCTGGCTCTCAGTGTTTGCTGCAGTACCACTTGCCATTCTCGCTCCCCCCTTCCGTCATCTACAATCTTTTTTCCCTCGTGATTGTCCACCTCCTCAGACAAACATCGACCTCCCTTCTCCAATCTCCCAGATTCTTCCTTTTTCATCCACCGTCCTTCAGTGCAGCCCAGGCCTTCCAGAATCGATTCACTGGAATCCTCTTTCGCCCTCTCTATCCACCATCCCAGGACCGTCGTCCGCGGCGACGGAAATTCGTCCACCGATATCTCGCCTCACCCCCGACTCAGGAGGGGAAGTAACTCAATTGCTACCCTCCCAGTAATTGCCTCTTGTTGGTCCTTGGCGTCACTCCAGCCCACGGCAATCGGTCACCAGCATTCATCTCCCGCGATTGCCGCACCATTTCCGTCCACGACTCAGCATCATCGTCTTTTTTTTTCTCGGGCTCTTTTCCCCATCACCTCATTCTACCATTCTCATTATTTCACCTTATCCCACCCTTACTCAGCCCGAGTTGACCCCTCCACGAACGTCAGGACGAACGCCCAGCCCACCTCCCTCCCAAAACCTTCGTTTCACCTTTCTTCATTAAGCTGCGGCTTGGATCGCAAACACGTCTCTATTCGGCTGCTGGTCATACCCTGCCTCACCGGAACTCTTCCTGACGCATCCAACTTTTTTTTCCCACCTTCCGATGGCCTCGCTCGGAGATTAGAACGACTGCCATCATTTCACCCAGAAACGCCCAGTACACGCCACTCACCAGTACAAAGCGTTATTTTCTAGTAGACGCTTCATTCGTCACGTCACCAAGAACCTTCCCGATTGCTTTTGACCCGCAAAAACACTAGCGAGTTCAGGATCCAGACATCTCGCAGGCGATTTCGCAAGCCGTTCAACATGGTATTTGGCGCATCTGCCAAACCCGCCCATTGTGACAGCGCCTATAGCTAACACATCTCAGGACGTCGTGCCTTGGGAGTGCCGTGACGTGGAGGACCAGGCCGAAGCTCACTACAATGCCCCTCTCCGCGTAAAGAACAAGGCGCTCACCGACGAAAACACACGACTGAAGAAGCTGCTCCGCGAAAACGGCATCTCTTGGTCTCCAGTCTCCGCCAACTACCAGAAGCTCACCCGCCCTAATGGCCGCCGCACCCGCTCTTCCATCTGCTCCGAATCTTACCACAACCCGTACTTGCCGACCGAGGTCTTGTTGCGCATTCTCAAGTATTCACTGATCTCCACCGGCCCAATCATCGACCCTCTCTCGAAGCTCAAGCCCGAGAACCTCACGACCGCAGAGCGAACCCGCGGCAATCAGATTGCCATCCACTTCCTGGCCACCTGCAAGGCCATGTACGAGGAGGGCAGCCGCATTTTGTGGAATCGGAACACCTTCGTCTTCACAACTCCCGAAGCCGTGCGCAACTTTGCCGACCTCGACTTTGCGTATCGCAAAAATGTCAAACATGTCAACTTCCGAATCATCGCCCAGTACTTCGACGACAAGAAGCGCAAACACAAGCTCGACCGGTCTTACCATCCATCTCTCAAAAGTGATGTCACCCTGCGAACGGTTCCGCGCGTTAACGAGAACACCTACGCCCGCGGTGGCTTCCGCTGCTACACCTGGGGCCAAGTTGTGGATTTTCTGCGCGCCCTCCGTGCTCCGTACGACCCCAAGCACGACAGGAAGCTCGTTCGACCTCGTTTGTTTCCCAACTTGGGTTCGCTTCGGATTGATCTCGTCAATTTCATGGACGATTTTCTTCCCATGCCGGGCAGCGATCTGCACGACATGGCGTCGCATGAACTGGGTTGCTCACTCAACGAACTGCAGGTCACAGGTCTCCCGATTGACGATGCGGGTAGCAAGGCCACCGCAGAACTTACCGGGCTCATTCGAGACGAAGGTCTCTTTCTTGCCGGTCTGCCCTCGTTTGTTCAGCTAGGAAAAGCACTGAGACCGCTGTCCGGCATTTCGAGCTGCGCACGTGTTGTCAGGGCATGGAAGTCGCTGAAACCAAAGAACATTGCCGGTTCTTCCAACGATCCCGACTCGGACTCAGACTCAGACATTGACCCCGACCACCACCACCCCCGTGAGCCCACCATGCCGCCTGCACCCCGGGAGACGGGCCACCCCAAGTCCTCGCCTAGCCGCAAGGACCTTACGATATGGAAGAGAGTGCCCAAAACCCGTGACGGCGACGAGCGTCAGTGGACCGAGTTTTGCCGAAGCAGCGGCTACCCTATGGAGGATGCCGAGGAGCTGACGAGCGACGACGAGTTGGGCGTATGTCCCTGTTGCGGAGAGCCCCACCCTAGCTTGCTGGAGCTTCTCGAGATGGAAGGGTACGACGATGACGAGTTCTAAGAATTTAGGAAGTATGCTATTGTATCGATCTCAACCGGGGCGGCTATGCACGATACGGCGAGAGAGATCATCTGTATCAACATGGCTACGACAGAATTATGACCATGGTATTTCAAGGCGCAGGTCACGGATCTCCGGAAGGAAAGGCCCACGGAGTTGCTTTGCTCAGGTCATGAGATTATGATACCACAGCTGCCAGAGGGCACATAGATACCACTTTACTAGTAATGGCAGATATCCTAGTCTGCGCAGATGATGGCAATTAGTTTACGATTCGTGTTACACCCGTCATTGTGAGATGGATGCACTACCGCTCACATTTCGACGTGATCCCTCCAAATTGTGACCTTAGATCCTTCACGAGTCTATGCTTATCCCGCACCTCTTTTTCCAACGTACGAAGCGTACCTAGTAACCTACCTACGTCCCTCTGAGCCGCCGAGAAGACTTCTTGAAGCTTACCAACATCCCACTCCGCATCGACCTCATACTTACCAGTCGACACCTGAAGGCATCGCCACCTACTATACCCATCCACCCTCGGCGCCCAGAATTCAATCACGCTATCCACCCCGCACCCGCACCCCATCCTCCTCGCATCCTCAATCTTGCGATCCACGTCATGCACCTCCCTCTCCGCATCCACCACCGCCCCGTTCAGCACCTCGATGTCCTCCCGGCTGCCCTCCACCAGCGCCCGCAGCTTATACATGTCCCATTCCCCCTCGATATTCACGTCCGGCACTCTTAACGGGTCGTCGGCGGCGCGCGGGAGTGCCGCGTGGGAGAAGTCCCAGTGCATGCGGAGCTGCGCGTCCGTCAGGGAGGGGTTGCAGGATTCGTAGTCGGGCCGGAGGCGGAGGGCGGTGAGGGCGCGGAGGGTGCCGGCTTGGATGGGGCCGGAGACGGAGGTGTAGGCTGTTGCGCCGGAGGGGGGGAACGGGGCGGGCGGAGGCGGCGGGGCGGAGGTAATGCGGTGCGGGTCCCGGGGGGGAGGGTCGGGGTGGGAGGGGGAGGTTTTGGGGCGTTTTATAGGGAGTGTTATGGAGGAGCGGCGGGGGCGTTTGGGGGGCATTCTACGCGTTAGATTCGAGGGCTTTTAGGATGTCGCTTACCGTTTATGAGTTGAGCTCGTGATTCTTTTGCGGTTTTGGTGTTGTGAGACTTTGGGCTGGTTGGTGGTAGTTGCGAGACGCGCGTGTTGAGATCAATGCCGCTTTTTAAGGTAGTCTTCTTGCTGGCATGACGAGACTTTGTTCTGGATGGTGTATTTTGAAGGGAGCTTTTGTTCATGGAGTCATGTTGGAGTGGTCATTGACAATGTCTTTGTTCTGCATTCAAGGCCTGTTTTTCTCAAAGTGCGAAGGTCGGGAACAATGCATTGTGCTGAAACACCCATCTCCTTGGGCCATTCTCAGCCCAGGAGTCTGAACATATCTTACTATCCACAATCACGACATTCTCAACAAGAACATGAACCCTTCCAGAATCAAGTCTCGCAAGTCCGCATTCTCGACAAGAGACTCTGTAATGCAGAACTCGCGCCAACCGTCACCAACAGAGTCGACAAAGGTGTTGGCCGTCTTGCGAGCGGTCCAATCACGTCGCGCTCGCTGGCCCGATTTGTAGATGGGCAGAGCCAACTGCATTTACGTGAGTTCTGATGTGAATTCTAGTCGATGTTAGTTTGTGTTGGAGGCGAAGGCGTAAGGGGGTATTTTAGAGGTTTTGGTAGACGTCGACCCCTCTGAGATGAGCCGACATGGCAGAACGACGGCCGGGCAGAAGGAAAGCGACTAGAGTGTCCAAATGAGGATACCCCCAGTTCCCCAACAATTTGAGATTTCTTCGCATGATTGGTTGTTCTAGATTGCCGAAATCACGTATAGTTCATATGTTTCGACGGCGAGTTGATCCTGAATCCCGGCCACAAAGCCGCTCGAAGAGTCCTGCAAACTGGTGCGGTGACGGGAGCCTAGGCGATTGACTTTGATAGACTCGGTTGCTCGAGAGGATTCTTCTCCTACTTACTATAAAGCGCAGCTAGATCGAGACTGGCGTCCAACGCAAAGGGGACTCGTTCCTGTCAGCCGAGGTGAGACTACACTCAGGGCTGGACCTGAACTCGTGACTGGGATTGAGATTCCAAATATGACGGTTATTGGCGTATACCTGAGCCCAATGCAGCTATAACGGTGTGTTTACATCAGCGAAGCATTCACCCATGTTTCTGAGGCCGAATAGCACTTGTACTGGATCCCGGGAAACTGCAAGTTCGAGATGGACGACGTTAGGAAAGACTTTACGTGGAACAGGCCGTTCGACTTCATGATGTGCCGGCCCATGAAAGGCTCGTCTTTGAGGAGTGCCATACATCAGTTGCAGGATTTACGAGTACGTCCCTGCCACGCACCAGGTTTGATTTCTCCCAGCCAGCAACACCAGCATGAGGAGAGCTAAGAATGGAGAGCTGATTTCCACCACACGAAAACGGCAATCTAGCACCAGGCGGCTATCTCAGGCTTCGGCGACCAATCTTTTCGCCTCGACTGGGACGAAGCATCCCTCTGGCCATCCTCTGCGGTCTATCGCCGTCACCTACGCCGCCCAGCGTCTTGGCCGTCCGATGCGCGGCCTGGCACGAGAGAAGGAAAGGGCGCTGCTGTTGTTTGCGAGGGCGAGGGGGAGTCTGAGGGACCAGGGGAGTCATGCGTATTGGCACGTGGAAGTGGATTGGTGGCTTGGGTGTGTGGCGGTTTGCCGTATTGCTGATGTGGTGGTTAGGCATCGTGTCTCCGCGAGCCAGCCTTTTGGAAATCCGTCGAAAGCCTGAGGGGAATAACCACAATTTAAAGCTAGACTATCCAGGCCGAGCATCCGAAAAGTTGCAAAATCTCAGAGTTTCTGCCCACTACACGATCAGTCTGGGGGGGAGGTCGGCGGCTGCTTTACCATTTTCTACGGCTTCCGACGGAGTTGAAGGCCGGTTTGACATGGTCGGCTGCGAGTTGACTTGGCAAATTTGACGCTTTGCAAGCATCTGTTCATCCTACACCGCATCCAGCCTATCAGCGCCCTCATACAGGCCGACGAACACCAACTGCATAATACGCCAGCCAGTCAGCAGAAGGAATTTCATAGAATCCCAGCAAGACGAACAATTCAGATGCCATTCCTGTCACGGCCGGTGGAGACCGTTTATTGCACCCGCTCGATAAGCATGGGTTCGGTATTTAGATGACACCTAAACCCCTCACGAGGATGTTTCCCCGCTCCTTTTCTCCTTGATGGAAAAGAACGATTCGGTTTTCTATATAGGTACCCAATTTCCCCGTGTTCAATAACCTTGAGGATTTGTGCCGAGCTCGCATGCGGCAAAATTTGAGGCTTGAGAGATCGGCTGACCAGATCCACAGGTTTTGACGGCAACTTGAAAGGGAAAGGCGTCATTGAAACTCTGAAAAATGCAAGGGGGACAACAAGATCCGAATGTACGATTTATCCATACGCTTGATGCGAAACGGCATTGGAGAAGGTGTTAGGTGTCAGATCTTCATGCTGAAACTCCGTGAATCAGCAGGCCATCGCGGCTCCGGATGAAGGCGCGGACGTCGGAGATGTGAGTTCCTCTGGCTTCTTCGAATCCTATCCTGCCATTGGCAGCTGACCTGACTTGTCATTCGGATGAACAGCTCTATGAAGACTCTTCGCTGGCGTCTTTGAGATCCAGCATCCTGGAGCATCAAGTGGAGAATGGACGTACCTATCACTCCATGAGCGCTGGAAGTGAGTTCATGATCAATTACTGCCCGGCGTGAGTATACATGCTGATGGATTTGTAGAGTACAACTTTCCCAATGACGAGGTGAGAGACGCTGGTATCTATGAAACGAGTTGTCTGAGACGATGAATTCGAGCAAAGGACGCGCAAACGTGACACAGGCTGACACCTTACGACGCCGATTAGAGAGAAAATGACCGCTTAGGTACCATCCGAAATTTGACCTTCGCGGGCTGCCACTGATATTCACAGATTTTCAACATCGTCTCTGGTTGATGTCCTCGGATGAAGAGCTCGCACTTGCCCCTGGCCACAAGACGGCGAAACGTGTCCTGGATGTTGGGACTGGAACTGGTATTTGGGCTATCGACTTTGGTAAGTTGCTCGGACTTGGCTCAAGACCAGAAGGGCTCACTGCAGATCTTAGCGGATGCCTTTCCCGATGCCGAGGTAAGCATCTAAGCTCTGGTACTTGTATGCACCCTCGTCTCTAACGTTGTCAGGTCGTTGGTGTTGATCTGAGCCCTATTCAACCTGATTGGTAGATCTCCTTTAAACTCGACTCGTTCATGTTTTGTGACTCACGGAAATATCAGGGCGCCTCCCAACTGCTTCTTTGAGATCGACGATTTGGAGAAACCTTGGACTTGGTCCCGGCCTTTTGACTACATTCACTGCCGATCCATGGAAGCATGTTTTGAGGACCCCAAAAAGTTCCTCAAGAGAGCCTACAAGTAAGAGACACAATAAATTGCCAGCTGCGAAATCTGCTTGGCCGCCATGCTGACCTGCTTAAATCCAGAGCCCTTTCACCTGGTGGCTGGCTTGAAGTATGCGCACTCGTTTTCCCTCTGGGCTGCGACGATGGCACCGTCCCCGAGGACGCCCCTATCCGTAAATGGCAGGACCTCCTTGTCGAAGCGGCCGAGAAGATGGGCCGGTCGATGGAAGCCTTGGAGCACCAGGCCTCAGACAAGAAGGCGATGGGAGAGATTGGGTTCACCAATATGACGAGTCAAGATTTCATCTGGCCCCTCAACTCGTGGCCCAAGGACGAGAAGCTCAAGGAGATCGGCAGGTGGCAATTCGTGAACCTCGACACCGGGCTTGAAGGACTCTCCATGGGCCTGCTGACCCGCGTCTTGGGCTGGACCAAGGAAGAGGTTCAAGTGTTGTGTGCGAACGTGCGAAAGGATCTGAAGAACAAGAGCATGCACTCTTATTGGAGGATGTAAGTTGATGCCTGTGATGGCCGCGCCTTCGCCAACGGCCCAACGCATCGATGCTAACTGATATCACAGTCGGGTGATTTGCGCCCAGAAGCCTGAGAACGTAGAGGAGGGTGAGGAGAATGACGATGAATGATATGTCAGCTGATGAAGGCTATTGGTGCCTCTGAGCTTGTGGTTCTCATTTCGTTTACCTATTTCAGCTTTACTATTATCAATGTGGATCTCTAAGTTGCCGGGAGGGTAATGTCAAGACTGCAGCATAACGAAACGAGCGGGAAGTGTGATGAACGTGTAGGTGAGAGGGTCCGAGGCAAGACATGTCGTCAAATCTTGCTCAAAGCCGCGCCCAGTTCGCAGCTCACTCCGGGGAAGAGTAATGCCGCCTCGCCGGCCCCGGAATTCGGCATCCCCGATCTGAGATCCCGGTAAGCCGGAACTGTGGAGCCCTCCCTGTAGGGTAAACCTTATTCCCCCGAACGAAGCAGAGCGGAAAGCGGAAGACGGACCGCCGACTGGCCCCGGCCCCCTTTCTAGCTCGGATTCGGTCTATCGGCGTTAGCGGCAGGGATCAACCCCCCCGCACGCTGTCTATCTGATCCTCAGCTGGCCCGGCCTTACCCCCTTTGCAAAGACTGACGCGTCTCACTGGCTGAGGGAGCTCGCATTTGCCCCATAACACTAGTTGTAATCCCCTCCCCTGCGCCGGCCGGCAGGATTTTCGAACCTTTTTTTCAACCCCCGCGAGCTTCATCTTCTAAGCCATCTGCCCCCCCCGTTCCCTTCAACTTTACCTCGTTCTTGCCCCTCTTCTGACAGATTTGTTATTCATCTGAGCTTAGCCTGACGGTGCCAAGTATTCAGACGGGCCATTCTAGTCTCGTACCACCATACCATCCGGAGTCTGGAATTGTCGGTGAAAAGAAGAGGAGAACGAGTAAGAGGTGAGAGGATAGTGACGCCAACTCAAACATTTCGGTTTCGCCCCACTTCTGGAGCCTCCTTTTTCGCTGGGTGATTGTTGCAAACGAGGAAACGAGCCAACTCACTCCAACACGGCCAACGTCTCAATATCACTCGCCCAAATATGCCGCCCCGGAAGGGCAGTCCAAAGGTTAAGACGGGCTGTCGGACATGCAAGTGGGTTTTCAAGTGCCGCTCATCTTACCGATGATCCTTTTCATCTGCATCCATTCCGGACGAGAACAAGCCAACTAACCGAGTCTTTCCTGACAGAGCCCGCAAGGTAAAATGCGACGAGGCCAAGCCGAGATGCATGCGCTGCACATCATCAGGACGGCAGTGCGCCGGCTACGAGCCGACTATCGAACACGGTCTGGCGTGGTATCGCCCACAGCAGCTCACCGCCCACGACCAGCGTGAGGGCCGGGCATTCCAGTTCTTCTCTCACATGGTCGGCCCCGTGCTGTCGGGCCCGACGGACTCTTACTTCTGGACGCACCTGGTCGTACAGTTCAGCCACTTCGAACCCGCCGTCAGACACGCCGTCCTGGCCATCAGCTCGCTGTACGAGGACTTCCATGGGGGTCAGCGGGTAACGCGGCAGAAGGAGGGGAACGCCTTCGCCATCCGGCACTACAGCGCCGCCATTGAACGCATCAAGGGCGCCCAGGACGAGCAGCTCGTGCTTCTTGTGTGCATTCTTTTCGTTTGCGTGGAATACTTGCAAGGTGACGTCGAGGCGGCGTTGAGGCATTGCAAGCATGGTATTCTCATTCTCAACAAAGTCGGGTGCTCGTCGTGGGCGAGGCAGTACCTGATGCCAATCTTCCGGCGGCTGAGCTTCATATCCTTCTTCCTCGGCGCGAAACCGTCCGACGACGCCCTCGTGCCGGGCCTGATCGGCTACCACGACCCGATGCCCCCTCGCTTCGCCAGCGTGGACGAGGCCCAGAACGCGATCGACGACATCACGGTGCACGCGATCGAGCTGGTGGCCAAGGGCGACGACACGGGGACGCAGCCGCTCGAGACGAGGCTGCAGGAGTTCTACGGCAAGATCTGCGAGCTGGACGCGACGATCCCGCCGCAGGAGTCGTCCAAGAAGATCGCCATCTGCGGGATGAAGATGAAGACGGAGATGGCGAGGATACAGGTCAACACGATCCACGGGGAGGGGGAGATGCGGTTCGACGAGTGGGCCGAGAGCTTCCGCACGATCGTGAGGCTCGCGAGGCGCGCGGCAGATCTGAAGGCGGCGTTCCCGGACGAGAGGCCCCGGGCGAGCTTCACGTTCGAGCAGGGGTTCCTGTCGATGCTGGGGTTCGTGTCTATCAAGTGCAGAGACCTGCAGACGCGGCTGGAGGCGCTGGAGCTGATGGCCAAGATCCCCGCGCCGAAGGAAGGGTTGCTGGATGTTGGCACGCTATATCGAGTCGGCCGTCGCGAGGCCGAGATCGAGCACGGGGTGTCGTTGGATGATGGCACGTTGGAAAGGAATCAGGCGGCGATGGCTGAGCTTTCTTTTCCGCCGGAGGAGAAGAGGCTTCTCGGCGCACCGATAGAGCATGAGCTTGACGTTATTAAGAATGAGGATGGCACGACTATGTATCGACGAACGGTGCATTTCGTATCGAAAGATGCGGAGGGAAAGGTGAAGAAGCAGACGGAGTATCTTCTCGACCGGAAACCTGGTCAATTATTGGCACCTGATGTGCCATGTATGAGGTGTTCCAAACCTTTACTGGAGTTTGCATAGACAAGTAGCGATGTAAAAAACATAGATTCCCCATTGTTGTATCAGGAGCCGGAAAACTGTATCTGATCGATTGGGGTCTTTACGTGTATGCATGCAATGCATGCTGCAGCCCCAGAGCGACATCATGACATGGCCCCCTGATACCCCATAGCAGATTTAACTCTAAATCAAAATCCCACCGGCATCTGATAAACGAAGAACCCCACAAGGCTCTGCTTGATCGTTCTCCATGGTTCGTTTCCTAAGGCTTGGCAAGACCAAATCTGAGTCCTAGGCCGTACTGACCCCTAGCCCTCGGCATCGTAGCATCGTAGAGTCAACGACGACTCCGAGCCTTCGGCCGAGAACACTGACTACCTTGAAAGATCTCGATTTTTCACCGAGAAGTGACGTTGAATAGCCCAGCATGTTCGGGACATTACAAACACCCGATGACACTCCAGGCGTCCATCTCGAGATCTCGCCGCAGCCGGGATGATACGGGTGGGGCCATTCCGACTCGCGCTAGACCCACTTCCGAGCCGTCGCTCCGCGTCCACAGTGGGGCTAATCCGAGGACTATTAAAGCCGGCCCATCGCCGCACCTCGCACTAGGCCCGCACACGTCCCGGAATCGCCTCCAGAAACGACGCGCCGAGCTACACACGACCGCCGACGTCGTAATGCGCTTCAAAAGGGGCGCTCAAACTGACGAGATTTCAGGGACGATCGAAATGAAGAAACACACAATGGCGGCGGAAATCCCGCCCGGCAAACCGCCTCGGGAAGGGGGTCGAGAGAGGTGTTTATATCTCGACGCGTCCCCTCTATCACGGCGCAAGAGATGAATACTAGGCCGAACTCAGCTCTTCAGTTCCGTCACGTTTTACTCAGTAGTCAGGCAACTGTCTATCAAGGACCATCAACATGTCCTCTCTTCGGGCTCTCGTGGCGGCCGTCGCCCCGGCCCTCGTCCACGCCGCAACTCTCTCGGACGTCTGCACAACCACCCACGCCCAGGAAGCCCTCCCGGCCGCAGGCACCATCCAAGGTATCACGATCGACACGTCCTCCGTCCAGACCAACCTCGTCACCAACGCCTCCTTCACCTCTGAGTGGTACCCCACGAGCACGATCGACTACTGCAACGTCACCTTCGCCTACTCCCACGACGGCCTCGCCAACGACGTCGTCCATGTGACCTACTGGGCTCCCGCCCCCGACGCCTTCCAGAACCGCTACATCTCAACCGGCGGCGGCGGTCTCGCCATCAACTCGAAGTCCCAATACATCCCGACCGGCATCATCGCCGGCGCCGTCTCCGGCGTCACCGATGGCGGCTTCGGCTCCTTCGACACCCAGTGGGACGCCGTTTTCCTAGCGGCAAACGGAACCATCAACTGGCAGTCCGTCTACATGTTCGGCTACCAGGCCCACAACGAGCTCGCCACTTTCGGCAAGCAGTTCGCGCGCAACTTCTACGGCGTCGCCGCCGACCAGAAGATCTACTCGTACTACCAAGGCTGCTCCGAAGGCGGCCGCGAGGGCTGGAGCCAAGTCCAGCGCTTCGGCGACCAGTTCGACGGCGTCGTGGCAGGCGCGCCCGCGTTCCGCTACGGCCAGCAGCAGGTCAACCACCTGACGGCCAACGTGATGGAGACCACGATGAACTACTTCCCGCCCTCGTGCGAGCTCGAGAAGATCCTCAACCTGACCATCGCGGCCTGCGATCCCCTCGACGGCAAGACCGACGGCGTCGTCTCGCGCTCCGACCTCTGCAAGATGACCTTCGACTTCAACACCACCGTCGGCCAGGCGTACTCCTGCGAAGCCACCGCCGGCAGCGGAAACGGCGGCTTCGGCGGCCTCGCCAGGAGACAGGGTCCCCCGAGCAACCCCACACCCGCCCAGAACGGCACCGTCACGGCGCAGGGCGCGGCGCTGGTCAAGGCCTACTACGACGGTCTGCATGACTCCACCGGCAAGCTCGTCTACCTGAACTACCAGCCCGGATCCGCCTTCACCGACGCCTCCACCGCGTTCGACGAGGCCACCAACAGCTGGGGCGTGAGCATCTCTGGCCTTGGCGGCGAATGGGTCGCGCGCTACCTGCAGCTCCGCGACACCAGCACCCTCGAGTCCGTGGCGAACGTGACGTACGACACGCTGAGGGACTGGATGCTGTACGGGATGAACAAGTATGCCGACTCTCTGCAGACGACCTACCCCGACCTCAGCGCCTTCCAGGCCGCCGGCGGTAAGGTCCTCCACGTCCACGGCGAGCAGGATGATTCCATCCCCGCGGGATCGTCGGTCCATTACTACGAGTCCGTGAGGAGCGTCATGTTCCCCGGCCAGGACTTCAACGCCAGCTCGGCCGCGCTGGACGAGTTCTACCGGCTGTACCTTGTTCCCGGCGGCGCCCACTGCGGTGTCAACTCGCACCAGCCCAACGGCGGCTGGCCGCAGACGACGTTGCAGACTGTGATTGACTGGGTTGAGAAGGGTGCTGCACCGGATACGTTGAACAGCACTGGGGATATCAACACGCTTTGCAGGTGGCCTCTCAGGCCGCTGTGGACGGACAACGGGGCTTCGTTCAGCTGCGTGTATGACCAGGCTTCCATTGATACGTGGAAGTACACCTTTGATGCTTTCAAGGTGCCTGTTTACTAAACGGGCTTGACAATGTTGCTTGGATGTGGTCTGGAGCTGTCAAGCGTCGACGCTGGGCGAATTATATCATGTCAGATAGCCGGTGTATCAATTTTACTATTTCAAAGATGTATATATTTCCGACGCAGCATATATAGCGGCTCTACTTCCACCAATTGCCCGTCTTTTCCGTCAGCTTGAAGACTTCGACAAGTAGTCCTCCTCGATTGTCGCCCATGTCTATCATTTCATCCTACGGTGATCTCTGATCTTCCCAGTCAATCCTACCATGCTTTACATTGCGAAAAAAGCCGTGAAGCAGATGGCCAAAACCAGCATAATACAGAAATCCCCCCTCTCTCGCCCCCAGTGCCTTCAGCTACGAGTCAAGCTGTGGTGTGAAAAGTATGAGAATCTCAAGAGCCCTCAAACCCTCTCACAAAGGAACACTTAAATAGCGCCTAAAAACTCAAATGCGAACAACCTCGCATCGGAAAGTGCAGCGATTCGATGTGGTACCGCTATTTGCTGATACTCCTGGCTCATGATGGTATCCCTGAAAACCCCAATATTCTCATATTTGACAAGAGCCACCTCGTCCCACTGATCACCTGCAGGATCCAGCACACTTGCCACCATCTTGCCTGTGAAGGGAACTCGGGTGCCAGTCATTGTCGGGAGGGCAAAGAACGCAGGCACGTAACGGTTCTGCCATGCCTCCTGGCCACTGCAAGGAGGTAGTGATGATATTTCGGGTGGGCTGAAGGGGTCGTAGACTGCGATAGGCCGGAACTTCAACAGATTGAGCATGTATACGGGTTTCGAGGGGTCGATCGTGGAAATAGCTTCTTCGATTGATGCAGTATCTGTAAGCTCTTTGTAAGGCATTGGAAATGTTTCTTTCTAAGAGAAAGGGGTGTGAGAATGTTGTGCAGTGCGTAAAGTGGTGCGAATCCGCACTCAAGTCTGTTGCCGTTTATTGGTTTTATTACATCTTGATTACTATTCATTGAATTGGGCAGTTAATACCACCCACAGGGATTAGTGATTCTTATATAACAGGCCGATGCAGGCTTGTTGGTCCTTATCAATCTTGATTACTGTTCATCAAATCAGGTAGTCAAGGACAGCTAAAGAGATGAGTTATTCCTAAGAAAAGGCCGACTATTTTGTCATGCAAGAATAGAGTAGATGCTTACAAGAACCTACACTCTGACGACAAGTCAGGGATCACACACCACTGGATATCTGAAGGAAAGGGAATTTGGGAGAAGGAACATGACTGCGTGGGCAAGACTGCCAGTTCAAGGACACAAACCCAAATTCAAGATCGTCCCGGGTGGAAGATCGAGCGCCGACCCTGTGACAAAGTTATCGAAAAGTCGGTAAGTCTTGAAACAGGAGGTAAGAAATTAGAAAAGATTTGGAGATCTGACTGGATCGTTCATGTTGTCATATATCGAGGAGCAGGTTTGACTCTCTCCGTGTTGCACCGGGGATTAATGGCTTGTTACTGCCAGAGTCATTGTACTTGGTTCTGCGGCTGCTAAGGTGGGATTTCGTGACAGAGGGACAAACGGAGGGGGGAATGTTTGGTTTCCAGTTTCAATCAAACGTCCAAATTATTCGGTTTCACGAAATCAATCGCCATGGCAAGGGATTCCACGCCATTTACGTCATTCCGTCAAAATATCAAAGACAGCTCACAATGAGTAAATGAAGCCATACCGCCAACACTCAAGAAAGTTAAACTTGCCATGCTGGGAACAGTCTTCTGACTAGGAAGGCATACAAAATGTAAGTCAATGTGCCTCTTGTACTAGGGTAGTCCGTCAAGTGAACGTTTGCGTCCAAGGACATTTACATTTAATTTGAGGTTGGAGCAAGATCCTTGTTAATAACAGTTGCTCCGATGATTCTCTCACAGACCTTCCATCCGTCATCCGTCATTTTAAGTCTGTCGAGAGTGGTCGACCAAAACCAGATACCCGGAAGTCCAGAGACATAAACCGCATCTTTCGTCGTGACATCGCCAGCCTGAGCAGGCCAAACATGACGAATCAAAAGATTGTGGTAGCGTACGACCACGCCTCCAGTTTCTTCATCTCGATCGACGATATGGTTTGTCGCATGTCGAGTCACCCCGGGGATCAGGGGAGGGTAGTCTTTCTCGAGGAAGCCTCTCATCGCCTCGATACCCTGAAAGGCGCCATAGGCGTGCTGTAGCTTGGCGTCTGGAAGAAAAGTCGAAATCAATTTGTCTTGGTCGAATTCTTCAAAGAGTGTGTTGATTCGGTTGACGAAATCAATGGCGGAACTGCGTTCGTCGGCTGTCACCCTGAGAGAAGTGGTGGCGGAGAGCGGGGGAAAGGATTCGTTCGCGCTGGGGTAGGCAGACATTTTGATTTATAGTAGATGAACGAGAAAGATAATTATGCGCGTTAGTTCTACTTGAGGAGGGCATGAGCTGGCTGTTTTGTTCTTACACACGGAGTCGCATGCATGAAAGATGTTCGAGATAATAAGGGTTATTCTCTTGCTACAGGAGCTACTGGTTGATTTCGGTGATTATCGAAGATTGCTAAAACTTAAGTTTCGTCGTATTACGATTTGTCTTGTAAAAGGCGGATGGATTTGTCACACTGTCGGTCGAATTACATAAGTGCTTCATTAACTACCTACCTGACACAACGATATCATAGAGAAATCCACCTTTCCACAACCTCCGACGAATCTTAGCATCCTAAATTAACTGACTTTCATAGCATATCTGGGTCATCTACTGATTGAGGCCTTAGTGAGTTCAATGTCCTTAACAGTGTCTCTCACTCGCGGAGGATTTCTAGGTTAGCGTCTCTGCAAAAGTATCTAGATCGCCTGCTAGAATATTATTATCACTCTCCCGACGTAGCTTCAGTTCCTTTGTCGCGGCTGCACATGATCGGGATTGAACATGTAAGAAGGCAAAAAAAAAAGAAGAGAAACTGAGCTGCTTCATAATCAAGGTCTACGGTGTGCATATGAATACACGTTTCGTCAACTTATTGATTATTCATATGTCTACTGCTATCAGAAACTAGCTGGGAATCAAATATTTATGAAGGCTTTTAGTTGCTTTTGAAAATCTCCTTAAGCCGGTGTCATTACATGCTTATCTCTTAATCTCAACCACGTCTTTCTCAATGCCTGCCTCCATGGTGCCCGAACAGCCCTCCGAAGGGTTTGTACATAATGGCCACGTCAAGATACATTACAGGGCTGGAGGACATGGCCCGCTGCTGCTCTTGCTTCATGGTTTCCCGGACAACTCTAATACGTGGAACAAACAGATGGAACACTTCGCAAAGAGGCACACTGTCGTCTGCCCTACTCTTCGCGGCTATCCGCCCAGCGACATACCCGAAGTGGAAGAACCCTCGTACAACTTGGTGAAGATTCTCGGGGATGTAATTGCCATTCTGGATTATTTCAATGCGGAAAAAGCGGTTATTGGTGGTCATGACTTTGGGGGAGCTCTCATTCAGTTAGTGGCTCTGTTCCACCCCGAGCGGGTGGAAGGGCTCATCATCATCAATTCCCCCATTCTCCCGCGATTTTACGACCTTGTCAACCACGACAAGGACCAACAAGCCCAGTCCGCCTATACTATTCCGTTTATCCAACACCAGCCGGGCAACGACAAAAACACAGATTTCCTTGTCCAAACAATCCGAGACCCAGCCTATCGAGATGAAGTCCGACAGTACGTCAACGAGTCACCGATCGAAGGCATGTTTGCCTACTACAAGTACAACTATCCGTCGCCCCCTTACGACCAAGCTGTGAACACATCCACCATGCTGTATCAGGTACCTACCTTGATTATTTGGGGCTTAGACGACGGTGCCTTCTCTTTGAAGATGCTTGACGGCATACCCAATCATTTCAAGGAGAGCGTTCGTCTTGTTACGCTACCTGGTGTTGGACATTGGGCATTTAGAGAGCAACCGGATCGTGTCAATGAGGAGATCTCATCATGGCTGATCAGTCTTTCTTCAATTGAAACTTCGAGTGCTTAAGTACGGAGCAGCCCAGGGCTATCGTGGAGAAAATTTGTCAAACAATAGGCTTGGGGAAAAGACAGTCAATCAATAGCATGAAACATAGCCTCATCGCAGTGAAAACAATTGTCACTGAGATTTCAATATCTGAAAACCCGTAATTTTTATTGCACCAACATCAGGGGTTATTGCCAAGGAACTCCTCCCAGCAACCCGGATACCGTCATCACCAATATGGAAATCCGTCCACCAGACCACATGGTGCCCAATCGATCAAGCTTTTGACATGCAAATTGATGGAGCATTCCAATTCAACCCCAGAGTTTTGCGCCATTTTAATGCATGGCACCTTCCCCCTTTCAGACTATGGCCGTTCTGCATCACCCTACACCCGTCCGCTAGATCCAATGATTGATCGCCTGACTCGCGAAAAGCACTGAGCGTCTTCCCACCGCCAGTTTATCATGCAACAAAGCCCGCGCGAGACCAACAGTTTACTAGCATTGCCTTCTAACGTGAGTCCGACCTGTCCAATCTAGACCCCAGTTCCAAGGGCAAATGGTCAAATAACGGCTGCTGCAACCTCTCACCTTGCGTTCCCCATCTCGGAACCGCACACCGCATTCGGTCTGGTTTTATCGACAGACGCCTTCAAGACAAAAGAAATGCCACCAGAAAACGTGAACCTGTTTCCGGCGCAAAACACATTCATCGTTCACAGCAATTCTCGATGACATCCACCCAACCACCAGCTTGAATGACGGCTTGTGAAACAGTCCGCAAACTATGAGCTCCCCAACACCGATCCCGCCCCCGGCGGTCATCGAAGCCGACTCGGCCGCTCCAGCTCGGGCCACTTCCGACCCGTCCTCCGAAACAACCAGTGCCGAGGACACCGGCCCCTCCGATACCGACTCCTCCCTCGGCATCGACCCCCAATCCTCCACCATATCCCTCCGTAGCAGCATCCTCAAGTACCGCGAAGAAAACGGCCGCACCTACCATGCCTATAAAGATGGCGCCTATCTCATCCCAAACGACGAGCGAGAAAGCGAGCGCCTTGATCTCCAACACCACCTGTTCCTCCTCACATTTGACGACAGACTCCACCTCGCGCCCCTGGACACCGAAAACCCGCCGCAGCGGGTCCTCGACATTGGCACGGGCACGGGCATTTGGGCCGCCGACTTCGCGGACACGTATCCCGAATCCTTTGTGGTGGGTATCGACCTCTCGCCGATCCAGCCCGCTTTCATTCCGCCGAATGTCAGTTTCCAGATTGATGACATCGAAGAGGAGCCGTGGACGTTTTCGCAAAGGTTCGATTTCGTGCACAGTCGGATGATGACCTCTGCGATTGCGGACTTCCCGAAACTGTTCCGGCAATCGTATGAGAACCTGAATCCGGGTGGGTGGATCGAAGTCACTGATATTGCGCCGATTACGTGCGATGACGGGACGTTGGGGGAGGAGACGGCGCTGTTTCGATGGTCTCGGGACCTGTTGAAAGGAACACAGACTATCGGAAGATCGTTTGACGGGGCAAAGTTGTATAAGAAGCAGCTTGAGGAGGCCGGGTTCGTAAACGTGACTGAGCGTGTTTTCAAATGGCCACAAAACCGGTGGCCACGAGATCCTCGATATAAAGAGCTGGGTGAGTCTGCTGGGCTTTTTGACGAGTTCCTGATGTATCTAACCAGAGTTGTAGGGTTATGGACGCTTGAGAATATTACTTCTGGACTGGAAGCTCTTAGCGTTGCAGTTTACACCCGTGTTCTGGGATGGTCTAAGGAGAGCGTGGATGTCTTGCTGGCTCATGTCAGGAAAGACATGAAAAATGAAGCAATACATTCTTATTGGCCTATGTAAGTATCAAAGCTGACATCTGTACTTGGGTGAATTGAACTTCTTCTAATGTCTTAACAGCTACGTCGTATACGGCCAAAAGCCAAGGTGAACATGGAAGAAGAGGAAGACAAGGTCATAACGATTGATTTCATGAAGAAGCTTTCAAAACACAAAAGTGTCCGTGTTTACTCAATTTTCCTTGCCTCTGGATACCCCGCGAACTCCTTGCGTGATCAGGACCTGTCCAATAACAAGAAAGGGTGAACATGAAGACATCATGAAGTATTCCTTCACAGTTATCTTAGGAATTCAAATCTTGACTCATCTGTGGCCTCCCTTGTGTTGATCTTCAACAGCGTCGAGAAGTTGCGGTCCCTTAAAATCTCACAGTCTCGGCTATGTCTATTGCGATCCTCTCCAAGCTTTTGACAACCCTGGGATGAGATTAGTCCTGGATAAGCCGTATTGGAGTATACTTGATGCACAACATACCTTGTTGCAGTAATAATACCACGGACAATCGGGGCATTCCTTCAGATCTCGCTTTTCCTCGTTACATCCGAAACACACCCTCGTCCGGCCCTCTTCATCCAGTGTCTCCCAATAGTCACATAGTGTCTTGTTCATCTCCAGGAGACGCTCAAGTTTGTGCGGGAATGCCTAAGACTGGTAAGCACGGCCACGAGAAGCTCAAAACTCAACCCATCCTCGAGTTTGAGCTGTCAGCTGAACTCACATGACAAATCGCCAGATCGGCGACACGAATACCCTTGGTCCCATCCACAAAATTCACTCTCTTGGCGTACACAATAGCGATCGTGTACCCGACCTTGAACTGACTCGGCGTGAACCGCAAGCCTTTGCTCAGGTCAAAGCCGACAATGAAGTTGTCGCCGTTCCTATCATGACAAACGAGGCAAAACGGATTCCCTGCCGACGTAGAAGCCGCATCAATCTCGGCCAGGAGGCACCATGTCTCCCCTTCCTCATAGATAGGCTGGCCCAGATGGTACTCAGACTGCAGCTGTGCGAAAGCGGGGAAGAAGTACGTGTCAGTGAAGCTGGCAGGCGGCTCGAAGTCCACCAATTCAACTTCCTGCACCGAAGGAGGAGTTGACGTCGTCGACTTGGACATGGCGGCGGATGGTTTGTCGCGGTTCCCAGTGACTTGACCAAAGATGAGGGCACCGATGTACGGGAGACGCTTTGTTTTCTCTAGAAGGTCTAGAGAGAAGGGAAGAGCGGGGTTGGAATCCCAATGGTGGCGTATCGAGCGGCGTCGCACAAGGTCCCAAGCCTGGTGGCGTTGTCCTTTGGCATTCGTGATCACCTTAGAAAACGGACGAAGGTGGTGATGGCAAGCTGGCAGGATTCAGCATCGTGTCCAAAGCCTCCGGTTGGGAACATTTCTCTGAAGGATTCACATTTGGTTGGTAGATGGGGAGACAGCCGCATGCGGTGCGACGACGCCTTCATCTCTCTACATTCCTACCCTGCGTTGGCCGGAAACGTCGTCTGGGCGCTTATGAGCTGAACTTTGGGTTTGAAACGAGACAAGCGCTGATTGATGACTCAGCGGCGATGTTGCTCGATTGCTTTCATGATGAAAGCTGTGACCACAGTGATGAGCCAGCTAATTATTGTGACAAGGGAACGTGAAGGCTCCTACCTTTGCTCAAATTGGCATGCAATTATGGAACCATCGACATAAAATTCGCATACACTGTTAAACGTTTTCTTTGCCGGCAAGTCGAATCTACTATTGCCCATAGTTCCGAAGTTTACTTAGGTCAGGAGACCGATGATTTACGAAGTAAAACAAGTGGCATCAAAACAAGTGTTGCACAGCATACCTTAGCTGCCACGATACTCACGGTATGCCGCGCTTGCTGTATCAACGATAAGTTCAAGACTCGACTCTCATCATGAGATCCCACACGATACATGTACAAATTCATCACTGTTGAAATGAATATAAGTGAATGTTACTCCGTTGGCTTTCAAACACAAAACCAGTTCAATAATTACTGAAGGTCATGAATAGACTCGACGTGTGAGCACGGTCGAAATGCGTGCAACATCGCAGATCATGTAGAAAAGGGTGGCTGTATTTGCGCAGTGTCAATTGTATGAACACATGCCGTATTCACGTGGCAATGGCGAGCAAGCACGGTTTCCCTGCCTCAAATGGATCATTCCCATATATTTACCGGTCGAAATTGGGACAGGGGTCCTCTCAAGGGGCTCGGCAATGGGACTTTGATGCTTTCTCCTGTGCTAATACAATCCGTTTATTGAGCTTAACCCTCTGCGGAGTAACTAGGTCTGGGGAAGACGGGCTTGCACGGTTAGTCCGGCTAGACAATGCTTAAATAAGAGCAACGGCTTCTAAAGCCACGCGTAATTTCGAATGAAGCGAAACCTAACCACAATCAACTTCGCGTGCTGGGGGAAACTAAGGGTGCGGCTGAATAGAATAGCATTGTAATTCTGCACCATTCTCGCGGTAATGAGTGAACAATCAAATATTAAGCGAGAACGCCATCGACCAAATTCAGCACAGAACGATATCAATTTAGGATTGGTGTCGTCCAGCGAATGTTTCAGGGGATCAAGAAGCCACGAACAGACAACCCCTTCGGTTACACTCGCATGGTTGACACGTGCAGAAAGGTCTTGTCAGTCAAAATAAGTGTATTGCTTCTAAGCACAGTCCTCAAGCCCACTCGCTCCGAACAATGGACTCGGCTGGATCCTGACAATGAGGGCTGGCGCCATGCCGGTGCCATGCCGGTGCCTGACTACGACGCGCGAAGTGATTCCAGCCCCTCGGCTCCATCTGAGGGTGGAAACGTATTAGACAGGGATTGTCACGAACAAACTCATTCTCGGCACTATCGATACCTTCATGATCGGATCCTGAATGCCGGTACGCTATCTATAGTACCCAGAAAGTCGGTAGGCTAGAGACCTTTTGGGCATGGCATCGACGCCTTTACATTTGAGAATATCGGTGAGCATTGGGACGGCAATTAGAAACCACTAATACATAGTAGCAAAAGAGTTGAATATCTGTGCCTCGTGATAGTTGCACAGCTGAAGAGCGGACAGCGTGTCTCACGCCACGGCCATCAGCAAGGGGCGCCGGGAGGAAACCTCCAACTTCACGTGTTGTCTCCTATTCATCAAGCCAAAGGTCTGAAGTATAATTATCCTATACGTTCTGTCTATCATCACTCGACCTTTCGTTCACCATCCCATCTCCTCTGCAGGTCTCTTCCCTCAGTCAGACTCCTCCCGGGTTCCCGCAATATAATCATCCTTTCATTGCAAACATGCACGCCTACAGCTACATTCCCGCCGTGGGATTCACTCTCATTGCTGTTGCATTGGCGCAGAGCAACTCCATGGTTGTGCCGGGTGCCGTGAATCCCATTGCAGCCAACGTCACCAACACGAAGCGATCCTATGGGCTTGTCAACCACGGTACCTCAGTCCGACGGGATGTACTGAAACGTGCTGTCAACGGTATCTGCGATGCTCTACCTTCCAAGTGGAGTTATATGGGATGGTAAGTCACATCACAGTGCTGTTTCATGCCATGTGAGCTCCTTGACTCAATAGCGAAATAACTGACACTTTCATAGCTACTCTGATTCGCCGTCGACTAGAGTCCTCTCAGGCGACCGCTGGTGCCCTGATGACCCCAACGGTCTGTCACAGGAGACTTGCATCGAGTTTTGCGATGGAAAGGGATATGGTGAGTAACTTTGGCAACAATATTAACCGCATGAACTGATCGTTATGACCTTTAGGTCTGGCCGGTGTGGAATGGGGTAAGGAATGCTATTGTGGCTACCTGCTCGACTCGTCTGCCCTCAAGTCCGCAGAGACCGACTGCAGCATGCCCTGCACTGGAAACAAGGACGAGGTCTGCGGTAACGGCGGGCGCATCAACGTCTTCACCAACGGCGATTCGGCACCTGCGGTCCTGGCCGCGTCTGGAGACTTTACCTCGATCGGATGCTACTCCGATCAGGCCTCCGCGCGAACCTTGACTACTCGCGTCAGCCTTCCCGGAAACGTGAGAGTCAGTGATTGCACCACGGCTTGTGCCAACCAAGGCTTCCAGTACGCGGGACTTGAGTTTGGTCAGGAGTGCTACTGCGGCGCCAGCATCCAAAATGGCGGCGCACCTATCTCGGACAAGTCTTGCAACATGGCCTGCACTGCCGACAAGACGGAGTTTTGCGGTGGCAGAGCTGCCATCAACATTTACAAGAGCTCTGTTCCGCAACAAGGACCGAGCAAGATTCCCGACAATTGGTCCTCGAAAGGCTGCTACACCGATAGCCCGTCTACACGTGCTCTTTCTTTCAAAGTGCCCAACTTTGGAAACTTCAGCGCCGCCCAGTGTGTTTCTCAATGCTCTACTCTCAACTACGTAAGTACTTTCATGTCTTCTAGCATTCGTATGACGACTAACCGCTTTATCACAGCAATATGCTGGTCTCGAGTATGGCTCCGAATGCTGGTGTGGCAACTCCATCGACAACGGCAACGCCCCGGCTTCCAGCGGATGCGACATGGCCTGCGTCGGTAACCATGCGGACACCTGCGGAGGTGCCGGACGCGTCAATATCTATCAGGCTGCCTGCAACGGTACCCCGGGCTGTCATTTCGGATACGGTCTGATCCGTCTTCTTTTCACCGCGAGTAACGTGAAGCAATGCGAAGATGCCTGCCACGCGGACCCGAATTGTCTTTCCATTCAATTCGGAACTGAGCCCAGCTCTACTGCCCCGTTCTGCAACCTCTTCAAGTATCCCATTCCATCGGTTGTGGACACTCAGTACATGGACGCGCGCTGCTCGTCGTTCCACTTCTACGACTCGTCTTGCACGTTCTAAGACATACATGAGTTCATAGCCTTGGAACGAGCTACGCAAGTCATCGATAAGCTGGAGAAAACTGCACAGGCTGGATTTAAGACGTCTTGTTGTGAAGCTAGCTATATGGTGGTCGACAGCAGATCGCTCGGGTGAAGCTCGTGACAAGACCTAGGAGCCTGAAAAGATTCATGTTTTAGAAGCTCTTGGTTTGAGGAGGTGCTCCGTAGAGTATATATCTAATCAAGCACGATTCAGACTGCATTCTCATGTTCAAAGGCAACAAATTGGAACCACAACATCGTGGAAGCATAAAATGTGTGACGTACAGAATATTACTTCAGACTATCACATACAATTAATTCGGCCTTCTCGCGGTCCATATCTGTCTATTTTTACTCTTCATATGTGAGCGTCTTGCTTGATTCTCAAAGAGCGACTGGCTGGGTCTAATTCATGCTTTGACTCGACATATAAGCCCAGTGAAGCGACTGGATTTGGCGAAGACCATTTAGGAGAAGGCTGCATAGATGCAGTGTACATTTAAACCAATGTGAATATCATCAGATAATTTCATCGCCACGTGTCTCAGTGACAGGAAGGCGTTTCTTCCCCTACCAAAGCCTTGGGAAGGCTTGGCAAGTGACCAGCTCGACGAACGAAACCACATTGATCATGAGAGATTTTCAGCTTTGACCAGAATACCATGTATGTCTCAGCCACTTTCCCACACTAACAAGGATGAACGATCTTGTTATCCCACATCATCCAAAATTTTAAGACGACTTAGAACAGGCTGTGTTGGCAAGAAGGTGCATTTCTATTACCACCGATACTAGGCGACGTGGGGGACGGGTTTGACAGCTCATACGGGGTGGGAAGACAAGGATTGGCACATAATATGATCGATGTGCCATTGTTATGTGCCGTGCATAGCCGAAAATCCCCTGCCGGTTGCCTCCATGCGTGATTTTGAAGTACAGTGGACCAGTTGAAGAACACCTGCAGTATGCAGCGATCCAAAACCTGCGGATGTTTAAGTTCGCCTTGATCGATACTTCGTTCAGTATTGCCGCGTAATGCTGTCATGACATGCCCCAAAGTAGTATCTAAGGCCGATATTGGGATCGGGGAGGGGCTTTTGGAGATCCAAAAACATCTATGGGTGCAGAATGAAAGCGAAAAGCATGGGCAAAAGAATGAAAAACCGGTCTCAAGCGGCGCCTCCCGCTTTTCACAGCTTGAGCTCCTCAAATGAGAAAACAAGACGAGAAAACTACTTCTGAAAATAATCTGGGTAATAACACCTTCTGTTTATGGAATCAGGCTTCTGATTTTTGATTACAGTACTCTGCTTCTCATTCAATCATGTTGGGCTGAACTTATTGAAGGATTTCAACTTCTATAGTACCACCCGGACTGGCTAACTTGCCATTCAGATAACACATTAAAGTACATGTGTTGTATATAATACCGAGAAACCTTGCAGTATCGGTAATCTAACTATGTTTTCCATGTTTATATAACAAGTAGAATACTATGAGGTTCCCTTTTGAGCAGGAGTATCACTGCCACCCCCACGGCTGATTGTCAGGCTATGTGACGGAAGCCTAGCTGGTAGTGATTGAGGGGCTATGAGCAGACTGGAAGGATTTAATGACAGACTGACAATAATTTATTCGTTTAGAATGAGAAGATTCACATGATCACTTTTGACTAGCTGCCACCAAAGGAATAAATGCTACAAATATGCCTCAAGCTGGATCGTGTCAATGTCTCGTCAAAGTCAAAGCTCTCTCCCCAGCCTTGTGATCGGTCATTTGTTTTCAGAAATCAGCAGCAACCTTTCAGTACACCCCCCCGAAATACCTTTGAATGGCTCGATCTGCTTGGCGTCTGGTCTGCTAGGAAGGCCCTCTGACCACCACTTCATGAATCCGCCCGGGATATGAGAACTGACTGCATTCAAAATTCCCCTCATGATTCGGAATCGACCACGTATGGGAAGTAAGCAATCTCAAATGATTGACGGGGATAGTGAAGTTCAAAACAGTATGCATCTCACAGTGTCCAGCCTCCGAATCTCGGGAAGGTAGGGACAATGCTCGGGTACAAAACACTGGCAACGCCCCGAGCCATAAATCTATCCTTGTGTTATCAGTCAAGACGCACCGGACCTTATACTCTCTCTTGAATCCCCACATCCAGCAACGCTTATCATCTGTATAACCTGTAAAATGAGGTTCACTGACATCACTACTCTCTTCATTCTTACCGCATGGGTCAGCCATGGTATTGCTGCGCCGCTTCAGGCTGTCAGTGAAGTGACGTCTCCAAAGTCATCTGCCAAGGGAAAATCAGCCCAATGGTTCCCTTGGTTGTATCAATCCTCTGCGGTAGGAGAGGAGGGAAAACGTGATGAAGAGCCTACCCGCAACTTTGACTGGGGAGGACTCAACCACCGCTCGGCTAAAGCCGTCAAAGCATCTTCGAGCTGTCTTGTCAAGAGTGAGTCCACAGAAACGGCATTTTCTCTACACTTGGTCATCTCAGATACTAAATTCACTGGACTAGACGCAAACTGGTGTGGGGTTCCGCTCAGAAGACACACGCCTGAGGACCCGAAAAGCTTGCCCAGAACGTCTGGAAAAGAAGCCGTGATTGGAACTTCTAGAGTCAGCTTCAATGATTTCCCTTCGAATGAAGAAACGGCTGCTCTAACATTGCTGGTACCGTCAGAGGGACGACGTATCCAAGGGGAAGACCATTAGAAGTGGTAAGCTGCTGAAGTTCACGACACGAGTCTATGCCGGCGAGAGCTAATTGTCCTGAAATCTGCGCAGCACGTGCTCCTGCTAGAACTCGTCTGGCCGAAAGAAAAAATACCGATTCATACAAGAGGCGGAATCGTCGAAGCGAACCTACATCCGAGCCGAACATCAATTCCGGGGAGAAAAAAGCGTCGATTCCAGGTTACTAGAGTGAGTATTCGATAAGATAATTAAAACCGAGATATCACGTACCTTACTAAGAATGGAAACCAAACAGTCGGAAACTGGTACGCCAAGAGATCCAATGATCACGCCCCCAAAGTACCCAGAGGCCCACAGATGAGTGCACAGGATGTGTCTCCTGTGTCGAGTGTCAATAAATCTGAAGAGTCTGGCTCAACTTTGACCAAATTTCCAGTCCGCGAGCCGAGAATAGGGACCTCCGAGTGATAACTGGAACAAGAAGAACGCAAATACGCAGCAAGCAGCAAACGCACATCAGTATGAACTTCGTTGGCTTCTCCCATAAGGATCTTTCATTCGTTAGTACATTAAGTAGCCTTAGCGGTGCTGGATCATCAGGCCACATGTACGTTGGCATACATGAATAACAAGCACTTATGAACTCGCAATTCTTTCATGTCCGCTACCCAGAGTGAAGTATTTCTGGCGCATAGAGGCAACTAAGCGTTCTTGTGTAGTTATCCTGCGTGCCATCTCATGTGAATGAGAGAAACGTATCCCACTCACCCCTGTAAACCATTTATTAAAGCCTGTAAATATGCTTGTAGACAAATGCTCAGCTTCGATGGGCTTATGTACTTCTGTATTCTAAAATCCTGAACTTACATGCAGGGGGTCCGCTCTCAACATATCACGCGAGGCGCTAAAAATGCGAGATGTGAGTGGGCGGATGAATGAAAGATCCACTCAGCTAATGCCAACATCATCAGTGAGGGGGTGCCGAGGAAGCGAGGAAGCGTTGTCGAGAGTACTACGCTGGCTTCTCTGGACATTTCAACTTGTACTCCTGTCAGCACTAACATGAGAAATAGACCATTGTCACATGGTCTAGTTTACGACCTTAATGTTCCTCTTCCCCGACACCCTCAGATCACTTTCTGCCCACACTATCGCCTTGGAGATCGATCCGAAACCCTCCCTTGTCAATTCAACATTCCTCCTGTGAGCCACTGAGGTTGCGCCACAGACATGGAACAAAAGCTGATAGTAGTTGTCGGTGCTACGGGCAACCAAGGAGGCTCCGTCGCCCGCAGATTCCTCACGGCCGCATACCATGTACGTGGCCTCACTCGTAATGCCTCCTCTCTCCCTGCCGCCCAGCTCAAGTCGCTGGGAGTAGAAGTTGTGGAAGCGAGTCTTGATGATGCTCGTTCGCTAGAAGATGCATTTCGTGGTGCGAATATTATCTTCAGTGTGACCAACTACTGGGAGCCTTTCTTCCGGCCTGACTGCCGCGCGGAGGCGCAAAGATTGGGAATTTCGTGCCGCCAATACGCCTATCATGTCGAATACTCTCAAAGCCGGAATATTGTTGACGCAGCAGCCAAGACCTTGGACTCACTCGACGAGAATGGATTCTTGGTGTCCACGCTCAGTAATGCGAAGAAATGCAGCGGTGGCAAGTTCACGGAGCTCTACCACTTCGATGCGAAGGCCGACGTCTTCCCCGACTACGTGAACAGTATCTATCCCCTTCTGGCTGCAAAAATGTCTTGTATCCATACTGGTTACTTTTACACGAGCTACAACATTCTTCCCAACTCATACTTCAAAAAGGTTACTCGTACCACTGAAGTTTTATGACGAGTTCATTGCTGACAGCAGCAGAATCTCGACGGCACGTTCATCATGGCGTTCCCCACTGCTCCAGACAAGCCCGTACCACACTTCGATCCTGTCGGTGATATGGGAAATTTCACGTTTGCGGTTTCCCAAATGCCGCCAGGCAAAGCTTATATGGCAGAAGGCACGACCTGCACATGGCCTGAATTTCTGCGCAGCTGGGCCAATGTGGTGGGTGTCAAGGCTAGCTACAAACAGGTCACGCCCGAAGAAATGATTGAGGCGACAGGAGAGCATGATACTGGCATTGAGGTGGCCTACATGTTCTCATATGCCTCGGATCCAGGCTACGATGGTGGTATGAGCTTGCTCAAGGCAGCTGACATTGAAAAGGTCAGTCAAATTACAGTGCCATCGCCAGCCACAAAGCTGACTCTTCAAGTCCGGAATTGACTGTCCCATGACAGCCTGGAAAGACTGGGCAAAGAAGACGGACTGGTCTTCGGTATTGGAGAAGTAGATCAAGCCTACCGGTAAACCCACAAGACATGACGAGATATGCAACACTTTGCATAGTCCCATCACGGCGTGGCCTATTCGCGACTTTCCGGCCCGTCGTCGTTTAAGTCTGCGGTGAAAACTGGTATCAAATAGTCCACCTCACCTGGCATTGCTTTACTGAGAAATCTTATTGTCCATTTATATTTCCGTCCTTAGTTTGAACCAAAAGCCATAACTCCAGCATTAAATAAGATCCAAGGTAATCTTTGTTCGCAAAGTCTCATGAGGGGCTGACAGATTTATCTGCGCAGTACCCTTAAGACTCCTTGGGCTTTAGAAGTGAATGTGACGCAACACAAAGCCTTGCGTGTGTCTCGAATGCCTCCCGTCCTGTTCAAAATAACTTGCTCAAGAGTGAGACTTGTATTTCTGAGCCAGGCTTGCTCACACTTAGATGCCCAATAGCAGAGCTGCAAAAGCTGCGACCCCGATCGCAAGCGCCGCCTGATCATTGTCTCCTCCCATTGCGACACCGCTGCTATTCTTGGGAGAACCTTGGTTCGACAAGACTTCACGACCTGGCTCCATAGACTGCGGGAACATCATGATGGTACCATTGCCGATGTCTCCAACAGGCATAGACGCGTTCTGGTCGATGGTGAATGGCCTTGTTGATTCAAATCCATCCCTCCGTCCAACCAAGACCTCAACGCTGCGGAAGGCAAGTGAAGGAGTGTCCATAGCAACAAAGTGTCCGGAATGTGCGACAGCAAGGTACGTAAGCCCTCGTTCCGAATGAACTGTGCCCATGACACCAGCACCAGCGTAGGCTTCGGGGTTGTCATTGGAATGGTACGGTATGTAGAGCGGCGATGACGGTTTGGACTGGAACCCCATCTGTCCACCCCAAGTCAGGTTCTGAATCGTCAACAAGGTACCGTCGTCGATGAGCACATAATCGCGGGTTCCATGGGCGAGGATGACATTCCGAGTCTTGTCGATGACGTTGGGGAGAACAGGCTGACTTCCCGGGCCGTCCATTACTGAGTTGTCTGTCCCATTGAAGAAAACGTTGGTATCGGTGCAGAACTTCCACTCCTTATCGACAGGAGCATTTATGGCCCTCTTCACGTCCTCGCGGTTGAAGTATACCGGTCCCGCGCCCTTCGGTCTGTACATGGAACCGTCGCTGAAACCCAGAGGATCGAATTTGAGCGGGCAACCTTCGGTAATTGTGTAAACGCTGAAGCAAGGATTCAGCTGTTCCGCAGCTTCTCCGATCATCGTCCAGATGTCGCACTCCTTCTTGACTTCGCCGTTCATGTCGACGCCAGGTGGCACAGCGGGTTGCGGGCCCGAAGGTGGGAAGACGAGATACTTTCTCATGTACTCTGCATACCCGCATTTCTCATTTACGTCGACCAAGGTCTTCCGAAACGTGTCGTTGAAAGCGAAGACATGCTCCCATCGATCAGCGAAGGAAAGGGCCGGAATCTCCTCTCCTATGCTGTCAAGGGAGTATGTTCCATCGAAGATCTGCATACCGCCCACGTTGAAGTAATCCTTGTCGTTCGAATCGATCATCGCGCTAGCAATGTACGGGCAGTACATGCCGCTGTAGGAGGATCCTGTGACATACACCTTGAAGCCCTTCATGTCGAATGTGTCAATGAAGTTGCGCCAGAAGCTGAGGAATTGTCGTGCCACATCGAATTCGTCCTTCGCAGTCGGAGCGCCCGTTGAAAACCCCGTGCCGACAGGCTGGTCAATCCAGACGACGTTCGTGATCCTGTGCCAACTCCATCTGTTCTTGACAGGCTTGAACATTCCTGGCTGCCAGAGCATAGGGCCATTTTCCGAAAGCAGTTCGCCGGTCGAGGAGCAGCCCGGCTTAGGGAAACCAGTCAGCGTCACACGTTATCATGAACATTATAACTTACACCGCCAGTGAGCCAGATCAAAATCTCTTTCTCGGTCTGCTGGTTCTCGGAGGGGAAGAACCAAAAGTAGAGTTTCTCGCTAGTGTCGTTGTTCGCGTGGATGGGGAGTAGACCAGCGTAGGACTCGCCGACGTCGAAGTCCACGTTAGGAATGTTGGTTCCATTCACTACATATTCTTTGCCAAGATGTCAGCAGGCACACAGTACTGCGAGTTCTTAGCAACGCACTTCGAGTCTTATCCGTGAGAAATTTTGGTTGCGTCTGAGCCTTGGTGGAAACACGTTGTGGCTTCGCTTCCGCTCGTTCCGGAAACAGCTTTCGAGCAGCAGCAGGACGATATTGCTGCAAATTCAAAGTCGCGGAAACAATCGAAGGCAAAAGCACAAGAGCTTGAAGCCAGCGCATCTTCAAAACTTGGCGGTTGGTGTTTTCGCGTTGTAACTCTACCTGGGCTACTTCGACATCCACGACCCCTCATACGTTCTACAGATCAAAAGAGAACCGAGTCCCAAAGGGACTTTTAAGAAGGCCAAGCAGCTTTAAGCATTCTCGGAAGGGTGCGATGCGCGTTTCAAAACAGCCGATGAAGGGTTTAAGCTCGGACGTTGGAGCCCGGAAGAGACTGAACATCAGTGTCACCTCATCCGCTTCGACCGAGCTTATCTCAAGTGGCGTCGGATCGTCAAGCGGGGTGCCTGCCAAGAGAACTTAATGGGGAAATATTTCGCTCATTTGCAGGAGCGTTGTTCATGGCACCCATGACTCCCGGGCGATGAACCTCGCTGTATGGTGTTCGGCCTGCGGGCATTTCTAGTCAAGCACCCCGCAGAAGATTAGCTTATTTGAACTTCAAACCCGCATTGTTTCGATAGACGGCAGACGCCGCCTTTCAGCAGAAACCGCCCGAAGTAGATGGGTTGGTCCCAGGAACTTGGGATGGAGGGTGACCCTGACGGCGTGTAACCAATTGCCGCCAGATTTCACTTTGAGCTTGTGACTTCACGATAACCACAACTTTGGGTTTCATTAACTTTTTGATTAGTTCACGGAGGGATGATGAGCCGATTATCCCACTCGGTGAGGCATTCTGTCGAGCAATGAAAGATTTCCTTTACATGAACATCGGGGGGATTGTTATTCATCCTTCTACTCTGTTTTGGACACTTTTGACTGATCGATGTGCTGACACACGACCCATAAGCCTCATCTATTTCCCCCGGCGATGAGTACTGCGGCCCAATCGGGTACAGTTTGGCGAAGGTTTTCAGCCCAATGACAATATTCCAAATATCGCATGAGTTTTTGCAGAGGGTTTAGAGATTGAAAAAAGGAAAGAGAGCCCGTATATCAATCAATATCAGATAAACCTTACGAAATTTCCGAAGCACTGCCGACGGCCTGCATGCTCAAGGTTATCCGAGACATTTTCGTACGTATTGATGAATTTTTGGCAGATGTTACTTGGTGTGAACATTTTCCTTGCTTCTTCCTTGCAAACCATGAAAGAAATGAGGCTGAAGTCGTCATCTTCAAGCCAGTCTCTGTGACGCTAGATTCAGTTCTCAGGATCATACGCTACTCTACTGGTTGTTTTCTGGCTGCTCGCGAAGTCAGTCTCTGAATATCTTCCCTATGACAATTTGAAGTTCTATCGACGGTAAAACAGTATCTAAATATAACTAAGAACCTTGCAGTTGAACTTACGTACTCTCATCTCACTGAGAGTTGCAAATGCTTGGGTTCCGAGAGACTTCATTTGGATTGAAATAACTTGACTGAAGAATAACTGGCACGACTTGGTTGAAAGCTTAATCCCACCTTATTAAGTCCTTTGCTACTGATCATGCTGGTGTCGAACATCTATGCCGAAAATTTAATCGAAACGTTGCATAACCTTACACGCATCCAAGGTCATCTTGAATCCCTGAATTCATTGTGCGTAGGCAGTAGTCAATGGAAGTCATGTAAGAACACCACGGCTAACGAAGGAAACTTGATAAACGGCTAAGAAATTGAGATAAGTTATTGAAACTTCAACTGTGGTTCGAAGAAATGTACGTGTGGGCAACTCCTTCATGGATCCTCACTCAGAAGAAGGCCTGGTGTTCCCGATACCAGATTGCATATACCTTACTTCTAAGTGAGTTTGTGTTTTGTGAAATGTCTCATTATGGCCTTTAGAGCTGAATTAAAGACAACCGAACACGATTTTGTTCATCAAGGTTTGTAATCTCATTAGTTTTTGACATGAGCTCAAGTACCTTTTCGCGGCTTACGCTAACCTAAGATCCTTCCAAAAAGCGACTCAGCCAACTCTGGCTTGCCTCTGCATTAAAGGTCGTACACATTTTCTCACGCCATAGTAGGTTGCTACTTACTCCGCGACATCATGGTATTTCTCACCATTCATTCTCTCGGACTTCATAGCCTAATGCAATTGCAGACCTCACTCCATTGTTCAGTAGAGCGCAATTAGGATTCAAAACCCTCAGAGTGGTATCTCCCACCGGTTGAAGTGGGCTCTCTCAGCAAAGCCAAATTGACATGGGTCATTTCATTTTACCGAGAGGTCTCTTGGCATTTTCATGCGGAATTTGAATTGTTATTTGATTTTTTGAATGTCTATTGGTTGGAATTATGTTACAATGTCTCATTTGGATCAAAATCCATGCCACAACCCCAGGCTCTGGGCAGTACGAATACGAGAGTGGATCCAACCTGAACAAAAGATCAAAAAACATTTCGGGTCTTGCACCCGAATCCAATAAGTGACTATTCCTTTCTGAGTCGCTTAGAATCATTGATTGGAATCGTTTAAGAACTGAGCCAGTGAGCCGCCGTATGCTCACATCTTTCACTATCTTCCCTCTCCCGACACGTCGCCATCATGTTCTCGTTTCTCTTCAACGGCAAACCACAACCGCCAACCACCGTCCCCTCAGACACAATTATTCCTTTGAACGGAAACGATGACAATTATGTTAATCGATGTATTGTCATGTTGTTCATGATGCGCTTTGACGATGTCTTAGATCCAGAGAAACTACGTTCATCGTTAGAAAAGCTTCTGGAGCGTAAGGGTTGGCGCAAACTGGGCGCTCGTCTGAGACTCAACGTACGGTGGAAGTCTCTGGCACGCATCCGTGCATGTGTGGTTTTCTAATTGAGTGCTAATATTGCGTAGAGTCAAGGCAAGCTGGAGTATCACGTACCGGAAGATTACAGCCCAAAAAGGCCAGCTATTGTGTACACTCATGTCAAGCACGACGTAAACATCGAAGACGACCCTCTGGCTTCAAAACTGCCGAAAGCCACTTCGAAGCCAGCCATTGTTGGGGACTCGAAAGATTTCGAAGAGTTGATGAGACGGCCAGATGGACCAAAGAGCCTGGACGACTACATCTACCGGGACGAGCCGCAGCTCGGTTTGCACATTGTTTCTTACAATGACACGACTCTCGTTTCTCTCAACTGGATGCATACACTGTTCGACGCCATGGGTAGGCGAGAGTTGCTCACAGCATGGACGGCGATGTTGGAGGGCCGCGAAGACGACGTCAAGCCTTTCCTCGGTTTTGATGTCAATCCAATGGCAGATCTCGGTTCCAATCCCACGGAGAAATACGTCCTAGCCGACAAGCTGGTCTCTATGTGGGGAATGGCAGTGTTTGTTTTCCGCTCAGTATGGGAAACGTTCGCGTACCCACGGGAAGAGTTGCGCATGGTGTGCATGCCGGCGGCGCATGTGAAGAAACTCAAGTCTTCAGTGAATCAAGAGCTTTCGGAACAGACCCATGGCTTACAACAAGCTTTTGCAAGCGAGGGCGATGTCTTGTTCGCATATGTAACCCGGCTATTCCTTCAACACTTGCCGAAAACCTCGCAGCAGACGATTCACATGATGAACGCTTTCGGATTGCGGTCAGTACTCAAGGGTGACTGCCTCCCTGCAGACAAAGCCTATGTCGGAAACGCCGTCAGTTCGGTTAATACGCTTCTCTCTGCAAAGGACATCCTCACAAACCCGCTCAGCTACACAGCATGGGCCATCCGCAAATCCATCATGGAACAGGGCACCAGGGAGCAAGTCGAAGCTCGAGCGGCCCTTCAGAAGGCCGTGAAAATGCCCATGTTTGGGGACGCTACTATGCAACTAGTAACCATGTCGAACTGGGCGAAAGCTAATTTCTTCGACACTGATTTCTCGGCGGCGGTAACGACAGCTGGCGTGGGCTCAAAAGAGCGGCCCAATAGACTAGGGAAACCGACCCTCATCCTTGGAAACACCTTTGTCAAGGGAATCAGTATTCGTCAAGTTGCTAGTGTCACTGGTAAAGACGCCGATGGTAATGTCTGGTGGGGAGGTACATTACGAGAAGGGCTCTGGGGGAAGATCGCGGAAACCCTGGAAAGAGACTTTTGAAAATTTTGGCCCATCAAGAGCAGGTAAAATGTGTCGCTTCTTCGGTCCATTTCGTATCTTTCAATTCTGTTTTCAGTCTCGAGCAACAGACTTTAGAAAGGTCATCTGGTAGAGGATATTCTAACAACTATCGTCGGCAGATCTGGCTCTTGATTACCACACGCTACATTGACTTTCAGCGCAATCATGACTTAATAGAAGCATTGGTCGTAAGTCTAAGTCAGACACTCTCTTTTTGCTTCGACCAAAATCTATCTATGGCATCCGTCTCTGACGAACTGCACATCTAAGTTTAATGCAAATCCATATATCAGCGGCCCGTAAGAAGCTTCAATCCCTTCATGGCTTGCTCATTGGCGGTGAACAGAATGCCACCAGCCAATACAGTCCTGCCCAGTCGCATGACTGTACCTCTCCAGAGTCCTCTAACCCCGTCTTCGGTCATAATCGCTCGGAATGACTCCATCGTCCCAACAGCTTTCGCCTGCTGAGCCTTCGTTTTGATGGTATCGAACGGCTGGGTTGCCAACGTCGAAACCGTGCCAGCTATAGCGCCGTTGGCGAAGGTCATGACAGGCCCCTCGACGCTGATCCCCTTGCTCCTCTCGAAGTCCTTGATGATGCTGTAGCTTCCAAGACGGAAGCCTGTTGTGCCGATCTGCTTCAGTGTTGTCGTGACGTATCCACGCCATAGTGCCTTGAGAATGCCTTGCTCACGCGTAAGAGTCCTGATGCAGTGGATGGCTCCCTTGAACCTATGCGAGGTTTTGGCGTCGTCAATGAGTGCCGTTTTGATGCGTTCGCTCGGCGTCACAATAACCGTGCTTCCGACGACGCCCGCCACCATACCCGCCGCTATGCTTCGGGCCGGACTGAGCGTATGCGTCTTTTTGTCTTCGAAGGCGGTTCGGATGCTGTCGAAAGCCACGAACCGCACGGCGTCCTTGCCGATGGATCCCACGATCATGGTACTGCATCCCTTGTACAGCGCTCGCACACCCTCCTCACGCGCTACACGGAGTACGATTGCAAAAGGATTCCGCGTTCCCTTCTGATGCCCATAGAGTTGTACTCGCGTCTTTGAGAATTCGAACGGGTAGGTACAGGCCGCTTCCACGCCGCCAGCTATGCCTCCCGCGGCAAGGGACAGGAATGGCGAGGTCTTGCCATCCGCCTGGGCGACCATCCTCTTCGTACACTTCTAGCAGTGTTTGAAAAAAAAAATAGGTAAATCTTCGGATTTTGTTGCACGGATTCCGAAATTTGTGAATGTTGTACTGTTGCCTCGGCTGTGACGATGTAGAGATGACGTCGGAACCGCGATTACGGCGCCGTGGCTGGCCTCGGCAATTCACGGGTCAGGGTACGTGTGCATACTTTGGCACACTGTCCTCTCGCACATACTACTCTTTCCTTTCTCAGTCGGAGATTCCAATGACAACCGTAAGGATTGGATTTTGTTGATTTTAATTCCTAAACCCTTTCTGGTTTATCTTATGACCAGCTGTGAAGTTTCTGTTTCTTGATTGGCAATATGGGTCGAACAAGGGAAATACATCAAATTCTACAATTCCAAAGTCCAGGTTCGCGAATCCTGAACTCAACTCCAGCTTGCTACGTTGGCAGCAAAGTCTGATGATAACCCATGAAGAATGACGAATCCGGATGCAATAAATCATAGCATATACATGCCGCTGCAGTGTATCTTTTGGAAGAATAGGACTAGGTCTTACATCTTGGTCACTCTATGTCGTCTTAACCCGCCACGCAACCAACTCCACTGAGATCCAACAGCTCGGCATCCATGTTGCGACACTTCCACTGAGCCGGCTTTCCGCTTGGGGGCTCAACTGTAATGTTGAAAGCCTGGATATTATCGCAACTCTGTAGATGTTGTTAGCATAGCTAAGAGCTCGTGGCCGAACGAAGGTCTTACATCTTGGTCGCTGCAAATCAACGACCCAACAACAGGATCACTCTTTTTCGAAGTCTTCCCAAAAAAGTCTTTGAACACGACGTCAGTGATGACCATCAAAGACGGGTTCTCTTGGCAGGTTGATGCATTCACGGCGCCATAGCACTGGTCGATCTTCAGCGCGGCATCGTTGTTGTTGACGAAAAAGCGCTCGTACGTGACGTTACGCACGATACCAGCGCCGCCGCCACCAATCCAACCTGGATTGGTCACAGCACCTTCTCCTGGCCAAACTTTGAGACGAGCGCTGTCGGTCGCGTTGCTCATAGAGATGTTGTAAATGTAGAGATTCTCGACCACATCCCAAACTCCAGGGTACTGGCCCAAGGAGCCAACGGAGATTCCGTGAGACGAGTTGCAAGTGAGGCCTTGGACCAGGATGTTCGTGCTGTTTGGTTTGAAACTAACACAATCGTCGTCATGATCCAGGTAGGAATTCTGGATAACGATGTTGTCAGATCGATACGTATCCCAGCCATCCAAGTTCTTCGCCTCGAACTGTGACGTCGATCGCGAGTAAACATCGATGTCAGAGACCAAAAGGTCCGAGCTGTTGGCAATCAAAAAGTGCCACTGAGGAGATGATCGGATCTTGAGCCCCGTGATCGAACCTCCATGCCAACCATCAGTCACAAACAGCAGCGGTCTCTCGACAGTACTGTCTGCACCATGGGCATCGTACCAAGCCTGACCGTTACCGTCGATTGTGCCCGTGCCGAGACCGTAGAGATTGACGTCCTCCCCGCCCCAAAGCCACCAAGTACTTTGGTCCTGGAAGGGAAACTGAAACAGGTAGTCCGGGGTCCAGACGTCCAAGTCGTCACAGAAGGTGATTGAGCCCGTCAGGGCAATGTCAATCTTCTTCAAAAATCGGAGGTCTAGTCGCGAGCAGACAGTGTAGGCTTTGTCAAGTACCACAGTTCCGCCGTCATTGCAGTCTTCTAAGGCAGCCAGAATTTTGGGCGCATCATCGCGTCCGGGGGTACAACTGGGCTTGACGAAGCATGTCTTCCCATCTTCGCGTGATGTTGAGGGTGTGAAGGATTTGAACGGGCTATGAGGTGTTGCTTGGATGTTTGGTCGTTTGGGTGCTGCTTGGGCCTCGACAAGAGCAGCCGAAAAGGTGATGGCCGCAACGGCCAGACGACTAAAAGAGAGCATAATCACTCCTCCCGTCAATTGATAGCTGAAAGGTAACGGGTGCAACGATTTAGTAGAGCTCTCCGTTGGCATGGTATTTCCATTTCTCTTTAACATCAATAAACGCCAACCGTACCAAACCTCCCTCAACCACGAAATTCTCCGTCTACCCCAATATCCCCAAATTTCGGCTCGAATTACAGCGAGAAGATCCCATTCATGACATGTCATTGATGGCAAGATCGGTGAGCGAGATCTGCGCCAAGTCGATATTCCATCCCGGCTAAATCCATCCCCCCTCCTGCACGAGAATACCCGTCGGATAATTCCCTGAGAGCCTCCGACAACAAACATGCGGGGTAACGCCGTTGGGATCTGCGATTGAACATGTGCTATTTGAAGTATGCTCTGCGTAGTTGCGTCTAACAAACAAATTCCAAACCCAAGGAACCGGAAGATCTACCGTATACATCGTCTCTCGTATGTCTTGTCATACTCAAACCTCTCCGATTGGCTGGGTTTTCTTACATCAAATCCCGCCTCCTCATTCGAACAACAACATCTCTATCGAGACTGACGACACCTCTACACTCAGCCTTCTCCATTCCCAGTCCTCTATCTGCGGGAGAACCATCCAAATGGGACCATCGCTCGAATTCCAGGTCAAACAGGGTGACCATCATTGCCACCGCGGCTAAAATCTCATGCTTGGCGAAGAATCGGCCAGGGCATATGACACTGCCGCCACCGTAAGGGCAATAGTCGCCCAGCTTCACCTTCCGAGTCTCTGGCTGAAGGAAACGTTCTGCCCAGAACTCCCTAGCTGGGTGACCGGGAAAAGCCCAAACGGTGTCGTCAATGTGTGACAACCAACTAGGCGCCAGAATGAAGTTGTCCTTCTTCAAAGTGTACCCGTCTATCTCGATATCTTGCCTCAGTCTCCTTGAAATAGGAATACTGGAGCGGAGGCGCAGGCACTCGTTGTACACGGCATTGAGTAGTGGTAGCGCCGAAAGCTTGGTGATGTCAATATCGAGCATCGTTTCCTCAGTGGCACCAGGTATCATGGCGGTATTGACTTCGGTCCGAATACGATTGAGGAGCTTCTGGTCGCGAACCATTTCGAATAGCATGTAAGCTGTCATCGGAACTGCGTTGGCGTTGATACTGTTCGTAGAGGAGTCAGTAACTGTAAAGATTGTCCAGGTGACGTGAAAAAGGAAAGTGGCACGTACGCCCATATCAAGCCCATGTGCAGCGCTGCTCGTCCTTCGAAGCTGATGCCATAGTCAACTAGGGCCGCTTTCCTTTCGCGGACGAGTCTATGCCCATAATTCTAGTCCCAATCGACATCTTTCTCCACGGTAGGAGCAGCGCTCGCCGCCGCAAGCCATTCTTTGGTCGCTTCGAGAGTGCGGTCCCGCGCCGCCCAGCCTTTACGACAAACGAGCCTTGGTAGTCCCTGCATCAGCGTCATGAACGCTGCGTCGTACTCCCAGAACGTTTTCGCAATATCTGAACTGTGCTGTAGAATCTTTGGGCCCACGAGTGTGATTGTCGATGCAGCGAACTGGTACGTCTGGAGGAAATCATAGAGACCCATCACGGTCTCCTTTGAGTTGCTTTGCTTTGAGTTGCTTTGGGGGCATGTCTTGAGCTGCTCGGAGAACTCGTACACGAACTTGGCAGTGAGGCAGTCAGCCGCTGATTTCTCGGTGAGCTTCTTGATGTAAATGCCATGTAGAATGTGCCAGATGCGGCCGTTGCCGGTCACTCCCGTCTTAGACTGATTGAGAGTGCCGGCACCCGAGTCATCGAGTCCTAGAAGAGCTGCATCTCTTGCTGGCAGGCCCTTTACCTTTTCTGCGATTCGGAGCTGCATAAACTCAAAGGACAGGCTACTGGGTTGTCGGAAAATCGCCTGGATATTGGAGGCTCCCATGACAGAAGATGGTTGGTCTGGGGCCGAATGTCATAGACCTGTTCCACCGCCCAACACCGGAGGACTCCATCACATGGATGGACGACGAGCACCGGTCGTATGCGCCGCTTCTACCTGGAAGAGAACTTCAGGAGATGAACACATACGTCTTGAACAAGATTTCCACAACTATCAACTCCATCGGGAAGGATTTTGAGACCATAAAGATGTACCAATGGGTGAGAGATTCTTTCACCATGGCGACTGTCGGCTCCTTGTTTGGAGACAAGAACTCCCTGATGGACGATCCGAACTTAAGTCAAAATCTCTGGTAGGTCTTGAATTCACACCAAGTCTTCATGCCCCACGATACCAATTGCCAACCAAACCCACAGGGACTATGACGCGGGCATGGCCAACCTTCTGATGCAACCATTACCTTCGATCACCGCGCCGAAAGCTTACAATGGCCGCGCAAAAGTTCAAGCAGCGCTCAGAAAGTATTTCCGCGAAGATTTCAACCGCATCCCCGATGCTAGCGCCGTCATCAAGCGGCGGGTTGCTGTCGACCGCAAATGGGGCTTGCCAATTGACGACGTCGCCGACCATGAGTTCGGGATGCTGTTTGTCAGTGTCACTAATGCGATCCCAACACTTTTCTGGATGATGTGTTGTGTCTTTCACGACCCGGATTTAGTCACCTCGCTCCAGAGGGAGCTCGAAGCTATCGTCATCACTGAGAACCAGGACAACGCCACTGGATCTGAGCACCTTCAAGCCAGCAAGTGCACATTCCCGGTTGCAAAGCTCAATTCGGAGTGCCCGCTCCTGGTTTCTACGTACAAAGAGGTCATGCGCCTGACGAACCGCTCCACCGGTACGCGAAGGGTTGTCGAGGATACAGTGATCACCTCGGAGGCACAAACCTATCTCCTCAAGAAAGGAGCTAACATTCAGATCCCGGCTATAATTACCAACTTCCTCCCCGAAGCATGGGGTGAAAACGCACACGAGTTTGACCCAAGGCGTTTTATCACCGCAGATAGGGAAACAGAGCGGGCCCAGAATCGCGCCTTCAACCCCTTCGGTGGTGGTAAACACCTCTGTCCCGGTCGCTTCTTCGCCGATTCCGATGCCGAGGTCTTAGGTGCACGAGCCGCCTTAGTACTAGGATTTGAGATTGAGACACCTAAGGGTGGCCGCGTGGATGTGCCGTGTATCAACAACAATCTTGCCGAGGCGGTCGGGAAGCCACTCATGAGTGTGCAGGAGAGTATGCTGGCGAGAATTCGGCGGAGGCCAGGGTGGGAAGATGTTGAGTGGTGTTACATCGCAGGGAATGGGAAGAGTTAAAAGGGGTTAATGGCACGTTGGCTTTCTGTTCAAGTAGGCAAAGAGCTTCCGTGTAATTCGAATTTAACGTACAGTTACCAGCTAGGCACATCATGCGACAGGTCACATTGATTCTCTAGCATCTAAGCCAAACGATACGACTAAGTGAATCAAATCGTTTCAATAAGTCAATATTTCTGTGATGTAGTTGCGAAAACTTCCGAGCTTATCGGCTTGAACTTTTGTTCCTGATGAACGGACCGACGCTCCGAATATCACGGACTCCACCGAGCTAGTAAGACGCTCTTGAGCCTGGGAGATCTCATCGTATCATGTGCCGCTCAAATGATCAAATACCTGAACTCTCGTCTTAAGACGAAGCTTTACGAGGGTCATCCCCACCTCCGCTTCGTGTGGAAAGCACAGCCGGTCAACATGATCGGGGGAAACGGATGGTCACCCCCACTCCGACAACCGGTCATCCCCGCAAACAGCCTGTTAAAAGACGTCATGTTCCTGACCGAACTCCCGGAAGACTTCCCCGGACCCCGCCTGTTCTGAATTTCCCCTCATCACGAGGGGTGATGCGGAGTACCTCCGCACTCTGAACATTCAATCCGATTTGCGAATCGTGTTACGAGGGATGAAAAATAGAGTTGTCGGCTTTTGTTTGCTTCGGGAAATCCTTGGATAAGAGCCATCCCGGCCGAGAAACGCACCGATTCGACATTGTACTGGCGGTGAGCCGGTTACACTTCGGGGCTTTTTATAAGTCCGTGAGCTTGTCCGGGAACTGTTACCTAACATATAAACTGGGCCATCACGGTAACAATTCAGCCGACGACGTGTCTTACCAGCGGATTTTGAGATCTATGTCGGCATAATGTGGTCGTCAACGAGTCTGACTGCTGTCACGCAGCTACTTGCGTTGTCAACAGGCGCCGCAGCTCTCGCGCAGTCTCCTGAAGTTTACCCGTCGCGTAAGTCGTTGCCCGTCCAACCCAGCAAGCACATCAACAAATCAGCTCTGACGTAATCGCGAACCAGCATCCGGGAAAGGGACAGGAATCTGGAAAGATGCGTACGCCAACGCGCGCAAATTCGTGGATCAGTTGACCGTGGAAGAGAAAATCAACATCACACGTGGCTATGCCAGCGACAATGTTTGTGCTGGCAACACTGGATCAATCCCGCGTCTGGGGTGGCCTGGGATGTGTTTACACGACGCGGGCAATGGTGTGAGAGCGACTGATCTGGTCAATTCGTATCCTTCTGCGCTGCATATTGGGGCAGCTTGGGACAAAAACCTGACATACCATCGTGGGTACTGGATGGGCAAAGAATTCAAGGCTAAAGGAGGTAAGTAGCATTCACGGGACTCAAGGCTCCATCGTGTCTTGCGACTGACGGGGCCATCAGTGAACGTTTTGCTCGGGCCGAACGCGGGACCTCTTGGCAGGATACCACTGGGAGGTCGAAACTGGGGTAAGACAACCCGATCATCAATTGATTCTAATAGGATGGGTACTCATCATTGACCAGAGGGCTTTTCGGTCGACCCGTACTTGTCAGGACAGCTGAACGCCGAGACCATCGTCGGTCATCAAGATGCCGGGGTAATTGCCAATCTCAAGGTCAGTTGGAAAACAACGCATCGTAGATGGCGTCAGATTGCTCATAGAAACACCGCAGCACTTCATCGGGAACGAGCAAGAGACCTACAGAAGACCATACTTCGGCGTGGAAGCTGCCTCATCCAACATCGACGACAAAACCCTACATGAATTTTACCTTTGGCCTTTTGTCGATGGTGTCAAGGCTGGCGCCGCTTCTATCATGTGCTCATACAACAGAATTAATAACACCTACGGCTGCGAGAACAGCAAGCTTATGAACGGCATCCTGAAGGGCGAGCTGGAGTACGAAGGATTCGTCCTGCTCGACTGGAACGCGCAACATAATCTCCAGAGCGCCAACTCTGGTCTCGACATGGTCATGCCGCTCGGAGGAAACTGGGGCCAGAACTTGACCGACGCTGTCGCAAATGGGACCGTGAGCGAGTCTCGGGTGACGGATATGGCCACGAGGTACTGTTTTTCACCAGGAAAGATGTGACCCAAAAACGCTGACACGATGCAGAATCCTTGCGGCCTGGTACCTCGTCGGTCAGGATACTGACTTCCCGACCCCGGGAATCGGTATGAAGAATCTTACCGAGCCTCACGAACAAGTAGACGCCCGCGACCCGGACTCGAGGCCGAACATTCTCGAGGGAGCTATCGCTGGTCATGTTCTGGTGAAAAACGAGAATAACGCTCTTCCCTTCTCGGAGAAGCTCAACATGATCTCGGTATTTGGATACGATGCGACCGTGCCTGACACCAAGAACACAGACAAGCTTTTCGAGCTTGGGTATTACTCATCTCCTGAGATGGCTCAGGCTGTGCTGGGTACTGAGAGACATTTCGATCAGGCTGCCAAGGGGGGAACCATCGTGAGCGGAGGACGTGCTGCTGCCAACGGCCCATCCTACATCCTAGACGTCAGTTGACCTTCTTCCAATGTCAGATGATGAGTTGACAACAACTAGCCTTTGAGTTCTATCCAGCACCGAGCAGCCAGAGACGGCAGCTGGGTCAACTGGGACCTCACATCTCCCAACCCCGGTGTCAATGCCGCCAGCGATGTTTGCCTTGTCTTCATCAACGCCATGGCGACAGAGGGCTGGGACCGCGATGGCCTTCACGACGACTTCAGCGACGGCCTCGTTCTGAACGTGGCTTCCAAGTGTGTGAACACTATTGTCGTCATCCACGCTGCCGGAATCCGTCTGGTCGACCAGTGGATCGATCATCCCAATATCACCGCCACGGTCATTGCTCACCTCCCCGGCCAAGACAGCGGAGAGGCCCTAGTGCAACTGCTCTACGGCGAAGCCTCCTTCTCCGGAAAACTGCCCTACACCTTGGCCAAGAACGAGAGCGACTACTCAGCCTACAAGCCCTGCGGACGTGGAGAGACCAACACGACAAGCCCGCAATGCGACTTCACCGAAGGCGTATACATCGACTATCGCGACTTCGACGCCAAGAACATCACGCCGAGATATGAGTTTGGCTTCGGTCTAAGCTACACCACTTTCGAGTACTCGTCAATCTCTGTGAAGACTCAAAAGGCTGAAGCGGGTGCTGCAGCAAACCCCGATGCACTCTGGTCCACTGTGGCGACCGTCCACGCGTCGCTTAACAACACGGGGTCCCGCGCGGGTCAGGAGGTTGTCCAGCTCTACGTCGCTATTCCGAACAGCCCGCCAAAGCAGCTTCGTGGTTTCGAGAAGATGCCTCTAGAGAGTGGACAAGGTGCGGATGTGCAATTTGAGTTGACAAGACGTGATCTGAGCGTCTGGGATGTCGTCATTCAGAAGTGGACGCTGCAGGAGGGCGAGTATTCTGTTTTCGTTGGAGCGAGTAGCCGAGACTTGCCGCTTTCCGAAGTCTTTACCATTTAGACAAGCGAGCGCAGACAGAGACACAAATGATATGATAGGGTTTTAAATCTTCGAAGTTTGAGTCCCGCTGAAAGTTCATAAGCTAGGGCAGGTCTTTCCACCACTTCGGAGGCGGCTTGAGGTATAAAAAACAAAAGTGAAGGTCCATCCAGGATTCGAACCTGGGCTTACGGAAGGTCTGGTGTTAATCAGAATCCGACGTCCTAACCAACTAGACTAATAGACCTGTTGATGTTCAGTGGAAGGAGTAATCCACTGTGGGATCGACCGAATCAATTGTGGGTTATGTCGTGTGGGTTGAGCCCTGATCCTCGTGTGGGGTGATATCACAGGGATCCATCTTACAAGTCTGAGTAAGTCTGTCTTCTGCCGTTACATTCTAAATTAGTGAGTAAGGTCTTTCTCTTTCTGTATCTGAGTTCAGAGTATTATTTCAAAAGCTCAATGATTCAAAGTCTGCACATTTCATATTGACTAAATCTGCCAGACCAACTCAATAATCGAAAATCTCGAGACACTCAACCAACTGCTTCTCAGTAGCCCTCCGTGTATCCGCAATTTGCTCCGCCGTCCGTCTCTTCAGCATGACCGGGTGAGTCAAGATGAAGGGACCCAAGAGAGCCTCCAGCTTACTGAGTCGATCAAGCGCAGTGATGCCAGAGATAGCGCTAGGTCTCAGAGCACCTCTCGCCGCCAACGCATCATCCCAAGCCTTAGCTCGTGTGAGTTGTCTAGCTGCCTCCTCCGGCAAGTCGGGGATGTCGAAATTGCCCGTCAAAATTGCCTTTGCCAGTCGACCTCCGCTCAGATCTGGGTCCCTCGCAGTACCGCCGCCTGTGCTCCCTCCAACGTCTCCGAGGGAAGTGAAGAACTCGTGGCATGGGTGTGATATGTAAGCCCAATCAAAGTCCAGAACTCCCGTGATTTTCTTCGATTCGGGGTCGTATTGGATATTGTTCGTGGCTAAACAAGCACTGTTAACAACTCATCAAGTTCCGTCATTGGGAAGTGTTGTGCTCACTCAGATCTCCGTGGATGAGAACCCGCTGCTTACCATCTACGCCGGAATTGGCGAGATATGTTTCAAGTCCAGAGCTGAGGAAACTGTCGATGCGCCCCCGTACACCGTTTGGTTTCCAGCCCTCAAGGGCCGGGCTCTCATCGGCATCCTTCAATCGGAAAGCGAGTCTAGTTCTCCAGAAGTCGCTGTAGGAAGTCCAAGGGGCTCCCTCGAGTATGGTCATCTTACCGCCCACAATGTTTCCGCCGTCATCGATGGTCAGTCCTCCATGTGACTTGATACTCTCGGGAAGAGGGGCTTGCTGAATCCCAGTGAAGACGTCGGCAATCTGACCAAGGACATCCTTCTGATCTTCTTCAGACAAGCCTGGAAACTTGGTGTCAAGCGGCACGCCCTCCTTGTATTCCATCAAGGTCCAGCTGTAGCTGCCTTTGGCGCCTTGGTGAGACTTCCACGCATAGACGGCTGGGATAAGTCCGGCGACTTCCGGTTTGAACGCAAGTAGGCCTTGGCGTGCGAGATACATAGCCGCAACTTCATTCTCGACACGATTGTCCTGGATGATATCTTGGGCCTTGGGATTTGCTAGACGCAAAACGATGGTCGAAACACCTTCAGCTGGTGGAGGCGTAGTGTACGGCCCGGCATCTGAAAAGGAGTCGACATATGCGGGCTTTTTGAGGGTGATCTTGTAGATAAAGTTGTTGTATGGGAATGGGACATCCTCTTGGTACTCTACAGGAGATATGTCCGTCGGCTTTGGGCTAATTAGTCGGTTTCTTCATGTAGCTTGACGGGCAAATCTTGCCTCAAGCCCGAATTCAAGAATAGCGTTCCTCACAAGATCGAGGCGCTCTTGAAACTTTTCGTGGTTCATGGTGATGTCTTCTTATGAAGTCATATGATGACGTTCGTTAAGGGGGGATGATCTTTGGATATCGAGTTGAAGTAGCATTGAAAGGAAAGTCGACAAATCGGGGACTTTGGAGTGATTTTTAGAAGATTTTGGGGTCAGTCTTCGATCGTTACTCGGCCACGGTTTAGCATCCGGCGATCGGCGGGCGGAGCACTCTTCTCCTCCGGAGCAGGTTGAGTCAGAGTGCCACGTTTGGAAGGAGGCTTTCAAACACCTTCCTATCTCGTTCTTGATTACTCCAATCAGACCTTCTTGTGAGCTTTAGCTCAACAAACCTCAGTACACTGAAGTTGCGACTGAGTTTGAGAAGGGTAAAGTCGATGAAAAGCTTACTGCCGGTGCTCAGACGAATCGGGTCGAGTCCGAAGATGTCATTGCGGCACAGCATCCAGCGTGATTGGTCGCGCGCTTGAGCAGTGAGTTATTGGTTCTGGTTCTCAACCCGTTTCTTGATATTTACCCCTGTCAAGATCCCCTTGCTGCCTGGAATCACTACCTGAGAGTGACCTCAAATCGATGATACGGCCACGGCTGCCTAGCATGTGCCGCTTGGCTACATACCCATTGCCCTCCTAAGATTCCTTGTCGACTTATTGAAACGCCTCATACGGGACTGATAAGTGCACTGATAAGTGCAAGGTGAACCAGCTCACCAGGCAAGCCGCAAAGCACAAACTTAGCCGGACATCTCAGACCCGCGGAAAGTTTTGTCTGCGAAGACTGCTCAGCATAATACGGTTCGTCAAATACTCCCTTAAGATAAATGAATGGTTCTACTAGAAGCTGCGGCGTTTGCTGATAAGATCTTCGATCCCGGCTACTGTTAACGGTGCAACACGATCATACACTAATGAGACTTTCAATCTTCCATCTCGGTCGGCAGAGAGCATTTCACCAAAGTGCCCAGGAGCATCAACCTGAGAAAGATGGGATGTTCCGCTTCATAAGAGTTTTTCCATTCGAATCAACCATACTTTGGGCTCTAAACCCGAGAAATGGGAGCATTCAACCATCACAGTTTCGTATCCAGTTAGTAGATTACGCTTCACGTTCACTTGCTGATTCGTTTGTTGCGATTGGTGTTCTTTTGTCTTGGGTTTGAGGACTTTGTACAGATTCATTTTAATTGCGTCCGGCCACTCGCATGGAGAGTGAGACGATTGTAATCATGATTCCCCGGAATGTGGTCGTGTATTCAATGCCAAGCCAACAAACCAACCTCACCCGCATACTTGTGTGAATCGGTAGGAGACACAAGGTTTTTCGTTGCCCAATCAAAGCCCGAAGTTCATAGATAACTACGCATAGCAAGCGACACATCTTCTAACACGTGTTTGCTACACATTACACCTGTTCTTAGGTAGAATCGATGCATCGTCGCACGAGGCTGCTTCTGCGAACTGATCGCCACGGATCGACAAGGGCAGCCGTTGAAGCCCTCCTAACTCGCGTGACTTCCCACTTCCATGATCTTTTACATATTTGCTGTTGACAACTACTTTGATGCTCGCTGCTCCGCGTGCTGGAAGTATTGGACTCGATATCGTCGAACCCTTCATCGGAGACTCCCGACCAGAATACGAGTAATCCTCCTTGGGATTCCTGCGATCCCTTCCCTTCCACAATGAAAGAGCCAATTGAGCGAGAGCCATTGTCCGAAGATCAGGTTCAGACTGAAGGCCTCTTACAGCATGGAGACGATTCAACTCTTTCGAATGACGAAGTCCCATCATTCGCTGTTTCGCAGCACGGCTCTCTTCGAAACGGTGTTACACGCCACTGCTGGGGCAGAATCGGCAAGCGAACGCTATTTATACTCGTGGTCGGAACGTTTCTTGTTCTGGGGGCTCTGGCTTTTCTTTCATTCCTATGGATCGAATCAAACCGAGCAAACAATGGCGGCTACCCTGGGCCGGTTTGGCAGGCTATCGTCTTCTCTGGATGGACCACAATTTCGATCACCATCTCATCCGCTCTGATTCGTACGATCATGGCCTCACAGTCAGCTGTCCTTACAGCGATGTTGGCATCATTGTTTCTCGAAACTGCCAGCGTACAATTGCAGCACCTTCCTGCTCTTTCAATTGTCAGAGCGGTCAATCTGTCTCCATTCAGTCTTTTAGGACCGCATCTGTTGGAAGTTCACAAAGCGAATTCGGCTTCGGGCGCCATTTGCGCCATTCTCGTCATCATGTTAAGTCTTCTGGTGTTGGTCATCCAATTCATTTCGAGTATGCTACTTTCGGATTTCTCGACTGTCAGTGTAGCAGGGCGAAATGTCTCTCGGACTACGTCGTGTGACTATCTATTTCCTCGCGGATCCATATGGGGAGCACTGGAAACGGCACCTGTATACTCGCCACGGTTTGCCGAACGCCACGAACCTCCCCGAGGCCCTCAAGACGCAGCTTATGTTGATACGGGCACTACTCTACGCGCTCTTATTCCATTGGTCGATCCGAACTCCCGACTTGGTCTCAGACACTACTATATGGGACCTCTTTACCTTTGGGACGCTAGGGTAGTATGTGCTGTTCCGGAATTGACGAAAGCGACATTTGGGACACGCAGGTGGTCGGAGTTCTTTGACGGAAGCTTCGTGTTACAGGAGCCACACGCTGATTTGAGGGTCTCTGGGGAAGACGCAGTTCAATTTAACTGTTCGGTCTTTTCATGGTTCGGAACATCACTTTGCATGGCAGAAGGTGGTTCTGCTGCGGAACTCGCTTCGCCGATAGAGACTGAAAGAATTCGCAAAAGTCGAACGTACGTCATTGTCAGAGCGAATGTGTCTCGTAATGGAGAAATTCGGTCCGCCAACAGCTCACTTCGGCCACTTTTCAACATCACCGATGGCAGCAGTACGGGGTGGACATTGCGGCGAGAGGGCCCATGGCTAGAAGTCTCCGATTCCTACGGAGAAGGAGTTCTGTCATTTACCGCCTGCACGACGAATGACGCGGCATACCATGGGGAAGGGCTCATGTTTGGGCTTCCAGCACTTAGGGAGCCAGCATTTCAAGTAGCTGGAAAACTTGGAATGTTAGAGTCCACGCCGAATACTTTGGGCTTTCGTCGTCAGCTTGGGGTAACTCCGGATGATCTCAGCATACAAGAGCGTGAGCTCCTTTCCTTAAATGTGTTTTCAGATCGTGGGTTCAAGTTCTCCAGCCGATTCGGACTTTCAAGTATCCGCACAGATACAATTGAAATACGACGTAATGCCTCAAGCCGTTACTGGATTGGAGTTCCTGGGAGGGCAATCGGGCTTCATGATACTCTGTCCCATCTCCTTCTGGACATTATCAATACAACGAACAATCCAGCATTCGTGATCCAAGCGCTTTCGACAGTTTTTGTCGGCCAGGCATTCTACGACTCTTTGCCAGGCCAGCTTCTCAACGACGGGATAACAGACGCAAAACCAGATGCAACAAACTGTACCTTATTCTACAGTATGTCACAAGATGCATACATCCCAGTCAGAAAGTCCGGTCTCCTGAGCGTCATCGGGATTATCGCCGTTTACTACGTCCTCCTCGTGGTCACCGTCCTGCTGTTTACAACCTACACCCAAGTTAGTCTACTCGGAAACTCGTGGCAAGCAGTTGCCCAAGTTGTTTCGGATGACACATTGGAAGTTCTGAGTCGAGCTGATAAGCTCAAGGACGCGGAGGTTGAGAAATACCTGAAGGACTCGGCTCTGGGGTTGAACACGAGAGGTGTAATTCGAAGAAGAAAAGATGGAAGAGAAGTGTTTGAGATGGAGAGGCGAGAGGTTTTGGAGTGAAGAGACGTTGTGCCAAACATCCGGTAAATTCTAAGACCGCCATCTATGGTGTTGTTAACTAGGTCTCATGGAAAGAAAATCTAGTGTGCACTGATATCGGCTAATATCTGACCCAACACCGTTTCGATGCCATCACGCCGCAGTACGAACTCCTCCTCAATCGGCTGGTATGTGACATTATCAACCCCATCCTGTAAAGCCAGCCAAGCCCCCAGAAACGCCCCCTCCGCATCCCAGTTTCGCCTTTCCTCGACGGCGGGGAAGACGCTGTTGCCGGATCCAAGGTCGCACTCTTGAGCCTTGAAAGCTTTGCTGTACCTTTCTCCCCACTCGCGAAAGGCGTTGCACCAGGAAGCGGAGTACCGATCCTTCACTGCTTCGAGCTCGATGTGGAATTCACCCTCAGGGTTGCCGGGGTGCCCTTGGCTATACCAGAGGAAGGACGTTCCATAGTCTGGGTCGATCGCGTAGCTGTATCCGGGCTTTGAGTTTCCGTGTCGTACATTCTTATTGGGCTCCGGTCGAGTTTCTAGCCGTGATTGTGGTTCTGGTTCTGATGGTGGTTCCGGCTGCGCCAAAGTTCCTGATTCGAGAAGCGGTTTCGGCGGTGCTTTAACTTCTTCGGCGGTCTTATGATGCTCCGGCGCTCCTGTGCTTTCTTTGAGATGTACAGAGAGGCCTTCGCCTGTCTTAAATTCAACAACTAGGCCATAAGATGTTTCAACAGAGAGATGAACATTGATGTCCGGGGATCGAGCTAGAGATAGAAGCGCCTTGATTGTGATAATGTCGGACATGTTGGATAGGGAGACTGCAGGCAAGTTGAGGAAATGACTGGGAACCCGCGGAATGAGCAACGCAAGAGTTATTAGTATGCAGAACGGAGGCTGAGGCGTGGCCATGCGGTTGGTTCAGCACCAACGGTATGAGTCTTCTTCCAATTCCCCGTGGCCCTCTCCTGGGCCAGACCAACAACTATGCCAGCGTCGTGAGGAACTCGGGATCGAGAACCATGAACCTGACAGTAGCGCGCGCGCGAAAATGAAAGCGAATTCGCGCGCCGCCGCCAGACCAAAAAGCCTGTCGTCGTCGTGCGCCGGCCGCTCGGGACACAAACACCATCGGACCTCCGGCGACGTGCGGGGCCGGCCTCGGCGCGCCGGGACGGCGGGGAACCCCCACCAGGGCGCACACGCACACCACAAAAAAATCGCGCGCCCGCCCAACGCTCCAAGGGCCGCGAGCTCGCCGCCCCACCCAACCACCACAGCATCTGCAAGGTGTTTCTCATCGGTTTCGTGGTGTAGTTGGTTATCACGTCAGTCTAACACACTGAAGGTCTCCGGTTCAAGTCCGGGCGAAATCATTTTTGGCCGTTTTCGACTTGGCATCGTAGGCAATTGGTATTTTTTTAATGTCGCGCGCTATGGGGAAGTCATCTTGAGCCACGGGATCACTATGAAATGTCCATTTTCGCGCAGTTGTTTGAAGGGTGGTGCTTATCTAGTGACGTTGTCTATGGGTATCAACCGTCAATGACTCCAACAACACGGCCCACGACACGATCCCACTCCTCGTCCCACCTCAAGCTACCCTCCTTCACAGCACCGGATCTCAAGGTCTTGAGCTCTTCCTCACCGCCGGGGCTGAGCAGTCTGATCAGAACCTCAGCCAGCTCCGTGGCGGTCTCAAATCCGCATCCGTTCTGGCCCTCCTTGATGAGCTCGCCGAAACTCTCGTAAGCCGAGTATGCCGCAACAGGCAGGCCAGAACCGAACATGTCCACCACCTTCATCGGCAGGTCGACGCCGGAGCTTGACATGTGCAGGCAGACGCCCAGGTCTGCGCAGGCGAGCAGCGTGGCGTACTCCCTGGTCGAGAGCCACGCGGTGAGGATCGTGATGCCGGGCAACCTTCCCTCGAGACGGAGGGTCTTGATCTTCTCTTCGTACTCGGCCTTCTGAGGTCCCTTGCCGGTGATGATTGCCAGGATCGGGGGCCTGCCGACGCCGCTCTCACTGACGGCTTCTTCCGGATGCGCATAGGCCACGAGGGCATCCAACAAAAGCCCGAAGTCTTCGTCGGGTGTCCATGAAGTGCTGCTGACGATGAGGCGAGTGGTTCCGTTACAGATGCTATCGGCAACATCTTTGGTCTCCTTGAGGCCGGAGAGGAAGGCCTTCCGGGCCTCGGCTGACTTGATGGGCTGGAACACCTGGGCGGGACGGTCGTGGAGGACGAAGATGGGCTTCTTGTTGTTGTAAGGCTTCTCGCGGAGCTGGCGGGCCATGGCGTGGGTGACGGTAAGGTTGGCAGTGGGGATGAGCCTGCCGAAGAAGATTTCGTACTTCTTGTATAGCCAGACGAGAGGGTTCTTCAGGCTGCGGCCGGTGGCCATGATAGACCAACCGTAGTTGTGCCAGTCAATGAGAAGGTGGCTTCCTCTGAGGAGTGAGACGAGCAAAGCCAAGTGCAGCGTCGGGATAGAAGGAGGGTTCTGCAAGAGATCAGCCGTGCTTTCTCATGGGACGGCGTTTTCACCTACCTGAATGATGATCCACCGTGCTGGAGGCGCGGTGTAAGCCAGCACATAGAAGATGGACCACATCTGCCAGACGACCTTTGCCGGCTTGTTGATCAAGAAGGGCAAGGTGTTCCATTTGAAAACGGTTGGCAGGGGCGGGAGAGGATACAGAGCGACTCTGTCATTTCCAACGAGATCTGGCAGGCGAGCCGTCTCCTTGTAACCGATGAGGTCGACCCTGCCTCCATGCTTCATGACACTCAGGGCGTGGTACTGCATGCGAGGGGATCGACCGATGTCGCCCAGCACCAGGATCTGGATGTGGTCATCTTTGGGGTTCTCGGCGGCGTGGTAGCGCGTGGGCAGCAGTTTTGAGATTGAGTTGATACCGAAGGCCGCGATGAGTGTCGTGAAGACGCCGGCCAGAATGGACGCGGCAAGAGCCAGCAACGACATGACGAATAGCTATGCCTCGGGCTGATGAGCTGAGGCTAGGTGGTGTTAAAGATGGTCGTTGGCCCTCAGATGATGGCGTGGTGGTAACGCTTATGCAAGCTGTCCCGTCGATGCTGTCATCCGAAGTAGCAAGATCGCCCTAGCGCATTGAGGCCGAGCTGACGATGCAGGCACGGGTAGTAGGTTTTGTAATGCGTGTAACCTCTGCTTTGTCTTGGGTGATAGAGAACAATTAGATCTTTGTCGAAGGCACTCGAAGGCGCAAAAGTGATGGGCTGAGCTACGCCGCTAGACCCCTCTCTCCCAAGAATCTCGTCTTGTTGGCGCCTTCCCACTTGGGATGGTTCTTGTGGTCTGGCAACTGTGTCGCCAATCACGAGCCGACCGCAAAATGGCGATAGCGATAAGGTAGCGATAACAGCAGGGGCCAGATTCTTGGGAAAATGATCACGTGGCTTGAAGTCGGAAAAGGATACGTACCTCAATTGGCGAAGACGGCAGACGGGACGCAGGGCAGCAATTCTCATGCAGCCTCACAATGGGATTATTCCAGTTCGAATTGACCTAGAATTAGAATCAAGCACCACAGATCTTAATATGAGGCTGAGATATTCTTTCGTCACCCAATATACAGGAAACGGGCTGCTGCACATGCTAAACAACCACAGACCAACCGCCTCAACGATACTGAGACGGTGATGCCTGCCAGCTCGACGCATCTCCATCTCAGCTTTCTCAGACAAGCATGGCATGCCCAGACATTCAGAGACATTTCGCCATGTCGCCATGGGGGTTGGCAGCAAGCCGGATGCCAGCTGTTAGCAGAGAATGCCGCATTGCGAGGAAACACCCGCCACTTCCGCTGTCAGGTCCATCAGAGATTATCGGCCTGGGATCTGGGTCGCATTGCCATCATCTGCATGGGCGATTTTTATGCAGCCGACTCCCAGCATGCCCAGCGGACGCAGCCCAGCATCTTCCCCCTCTTCACGGGCAATTCAACGAATCACCATCATTGCGACCACGAACGTGCCGCCGGCCTTCCTCCCCACACGGAGCAATCTGCAGGGGTTGACCGCCGGATTCCTCATTGGGACAAGGTGCGAGGGGGGAGAAGAGACTGGGAGGAGAGAGATATTCATCTGAAAGGCGAAAGGAGGCACCCGCCCGACATCCCGTGGTTCAGCCAAAAAAGCAGCCCGGAGGAGGAAAAAAAATAACAACAACAACAACAACAACAACGGCCCGTCTGCATCCACCTTGTGACTTTTGGAGTTCTGATTTTTACCTGAAGCTTGGCGGCTGCCCGTCGTCCTTCCTTTATTCCACGCCGCCTTCGACTGCAACAATTTGGCTGCTTCCAGCATCAACACCGTCTGTGCAACACGCCGGCGCGCCCATCGTCGATCGAATCTCTCCCAGCGCTGCAATTGCGAACGTCATTTAACGGGGCGACTCCATTCCGGTCCTTTAGCCTGTGCAAAGTCCCCTGAATTGCCGCTGCCGCAAGGCGATGCTGCGCTAGACAGGATCAGGCACACGACTACTATCATTCCATCGCTGCGACTCTACCTATCCTTACACTAGATACTTGTGGCTCTCTCGCCTCTCCTCTTCCTCCTCTTCCTCCCAGCTCCACGGCATCGGAGGGTCCCACGACACCTCAATTGCAACATCTCGTCGCCATCTCGTGCTTCCCACCGTCCTCGCAAACGAAATACAGACCCAAGACATCGCCAGGACGAATCCTCCGACCCATGACTCAAGTATCGTACGCGATACGGGACATCTTTTAGAAGGTCCCGCGTGGAATCAACGGGTCCTCGGTGGAGAGAACGACCGGAAACGAGCCAAAGAAATCACGAACAGAGGGGATACGGGACCGCCGATACCGACACCGACCACCGACCCCAGACCGACCCAACTGCTACCTCACCCTTCGCCGCCGGCCGTTCAAACATGGCCTCGTCCTACGCTCTGCCATCCTCCGCCCTCCCGCACGCACACCACCACCACATGCACTCCCACTCCCACTCGCCGCCGTCTCTCCATGCGTTGAAGTCGACAATGTCCAACGGCGGGCTGCATACCCACAGCCAGAGCCAAGACTCGACCGGCCACGTACACGACCACGATCATTCCCATTCCCACTCCCATTCCCACAACCACAATGGCCACGCCCACGGTCACAGCCACGGCCACTCGCACGGTCGGGCGAATTCCAGTCAATCATTTCAACCACGAGACAGGACGGCGCCGCGCTCTCTCGCGACCATGGATGGGTGGAAGACGGACGTCACCCCGAGCGGACGCCAGCTCCTGACGCCGACGAATGGTTCTTTCTCAGAGGCCTTCCAGCCGCTCGATGGCGTAGCGACGAAAGAGCACCACCGTGACCACGACCACGATCACGATCACGACCATGGGCACGCACACGATCACGGCCATTGCCACGGGCACGACCATGGCCACAGTCATTCCCACAGCCACGCCCACGACCACTCGACGCCGTCGCTATTTACGAGGCTCGTTCTCCGATACACACCGGCTATTCCGTTTTTGCACACAATTGTCGTGGAGAAGGATTCAAGGCGAATTTTCTACTTCATGACGTAGGTCACACTTTTCCCCGTAGGTACTTTCAATGGCTAATCGTCGCGTCTGCAGCCTCAACTTCAGCTTCATGGCCGTGCAGGCCTTCTACGGATACGTCACCGATTCCCTCGGCCTCCTCAGCGACACGATCCACATGTTCTTCGACTGCTTCGCCCTGTTTGTTGGTCTTTGTGCTGCGGTGACGAGCAAGTGGCCGCAGACCCAGCGGTTCCCCTTTGGACTTGGAAAGGTCGAGACACTGAGCGGCTTCGCCAATGGCATTCTGCTGATGTAGGTTACACTGTTGTCCTAGGTGACATTTCGAGACTGACCGGGTACAGGCTCCTGAGCGTAGAGATCATCGTGGAGGCGTTTGAACGGATATGGGAAGGTCAAGAACTCCACCGCCTCAGGGAACTGCTCATCGTCAGCTTCCTCGGCGGCGTGATCAACCTGCTGGGTCTCTGGGGATTCGGTCACCACCACCACGGCCATGACCACTCCCACGGGCACTCGCACGACGGACACGATCACGGTCACGATCACTCGCACGGCAAGAAGCACAGCCACGCGCACTCCCATCATAACGACAACATGGAGGGTATTTTTCTGCATGTTCTGGCCGATACGATGGGCAGCGCCTCGGTGGTGCTCTCGACGATCCTCACCTACTACACCGGCTGGACCTTCTGGGACCCGCTGGCGTCGTGCGCCATCGCCATCCTCATCTTCCTCGCCGCCATCCCCCTCATCAAGTCCTCGGCGCGCAACCTGCTCCTCAACATCCCCGACGACATCGAGTACAACCTGCGCAACACGCTCGCGGGGATCCTGCAGCAGAAGGGGGTCGTCAACTACTCGGTGCCCAAGTTCTGGATGGACGACCGCAGCAGCGAGGACTCGGGCGACAGGCTGCAGGGCATCGTGCACGTGGTGGCGGCCCGCGGCGCCGGCCTCGACGAGGTGCGCGACCGCGTGCGTGAGTACCTCCTCAAGCACTCGATGGACATAGTGGTCCAGGTCGAGAGGGAAGGGGACGGCAGCTGCTGGTGCGGCGTTGGGCGATCGACGGGCATCGCGACGACGCCGTTGAAGAGGACGTTTTAGGAGGACGCGCCGCCGATGACGCCCGTGCCGACGATTGTCGAGACGCTGGTGGAGCAGGAAGAACGGGTGAAGCGGGATTAACTAGAGGCGTCCTTTTCTTTCTGAGTCTTTTTTCACTTCATTTCTATGCCTAGACCACGAGAGACGGGGAGTTTCCAAGACCACAGATAGCGGCGGGGAAAATACAGGCAGGCGTGTGAGGATAGAGAGGATCGTCGGTTTGGAGACGTGATTTGTTTTGGCGAGGGCGTGTGATACCTACGCGCGCGGGGTTTTTGGCTCGATATTCATGTTGTGTGTGCTTTTTGTTTCTGGTCCATGTCGGAGTTTTGGGAAAGTTATACACACACACAACACACACACACATCACGGGAGGAAGGAAGGCATTGCGACGGCATTCAAAGACTTATTGTATGAGTAGACGCACACACATTACTGTCCTCTTCTTCTTCTTTTTCTTCTACTTCTGCCTTGGCAAAACACACACCAAAAAAGACTAAGATACCCTTCAGACCGAGGCCCTTGTAGTTTCTCCCGTTTTGAAATGTGGCTGTCGATGTTTTCCAAGAGATGGTGGATGTTTCCTTGGACCCGACGACGTCTCCCAAGGTGAGAGTGACATCCATCCGTCCGGGGGAGGCTTGGCTAATATGTACGACCGGGTTTAGTCGTAATATTCTTTAATTTCTGAAAGAAATCTGGTTTCCTATCCTCATTGGATGATTTTCACATGCAGGAGGGGTTTTACCGCGCCCCCGGGCTCACGTCGATTGTGAAGGTGAGAAAGGGATTCTGTGTCTGCTGAAGATGTTTTGCTGCGAGCGAGAGACTTGGGCGCATGCGCGTTGTAGCAGCGAGGACCATACTGGTGCGGTCCGTTTTACCCGCAAGATTGGTCAGATGTCTCTTGTGATTGGCTCCATGTAAGAGGGACTGGCTTCCGATGTCGTTCGTGCACTTTGAGAGAAGTATTCTCATTTTCTAAAGGGATGAGATGAGATGAGACTGATAATTATCTGCCATGAGTTGGGTGTCTTGGGCCTGTAGATCCATATCTTGAGCAGATTTTTAAGGTACGCGGTCTCGGGCTGGAACAGGATGTCTTTCGATGTTTATTACCCCCGTCTTGTCGTGTAATCAAGTTTCACATGACAATTCGTATCTCAAGGAACTCATGGCGAGGAATTGAGTTCATCTCATTGGGGGTAGGTTCACGCGACTGGATGGATCACGACATCCAATGCTGCTAACACGGTGATGGAAAGCGAGCTGAGGCGGCACATTATGACGAAACTTCCGTAAGGTAGATAGGGGCCTGTCACTCCCATATCCCAACGGCCAGGAACGATACGTCGCATCCATTCATGCGAGATGCGGCAGCAGCATCAGCAAGCAGCGAGCAGCGCCTCACACCGACATGTGCTGGTGGCAGCCCAGGTCCACATCTCATGGGACTCTCCAACTTTTAGCGCAGACACCCCGCTGAGGTAGGGCCAGGGGGGCCCGCAGCAGCTGTTCTCCCCTCCCCAGACCCCGGACGGAGGTTTGGTGACATGATGAGCCGAACGACCGAGGCCCGGGCCAAAGATGACATGACCGAAGAGGTGAAGGAAAGGGTTTCATCCCGCGCGCTGGGATGAGCTCACTTGAAGGGTAGGGAAAAAAGAAGAGTTGATGGTCTGTCCTTTTTGGAACTTTTACTCAGTCTCACACAACCATCGTCAACCTGCCTTATAACATCATTCAATCGTGATCTTTCACATCCCTCTTTCCGCAACCAGCAATCAGTGGGCACCTCTTCTTCTTGTGGAACCACAGAACCAACTGCGACCGCGACCATTTCATTTGCCTCGGCTCGCTGTGACGTAGGCCCCCTCCGAAGACCGCGCCCGCCCTCCTCCAAAAAAGCAGTCTTTCGCATCCTCGCAGAAGAATAGAAATTCCTCTCCACGGAGTACCGACCGAAACACACGAAATCGCAGCTCGAGACCAGCGCTACTGCGGACATCCTCTTCGCGCCAGGAACGGACCGCCCGGGCTTCTTCTTCCCTCGACTCAATTGCGCTAGGAAACGAAAACCGACCTAAAATAAGAGAGAGGAGCGGCGCATCGCGAACACGTGCAAATCTCCTCCTCCCTCTTCCCTTTCCCCGGAACCTCTCCTCCCTCCCTCCTCTTCAACCTAATTCCTCTCTCTACACCGACATTCCTTCTCACGACACTCCTCCTCCTCCCAACAACCCCCCAAAGACCAAAAAAAAGATGGCCCCCTCGTCCCCGGCCGAGTCCGCCAACGCGGCCCTCACATCCGCCCTCCCGGCCCCCGTCGCCGACAAACTCCCGCACATCCCCGAGTCCAAGGCGGAACTGAAAGCCGACGCCTCCGCCGCCGCCTCCGGCCTCGCCTCCCAGCTCCGCTCCCTCGCCGCCGGCGGCTTCGGCGGCGTCTGCGCCGTCGTCGTCGGCCACCCCTTCGACCTCGTCAAGGTCCGCCTGCAGACCGCCGACGCCGGCGTCTACAAGGGCGCCGTCGATGTCGTCAAGAAGAGCATCGCCCGCGACGGCCTCAGGAGGGGGTTGTACGCCGGCGTGTCCGCGCCCCTGGTCGGCGTCACGCCCATGTGTGAGTCTCCTCCCATTGCTCCTCCCATATCTACTCAGGGCAGAAAGAACACAAACTGACCTTCCTCAAAACAGTCGCCGTCTCCTTCTGGGGCTACGACGTAGGAAAATCCATAGTCCGCTCCTCCGCCGCCGCCCCCGACGCGCCCCTCTCCATAGCCCAAGTCTCCGCCGCCGGCTTCCTCTCCGCGATCCCCATGACCGCCATCACCGCCCCCTTCGAGCGCGTGAAAGTCATCCTGCAAGTCCAGTCCCAGCGCCTCCAGCCCGGCGAGTCCCCCAAGTACGCCGGCGGCCTCGACGTCGTCCGCTCCCTCTACCGCGAGGGCGGCCTGCGCTCCGTCTTCCGCGGCTCCGCCGCCACCTTAGCCCGCGACGGGCCCGGCTCCGCCGCCTACTTCGCCGCCTACGAGTACATCAAGCGCCGCCTCACCCCCGCGGACCCCGTCACGGGGAAGCCCACCGGCGAGCTGAGCCTGCTGGCCGTCACGGCCGCGGGCGCCGCGGCGGGCGTGGCCATGTGGATCCCCGTCTTCCCCGTCGACACGGTCAAGTCGAGGCTGCAGACGGCCGAGGGCAACGTCACGGTGGGCGGGATCGTGAGGGAGGTGTACGGCAAGGGGGGCGTCAAGGCCTTCTTCCCCGGTTTCGGGCCGGCGCTGGCGAGGGCCGTTCCCGCGAACGCGGCCACCTTCTTGGGCGTCGAGTTGGCGCACCAGTTTATGAACAAGACGTTTGGTTAGATGGACGGACTGCTGTGCTTGCTTGTTGAAAGAGGAGGCGTTTTTGCTGGAGGGAGGCACTCGTCACGAATTACTACCACCTATACTTTCCTAAACTAACGTCACACGATAGAAGCGAAGGGAGTCAAGTTTGAGTTGGGTTTGTACACATATAAATATGCCAGTACTAGAAATATCCTTTTTTATCATTTTTCATCGCAGTATCTTATCCATGCTTCGTGAGGGAAATCCGAAAGAGAAGAGGAGTGAAAAAAAGAACTTCCGCCGCTGATGCCCCCTTTTTTAACTTCTGGGTGATAATTACAATAATCTTTTCTCTGATCTCGAAATGCCGCCGCCCCATTTACTTTTCTTTCCCGTGTTGATTAACGCCATGCAGAATGAATGGGGAGATTCTGATATGTGGTCCTTCGCTACCCAAATGTACCGTCGTAACTCTGTGTACGATTTCGCTGTTTTTTCCATGCCTGGTGCTATTCCGTACTCTCTTTTGTACGTTCTCGTTCTCAGTCTCTGGGTCATTCTAACCGTTTCGCTTCCGGATGTACTCTAAGCGCGCTCGTTGACGGTCCACCGCCTCTTGGAGGTCGTCATGTCGCGCATAATCTCCGTCTCGCCGAGGGGCCGCGGCGCTCCCCATAGACCGCCGTTGGAGAAGCTGAGCGGCGCGACTTTGTTTTCGTCTTCCGTGCCGTCGCTGGAGGTCGGGCGCGAGATCTCTTGGAACCTCAGGGGGACCTTGGTGGGACCACCGAACTGCGGCTCCTTTCGCTCGGGCGTCGGCGGCTTGACGATCTCCGGGCCTTGTTGGGAGAGCGCTGCCAGCTTCTTTCGGTGGTCAAAGTCCGGGAAGATGTCATCGTCTTCGTCTTCGTCGTCCGTGTCCTTCTTGGGTGTGATGGGCGACCACAGGCCGACGGACAGTGTCGGCGAAGGGTTGGTGTTGATCGGGGGCGCGTTGTTCGTAAAACTCGTGACGCCGCTTCCCACGGTAATGCCGGTGGTGTTCAGAGTGGGAGCCCTGGGCAGAGAGTAGGCATTGTTTTGAGACGTGCGGCGCATGCTACCGAGGTTGGCGTTGGCCGAAGTACTTCGGCTTCCTGGAAAGACAAAGGATTCGGGGTTGAAAGTGATGGGGGCTGGTGTGTACGAGTTCGTCGTATTCGCCGAGATGCGGCCTCGTGCTCCATTCTGCGAGACGCTCGAATTCGAAGCTGTAGACGGAGCCCTGGAGAGATTGTGCGTAGCAGACGAGGTTGGTCGTAAATGGTCGGTGTTGGCGAACAGCTTTAGGTCGTAGTATTGATGCACTGGAATGATGCCAGGCTGAGACAATGGGTCCGAAACCTCAGACATGGGCGTGTCCAAACCGGATGGCTCGGTCTCGCGGTTGGGTTTGCGGACGGCCATTGTCAGCGACGCCATGCCAACGTCCATGAGGACCGGCTGGTGGGTGATGGCGCCAATCAAAGCATTGCATCCTGCACCGTGAGACACAAGAATGACGATCGACTCGACGTCCTCATCGTCCTCGTCATCGATGGCGCATTCGTTGTCGCCGTTGTGAGAGGTCTTCACCGTTTTAGTGACCATCTCAGCAGGGCGCTCAGCGGTGGTGTACCAGTCCACGAGCTTCTGAATACCCTTCCTGAATCGCTGGTGCATAGCTGTCCACTCTTCGCCGTATTTGCCTCCATCACCCCATTCGAGGGGCTCTCGCATGGAATCCCACTGGTAGTCAACGTTCACACATGCGTCCCTTGCGTGGGCAACGTATCCTTCGGGGATCTTGACATTCGACGAGACTGCGTAGTTCGGGGTCGGGGCAACATATCCGTCGTTCGGATTACCGGGTTCGGGAACCATGAAACGGACTCGTTGGCTGGATGAACTGGCGGCGCTATCCGCGCGGCTTCGCGGAAGGGCGCCGGTCGGCGAAGTCAGACTGTCCAGCCCAAATACGGACGGCGCATTGGAGTCGGCTGAGCCGGATCGCTCGGGGGTGGCTTTGAATTTGGGGCTGTTCCAGAGCTGACTCTGGGCCTGACCAACAGAGTTGGCATGATGGTGAACGTGCTCAATGATTTGATCGTGGGAGCTAATGTTCTCCCGCCGAAGAAGATCTGCCTTCGCGCCTGCCAGCATCATGGCGGAGCCGGGCGGCGGGGTAATCATTTCAAAGTATTCCGGAGACAACCACTCGCCCAGGAAAGCGTCGAGACGTAGCGTTGATTTCTTAATCTTTTTCTTCGGCACTTCGGACTTTCGTTCGCTCGTATCGGCGGAGAGAGGGTCGACTTCCTCGGTAGCAGAAGCCGGAAGGACGAACGGGGAGGAAGAGGGGTTCGCGCTGGGTGAAGGCATCGGAATTGGGTAGGACGGAGTGTTCAGAGGAGGCGCCTGGGCCAGGCCGGCGCTGATGGCGACGGAGGTCTGGACGCATCGTAGGAACGGGGAGCTGTGGAGGACGACCTTGAACTTGCGTCGCTTCTTCGAGTCTGTTGAGCTGTCGCGACCGTTCGGGGCCTTGTTCAGATCAGCCTCGGCCTGGCGCAGAATGCTGGCGATTCTGACACCGAGAGCCTTGGCTTGCTGCCATCCGCCGTAGGTCAGAGGAGGATCGTAGGGTGTCGGAGAGGTGAGATGCCATCTCTTGTCGGCGCCGTCGAGACGTGCGCCGTGCCTGCAGAAGCGTCAGCGTCTAAAGAAGTGTGGGACAAACTTGAAAAGACGTCTACCAACCTGACGACGAAGATGTACGCCGGCGGACGCCCCATGTTGTTGGTGACTGGGAAGCGTGCGGGAATGTCTTCTCGGGTGGTGTGCAGAAGCAGACTTAGAGTTAGGTGACGACTAAGGACTAGAGGCGAGCGTGACACCTCCAGTGACGAAAGAAAACGGACGGAGGGTCAAATAATGGCAGCTGGACTGCGACCGGAGATATCTGGCACCAACTAGGTAGTACAACCAGGGGATCGGATGGCTTGGACAGGCGAAATAAGCTTCGGCCGGCGGGCGGAAGCACGAAGCGCGAAATAGCGAGGGCGAACTAGAAGCCGGTGAAGAGGCGTCTAGTCTGGGGAAAAAACGGCAGGCCGTTGCGCTCAGATTCGAGGATTTCGGATGTCGGAGTTGGTAAAAAGCAAGTGTTGGTCAAGTCGAAAGAAAAGCGAGGCAAACAGGCAGACGACGAGGAGGCAGCAGTGGCAGCGGACTCGAGGAAATAGTAGATTTCATAATCCTGCCACGAGTTTTGCTTCGGTCATCCGGTGTTTGGGAGCCCCTCTCTCCGACCAGCTGGGCACCCCGACTTCGCAAGCGCTAAAAGCGGCCAGGACTGGGAGTCGGACTGAATTAGATGGAGACCAGATGGACCCAGATTCAGGGTCGGTCAAGCGTCGGTGGAGGGATGGTGTCGTGGAGAATATTTCGGTAGCGCAGGTCTCCTCTGAGGGCAGATTACAAAGTCCACGGGCAACATGGAGCTCGCGGCTCGGTACTGGGCAGCTGGGAGTTGTTATTGGGATCGGAATACCAAGCCTCCAGGGCGCAGGCAGGAAGCAGGGTCCGACAGGTCGAGGCGCAGCGACAGAGCAAACAACGAAAGCAAACGAGCAAGGAGATTGTTTTGTTGCCGTTTGGTCCGTATCCGTGATGGATAATTATGTTCTTTGTCTCTAGGCAGTTGGTTCCTGAGGTGCTGCTGCTGCTGGGATTCGGATTCGGCTCCAAGGGTCGTAATGTAGGTGCAGGCCTGCAGCAGCAAGCAGCAAACGGCAGCGAGAAAGTGCGGGGCAGGTTTTATTTCTTTGTTTGCTTTCCAATGTGGTCGTCAAGCAGGGTATGGTGATGCAAGGACCAGGGATGCCAGACGGCACAAGTTTTGTTTGGTTTTGGTGCGGATCGGTTTGGACGAGAGCGAGTCGAGTCGAGTCGAGTCGACGAGCCACCCTACCTTTAGGCCGGAACCAAGGGTTGAAGGCCGCAGGAAATGATCCAATGGTGGTGTGGTGTCGTTGGAGATGCAAGCAACACGACGAGTGACAGGCTGGGACAGCGCTGAGAGGGGGTGAAGATCAATTGCCTCCTGTGTTGCTATTGCTGGAGCTTGATGCAGCTGCGGCAGAAGAGCGAGACAGGGAGCTGCTTGCTGCTACGCCAGGCGCGTCAGCCGTTGGAGTCTTTTCTTTGGAACCCAGCAAATGAACGACATGGACATATTTCAAGTGTGCATGTGTCGGTCACTCGGGCGGGTTGCAGCGGCCTTCGATGTCGCAGTCCCGTCCAGTGGTGCTTTTTTTTGCGGAGTGCCACAAATGCAGAGTGAGAGCTCATTTCTTCCTCTGTGCATGTGATTGTCCCTCTCCACCGTGGCTGCGAAACGTCATTGCAGCACGTGGGGTGAAGGAGAAAAAAACAGTTCACCTGAAATGACAAAAAATGCAAGGTGCACACCTCTTCGGATTTTAAGCTTAAGTAATCAGACTTTTCAACGGCCACCTCATCAACGGCGGAAAACATATGTAATTTCCCCGAACATCATTCTGCATGGTCTCACCTAGGTTGGATGTCAATTACCTATTCTCGAGCATCCAACTGCTGCATTGCCTTTGGCTCTCACCCAAGACACTGCCCAGCATCACACGATCCTGACGCAACATTAGGAACGTGATCACTGATCAGCATCAGCTCAACATGCGCCGGACGGATATGCGACAGCGGTTCACGATCTCGGACTCGAATGCTCCGAAGCGGCAGTCCAGACTGCACACCCAGCGCTTCCAGAACCCCTCCTGGATGTTCAGGTACCCAGCGACTCCACACATCCTCCACCCGGAACACTCACCTTCGTCCCATTTAAGGATAACATCACCACTCACCGAGCCGGGCTAACCCCAGAGTAGAGGAGTGGTCCGTGCTGTGCAGTCCCCTCCATTCGCGATGGAACCAAGTCGCCAAAGTCCCAATGTCTCTCCTTCTCTTCTCATAAGCAGGATTCTCGCTGTAGACTCATCGAGGCGGCCGACAGACTCGATTCTGGCCGGATGACTCTACTGTTGACCGCCAGAATATAGCTCGGTTTGACGTCTGACGATGGCATATCGAATTGGTATATCTATCGACGATAAGAGAACACAGACTGGACTGTTGAAACTGGATGATGTAGTCAGATCTCACCTCACTTCACCAGTCAAAGCCCTTGTCTCAACTCGTATCGCCCTCAGCGCAACCCTGCACCCCGCATCTTTACCTACCTACTTAACCACCTTATTGCCCAAGCCGCCACACCACTGAGCCTGCCTTTCCCCCTCATCGTCAAGCTGCGAAAGAACGTCACTTGACTGGCAAGGGAACATTGATCGCAAGAGCGTCAGCGTCACAGGAGGCATCAGATAGTCTAAAAAAACAACCCAATATCAAGACACTACCGTCATAATGGCCGCCCTCCCAAAGGAACAGGACGTCTCCCTCGCCCCGGAGGACCTCAAGGCCCGCCTCAAGGAGTCTTACGACACCATCGCCCCGGCCTACAATGACTGGACCCTCCAGCAGACCACCCTCCGCCTCGAGTACCTCGAAAAGCTCATGGAGAAGCTGCTCGTCGCGAAGCCGCTCTCCGGGCAGATGTCGCTCGTCCTCGAGCTCGGCTGCGGCTGCGGCCTCCCCGTCACCGACCGGCTGCTGACCACCCCGGACCTCTTCGTCACGGCCAACGACCTCTCCAGCACCCAGATCCAGCTGGCCAGGGAGAACCTCGCCAAGCACGGCACCGACCGCGTCACCTACGTCGAGGGCGACATGATGGCCCTCGAGTTCTCCGAGGGCTCCTTCGACGCCATCCTCGGCATGTACTCCGTCATCCACCTGCCCCGCGAGGAGCAGAGCGAGATGATTCGCCGCATGGCCAAATGGCTGAAGCCCGGCGGCCTGCTACTCGTCAACTTCTCTGCCGAGAAGTCGCCCGGTCACGTCGTGGACGAGTGGCTGCACGAGAAGGGCTGGATGTACTGGAGCGGCTGGGGCTCTGAGGAGACGCTCGCCCAGATCAAGGAGACCGGACTGGAGGTCCTCTTGGACGACATCGTGAAGGATGAGACTGACTCTACTTTCTTGTGGCTTCTCGCGAAGAAATAGGCGAGTCAAACTCTTCATCTCACCTTCTCGCGTTATGAACGACAGCATTAGAAGACATTGGTTTGGGGCATGCTTCATGTCAACGAGGCACATTCATGGACAGTAAAATTTACATATTAGACTCGCCAATACACGAAAGAAGTCTAACTACAAGTCTATTTCATCTTTTTGATCCCCGTTGGTAATATGAATGTTTCTCATCATTCGTGAGATATCTACACATCGCTCCTGCCCCAGCATGTACTTCGACGAGGTACATCGACCCTCCAAGATCGTGTGGGGTGAGGTCCAGCAGTCGGATTTCCGCCCACAGAGGGGCGCTGGCCCGTGCGACTAGCAGTTCATGAGCTGACTAAAGGTCGGGTACCTGCTGGAGTTTGTCAGGATGCAGCTCCGTGGCGCTTCCCCTTACCAAGCCAGCCTACACAACATCTTCAATTCGAGGCGGTCTCTCGTCTCCCTTGATACCCCCTACAACCTCTATTCCTTTCTTTTTTGCATTCATTCCCCGCTACCTTCGACAACAACCTGCGCGCCATGAAGCTTTCACGCCTCCTTCAATTGCCGGTTCTTCTGGCCGCCTCGACCCTCGCCCCGGCAGTGCTCGCCGAGCACACGAGCAACTGGGCCGTCCTCGTCTGCACCTCGCGCTTCTGGTTCAACTACCGCCATCTCGCCAATGTTCTCTCCATATACCGAACCGTCAAGCGCCTCGGCATCCCCGACTCCCAGATCATCCTCATGCTGCCCGATGACATGGCCTGCAACCCGCGAAACGCCTTCCCGGGAACCGTCTACAGCAATTCAGACCGCGCTGTCGATCTCTACGGCGACAACATCGAGGTCGACTACCGCGGCTACGAGGTCACCGTCGAGAACTTCATCCGCCTGCTGACCGACCGCGTTGGCGACGAGATGCCCCGCAGCAAGCGCCTTCTGACGGACGACCGGAGCAACATCTTGGTGTACATGACGGGCCACGGCGGAAACGAATTCCTCAAGTTCCAGGACGCCGAGGAGATTGGAGCATTCGATCTGGCAGACGCGTTCGAGCAGATGTGGGAGAAGAAGAGGTATGCCAGAAACATTCGTTGCCTAGTGAGCCGGACAGACACTAATTGCTTAGATATCACGAAATCCTCTTCATGATCGACACGTGCCAAGCGAACACGATGTACAGCAAGCTCTACTCCCCCAACATCATCGCCACCGGCTCCTCCGAACTCGATCAATCCTCCTATTCCCACCACGCCGACAACGACGTCGGCGTCGCCGTCATCGACCGCTACACATACTACAACCTCGAGTTCCTCGAATCGCAAGTCCAAGACCTGAGTTCCAAGAAGACGGTCGGCGAGCTTTTCGACAGCTACACCTACGAGAAGATCCATTCCAACGCCGGCGTGCGCTACGACCTGTTCCGCGGCGGTGCCGATGCCGCGCGCAGCCGCCGCATCACCGATTTCTTCGGCAACGTACAAAATGTCGAGGTCGACGGGGCCAAGAACATGGTGCTTGACGAGGAGCTGTTGGAGCTGAGCCAGAAGATTGCTGCGCTGAAGAAGAGGGCTGACGAGGCCGACGCTGCTGCAAAGAATGCAACGCTCGCGGAGAAGGCTAGGGCCAAGGAATCTAGCACCAAGGCGCAGGCGAAGCGCGTACAGATGGCGAAGCCTTTGACGAATGACAACTGGTGGGAGAAGAAGCTTGTGGGTGCTACTGCGCTTGTTGGTGTTGCTCTGCTTTGGGCCCTGGGGTCGTATCTTGAGTCCCCGAACAAGTCGCGAGACGATGAAAAGAAGGCGAATGGGCAGAACGGGCATGCGACGGTAAAGGCATGACGGAAGTTCGTCTTGCGTATTGTGTCTTTTTATACATCTATGAGCATGCAGCACAGCCGGCGTTTTGGGACAGGGCCAGGAGTACAATATGACTAGGGATATTTGATTTCATTTAAACAAAGTCATTTCTTCGGAATAGTATGTGATATCTCCATGCAATTCATTGTACTCAATCCCAGCTCAGCGCCTGCCCGCACATGTTGAATTCCGTGGTTGTTGCGAACTTGGAATTATCCGGAGTATTTCCTGCGTAGATATCCGGACGAGGACCACTTATTACGACTCACCGAGATCTTCACCGAACTCTTGCTTGCACTTCAAAAACCCTGCTACGGCGCCTGAGCAGACGTTATTTTGAGGACAGCCCTCCCACCACATCATATGGCGCTAGATGGAGGACGGGGAAGTCCGATTCTCATTCGAAAATGGATAAAGTCAAGGTCAGTGCAGCATTGTTCCTTTTGAGGCTGCGCTTTTCAGTTCGCCGACAATCCTTCCATACTGGCCAAAAACGTTCGTTTGCTGGGTCATATAAAATCAGCCAGCCCAGTAGACTCAGTCGCTGTTTCTGCACTCTTCTTCCTATTGCCCATGTATTCGTCGCGACAATTTAAGCAAGCTCTAAGAGGAGGGTATTACTTTGCCGCGTTTATCTGCTTCGCCGGTGCAACTATCGGGAACGCAGTTGCCTCATCTCAGAAATCTCAGTGAGATGGATTCATTGCGGCGGACGCTGAGCCAACGGCCTCAAAACGCGTACATCTTTCATCTACATTTACACAACTCATGCACCATCGTCATGGTTCAATTCTTGCCGCCACATTGCCCACACTTCTTGCAGACCCCGCTAACAGCCTTCCCAACCTTGAAGATCCCCCCTCTCAAGACTCTAACTCTCAAGTCACGGCCCTTGACAACTCACGCCATCACCTTCTCCTGTGACGCCGAGCTCGCCGTGGCCGCAGACGACTCCGTCCACGTCTTCCTCCCCGAGTTCCCGGCCCTAGAGGAACAGAACTCGTCAAAACCCACCCCACCAACCGACGGCGTCGACCCTCCCGCCGCCGCCGCCGCCCAGGATGCCGTGCAAACGACGACCACGCCAGGCGCGCCCCCGGCCCAGGACGATAACGCCTCCCGCCAGCAGTACTACACCTACATCCTCCGAATCCCCACCTCCCGCAAGCCCGACCCGCGCATGAACGCCTCCCTCTTCACGGCCCAGGGCCTCGCGCCGCCCTCCTACGACGACCTCGACGGCGAGTACGCCGAGGACGCGGCCTCCGCCTTCGAGGGCGTCGGCTCCGGCGTCGTCACCGGCTACGGCGCCTCGCTGAACCAGGTCGTCGCCGTCGCCTGGTCCCCCGCCGGCGTCGGCCGCAACCTGCGCCCCGTCCTCTCCGTCATGCTGACCAACGGCGCGCTGCTCGTCATCGGCGAGGGCAACGCCGGGTCCGTCGATCTCGGGGCCCGTATGAGAGGCTTCCGGGACTGGAGGATCCTGTGGGGCGTCGGGGCCAACATCCCGCTGCCCGACGCTGGGAGCGAGGACGCGGCCTACCTGCCTAGGGACAAGGTCCGCTCGTTTGCGTGGGCGGAGAAGGTCGAGACGGGTCAGGCTTTGTTGGCGTATGCGACGGACGAGGAGGAGGTTGTGGTGCTGAGCGTGCAGTACTACCTATCTGACGAAAACAATGAGGATGAGGGTTCGTACGCGTGGCGGGTGGAGGAGGTCGCCAGGCTTTCCGGACGGGGACCGCATCCAACCCCTAGCGTAAGTTAACATCACTTCCTCTATTGCGGCTGCACGGCTGCTCACACTTTATAGAAGACGGACCCGGATTACAGCCCGTACACCTCCGCCTTCTCCCTCAAATTCTCTCCCTGGCTGCTGTCAGAGGACTCCAGGACGGCCGTGATATCCTACTGCGCGCGCAACTACGTCGGCTTCCGCCGCATCACGATTCCGCGCGCCTGGGACCGCGGGGCCAGCATCGAAGCCAGCGTCGAGGAGGCCGATATCACGGGCATATGCACCCACCTCGCCTCAGACGCCTTCGTCGAGTGGGAGAACGTCGTCTGGGACCGCGACGGCGCCAAGGTCTGCCGAGGCGTCATCGCGAGCCCGTTCAGAGCCATGCCGTTCCAGGTCGCGCTGAACGGGGCCGAGGGAGCCGCGAAAGAGGAGCACGGCACAGATGTCTGCGGGACGACGTACCCCGAGGACACGACCTCCTTGGACGCCACGAATCCCATATCAAGTACGTCTACCCACCCCGGTAGAGATCACAGTTAGAGGTGGGTGTGCTAAACTGACGACAACAGGCCTGGTGATCCATCCCCCCGACATGACGAAGCGCTCCAAAGCCCCCTCATACTCCCTCGTCCGCCTCTCCGCCACCGGCAGCAACGACAACTGGTTCCAGCAGAACGCCATCGACACCTACTTCGACACCCTCCCCAAGTGGGCCGAGACCATCTCCTCGACCGTCAAGCTGTCCGTGCCCGCGTCGATGCTCGGGCGCGGCGGCGCGGGCGGGACGGCCCCCGGCGCCGACGCCGAGTCCGCCGCCTCGGACGACGACGACGATTCCGACGACGACGACGACGACTTCGACCTGCCCGAGGACGCGGGCGAGCAGATCCGGCCGTACAGGGTGCGCGTGTGGGGCCTGACGACGTCGACCGTCGGCGGGGTCAGCGCGGTGCTCGTCTCGCAGCATAGCACGCAGCAGCCGGAGAAGACGGTCAAGACGAGGGTCATGTTCGGCGGCAAGGCTGCGCTTCTCGCTGCTTCTGCTGCTGCTGGGGAAGACGAGATGGATGTTGACGGGAGGGGAGAGGAGCCCGGGCCGTTCTGGGCGAGGCAGAGTACCGAGGCCAAGATGTGGGATTGGATGTACGGCGGTGGACCTCCCGTCCCTGGAACAGTCGGTTTCGAGGGGGACGCGACGGCGAGCGCGGGCGACGTTTCGCTGAAGGAGAGGCTGAGCGTCGTTAGGAGTAAGCAGAGATGCGTGTTTTGTCAGACGGAGCTCAAAGATCGGGGCAAGGAGTCTGTGTGCGAGAGGAGGCACGTCTTTGGTGAGGTTACGCCTTCCCCTTGCGTCATGGATGTGCTTTTTTGCTGACTTGTTTGGAAAGCTACGTGCGCGGCGACGGGGCTGGCTATATTGGCGCCTGGGATCTCGAGGGCGTGTGCTGTCTGTGGACTGCGGTGTTTGATTGCGAAGGAGGTGGAGAAGATTGTGCGGGAGCAGCTTGGTCCCGAGGCCAAGGTCGAGACGGAGGAGGAGGTTTGTGGTGGGTGCGGAGGGAAGTTTGTTGTGTGACGAGGTAGGTAGGGAGGGAATGATACTACTTCATGAAGTTTTGAAAGCATGATGAATGGGGTAGGATGAAAAGTACTTTTGAAATATGTGAGCTGGGGTTTTCTGTTGAGGTATGTTTTCTTTGATATTGACGGGTTGATGTGAGGGGTGTCTGGTGTTACTTGATTCTGCAGCTGCGCCCTTGCCTGTGGTATCAAAGACTGCGATGTTTGAAGCACCACAGACAAAGACAACACGAGCAGGACACATCGTCCTCATGTCACGCCACGAAAACAACTTTGAAAACCGCATTGATTCTTCAAGAGCTACGTGCTATGATATTGTCTCTGCAGCCAACTTGATCCAGTGAAACCGTCCCACGAAGCTACTCACACACGCATCCCTGAAAACTCCAAGATTTCGACGAAGACGATGAAATCCGGGTAAATGTCGCGGTCCTCGGATTTTCATGGATTAAAATCGGCGGAAGCGCCGGGTCCCGCCAACCTCGACGTCCTCGGGCTCCTCGTCGACGACGTCGTCAGATCGGGGGGACACGGTGACCTTCCGGGGCTGGATGCGAGGCCATTGGGGCCAAGGGGCCCTAATAGGTGGGGAGGGTGTCTTGTCACCCCGGGTCTCGACGATCGTGGGGTCCTCCTCTTCAACGGTGGCGTCAGATCGGGGGACGAAGGGGATCTTCGGGGGCTGGATGCGAGGCCATTGAGGCCAAGGGGCCCTGATAGGGGGGGAGGGGATCTTGTTGTCTCGTGGCTCGGCGGGGGTACGGTGGTGGTTGGCTCCGACGGGGTCGTCCGTGAGGCCCGGGTCCCGGGCGGAGAGATCGTCGATGTCACGGGCCTCGACGGCGGCTTCGGCGGGGATCTCGGGGACGGAGCGCTTCTTCACCGGCGCGATGGGCTGTTTGTGGCCGTCCCAGGCGAAGCAGCCGATGACGCCATCGTAATGCCAGATGCCCTCGGCTGGTATCGGAGGCATTAGAGACCATGAAGAAACGAAGAAAACGGAGGAATATCATGATTATACTCACAGAGGTTGATTTCGGTGAACGCTGTCTTGCCGTCGGGGCACCAGCAGGACATGATGACGGGATCAGAATTGGACTTGCGCTCCTTGATACTGCATTGTCGACAGTTGGAGTTGCCGCTGTTGCGATGGCGTCAGGACATCAATCGGTTGGATGGCAAACACGCAGGTCAGCGAGGCTTACTTGTAACCCCAGTACATCTGGCCTTTGCGGTTCACGAGGCATTGCTTGAGCTTCAGCCAGGTAAAGACTTTTGTGCCGTGACGATCGATGCAGTCCGCCTCGAGAATCGGGTTACCGAGATTGGTTTCCTCAAAAACGTTCTCGGCGGTCCTGACATGCTTGCTGATTTGGAAGTTGGAGCATTCTTCCTGAATGCAGGTGGACTCCTTGGGACAATTCCCGCCCATGACCGAGGTGGCGGCCAGAGAGGCGAGAGCGGCGATGGAGAGGAGCTTCATCGTTGTGGCTGGATACGACGGCGTTACTGGGTTGACAGGCTTGAATCTTGAGACTTAGGCGTGATGATGATTATGACCTTGGGAGAGGAAGTTCGGGAGGCTTTATAGATGTTGCTGATTCCCTTAGGCCCAGGATCACCGGAGTTGAAGAGCTATCTAGACATGTTGCAGGCGTCCTCCTCGTCTCTGCCACGTCTCTTGAGCCCTCCCTACATGGACGCTGTCCATGGAAGCAAGAAAGACCCACAGCTCTATCATGTAAAGTGAAGTCATCTCAACGCACTTTCTCTTTCTTCTTGAGACATAGCAAATTGTGGAACAGTAGACGAAGTTTGCGAAGTGTTGGCTGCATAACTTCCGTGCCCAAACACCTCCATTTTCTGCAGTGAGATAAAGAACAAGAAGCTCGGATGTAACCTAGATTTAAGCATGAATGTACTTCAATAGCCGATCAGTATGTTTCATCAATGCTTCTAGATATGTGAGATGCCATCTCGGTGACCTATTCTTTCCGCAGGGCAAGGCAGATAGCATCTTGAATGACAGCGGTGAAGGCCGTCTGGACTCCGCGAGAAAGAATGTGGACACGTATGATCATTCCTGTTACGGTGACTTTGCATGGGCTGGGTGTTTCTTTCTTTCGAGTCAAACGGCGACGTAAATAGGATGACGATCATGAATACGTGAGTGAATCAGCAGCCTTGACGATGTCAGTCTTCGTTGGAAGCCTAGTTACTTTGTTGATACGATACTTTCTCCGCCTAGCAATCTGTCTACGAGAAGAAAGCCCCTCTACGTCACAACAATCTTCCAGGGACTCCTCGAAAACCTGTTCTCCGGATCATACTTCCTCTTCAACTCAACCAACCTCTTCGCGTTCCCCTTGAACCCCTCCTTCACATCCACCACATCGCTGAAGTAGTTATTGTACTGCCCAACCCCGCCAGTCTCGCCTGTGTGGTTCCTCCCTTTGATATTCTGCGCCAGCTCCCGGTTCCAGCCCCTTGCATCGCCGTCCTTGGCCGGGTCCGTCCAGCACGTCAACACCATGCAGTCGAAGTACATCCCGCGGTTCGAGTACGCCGTCGCCCCGAACCCCACGCTGGCCACCTTGTCCTTTTTGTACATCTCCACCGCCAGGGCGCTCGTCCGCATGTCGTTGCCGCGATCCGTCTCCTGGTCCACGCGCGCGTAGAATTCCCTCTCCATCTCTTGCCACTTGGACAGTGAGAACGGTGCCGTGAGGTTAGTGCCGCCTGTCAGTCTTCTCGCACCGGGGCCTTGGGAGGCGTCGACTAAGGTGTTGGCGACGGGATAGTCCATCTCTTGGGTCATGTCCATCAACGGTTCGGCTTCGAGTAGGCCCTTGAAGAGACCTTCCTTGGCCTCTTTTCCGGTGCCGTTGTGGAACGGCTGCACAACGATGATCGGCGTCTGGTTGGGAGGTGGTGCGTATGCGAAGGCCATAACCACGAACTGCCCCCCGTCCATCTTCTCGATGAACTCGTTCGCCCACGCCACCAGTTCGGGAAGCTTGGAAGTCGGATATATGAGCGCTCCAGACCACACGCGGCCCTGAGGAAACACCTTGGAGGTAAACCTTGTGACCACACCAAAACTCGCCCCCGCGCCCCTCAGCCCCCAGAACAGATCCGCATTCTCCGTCTCGGAGGCAGTAACAACAGAACCGTCCGCGAGCACGACCTCGACCTCGACCAGACAGTCCACAGCAAGGCCGTGCAGCCCGCTCAAAAGACCTTGACCGCCGCCGAGAACGAGACCCCCGACACCGGTATGCGAGACGGTCCCGCCGACGGTGGCTAGGCCGTGCTTCCACGCCTCGTCGTCGACGTCTTTCCAGGTGCACCCGCCGCCGTAGCTGATGAGCCGTTTCTCGGGATCGACGGAGACGGAGCGGAGATGGCTCAGGTGGATAACCATTCCGCCGTCCGAGGAGGAGGTTCCAGCGGTGGAGTGGCCGCCGCCGCAGGTGGTGAAGGGGATGTTGTGCTTCGTTGCGAAAAGGATCGCTGAGGATACGTCTTGGGCCGACTTCGGTTTTATGACTAGGGCCTGAGGGCGTTCAGTAACTGCGCAAGTTTAGGAATGGGAGGTGTTCATACGGCTCGCTTGATACAAACTATGGACCAGCGTTCCAAGCTGGCTTCGTACCCCTCATCGCCGGGCAGGAGGACATCGCCCTGGATGGCTGACCGAAGGGCCGGCACTTCCCTTTCCCAAGAGTCAATAGTAATGGATCCCGTGGTTTCCGGAGTTGAGATTCGCAATCTACAATGTTCAAATGCTTGGCACCAAGTCGTTGATGAAAGAGGGGACGTTGTGTCTTTTGAACTAGAGCTGAGACTCGATGGCGACGAAAACAGCTTCCGTTTATCAGCTATTGCTGCTGTTCCACGTCACTTGTGGAACGAAGGATCAATCCCGAGAATCGGGCTTGATTGTTGGCTTTTGATTCCTTTGAAAGTTCTTCCTCCTTGTAAGCGCTAGCTCGGCGAGTGCCGTGATACGCGCGCCACGATGTAAGACCGGACGTCATTTATGAGTGCCATGTCGACCTCAGTCAAGGTGGAATTGAAAACTCAGCAGTGCTGAACAGAAACGAGAAGTGTCTGTGGCAAAATACATCAGACATCGATAAAGCCAACGTCCTGTCGCTTCTCCGCCGTTCCCAATCTCTTCGGCTCCGGCCTAGTCGCCGGCCGACGCCGCTCCCCTGTCCCGTCTGATTCTCTTCCCCCGCTTGAACAAGCTCCCTCCCACACAAGCTCTAATCCCGACGACGTCTCCCAACTTCTCGAGCTCCAAGTGGAAGATGACATTGAAATCTCGCGGGAAAGCTTTCCTCAATCGCCCGCAACGTCCATTCGCTTCGTGTCGGGAGATATGCCAAGACACCCGTTCTACCCCGCAGTAGCAATGCTGCTACCCCAACGACATCACGCCGTCAGGTACGCCGAAACCCTGATAGATTGACCGAGGAATCCGGTGCACGGGTCCGAATGAAGAAGCGGATACTCTCGAACATGCAAGTTTATGTCACTATGAGTCGCGATAATTGGAGGGAAATTAGTAGGCGCAGTTGCCCGCACTCCGCTTGTAGCGTGCCTAGGCTTCGTGGGCTCATGGTTACAGTCGTCAGGCACGTCGGCAAAGATCTGATCGGGGAGCAAACGCGGGGTTGATCTGAATGTACAATACTACAAATAGAAGGACTATTCGCCAGGAAACAGGTGTGATAGGGCTGCTCGATATCAAGCTGCGAGTGATACTGATACATCATGAAGGCCCAATTGAGCTGTCTTCTGTTGTCATATACAACCTTCGGGTTGTCCGAAGCTCGTTCGTTATGGTCTTCTGTCCCTGCAACGTTCGGTGACAGAAACGGAGACGGGTACATTCTGAAGACCGGTTATCCGGTTGGCAACGGCAAACTCGGTGGTAAGTACCAGCGCCCGATCCGGCGTTCCGGGACCGAATTAACGTTTCCGTAGCAATCCCGTTCGGCCCTCCCGGATCGGAAAAAGTCAATCTCAACGTCGACTCTCTCTGGGCCGGAGGTCCGTTTGAAGCTTCGGTCAGTCTCGACTAACCCACAACATTAAGGAGATCACTAACAATGAACAATAACAGAACTACACAGGAGGCAATCCAACAGAGCCGAAATATGGAGCTCTTCCAGAGATTCGAGCCACGATTTTCGAGAATGGGACGGGAGGTGAGTCACTGCGATGTTGTCTATGCTATTAGAATCTAATTTCCATCTAGATGTTTCACCCTTACTTGGTGTAGGAAGCAGTTACGGTGGAAACCGTGTTCTAGCCAACCTCACCGTCGACATCGAGGGCATCAGCGAATACAGCGACTACAGAAGAACACTCGACCTCAAGACCGGGGTTCACCACACCAAGTTCACGGCCAACCAGACAGGCTTCGAGATATCCCACTTCTGCTCGTACCCAGATCAGGTCTGTGTGTACCACATCGCTTCAGAAAAGAACTTGCCGGCTGTCAAGGTAGGGTACGAAAACACGCTGGTCGACCAGGACACCTTCGAGGTGAGCTGCGGCGAAGACAACGTCCGGTTCACCGGCGTCACTCAGCTCGGTCCTCCGGAGGGCATGAAGTTCGACTCCATTGCGAGGATCGACAAGGGCGCGGCTACCACCTCTTGTGCGTGCGCAGGTGTGTTAAAGATCACACCGGCAGAAGACCAAAAGATCTTGACGATTATTATCGGCGCTGAGACGAATTATGATCAGAAGAAGGGCAATGCCGAGAACAACTACTCTTTCAAGGGCGAAGATCCTGGTCCGATCGTCGAGAAGACAACATCTGACGCCGTAACGAAGTCATTCGACAAGATCCTAGGAGACCACATCGCCGACTATCAGAGTCTCGAGGGTGCTTTTGAACTGAGCCTACCCGACACTCTCGGCTCTGAGGAAAAGGAAACCGGGAAACTGATTTCGGACTACATTTACACCGATGGCGGAGACCCTTACTTGGAGGCTCTGCTGTTTGACTACTCCCGTCACCTCCTCATCACGTCCTCTCGCGCGAATTCTTTGCCTGCGAATCTACAGGGGCGATGGACCGAGCAACTCTGGCCAGCTTGGAGCGCGGACTACCACGCCAACATCAACCTGCAGATGAACTACTGGGCTGCCGACCAGACCGGTTTGGGCGAGACCCAGCACGCTCTCTGGGACTACATGGAAGACACCTGGGTCCCGCGGGGAACCGAGACTGCGAAGCTGCTGTACAATGCCGACGGCTGGGTAGTCCACAACGAGATGAACACTTTTGGGCATACTGCGATGAAGGAGGGCGCAGAATGGGCCAACTGTGAGTCGACAGTCCCAGCTCCCTTCACCAATCTCCACGGATTTGCTGACACTTTTCAGACCCCGCCGCTGCCGCTTGGATGATGCAGCACGTCTGGGATAACTTCGAATACACCCAAGATCTCGACTGGTTCACGCGCCAAGGCTACCCACTCATCAAAGGTGTCGCCGCCTTTTGGCTCTCCCAGCTGCAGGAAGACCTCTTCTTCAACGACGGCACGCTGGTCGTCAACCCCTGTAACAGTCCCGAGACCGGCCCGACAACCTTTGGCTGCACGCACTACCACCAGCAGATCCACCAAGTCTTCGAAGCGGTCCTCCACGGCGCCACCTTCGTCTCCGAGCCCGACGCCGAGTTCCTCGAGAACGTGGCCTCCAGCATGGATCGTCTGGACAAGGGCGTCCACGTCGCGGAATGGGGCGGCATGAAGGAGTGGAAACTCCCGGACAGCTACGGGTACGACGGAAAGTCCACGCACCGCCACCTCTCGCACCTCACCGGCTGGTACCCCGGGTACTCCGTCTCGTCCTTCCTCGGCGGGTATACCAACTCCACGATCCAGTCTGTCGTGCGGGAGACGCTCATCGCGCGGGGTATGGGTAACGCTCAGGACGCGAACGCGGGTTGGGCTAAAGTGTGGCGGACGGCGTGCTGGGCGCGGCTTAACGAGACGGACAAGGCGTATGAGCAGCTTCGGTATGCGATCGACGTCAACTTCGCGCCGAACGGATTCAGCATGTACTCGGGTTTGAACCAGCCGTTCCAAATCGATGCGAACTTTGGCTTGGGCGGCGCGGTGTTGAGTATGCTGGTTGTCGATCTGCCTTTGTCGTTTTCGTCGAGAGATGCGTCTCGGACTGTGGTGCTGGGTCCCGCAATCCCAAAAGCCTGGGGAGGTGGCAGCGTCAAGGGTCTGAGGATCAGAGGCGGCGGTGCGGTCGACTTCAGTTGGGATGATGAAGGATTGGTGACGGAGGCGGCTGTTAAGCAGGTCGGTAATGCGCTTAGCAAGAGTAAGGTTCGCTTCGTAAATGTTGCAGGAACCGAGTTAGCGGTTCTGTAAGACGGAAAATATTAGTTGCGTCTTCATCATAGCAATTCTTCAGCAGCTCGTGTCGGGTCGCGATGAGCAGCAATAAAGCCCGCAGAATACATGTGTGGATATTCCCAACGTACCTAGTATGCATCGTGGTGATGTGAAAAACTAGATGCCTCGGGTTTTCGTGTTTCAAAACCCGTAAATAATACTCATGATGTGCGTCGGTGGGCAGGCGCGGTCATGGAGTGCGTGTCTCCATCTACCAAAACCCGGCCGTCGGGTGATGCTTCCCAAGAATCGCGAACACACGAAGACCAAGGTCTATAGGTCCGAACAATTTCGTTGCAAAATAACAATTGCACCTGTTTTCGAAGGGATGTTTTGAGGTTCGCCGGGAGCAGATCCAGCGCAGGTTGCGGTGAGGGTGAGTCCATGTATCTTCTGACGCATGCGAACAGCCGAGCCTTTCTTTTTTGCAATTTTTCTCAACATTTTCCTCAGTGATACTTTGAGTCGCACTATTTTTGCGCGCGCCTGCCTCGTACACGTGAGGTTGGTGTTGTTGTCGTGGAAATCGGCGTGGTGGTGTGGGTACCTCCGAGCCCGGGCCACGGGACCTGCGGGAGGAGTGGGTCCCGGTGGGCCCTGGGCCCGGGCTCTTTGTTGACGGCCTCACGGGGTAGGTGGTCAAGAGGCACGACTTTCAGTTATTTTCTTTTGGGTGTTGTATTTGTTTAAGTGAAGGCCGAGGGTTCGAGTTGAAGGTATTTTTGCTTTTTTTTTACCGCTTGCAACGGACATAGCGATCGACCGGAGGCGATTAAGATGTGAGGTTGTTGACAACTCCTTCAGTTCTGGTCGAACGTTATACCAGTCGATGTTATATAATGAAAAATGAGTATTGCTAGTTTTCAAGGGCTTGGTGACTCGTGCCCAATTCCTATAGTAAGAAGGCGCGAAGTGACGCCTTGAGTCACACGGCTTTGAGTTTTGTAGTAAGCCGTAGCATTGTCGAGCCTAGCTGAATCTTTATCCTCGAGCACGTCTTCATGGCGAAAGTTGAAAAAAAAAAATTAGGTATTATAATCGAGGACTAAACTCTCCTCTCTTTTCAGATCAGGATCTCCAGGCAGTCTTTCCAGATAAGCAAGAGTCTCCACGAAGGAATGAGTTGCTAATGAAAAAGAAAGCACCCCATCGCTGAATCGAGATTGGTTTTGCCCTATAACTGCTATACTGGATATGCAATACATTAATTACGATTGTTTTGTCGGTGAACTAGTCGATACTTGAATGAAATCGTTCGCCCACAACTCTTTGCAAATCATCAAACAATCAATGTTGAATGGCATTGTTCACGACACCATCTCTTTACGCCCGTTTCTCAAGGGCCCACACCCTGGATCATTCTCAAGAGGGTAACGTGTTTTATCGAGCGGACTCTGGGGATTGGGGAGGATGGACTTGGCTGGAATTAAGCCGGAGTCGGAATACAAAGAAAACGCCCGATCCGTACGGCTGAGGCTTCGTGATTCCCAGTATTTGCTCCCCCCTCTTGTTTTCCAGCCGCGCAGACCATCAAATGTGGAACAATATCGTTCTCCGGCATGCTAACTCCGGAGTGCTAACATAGTACATCTGCAAAATAGACGCCGCGACAAATTTGCCATACTTGGAGAGCCTACGCAATCCCCTTCAGTTGCTGGCATGACGGTATGACACTTTGTCCCAATCCATTTGCTCACAAACCAGTTTCAACTCTTCTCTAATCTCAGTTTCAAAGCTTACTCTCACGAGAGGAATACTGACCCAAGAGAAAGCCTTTGTTGTTGAGAGGGCATTTGGATTTCCATTGGGTTTTGTGATTGTTTGGAAAGTGTCGTTCGCAGATTGACTCGTGGCACTGCTTGAAGTTGAGACACAAGGTACGAAAAGCAAGCCCTACGAGTACGAGTTCCACGGCTTAGTGATAAAGGTCATGGTGATGTTATGACATTTGAAATAATATGTTTCCGAAAGGTAAGGTTTCATGTGGTGGCTACAGATGATCTTGGATGAGAGATAAAGTGACAGTATTATAGTGGAAGGCCGGTAGGACTGTCCCATAGCAACTTTGATGATGGCGATAATTGACACAGACAGCATGAAAGTCCACATTCCTCCTACGCGTCGACTCAGTTCCAGAAACTGAGTCCGACAATGGCCAGAGCAGGGAGGAGAACGCCATATGAGGTTTCTTCCACAAATGGGAACATGCTATTCCAACAGAAATTGCGCCATGAACGTGATGGATAAGTTCGTGCTATCACATTAATATATTCAAATGCATTTGCATGAGAGGTAACTGTGCAATCTCTGGTATCAACTTCCAACCCTTGCGAATAACGTTGATCCCCAAACGCGCTGGCCCAGCTGCCAAGGGACCAGCATCTTGTTGACGTGTTCGGCGCTACAAAATTACCGCATCTACGGGTTGCAGTGTTAATGCATGGCTTTTCATGTGTGTTTTGATTCACACTTCTAATTATTGATGGACCCAAAAAGACCCTCGTCCATACATGCAGATCGAGAATGCAGCTCGGCAAAAGATGAGAGACATACCAAAGTGGAGGTTTTATTTTTACTGGCTAGGGCTTGTCCGTATACAATGCAGGAATCTTAAAAGGTATATGGCTGACTGAAATTGAATAACAGCAGCAGGTGAGTTGCGGGGTCTCAACCAGAGATATTGACGCAGCCTTGAGAAGGCGCTTTGCCAGCGTGTTATGCATAACTCATGTTGCCAAGATCTCGGGTTGCAATTTCCAGCAACTCAAAAGTACGATACACAACTTCACCGCCTTACCTCGCTGTTACCATCGCAGAAGTAAGCCATTTTTTCCTGGTCCGCAGAGAGATCTGAGACCCAAGTCTGCAGTTCCGCTGGCTGCAAACGTGGTGAAGCACCGCGAACGACGAGTATGGCGATTAATGGTGTCTGTCTGGCGCTCCGAAATAAATGACTGTTGCTCCAAAATATTCTTTTTTTCTAGATATTCGACACCTTCAAGCCTGAAGTTTCTGAAGTTAGCCTTGTTGAGAATGGCTCGTAAGGCGGATGATTGTTAGACCCCGTGAAAGAGGCGGCGAGACTATGGGAATGTGTACACATGTGGGTAATCCATTGATAAGCGGGGTTGACGGCTGACGGAGTGAGATTATGACAACGACCAGCATCATCTCCCCGATTTACTCTTATGTGATGCCTTTACAACGTTGGTTCTCTGTCATGTTTAGCCATAAGGTCTGTAGAGAGTTACGACTAGACGAACGGTGAACCAACAACCTCGAACAAATGGATTACGATTTGTGTTCTAAGACTCCCACGCTCTGATGACTTGGAGAGTTTGATGTCTTAAACAGGCGGTTTACTTATTTACAATTGAACTGACGGTCAGAAACAAAGCGTTAGTAAGCAGCGGCACCCATTTGCCTCTCTCTTCCTCTTGATTTTGGTGGCTCCTTTCCTTTTTATCAAGGCCGTCAGGGCAGCCTCCTTCTTCTGTCTGGTTATCTTAGCGACGACTCGAACCACTGTCCGCTCCGCGAATTCAGTGTTCTTCATTATCCTACTAGTATTCGAACAATAATACTCCACGGGAATCAACTTTCGATTTTAATATATGGCTTCTCAACACAACTCGAGAATGCTTTTGTGGTAAAGTCCAACTACACATCTGTCCAGAGACACAATACCTCTGTGGACTGCTCTTTACGATGAAACCAAGACGAACTCGGAACTAGATTCATGCCCTGTCTTACAAACAGCTAAAACAGATGTTATTTATGGACCACTGGCCTTGAACGACGGTGCTGGAGCAAACTACATGGACATGTTCGACGTCAACCAGACTGTTAGGTTACAATTTCCGGATCAAAATAACCGTCGTAACATCTATGTCCTCAAAAGGTCTTGCTCTTTTTTACGTTCCAACATGAGGAAGACGGTCCACATTTGACCGCTATATAAGACCCAAGAAGTGCAGACAAAAAGAAAGACACCAAGCGCACTAGAAGCAAGAGGTCGAAGAGACCCGCTTCTATAATGCCCATGTTTTTGATGAACGAGACCGACTACGACGACTGTGATCTGCTCATCGAGAGACCGGTCTCACGCCACGACCCTAACCGTAGCCCTGTTACTGGGGTGCCGAAGAAGATTTATGGGGGCTGAGATATTATTCTTTTATGTGACATGTCTCTCAAAGCATGATATCTCTAAAGGCACCCAAAGCTCACTAGTTCATCGTGATATGCGACGGAAATCTTCAGCATCAGCAACCCTCTCTTCACAAGCCGTTTATAACTCAATAGAGATTATCTCGGGGCATATGCGGACGGTAGCACCAGTGCAACTCTTCAGCACATCTCTAAGTGCTACGAAGAGGTTATCTCCCACGAAGAGCCTCAAATGCACTCATACTTTTGCTCCCCTTGGATATTGCTAGATAGGATGGGCAACATGCTTACATCCTATGGCCCACGATGCCTTGCGCACAATCCTTTCTTCTCTTGCTTACTCTCGCTAGAATACTATCACAGAAGCAATGATACAGGACAGCCAACATTTCTTGTTTGACGCGGTCTTCTGTGGGACAAATGGCGTTGACCCCAGATGGCGACGATACGGCACTTCCCAGGTCGGACGGAGATACCGAACGTGCACTTCGTGCAGTACTCTTCTGGAGAAGGGTCAATTGTCAGTTTCTGTTTCGACGGAAGTGATCCCATGCATATATAAGCGCCGAAAATTGCAATACGCCGCGTAACACAACGCAGCAACCGTTATTTTTCTCCCATTCTATTCGACAACTCGCCATACCCAGCATTGCATGCATATATAAGCAGCACTAGGACGTAATCTCCATACCGCAGCAGCAAAATGTGGCTGTGCCAAATGCCTATCAACAAAGAGGTTATCCTTCAATGAGGGTCTTCTAATCGCGTCGATGATCTCGTGTACCAGGCACATCCCCAACAGAAGATGCGTCCCAGCTTCGTCACATCAAACAGATGCTTTTCATCCTTGTCTATCTTGGTTTCTATTGTATTCTTACTGGGATAATATCCCAGAAGCGCAGTTGCAGAAAACAGAAACAAAGACCCTCAATCCCGCTACTACATGCTCTTCTTGATTTGTAGAACGTGGTGTGGACTATGGTGAGCGGTCGTCACAACGAATGCGTGCGCGCTTGTTCCTCAAACTCAGTTGCGCGAGGAATTGTGTGCCGCAGAGACTGTCGTCTTATAAAACGCCCCAAATCGTATCTCTGGAATAATCTCATATAAGATATAAATACAAAGTCGAGAACAGCTATGTGAGAAGAACATAAACCCAGCAGATGCGGCCGACAACTCCCAATATCACAATCACCCAACTTCTTCGACACCAGGAACACATGTTCAACTCACATGTCTGGACTGAAACTCATTTGACTTAAAAACGATAAGAAGTCCTAGGCCTCTTCGTTTATCCGTGCAGTCTCAGTACAGCGTAGCTATCAAATTCAGCTGAATGAAGACATAACTCAAAATAAAAAGGAAAGCTCGTCGCGGGTGTTCTTAGTTCGACAACAATGCAAGGAGGGATGACACATATTGAACATCGGTCTCTGCAGCTCACTTGCTGATGTACGAACTGGTGCACTTAAAGCCTAAGATTCCACACTCCAACACAAATCCCCATCTCGACCTCACTCCAGTGAGTAATTCAGAACCCCCTCCTCCACGTCTTATTCGAACGAATACCAGCACAGCGACGGAGACCGACAAACCCTACGGACGATAAAACGTAACCAAGGCCGGAAATTCAAGCATACTTATTACTTCAAGCAATCCCTTCCACTTGAATGACGGATCAACACTCAGGACTCATATTTCATATAGCCCGTCTACGCTCACTGGTGCTATTCGGCTCCTGTTCGTCGCTGATCCCTGAGTCCCAAGTCCTCAGAACTCTTTTCATATTAATCAAAACACCACCTAAATTTGAAGATACCGCCTTTAGTAAACTCACCCGTCCCGCATACCTGAACTCCGTCTGTCTAACAGTGTTTCCCATACCCAGAAATCACAAAGCCGTCGCTGCTTAAGATTTCCTATTTAACAACGTGCTTCCAGACACTGTCGATACGAAGAAACACAAACAGCTACGTCGGGATAAAGTACATCGTCGCAGTTTTCTCTAAGATTCATCCGCTTTTCTGGACCCCGGCCAAAGTACCATACCACATCGTCACGTTTCTGCTAACTGCTTGATTTGAATTGTTCACCCATCCCCTTGTCATACACCTGTGAATACCACACCAACGACGATGACAAACCCCAGCCAGCAATCAAATCACCCCGCGAACCAGAACACAACAGCAGCGAGATGGACGTGATTCCAAAACGTCTTGGCAACATGAGCCCAATCTCGATGCTGCGTCTATTTCGTCAGATCAACCAACCCCCCAACCGCATGCTGCAGAGCCTACTCACAGGCCATCCTTCTGTTGTTATATAACCCCCAGGAAACAATGCCGAATCAGCAACTCGAGTTCCTAATCTAGAGTCCACGCTGAGTTTGACTCTCGGCTGTATATAAGGATACAAGACCACCACCGCAATTCTACTCCAAGCGTATTGATAGCTGGGCCCCAAAGCTAAGGCAGCATCCGCCTGGTTGTGCAACCCCATTGAAAACATCCACAGCTTGGACTCCCGCCCGACGAGCCGCATGCCTGCTTCACCTTTCCCATCAGCGACAACCCGTCTGTTTCCATATTATACACCTACGAATACCATGAAAACATTGGCGATCACTGCCGGACGACGAGTAGACGCAGAGCAACTAATCACACATGAGAATGACAGTATTTCGGGGATGTGATCAGCCCGCCTGAGACGTTTAAGCGACCAAGCTTCATGGTCCAAGATACCTTGGCAGGGTGGCATTGGCACAAGGACGACACAATTCATATGTTCCGTTGGTGACGAGATCGATTCTTGGAACCCGAATCCGTCCTTATGTAGCGTTGAGAACCCAAACTAGGCGCGTCATCAGTAGGGGCCGACGCCTGCCCACCGAGAAGCCGAAAACCGTGACTGAAATATCCCCCTCACTATTCTCACACGTCTACACGAGCCGCACGCCACGTCATTATCGAATTCTCTCTTTTTGATATTCTGCTATCATCTGCCTTCCGTCATAGGCACTCTCGCCTCATCCCAGCTGCCATCATCCACCCAAACCCCAACATCTCCAACATTCTCTCGCCAGGGCACGAAGGCCCACGAAGTTCCCAACAGCGGGATTCAATGTACAGTTCCTCCAAGAAATCCCGCTCAATCTTATATGTACAAGTAAAGGAAACACACCTCGTGTTCCCTCGAAAGAAGACAAGACATTATGGTCAAAAAGGTTTTTTTGAAAAAAGTTGTTTACACACACGCTCAGAACAGATCTTTTGTTGAAATCGCAAAAAGTGACGTAAAAGGAAAATAACGGTCGTAACGATGGGAGGGTGGGGGGCTGGCTATTTAGCCGGCGACGCCAGTGGCGGGGTACCCTGGTTGTCATGTCAGTAATTCGTACGGGTGAGGGGGTGGTTGATGAGAACTTACACCATGAGCACGTGGCAATAATGGCGTACAGACATATGAGCTGCAGACCCTCGAGCCAGTGACTCTTTCCGTCGCTGATCAGGTAGTTCACCAGCAATACCGCAACGAATAGGACCGCGACCTGGAAGAGGTCGAAGCTCATGGTCATGGAGTCGTTGCCCATGCCCCAGCCGATGATGACCAATAGCGGGATGAGGAAGAGGGCGACTTGCATGCTGGAACCGACGGCGACACCGATGGCGAGATCCATCTTGTCCTTGATGGCGACCGTGACGGCGGTGGCGTGCTCCGCGGCGTTTCCGACGATGGGGAGCAGGATGAGACCGACGAACTCCTCGCTGATACCGCTGGTCTGGGTGACGTAGTCGATGGAGCCGACCATGGCTTCGGCGCAGAAGGCGATGAGGACGGTGGAGCCGGCGAGGGTGCCGACGGCCACGAGGAAGTGCAGCTGGGGGTCCTCCTCTTCGTCGTCCTCCTCCTCCGCTGGGCGCTGCATCATGATGCGGCTGAGCTCCTGGCGGTCGTTGTCGCCGCGGACGCCGGTCTGCGCGATGCGCGCACCGGCTCCGGCGAGACTGCGGCCCAGGGCGCCCTCCTTCAATCCACCACGGCTCCACGGCTTGGCGGCGACCTTTTGCGATTCCTCGTTGAAGACCTTCTGGTGCGTTTTGAGCTGGAAGAAGAGATACGATGCGTAGATGATGAGGAGGATGACGGCGGTTCCGCGGGAGAGGGCGGCGACGTGGACGGGGTTGTCGGTGCCGTCGTTCTTGTCGAAGACGCTCGGGACGATGACGGATGCGACGGCGAGGGCGAGGAGGGATGCGGCGGTCTGGGCGACGGTCGTGTTGAAGTACTGCTCGGGGCGGCGGAGGCCACCGAAGAAGAAGCAGAAGCCCATGACGAGGAGCAAGTTGGACAGGATGGAGCCGATTAGTGAGGTCTGGACGATGAGGACCTTGCCCTCGGCCAAGGCGATAATGGCAACGATGAGTTCGACGGCGTTTCTGAGTCGGGTTAGTGAGACGCTCATGAGTTGCAGATGAGACCCGACTTACCCGAATGTCGCGTTTAGCAGTCCACCCAGCGACTCACCTGTCCTGAGCGCAATCTCCTCGGTGGCGAAACCCAGCATTGCGGCCAGGGGAATGATGGCGATGAAGTTGACAACAAATACTGCGATCTTGTTGACGGATCCGACGTACGAAATGGCGATACCGGCCGGCGCGGCCAATATCAGAATGTTGATCCATGAGTTGAGAAGGGTCCGTTGTAATTGGTTGGCGACGGTGAAAGGCGCCTTCGGCTCGACGTGTTTAATCAACCCGGTCTTCTTCTTTTTCGGTTTCTCTTCCTCGGGAGGGCTTCTGTCGTCCACCGCGTCGGCCGTCCCACGATTCCTCAATCCGGCGCCCTGCTCCTTGTTCTCAAACATGGTCTCTCCGCTGCCGCTGCCGCTGCCCGTCGCTGACCTCTCATCTTTGCTCAAGCTGCGCACGGTATCTGAGTCTCTGGGTGCGGGTTCGCTCCGGACGTGGTGAATCTGTTCCTCGGTGTCCTGGTCCTCGGCCCTGCTGGGGACCTCGCGCTGGGCCTCGAGATTGGCGCCGTCCCATGTGGAACGCTTGCTTGGGTGGTTATCCCAAGAAACGTGGCGAAAGGGGTTCCATGTCTGCTCCTGACTCCGGCGGCTGAGGCCGTGAGCTCTGCGTTTGATGTCAAAGTGGTTGACTGAACCGATGAGATCGGGCATGGTTAGCGACGGCGAACGCAGAGCAGGCGCTGCTTGGAGGTGGCAGAGAACGAAAGACGCGAAGATGAATGTGAGTGAGAAGGGAGTGGTTCGTTAAGTGAGATAGGGTGATGACGTGAAACCTCTGGTGTGGAGTGTCGGTGGGAATAATATGGAGAGGGATGGAGGGGACGGGGGGTAAACGAAGATTGCTCGAATCCGCGGGCAAATCGGCAGATGATTGGGGGAAGAGCGCGCGACTAGAGCTCTAGAGTCGTAGTCTAACCAGGTAGCTTCCCACCAGTGACAGACGAAGAAAATGCCAAGTGCCAAGGGATGGAAACAACACTCGTGTTGTGGTGATATTGGGCAGAGATGTTTTGTAGGGTTCTCGTCTCGCCAGAAGATATGACAAGAGTAACGCTGGCAGACGGCGGGGACGGGGGTAGCGGGTAGGAAGGTAATAAAGCGCCGCAGACTGGTTTTTACTCACAGGTTGAGGAGTTCATGCTGACGACGGCGGTGGTGTGTTAGTCGTAACTGTAACCGTCTTGTGGCAGGCGAGAGCCTGTGCTTGTTGGAGTTGGTTGTGGCAAAGATCAGATCGCTTCGAATGATGAGACGAAACGCGAACCGAGCTGTGGACGGGGTTGTCGAAGTTGCCTGTGTATCCGGGATGCCTTTTTGTGCAGTGGCAGGTGTAGATGTGTCTTTCGGGATGCTTTTCTCTTTTTGCGATAATCACTTTGTATGCAGCACAGCAATATAGCGCGGCGATGGATGGGGAGAGGCCTCCTTGGCAAAATTTGGTTGCCGGGGTGGTAGCGGAGGCTTGCCGGCCGGAGATGAGACGGGTCCAGATCGGTTCGGTTGGTGGTGACTGGTGAGTGGTGAGGGTGACAGCTCAACAACGGCGAGACGCGCAAGCCAAGACCCGAGCTAGTATGCAGTACCCGATACTCGGATTGGCGCTGCGGGATGCGGTGAGCAGGTGAACACGTCGGTCTGTCGTGTGCGGATTGGGCGCGGCCGGGCTGTGTGCAGCACGACGGAGGCAAAAGACGACCGCTTGTCGATGGTGACGGCACCGGCGCGGTACCTTACGGATACGGGTTGCAGTTGCAGCTGGATCGAGGCTGTGCAGTTCGGAAAAGTGGGAGCTTTGGGATGAATGCGAGTCGTGTATTGCAGACTGCAAAATGCCTTGTCTAACGTAATCGAAGACGGGCTTAGCTGAAGCTTAGCTGGGCAGTGAAGAGGAGGTGAAGTGAAGAGCGAAGAAAAGATGGGATGGAAAGTAAAGAATGCCAAGGAAGGGGGATCAAGCAGCTTTACGAGATATTAGCTCCTGTTCCTCGACCTAATCCTTCCTGAACATGGACACAATAGAGAGAGACAAAGTGCTCGCACCGTTTCAAAAAAACCAGCCCCTACGTCAGTCCGCCATTGCAATAAGCGCGGGCAACCTAACCTACCTAAGCCATTGAAAAGACGTGGGCGCTAATTTCCCTGAATCGAGACCTTCACTCTCTCGCCAATCCGATTCTGTCCAACACGCTGTCGCTCATCAGCGTCCTTCCAATGCCGTCGCGCCAGGCCATCAAGAAAGCGGGGCCATGCCATCTAACGCCCCCTTTATTTGTCTGCTTTAATGTTTTTCTCCATTGGACGATATTGCACCTTTTCCCACTTGCCGTGTGTCTATTTTCTGATCCCATCAATTGAGTTGGGCACACACGGAGAAAAACGTTCAGTCCGTGATTCAATGAGATGCCAGTACGACGTCGAAAAATTCATGTCGTCAGCACCCCCTTGACGTGCCAAGCCGCGCCACTCGTCTCCGAATCCCACGCAAACACGCACCCAAAAACAAGCTTCGCCAAGCCGAATACAAGACCTCGGCCAAGGCCCAAAGAACCCCCCCTGCCAAGCCCGTCGCCGTCGATCTGCTCGTCTTGGCTGTTGCTTCCTTTTTTTTTTTTTTTTTT